GTTACTTCGCGTGCTATAATATGGTTTTTATCAGGTTTTGTCTCATTTTACTCATCGTTAATAACAGTCAAAGTCGGAGGGGTAAATTTAGTCTGGGCGGGTTAATTTTAGTGTGCGAGGAAAGGAGAGGGGGGGGAGTATGGTAGAGTGGAGTGGGGGAGGGGTGACAATGAAGATAGAGCTTTCGATAGGGTAGAAGGGGGGGGAGGAGTAAGGAAATAAAATTTCATTACTTACCCCTCCCCACTTCACTCTCCCCCCCCTTTACCTTCCCCTTCAAACCTCTATCTCCATTTCCACACCTTCCACTCCCCCTCAACAATTACACTTCCCTCCTTTGCCTCCCCCTCCCAAATCTATATCTTCATTCTCGCCACCCCGTTTCTACCCACACCCCTTCAGACCTTATTTACCATCTTCCCTGGAAACCTCTATCTTCTATTGTCACCCCTACCCACATCCCTTCATACCTTATTCACTCCACCACGTAATCCCCACTCCATCTTGCAGCCTACCGTAACCTTTTATTCTTTGCTTAATCCACGAACATTCGAAGCCGTTCGCCGAATGACAAGATAATACAAGGTTTCCGTATTATATTACACTAGTGTCCGTGTGTAGCAGTTTCTACTTGACGCCGTTTGTCATTATTTATTGTTTGCCGGAAGCTGGTGTTTTCTTTGTATTAAGGAGAAGCGGTTTAAGGGTTTTATACGCTTATATTATAGTAGCTTATGGGCTCCGTTGGGTCTTGTTTAGGCACGTTGTATTATCGAGGTTGGGCTCTTTTATAAGTGCAATAGTTTTTTAACTTTGGTGGTGACAGTATATATTATAGTACTGTAGAGATTTAAAAGAATTACTGTAAATTTTTATGCCAAAAATAGTACAGTATCATTTCTAGAGTCATACTGTAAATTGTTATAACAAAAAAGTATTACAGTAAAGCCCCTACCTCTTTATCCTACTCTACTACTGTATTACCTAGCCCTATACGGTACAAGTTAAGGGCTTTAGATTCCGCATACTCAAATAGTACCAAGTACAACAACGTTCAAACCCCTGTTTACCTCAAAATATCTAGACAAAAATTTAAACTAATAATATCCGTTTTCCCAAAATATTTTGTATTAATATTAACACGCTATAACCTACTACAATGTGCTATAATTTAATAATATACTGTCCAAGCTTTGCTTTTTATTATAATTAACTGTTTTTCAAAATCACATTGTTTTTGCGTACAAATCAGCATTAAATTTCGAAAAATAATCTTTGAATTTAATTTTCATTTCCGATCCATTTTTTATAATTTTTTAAATTATATTTTATTAAAAAATAGTGTTATAAAGATGATAAATTAATTAAGCACTGTCATATTAAACTCCCAAAAATTTTGTCGTTTTTAAATGTGGAAAGCTATGTTAAAAAACGACAAAACTTTTTTTAAACACTGATTAGTTATTTTTTGCCATTTCTTATTGACAGTAATTAAAGTTCGTCCAAAACCTTATGTTGACAGTAATCAAACCTCAATAATAATCCTAATGATATCTAAAAGCCTTTAGCAACTTTTTTCCTCAAATATCCGCCCAAATCCCGATAATCCGCAGGCCACGCCCACTTTTCGGAAAAATCTTTTCAAACCTTCATTAAGACCTCATTTCCTCCGGTAATACTATCCAATTATTATGCATTTGAGTTTCGATAGCGGAGGTTACGTTCTCGGTATTATGTTTCAATAGTAGTATTTATTGACCAGACATTACTATTTGAATTTTATGTTTATTCATACATGTTTTAATGTTTCACTTTGTGAGAAAAGATATAGGGAGGGAGCTTAAAGTCTCATAATATAGTCTGGAAGAGGGTATGAAAATGTAAGGCAGGATAGGGCAAGGCAGACCTAACCCTTTGAACCCCCATGTTTACCTATTAAATTCCCGTGTTTACAGTTATGAATAATATCAATAGTATCATATGAAGAGCGTCTATAGTATCATTGTCTGTTTCAATTTCTGGTATTGGATTACTTTGTTCAAATATTTGATTGTTTTCAATATCACCTTGTTTGACAATAGTAAACCCAGACATAACATTGTGATTTAGAAGTAGATTTAGATTGTTTTAGCAAGATAAATCCGTCTTTATGTCTTCTGGGCAATATTATCTGTTAATTCTTGTTATAGAAAACAGTTTAAGTATATTTTTTTAAATAAATGTGTTGTCGTATAAAAATTAAGGTTTTTATTTTTTTTTAAATTTATTTAAAATTTAGCTCCAGGCAGTTTTATTACTTTCCTTCGGGCTTATTTTCCTTTTGATTTTTTGAATTGTTTTTGAATTCATATTCTTTCATTTTATCTTTCTCTTCTTGTTTTTAATACTAAATAATGTTTCATTTAATCTTTTTCTTCTTTTTTTATTTAATATTCTTTTATTTCATCTTTTTCTTCCGTTTTTTCTATTAGATCTTGCTTCATTTCATGTTTAGCTATATTATACTACAACAATCGCACTACTAATCCATCTTTTCCTATTTTTAATCTCAAAAACTCCAAACATTAAAACAAACACTCGCCTCCCAAAACATTTCCTGCCAAAACTTGTCAAAACCACCCCTGTCTGTGAGTAGTGTTTTTGTTTTCTACCGTACCTATCACACATTCCATATGTAATAATTTGCCCACATTAATTAAAAACCGCGGTTTTGACCCCACGCTTCCTCAACGTGACTATCTTTTTTTAAATATGCATAAGTTTTCGGAATTGTAACGTATCTTCGGGTAATAGAGTATTGTGTTACTGCGCTTCTTATGATAATGGCGGTTTTTGGCTAGATTTTTGGTCTTTGATACTTGTTTTATGGTATTAAAAGTTGGGTTGGGTAGTTTTGTTATTATTATTTAGGCCTTTGAAAGGTTCTTTTACTTACTAGAAGGTGTCAATTCTACAGTACTGGACCAGTATTACTAAAAAACCTATAAGATTGGATCAGTATTATTAAAAAACCTATAGCTCTTACCTACTACTATTTAAAATCTTTGTGAAAATTCAATTTTTTTCCTAAATTCTGTCAAAAAATGTATCATATCCTTGTTGCAACCCCATTTTCAACTTCCAATGTTTGTCCTATTACCATACCACGTTTCCCTACCCCTCTGCCACAGATTTTGAGTTTAATGAGCCACACTTCCTATGCTTTAATAACTTTAAAAGTAAAAAAAAACGATGTTTAAAAAACTGTTATGAACTATCGAACCTGGTGGTCCCTATTTTGTCCTTTCAATTTTGAAATTTTAAACAGAAATACAAGAGTTATTATTTAGTCAGGCTTGAGATTAGGCCTTCATTTCTTTGTTTTTTATGGTTTTTGATGTAAATCTCAAAGTTAAGGTTAAAGTCATTTTAAATTCTAAAAAATAAGTCAAATTTATTTCAAATTTGAAAAAGTTAATTTTTATATACTACCTTAAACTGTAAAACTCTAAAGTGTTTTACTTCTTTGTACTCAACTAAAAAGGACTTTAAACAGTAATTACTGGCTTTAAAACGCGTTTGAAAAGTAATGACAGGTTTTGAGATATTAACTAGAGTAACCGACAGCCCGTTTTTATAAACTATTGTACCTAATGGCCTCCCTTGAGGTATCATGTAAGTAATTTAATGGCCGTCTCTGAGGTATAAACTATTGTACATAATGGTCGCTTTCTGTTGTACCTAATGGTCGGTTTTTATTTACCAAGTAATGTAACTAATGATAGGGTTAAGCCAGTAAGTAATAAGCATAAAATAGTAACATAACTTTCTTTTCAACCTAACAGCGTTACTCTATTGGGTTATCTGCGTGTTTTCGGTTATCTTGTTACGATTTGACAAAAACAAGTCATAACAAAACAGTATTGTTTAAACGTGCGTTTCCTTGTGATAAACTTATTATTTTTATCCTCGTTATTTTTTTGTAATATACCTCAAGGATACCAGAAGGTATTTTACATTTTCTTGAAATTCTAATTTTCTATTGTTATTTTAAAGTTGTTATAGATTTTTGGCTTTATCTTTGCATTTTGTTACCTAAAAACTATTTTGAACACTCTTAGTCTAGTTTATCTCAATATCAAAATCATTTACTTGGGAATCTTATAACAATACATTAGGTTGTTCTAATATTCTGTGCCCCTTCTCAAAGCAAATTTTTGAGGATAGGAGGCACTGAATTATTTGAACAACTTAACGCTTCCAAAAACATATGAAAAATGCTTTACTTTCATACCCTACGGCCACCACTTGTTGTGGCCATATAATTTTGAGGACTCGAAAACAGGCCAATGTTTTTAAAATGCGCGAAAATAATTTACATGTGGTCACTTTCAAAAAGACCCTTTTAAGACCAATTATTTTCCCATCTTTGTACAGATAACAGTCATTGTATTTCCTGAATTTTTATTTGGCAGTGCCTTATATAGTGGGTTTATTTGGCTATCTGTTGTATCGTATAGAGGGGTTTTCCTGTTGATCTTTCAAATATTTTTAAATCCTTTACAGTATATTGTGTTATCGTATTTGTATTAATTATTATCGTTGTTTGAAGGGATACATTTAATATAGTTGTAGTTTTATTTTAAATTTTAAGTGTTTGCGTGGTAATTTTTTTTAATATTAAAATATTATATTGAATCTCTTTCATTACCTCTTTTTCATATGAGAGGTAATGAAAAAGATCCATAATATCAATATCATTGTATACAAACCTTAATATCAAGTAGATCATTTAATTCCTCGGCTCAGAATTACGTGATCCACCTAACACTATAAATTCGTATTTTGCTAGCCGAAATGTTTTTAAATGCGCCAAGTGTCGTTAATTGAAAATCCAACTTGAACCTATCCCCCGGAGGCCTTCAGAATAACCTAATCTCTTTCAGACTACGCTTTGGGGCCGATAAGGGTAACGCGCAATTCCCTCGTCGTTTATTTTATAAAACATACAGTAGACAAAAATGGTACAGCGAAGTGCTTGGCAGCTACTGATCCTGCTCCTCATCGCCGTTTGCGCCACCGTTCACGCCGACCGACAATGGAGTGCGGGCGTGGGGCTTTGGGGCAAACGATCATACGTAAGTGGCATTTTTTGGATGCTTGCTCGATTAAAAAACATGCTTTACATAAGTAATAGTACAGCTTTTATTAAAAAGTATAAACAAACGGCTGAAATCATGTTTTAACGTTTTTCCTCTAGAACTAAACCTACAACAATATAGGCAAAAATCATGCCATTTTTCAACTTTTTCATATAAAAACCAACTCATAGTATCCCCATTTTCAGCCTCTATTACGAAAACGATCGCCAGACTTCAACCCAAATATCGAGAGCAATCTCTGGGACAAAAGAGCCCAATGGCAAGCTGCAAACGGCCTTTGGGGCAAAAGGTAAATAACTTTCTTTACAGTCGTTTTCCTATAAACCATTTTCATCTTAACTTTATAGTATATTTTACTATATGTTTTTCAAACTTCGCTTTCAAAACATAATAATACATTGAAAAAGTCCAACACATGTCACATACATCTACAACAATATAATTAAACTGATAGCCGTTAATTTGTCTACACTTACATCATGTTTATACAACATTTAGCGTTTAAAGCATCCGTCTCGAGGCCGAAATTTTAGATAATATACCTTTTTATACCCTGTAACTTATAAAAGCAGCTACATTAATATTAAATGTATTATGTCTTTAAACTTCCATCTAACTATCACACTTAATGTCAGTTAATTTCCGAAATGCCTCTAATTCACTCATATTATCTCTTAAAACTTTCAGTTACTAATAACATCCAATTTCAGATCAGCACCTCCAGTTCCTCAATATGCACCATGGAATTAGATGTACCTTGTTATTGCTGAGACCTGACGCCGCGCTATTTTCTCAACCCATACCACACTAATGTTCAGTTGTACTCCTTTGGAATACCTTACACAATTTAATAAATGAAAAAAACATTTTACGTTTTGTTATAGCAACCTAGTTGTATACCTAAAAACTTGTACATGTTCTAATAAATAATATTATTATAACTCACAAGTCATGTACAAATGTAAATAAACTCTTTCCATTTTTAAAATGTAATTTCAAGTTTTATGATACAATGAAAATAGTAAAAGAAGCCAAAATTTATGAAATCAATCTAAATTATGAATGAGAAGATGCGGTAAAACTATTGTAATATCTGTATAATACTGAAATAAAAACTGCTTTTAATTTTATAAAACAGCCCAATGTATAACCTTCAATCACACAAAATTTCAACTTTTTATACAGATATTTAAAAAAGTTATAGTAAAAACCAATTGATACACCCAGCTGCTTTTAAGGAAAACTCTATAGGTAAACCTCTGATAGCCCGCTAAATAACAAAAAATTGTAAATAAAATAATTTCGAAAAACGTACGTTACATTGCACGGCTCCCCAAAAAATGCATTGTCTTAAATTTACATCATCGTAACAAAGTTTTTTTAAAGTTTTAATCAGCTTTACAACCAAAATTTGATCGAAAACAATTAATTTTTTACGAAAAATATTTTTTGCTTGCTACGAAACGCCAAGAAAAGGGAATTCAGGGTTTGCGTGAACCATTCCGTGTTAGCCTATTGGCCGTTGTTACGGTTTATTTTTATTTCTCTTGAAAAAATTTCTTTTAAAATGTTTAAAAAATAATTGAAAATAGTATAGTTTTGAAGTTTAGAGTTATAAATTGTAAGTATAGTATTTTTGTGGTGTAATCGATGCTGTTTTATGATATTTCGTGTTTTTGTTTTTGTGAAATTGCGTGTTTTATATTTTTGATGTTGCTTTTAAAATTTTTAGATCTTATTGTTTTTGCTTTCAGGGTAAAATGGCTGCCAGGCCAGTTGTAACTGTCTACAATGAAAAGAACGAGCCCTCGGGTACTGAAGTCAAGCTACCAGCTGTCTTCCGTGCTCCCATCCGTCCTGATGTTGTGAGCTTCATCCACGACCAGATCGCCAAGAACAAGCGTCAACCATACGCCGTCTCCGACAAGGCCGGTAAGTGAATATTATTTAGTTTTGATTCTGTTTTTAGGTCATCAAACTTCGGCCGAATCATGGGGAACTGGACGTGCTGTTGCTCGTATCCCTCGTGTCCGTGGTGGTGGTACTCACCGTTCTGGTCAAGCTGCCTTCGGTAACATGTGCCGTGGAGGTTCTTTGGCCGCTCCAACCAAGACCTACCGCCGCTGGCACCGTCGTGTGAATGTAGCTCAACGTCGTTTCGCCGTCGCTTCAGCTATTGCCGCCTCTGGAGTTCCATCTTTGGTTCAAGCTCGCGGACACGTTATTGACAAGTTGAACGAGATCCCATTGGTCGTCTCTGAAAAGATCGAGAGCTTGAAGAAGACCAAGGATGCCGTCGCTTTCTTGAAGCGCGTCAACTTGTGGGACGATATCGAGAAGGTTGGTTTTGGTTTTTTAAGGTTATTTTTCTTTTAGATATATACTTTATTATTGTTGTTGAATTTTAAAATTAAAGGAATTATTTTTAGTCAAAAAGTTTGTTTGGATGTTTTGTGTAAATATTTTGATCTTTGAAAACCTATTTTTTATATTATGCAATTGAAAGCTTTTACTAGCTATTTTTAATTTTTTATCTTTTAGGTATATGCCTCCAAGCGCCAACGTGCCGGCCGTGGTAAGAGCCGCAACCGTCGCCACAAGCAAAAGCGTGGCCCAGTCATCGTCTACGCTAACGATGGTGGTTTGACTCACGCCTTCAGAAACATCCCAGGTGTTACTCTCCAAAAGGTCACCGCCTTGAACTTGTTGAAGATCGCCCCAGGAGGTCACCTCGGCCGTCTCATCGTCTGGACCGAAGGAGCTTTCCGCAAGTTGGACTCCGTCTTCGGAACCTTCGCCCGCAAGTCCGACCAAAAGAAGGGCTTCATCCTTCCCCGTGCCAAGATGGTCAACTCCGACTTCAAGAGAATCGTCAACAGTGAAGCCGTATTGAATGCTCTGGCACCAAAATCAATCAAGAGCACCGTTCGTAAAGTACACCGCAATCCACTCAGACAAAAGAAGATCATGGCTCGATTGAACCCATACTCGGAAGTCATTCGCCGAGCCGCTATTTTGGCCTCCGCCAAGACAGCACAAAAATAAATGTTATTCCTTTATTCTGTTGTTTCTGGTTGAATAAATTGTTTTATAAAATTGTTAAACTTGTTTTATTGTGTAAAATAAATTCATAAACAAGAACAGGGTGAGTGAGGAACAATATATATATACATTACATGTTAGCAGATGGTTGATGAAAGTGAAGGTTTTGAATCTTTTAAGAATGATTCTGTGCTTTCGACAATCTTCGAACTGTCCAGTGATTTGTACTTTTGAAGTACGTTCTTGATCTTGTTCGTCCTGCACATTCGCACAACGGCCGATGCGATTCCGATGGCTCGCTTTTCCACTGCTTCAGCATTCAATTCGGACACGGTTAGGAGGCAATCATTGAATGGCAACTCCAAAACGTAACAGGCAAGGTAATAGGCACCAACAGCTTGATCAGAAGGCAACCATTGGGAACTGTGGTAGGCTATCAGAGCACAGTCAACGAAACATGACGCATACTTGTATACGGTCTTCACATCGTCTGTTGGTAATTGTAGAAAGGTACGGAATTTGCGCAGAAAATGGCATGGATAACAAAATGACATGTCGAACATCACAGATTGGAGTACCTGAAAAGATCGCCTTAATAACAGTGAAATCATACCTAGAACAAAATTTCTAGATAACACAAAAACCATTAAAAGCTTAAAAATTAGGTAACAACATGGACAACTTACAATCTTTTCCATTTCCAAAATCCTTTCTTGAGTACAAGCTCGACCACCAAAGTATGCCATGTCGTTGATGTGAGGAACTACAACTTCCTCGTATTTTAAAGCAATATACAAACAAGTGACTCCAACCAACTGATAGTTTGATGAGTTGACTTCCTCCATGTACAAGGCTGCTCGATCTGTCAGGTATACCGCTAATGTCCAGGCTTCTTGACTTGTTTGCATGCTACATGCACAGACTGACAGTAGCCAATCGACCAACATCTCTCGCATCCTTGGTTCCACTGATCGACCACGAAGAAAGTCCGGATTCAGTTGTTTCTTCTTCTCCAAGGATTTTAGGTAAGCATCCATCTCGTGAGCCTCATTTTCATTCACAAAGAAGTTGCGGCCACCATAAACTGGCACTTTCACAATCTTTTTCTTCTTCTCTTCCTAAAAACCAGAAAACCAATATAAAAATGGGTAAACTTACATTTTCACCGTTACTTCGCACAAACGTTGGTACTTGTTTCTTTTCTAATCCTACTGGTACCTGTGAAGATCTTCTAAACATGTTCGAGATGTTGGACAACATTTTCTTTTAAAATTTAATTCGAAAAGACTTCCGCAAATCCCCGGGCATTCCATGATGACTTTCGGCATAAAACCTGAAAGTGCAACAAAGTTTCACAATGTTATAACAAAAACACCAACGGGAGATGCTACCTCATAAACTATTAAATTAGTTGTACTACCACAATCCTAAACAAGCTTTTTCAAAATAATAGGCACGCTGATACGCCTATAACATTAAAAACAAGCCAATTCAAAAAGTAAAGGACATTTTTATCCAAAATCAACCGTAACAATAATCAGCAACAAAGATTTATGATTAATATTCACCACGGGCCAATTGGCGGCGTTGTTTTTTCTTCGACTCCTTCTTGGACTTGATGGCGACATCAGTGGGCTTTGAAACTACGTCCTTCTGTTCCGAGAGGATCAGCTCAACATGGCAAGGAGAAGACATGTAGGCTAAAATATCGCATTTTAATCAAGGTAAAATAGATAGATAACATAAAAATGCACTTAAAACACGAAGAAAAACATTTAATTACGTACACTACTGCTTTTTTTAATAAACCTCAGCTTCTATTAGTGTCAAACAATATTTAAAACCTTCAAAACAGGATCTAAACGTATCTGACTACAAAAAAAAGATTGATCTTACGACCATTAACTATCCCGACTATTAAATCCTAGAAAAATTAGTCAAAATAAAGAAACCAGTTTCAAAACGTAAAACTTACGGTTGATACGACCGTGAGCTCTGTAGGTTCTTCTGCGCATTTTGGCGGCACGTTGGCAAACAATGTGTTCGATAACAAGTTGGTCAACATCCAAACCCTTGACTTCGGCGTTGGATTCAGCGTTCCTGAAAGAAACATCCATATTAACAAAAATAGATTAAATTGTAAATATAAAAATATAGCTAAAACAATATTGTTGTTTTTGCCCAAAAGCATCAATATTTTAACAGAATTTGACAAATATTATGTTAGTCTTTATGACATAAGAAAAAACGTTTTTTCTACTGTCTCAAACTAAACTTTAAAATAGAAACTGTTCAGAAGACCAAAATCAGAGTTTTCAGGCATACATCAACAATTTCAAAAAATTCAATTTTTCGCTGCTTCAAATCAAATTCTGTTACCTAAACCAATAAACAACAACAAATAAACTTACTTCAACAAACCGAGCAAGTAGTTGGCAGACTTGATAGGCCATCTTCCTTGAGTAACTCCCCAGGCCTTGGCTTGAGCTTTGCGGCCGACGGTGTGCTTGAAGCGTCTGAATGGAACGATCTCCTTCTTCTCCTTGACGTTCTCCAAGAATCGAATGGCACGCTTGATGGTCATGCCCTTGATGGCACGAGCGGTCTCATGCGTGTTTTTGAAGTGCACGCGGAGATCAGTGCCTCGGGCTTTGCACGACTTGGTGTTGTTTTCTGGCTCCTTGCAGTAGTGGACCTTAGTCATTTTACCCTGAAATCAATGCAAAATGTGAATAAGAATATATACAGCACGACAATAAATCAAAAAAAAACCGAGTAATGTACCAAAATAATTTTATTTTAAAATTTATAAAAAAAGGAAAATTTTTCAAGGGAATTTTAGCAAGACCTATACCGTACACTACTTTTTCACGGAGCCTTTTTGTGGGTCCCGCAACGGAAAAGGCAGAAAGCCAGAATTTTACTTCGGCCGCGAGTTGCGAAAGAAAAATAAATAAAAAATAAAATAATGTTCGGAAATCGTTTGTTGGTTAATCTATCAAATATCTAATCAATTATAGTAATATTTATCAGTTTTGTCAATAAAATATATTATTATGACTAATTAGTTTATTGCTATGCGAAAATAATGGAAGAATTTGGAGAAATAGACGGAGATATGACTTCTAAAAACTAAAACAATGTCTTTGACATGTATTGGATGTGGTTTTTCTTACAATTCGTATGGTTTGCTTGCTGAGCATTTGAAAAATGTGGTTGCTGATCTTTATCATCAACAACAAACGTTTGTTTGTGCTTGTAATAGCAATCTATTATTCAATATACAACAATATATTAGACATTTGGCTTTGGAGCACGAGAGTTCTTATGAAGGTACGTTTTTGTTAAGTTCATTGCTTGTTTTGTGTTTAGAACATTCTTTTTCGTACATATTTGGTGTATTATTTTCATTTCTTCAGGTTCATCAAGCCGTCATGAAAGCAAACTTGTCTATTCATGTTCAGTATGCTCACGAGAGTTCTCTGATAAAAGTAACATGAGAAAACATGCTAAATTACACACTGGTAAGTAATGTTTCATTTTTTTGCAATAGGATAATATCAACTTTTTAAAAGCTAGTTGAATTGCAATTTTTTGCATCTTCATATCCATTTTAGGTGAAAAACCATATGAATGTGAAGTTTGTCATCATAAATTTGCGAAACGATCGAATTTAACTCAACATTTGTCAATGCATCAACGCTCCTCGACTGATGTGTTCAAATGTGCAATTTGTGATAAAGATTATTTTTCAAAATCAGCTTTGAAACTTCATTTTCGTGTTCATACCAATGAAAATCCATTCAGATGTGCAAGGATAGATTGTGATATGGCTTTTAGGTATGGTTTTTAGTTTGTTATTCTACGTTTTTAGGGAGAAGAATAGTGGTAAAATACAGTTCTTTGCATTAACATGTCTAATTAAGATTCGACACGTTTTTTTGGCTTTTTAACTAAATTGTTAGCTTTAGCTCAAAGTTCTAGTTAAAACACATGCTTTATAAGATAAAAAACCTATTTATTTCTTTCAGAACTCGAAAACTATTGAATTCTCACGTAAGGAAGCTTCATTCCTCCGTAGCAACCACAAATCAACGATGTTATTCTCCGGATTCGGCTCAGAAAGTTGTGAGGCGTATAGCCGAGTTGAGCGGATCCAAAATATCCGAGGATCCTCCACTTAAAGCTTCAGCAACCTCAGCTTTTCAACGGGTATCCAGTGGGGATTCTCCTTTATGGAATTCGTCACGAAACCGTCTTCAACGTCGGGCTTCTGAAACCATTCCACCGACTTCACAAATGATACGATTCAACAGTAGCGTTGATATCTAACTATTAATAGAGTAAGAATTTTATGTTATATATTAATATATTAGTTTTTTAAACTTTTGTATTTGTCAGCCTGTGCATGCAGCATGCAACAAGATCTTCAAAAATTAATAAACAAAGCAACTTTCAAAAAAACAACTTTAAAATTCTAAAAATCATCAAAAATGCCGAAGATTACAACGATAATTTAATTGCAAGTTGCAAAGTGATAACAGCGAACAATGGGATTGCAACGCATGATAATAAGGTAACAATTTAACAAGATTGTAGAGACTTTGATTAGCCTTGAGACGAGGCCGCCGAGCATCCTCCGCCACCGCCGCTGGACTGTCCGGTGGGGAGTTTGGGCAGTTGGAGAGGGCGTTGCGAGGACACGGTCTTAGACGGAGACGGGTCATCAGGCTGATTATCAGACACGGTTGAGTTTCTGAAGAAGAACAATATAAGCTGGACAACTTAGTGTTAGATAAATGTTATTAAGATTATATAAATATATATCGTGTTATATAGATAATATAGTCAAGTATATATCAAGTTCATGATATATATTTGAAGATTAAGGTGAAACAAAAGTATTGTCGTCAAATGGATAAGGTTTGCAGCTTTAAAAACGACAAGACTTTTGTGGCACATTAATATAGCAAAAAGATGGGCAGAGTGACCTTGGACTGACGCCAGACGTTTTGTCTGGCTTCATTTCTGGCCTTATAAAATCTTTTTTATCATTTTATGGTAAATTAATCAAAATTTTAAAAGAAATTTTTCATTCATCAAAACCAAAATTTTCTTTTTCAATCCCAGGCCGGTCTACCCATCCTTTTCGCCCGTCTGACTAGGCGGTTTGCTATCAGAAGAAGAGTAACCATCGTTATACTTTGAGATTAGCGTCACTTTGCTGAGCTTGAGGTAAGCGACGGGTTGGACGGCGTTATCCGCGTGCAGGACCGCTTCACAAAGGTCCACTGAGATCCGGGATTCATGGAGGGGCGAGTCGATGACATAGGTTTCATATTCTCCACCTTCGCCACAAATATGGGCACCATACTTCTTGTTGGCTTCGTGCAATGGTTCTTTGGCCTGAAACAAGGAGTTTTGTAAAAAATGGCTTTAGGTACAGTATGTATAACGATATTATAGTGCTCTCCTTTATAATTTGTTACTTTTGACTAAGAAAGTCAAGAATAACGTATATTATAGCTATTCAAATGAGCTAAATCTAATTAATCGTCTCTAAAACTTCAAAAATCAGAAAAAAGAAACACATACTTCTTTGAGAGTCATGCCAAGATGTTTGGTGGTTAAACCAGCTGAAGCTACCTTGATGATGATCGCATCGATGCCATCTTGTATCATGTCATCCAGAAGTTCGGCTTGGTCTCTGCCCCACAAATAACACAAGGTTTTTAGGCCTAATCGTTGACAAACATTGTCCAGACGAGATTTTTGATACTGACTCAGGATGGCTCCACATGAAACGGCTGAAAATGCAAGAGTTATCTAGTTCATCATAAATAGTTATTGATAACCCTTATAATAATTATAAGCTCCATAATCTACCATTCCAATCACTTTTGCTTCCTAAAATCCAAAAAAAAATTAAAAACCTTACCTTCAATCTCCGGGTTCTGATTCTGAATCGTGCTGAGTAGACAAAACAAGTCCTCAACCTCGTCACCTTGTAGTTCACGGTATTCATTGGTCGTGTTCATCGGTTTTCCCTTAATTTCTTTTCTGTACAATGGCAATTGAAGGGCGGCGGCCATGGCTTTGATTCCTTCGGCTCCGACTGACTGATACATGTAAGAGTCGATTTCTGATTCGCCCGGGGGAGGGTGAAGGTTGGCAAGACATACCAGCTCATGACCATTCTTTTTGGCCAGATACAAGTTGTAGAGACTGTCTTTTCCGCCGGAGATCAGGCCTACTACCTTCATGATGCCTTAAAAATGTTTGTTGAGCAAGGTTTTGTTGAAAATTGAAGATTTTCTTCAAGTAAAATGAAGTTATGAACTATTTACATCCAAACACCAAAGAAAAGCGGCAAAAAATCTAATATTATCTTTCTAAACCCTCCACAGTACAATATCAACCACAAACTTAATCCTCAGTTTGTGGATGGTATTGTACCGTCTCACCCATACTCCCCTGCCATTTCAGGCATAATTTCAATGTATAGGTATGTTACCATTAAAAAACAAGGCACAGCTAGAATCCAGTATTTATTTTCAACTCTGCACATATCACATTTACAACGAAATAAAAATAGGTCAAAAACGGTCAATTTATTTATGTATGAAACTGCCACGATAGCAATGCGACAGAATGTGCAAAATTGATGTTCACGGAGCGATACGAAGCCTTGTTACGAAAGATCTGAAAAATGGGATATTATTAATGGTAACCGATGTTTTACTATTACTTCTAAGGTTTATATAACTTAATATTCAACAAAAATATACTACAATATCCTAAAATGATGTCATACTTAACATAAAATCAAAGGTAAAAAAGAAAAATTCAAAAAATATCTAAAATAAGGTAAAATACCCTAATATAATCCATCCTCCTCAATATAAAACCCTTTAACATTCACTTACATGAAAGGTCGACTGGAGAATGACGTTCGAGCTGTTCCTTAGCAAATTGTACATATTCTTCGTGTTTCTCGTCCAGTTTCCGGATCAATACTGTTTCGTATTCGTGTCGGAGTCGAACCTCTTGCTCACTGAGTAATCGTTTGCAGATCAACTTCACCTGATTCAGGGAGAACGCCGGCTTCTCGTACAGTTCACGCTTGATCTCATTTGAGGTCGGTGAACGAGCTGTCGTCGGATGTTCTCCTTCTGAGTCACTGCCGCTCTGAAATTTTATTGTTTAGGATAAGATAGTTAGTCGGTAAAGGCTTTTTTGATTTTAGTTACTTTAAAGAGACTTAGAAAAGTTTTGTAGTTTTTGTACGTGGAAACCAGTGTAAATTGACGACAGAACTTTGTTAGCACCGTCATAATAGACCATTTTGACATTAATTTCACCAAAATCCACATTTTGTTCATTTTAATCTACCTAAATTAAAGAAACCCCAACAAAAACTTACGTGAGAAGAGGACGGGGAAGTTGCCCCACCACGATAGCTCTGCTGTGATGTGCCAGTAGACGGTCCCTCGCCCACACGCCTCGGAATTAGTTTACGGCGCTTAAGGTAGCGTATTTCGTTTCGCAAATAGTCTTCCAACTGGTTATTCGACAACTGACATGATGACGGTACTGATGCGAATGGGGACGCACTTTTGTCCGTGTCTTCGGCCGGTCCATTGTGTTGAGGTAGGTTGGCGGCCAGAGTGCCAAGTTGAGGTCGGAATGGTGAACAATGCGTTGGTCTGGGTCGTTTGATGTCGACTCCGGCGTCTGGATTCAAATAGGCCTCGTAGTCGTGGGGCCTTTTCACTGCCAAACCGCAAGTCATGATGATGTTATTTGTGTGCTACTCTGAAGAGATTAAGGTTCAGGTAATGAGAATTGATTAGGATGTAAAGAAAATGTATTGTCACGGTAAAAACACGTAAAAATGTAAAGTAATATTACAAAAAATGCAAATCAAGCAAAAATAAATCAAATAAAACAGAATTGTGAAGTAATTTTTCCATGTTACATTAATTTTACCGTACCGTGATTAACGCCAAAGATGATGAAATTTACCATGAAATCGTTTATCTTCTTAAATTAACCAAACGCTTGAAAAACAAACTTAACTTAAAAATACGGTATTTAAAAAGTAAATTAATTGTTGTATTTACCTTTTAAAAGCCTACAAATTTTGTCACATGACAAAATTTATCTGTTGGAAAAAGTTACAACCCAAAACAAGTAACAGTCTGAAGGTGCTGTCGTTCTTTTACTTCAAGTAAATTCATTTTTTTCAGAATTTCAAATAACAGAATTAGGATTTAAATGCTTTTCATTTTGTTACAGATCAATCTGTTTTTGTGATGTAAAATAAATGTAAAACATCTAAAACATCAGAAAATCAATCTGGAGCGAGTAGAATAGATCAAAGTTTAATAAATATGAAGAACTATCTAAAATCTACCTAAATTCACCTAAACTCCATAAAAAAGATAATAAACGTTCCTAAAATCCACAGAACAAATAAAAAACGGCTAAACCTAGTAGAACAAAACAAAAGTCGCTGTTAAAGCTATATAGAACAGTCAAAAACGCCAACAAAAATTAAATTCAAAACCAAAACTTCGAAGAAAACCGCAAAAGATGACTATAAATCTATAATAATATAAAAAAACGAGCCATAACAAAGTGAAAGCTGAACGAATCTATAACAATACGAAAGCACACAAGCTGAAAAATCGATGGTAAAACTGCCCCGACTGAATAATGGTTTACAACAAGAAAGAAAATTTGCGAAATCGCTCCAATCGATTGGGCAATTTTTTAGGCAAGAGACAGCCTTCTTTCCCAGCGTTTTTTCGCTACAAATCGATCTTACTCATGTCGCTTTTATCACGGAATCTGCACGATTTCAACACTGATTTCAAGGTTTTTTAATATCAGAAAACTCAGGGCTTTCATGTATAAAATAATACTTAAAAGTGAGGTGTTTGGGGTGATATTGGATAGGTTTTTATCAAATTTTATGTTCTTCAAAAGGAGAAAATTGACGTTACTTATAAAGCTTTGAGAGCAAAAGATGTTGCTTTAGATGCCAACGATAAAATAGATACTAAACTTGATAAAAGCCAGCTATAAACTGATAAAAAAAGATTGAAATCAATAAAAACCATTTGAATTTATAAAAACAAGCTTTAAATTGACAAAAACCACGTCTTAAAGCCAATATAGTCAAGTTGCGTTCGGTCAAAGCCAACACAACCAAGATACGTATCTATAAAGCTAAAATAATCAAGATACGTAATTCTTTAACACATTTTTCGACCACACCAAACAACCGCCTAACATGCAATGTTGTTTTAGATGAATGGAAAATCAATTTTCCGAGGCCTTCTCACCGGATTAACGGGCATCCACTCCTCGCGCACATTGAGAAATGGACAAGGTTCACGGGCAAAACGGGACAAAAAGTTGGTGGAAGCGGCCGGTACCCACAAGGTGAACGAGATCAAGACCCCAGCGCAGCACAGCCGGCGTTGGTTCTTCTCGCGTCTCTCGGTCTTTCTCCTTTTCCCGTTTAATTTCCCCCAGGTTTTCGCCACGAGAAGAGCAGACGAATAAACAAAACGGCGGCGAGCTGCGGCCGCGCGCATTCTTCGCTTTTCGATCGAAAAACGAAGGGAGAAGGGAAGTACAGGCTGCGAGTGACAAGTTATACGACGAGTGTCAGAATTTACGACGAAAGATGGAGTGGGAAGCTCTGCGCCCATTGTTATATATTGGTCTTTCGTACCTTAAGCGCCGCCGGCCTTTTTTTTATTTTGCGACCCCAAGTGGCGTGTAAATGGTGTTGGAAGTAATTAATTACAACAATTAGTGTCTGACTTGTAATTCCGCTTGACTGCGGTAAAGTTCAAGCCTCTCGAAATGGCTGTGGAGCCGGAGAACCGAGCTCATATGGGAGTTTTGCTTGTTTACTGCTCTCAATAGTTTATTTTATGGCCACGCCGTTTCAGGCATGGCGTGATTCCGAATGTTATCGTCATGGTATCCTTGTTTTTCCGAGTTTGTTTTGCGGATAAACAACAATGAGGGGGGCTGTTTACTTATTTACTTTTGCAAATTTTAATCTCGTTTTTTACATTTGGCAAGCACATGTTAACATCGAGTGGTATTGATTGATTTTATTTACTAGGGTAATGTTACGGGAGTCTAGACCAATATCATTACATTCAGTAAAGTAAATGTAATGATATTGTCAAGGCCGTGGGGGTAGGGGTAGAGTGAGGGTTCTTATTTGAAGCGGAGATAAAGGGGAGGCTTTTGAGTAGGGGGTAGGTGATGGTTTTGATTTGAAGGGTAGGGGCTGATTTTGCTTTGCGCGGGTAGGGGAGGGCTTAAATTTGAGGAGGTAGGGGAGATTTTAATTTGAGGTAGTTAAACTTTTGATTTTAGGAGGAGGAGAGGTGTAAAATATATTTTTTCTTACAAAATTTAACTTCAAAACCTCCCCTCAGGCACTGAAAAGCACCTTCTCAAGCTTATTGTCACTATATAGACTGTCATCACAATATCTTGTTTACTTTCAATTTTAAAAACTAAATTTCATTATACATATATGATATTCCAACAAACATATTTGTCGTTTTCACATTGCAACAGCCTTATTAACATATTTGAAGCTCGGCAAAGTCAATTTTCACAGAAAATAAACACGTTTTTATGAATGTTATGGTTATTTTCTTTAGTTTTTAAATATTTTTATATTATTATAAAAAATATTTAAAAGTGGACTTTTTTATTTTTATATGTTATTATAGTAAAAATTAGTCAGTAACGTTATTTTGTGGTACATTACATAGTCTTCTAGAGGGTAGAGGTTAGATGACTGTGTAATAGAGGATAAATGACTATGTAAAAGAGGGTAGATGATTATATAATAAAGGGTAGATGATCATTTAGTCAATTCTTCTTTATTTTTTTATAACTTTCAATGGTTAAGGAAAGTTTTGTCGTCTTTTCCAATGCAAAGCCTAATAAATTGACGACAAGACTTTACATCTTTTTAATACTAAACTCGTTTGCAATTTCTAAACTCGAAATGACAAATTTAATGGGTAAAAACAAGTAGAATTGTTTACAGTTCAATGAGTAACAACTTTCGTAGAAGTGTGTTTTCAAGGAAGGCTAGTATAACATATGGTAATGTAATTCTATACATTTTCACATTTTATTTGCGCATGGAATTTGGAGGACATTTTTGTGAAAATTTGAGTTTTTGAAGATGTTTTAGGACATTTGGCACCATGTTTTGAGTAGGTTTTTACCTATTGGGAAGACCTAAAAGTCTTGTTGTCATTTTATTAATCTTTGCATTCTTAAAAACGACAAGACTTTTTTTGATGCCGTAATATTGTCCAAATTTCTTTACTTTGAACTCTTTGATGACCAAAAACTCAAATTTGATATCCGAGTTATCTTACTGTAACGTCTAGAAAAGATAATTTACAGTATTTGTTTTGACGTGAAATCTCATTTGTACCGTTGTGTATCGCAATTTATTTCGATTAATCCTTGATATATCCACTTGTGGTGGGCTCTTCAACCTTACTCACAAACAAAACACTCGATTTCAGGGGTTCAATATCGTCCTATCTCTGGCAGCACTGGCTTAAATGGCAGATGACCATAAGGACACGAAACGGTAATAACCTTTTTGAAGTTTACAGGTGAAGTTGGTAATGGTACTATGTACTGGTTATTAGGTAGGAACTGGGTACTATTTATGCAGTACTTACTTATACAAGTCTTAAGTACTGTGTTCTGTATGGAGGGGGGGGAAGTTGATAACATGTAGTACGTTATTGGATGATTACTAAGCCTGAGCACTAGATTTATTGGTACTATTTAGTAGGTTAGGCTTATTTTATCCATACCTCTTAAGTCAGGTTTATATCACCCATACCCTTTAATTAAGGCTCATATTACCTATCCCCAGTGTTTTGCCGGACCGGGTCCGGTCCGGATTTTCAAAAATTGCAAAATTGAAAACAACTTTTGAGCTTATAATTTGAAGCTTTAAAAAATAAATTACTTTTGTGAAGGTCCGTCTCATACAAGTTCCTCGCTAAACATTTGGACCGGCCGGACCGAATCGGTCTTGCCGGTCCGGGTGGTCCATTTCGGTAATAACTTGAAAGCCAAAGACGGACCTTCACAAAAGTTATTTATTTTTTAAAACTTCAAAACATAAGCTAAAAAGTTATTTTCAATTTTGCAATTTTTGAAAATCCGGACCGGACCGGTCCGGCAAAACACTGCCTATCCCTCTTACCTTATCACAAATCTATAAATATTCGGCGGTTTGACGCAAAATGTTATTCTTTCTCGTATAATTGATAAAGACAAACGAGGCCTGCCAACATGTGGGGGTTTTAATGGCTTTACGTGGCCCCGTTCTTAGTTTAAGCCGGCTCGCAATTTGGGAAGGCGTAGTGCTATGAAAAGGGACAATTATAAATGTTGGTGGGGCTAAAAGAATTAAAATTTTAATGATGGTTTGGCTTTAGGGTTGGGAATTATTACGCTGTGGTTTAAAATTGGATGTAGGTGCATTTGGGTCAGGGTAGAAAATAAGAAAATTAATTTTTTAAGCTATGCTAAAGATGAAAATTGATTTTTGAAGCTATGCTAGGCATGAAAATTTGATTTTTCCTGCTGGGCTAGGCATGAAAGTTGATTTTCTAGGCTAGAGTAAAGATAAAAGTACTTTTTTTAGGTCAGGCTAGGCAGAAAAATCGATTTTTTAGGCTAGGTTAAAGATAAAAGGTGACTTTTTAGGCTAGGCTAGGCATGAAAATTGATTTTTTAAACTAGGCTAAAGATAAAAATCACTTTTTTAGGTGGGATATAATTGAAATTTGATGTTTGTGTCAGGCTTGGACTGAAAATGGATTTTTTGGTTAGGACAGGGTCACGATTTTTAAAATTTTCGTGTTAGGATCCATAATTTTTTTGTTTAAAACATAGTAAGAATTTTAAAAAAGCGAACGAAATTTTTTGTTATGAAGAGGGCAGGGGTTAAAAGGCTTTTAATTGTTAAAGGATGCCTAGGATTACACTTTTAAATACAAATGCACTTTATAAAGGACGTTTAATTAAGCTCAAACATAGGAATTGGCTTGTTTTGAAAAGGTCTTTGTTCAGTTTTTAATCTTGATTTAAAGTTCAAGTTTAAAATTTTTCAAGCATTTTTTGGCATTTTATTTAAAACGCTTAAAAATTTGTTTTATATTTTATTAAATTGTTTATAAAATCACAGCTTTGTGACCGTTTAAAAATCCACGAAACCTTTTCCGAACACTTTTCCTATTATTTATATTACCTCAATTAAGCCTTTGTTCCCGTTTTGTGAACGGAGAAAATGGCGATTTCTATTGAAATTCAAATCAACTTGGGTCTTCTTTATAATCTCGAATTAAAAGAGTTCCGAGATTCAAAAGAAATCGAATCAAAGATCAAACTCTTTCGAATTCAAATGATTTGAATTTAACTCTTTTCTAATTTCAAAGGATTTCAAGGGACGAGGAATTATTTTTGAAAATTTGAACGGGCAATGACTTGAACTTTCCGAAATCTCTAAAATTTAAAAATATAGATTTTTAAATTACCAATCACACTTGCCTTGCCTTATGTTACCCTACCCAACTTAAAAAAATTAAAACAAAATTTATTTAAATAACTAAAGGTGACCTTTGCAGAGTGTCGTTCGGGTCTTCGAATGATGTCAGGTTAATTGTTTATGACGAGCCCAACTGTGCCACATATACATTTCACAAGAAAAAGGAACACCCCAGGTAAGAGAAATCGAACGGCGTGAAGCCCATCACAACAATGTTGACGTCTCGGACAAAAAGAAGTGTTTTAGTACTTTTAATGGGTCTATACGAAGGTTTTAGGATTGTCTTGAATGTTTTTAATTGTCTTTGTTTTTTTTGTCTTACAGTTATTGGGGCATTATTAGCTGTAAGATAAAAAAATCTTACAGTTACTGAGGCCTTAATTAAAGAGCAAAAAAGTTTTGTCGTTAACTTGCACACCTTAAAAGAGATAAGGCTTTTGAGTAATGTGTATTACAAAACTTTATAAGTTTCTAAAAAAATTATAAAGAAACCTGTTACGTATAATATTAATTTCGGCGCCTTTGATCTATAAATTGGTGTTAACGTGCAAACTTTTGTTCAAAAAAGTAATCAAAAAGGCCAAATTTTATGTTTAGAGCTTTTTTTTACATCGAAAAAACATTATCATTTTGAGCCGATGAGTAATTTTTACATTTTTTTAATCAAGTTGTGATGACACTTTATAAACTTAATTTTTATGAAACTTTTCGAGCCATAACTTTTATGGTTAAACCGCATTTTTTTCAAAATCTTGATCTCTTGGTCTACTGCCCAATTCTTCACTTATCGTGACGTTCGTCTTCACTCCCATCGTTCTACGATGAGGAAGTACTCTTTTAATACGAGGCATTTTACTATCATATCTCGAATGTTATGGTTGAGTGCATTTACTATTAAAATTTATGTGGTTGAGTGTACTTTTGCAAACACTAAGGCCTTGAGGCTTTATGCATTTTGGAATTAGGGTAGGGTTAATGTATTTTTATTATACAGTATATTTAAAGGCTTAAATATTGCTCAAAAAAGTCAGGACTTCTTTGATACCCCGTAGTACAACTCTGATTACTATACTTTTCAAAATAAGCTTTCAATTATACTCAAATGCACTTTACCTTCATTTTATGACAAAAAAACATTTCGTTTTTTTTGCGACAAATCCGGAGCATTTTCTCTCAATTCCCCCCAACATGTATTGAAAACGTTTCATCCATGTTACTCAACAGGAAATAAACGCATTTTACTCTCGAATACGACCCCAATGCACAGTGGGTTTCTTTTGTCCCTGTTTTTTGCACATTGTGTTTCTTGTGCTCATTTGCAAGCCGCGGGCCCTCTTAATTAGATCACTAAAAGCGGCCTTTGAAACCCGGGAAGGAGGGGAGGAGGGGGATCGATTGTTAAAACCGAGAGGAACCCGCAGGCTAGGGGGGATCGATGGCTGAAACAGAGAAATGCGCGTTTCGAAAAAATTTCGGGGGGGGAGATTTGTATGAAAATTCGCCCGGCTCGCCGCCGTCTTTTTCACTCCGGCTTTGCCTTTTTTTTCTTCTTCAATTCGGATGAAGGGGGGAGTGCTCTCGCCCCGGCCTCTCTCCCGGCTTTTCCTCACGAACACTCTGTCCTCGGCGCGCCGTCGTTTGTGTGTTTTTTTGATTGTTCTTATGGCCTATCCTCCAGGCCCATCCCCGTATCATTACCTCCTCTTTCTTTTTTGTTTTTTCGCCTTTTTTTTGAACGATTTCCGTGCGTTTCAAACCGCCGAATCAGTTTGTTCACCCTCGACTTTCGCGGAGTTTTGCATCGAGCAAAAAGATTTTTTTTTGCATTGAAACATTCTTCGAAACGCCTGCTAAACTTCATTGTAATTTATCTTTGCTATTTTACTAGGATTCTGCTCGATATTACACCACATTTCACTAGGATAATATCATATTATATTCGATATTATACTGGAGCATATTTTCTAAATTCTCATCAACTTCATCAAAATTCTCTTCAATTTTCGTCGGAATACATTGTTTAACTTTCACAAGAATTTCCCTAAGTTTTGCGTATGAATTCAGACGATTCTGCTTGTAGAACCGAGACGCCGGATCGAGTTTTGGTGAAAAGTGAGAACTGCGAAGAACCCCGCCCAATTTCGCCACCAGCTCAATTGTTTACCCCGCCTGAGGCAGCACGAACACCGGAGAGGTAGGAGTTTTAATCCTTGTTGTTTTCAAATTTTAGGTATCAAAATTTGATAAGATTTCGTTATTTGGAATGTCAGAACTAAACTAGAACAAAATATTTTCATTTTAAAATATTATTTAAAAAAAGTGAACGATAAAAAGCTCTTTTTTCATAATTTTCATGTTAAGGAATTCCTTTTTACTACAAAATGTGTTGTTTACAAATTCCGATTGTTACAGCATTGTTGTTGCTAAGTGCAAGTTTAGTTCGATTGTTTTGTGTGGCTCCGTTTAAGGTTGTTTTTGCGTTGTTTCGGTGAATTTTAAAGAGATTTCTAACGGTTTTGGAAAGAAAAAGATTGTTTTTACAACAAAAGAAATGTTGAGGAATTTGTAAAGATTTAATTTAGGACAAATTAACGTAAATTTTTAAAAATAGCTAGGAAAAAGGAGTAATTGAAGGCTATGACAATATTAAAATTTGAACTTTGAAGTTTAGTGAATAATTTAGTTTATATTGATGGAAAGGCTCTTACGAAACTATGTTTATTAAGAAAGACGTTCAAAACATGCTTCTTCTTGAACTTTCAGTACTGTGTAACATGTCATAAGCGGAATAACTTAAAAATTTATGAGAAATTGAAGATGTTCCGTGCAAACTAGTGTAGAGAAGGGTAAAAGATAAATGTTTAAAGACCACTGATAACGAAAGATAAAATATTGGGCATATTGCCAGCAACCCAACCTCCAATTCGAAGAATAACAGCAAATTTGTTTACAGAAAAATGGATTCTGAAGTGGACAACCCGTTTCGGCCGAAAGACGTGCTCTACAATGAAGTGGATCCGATTGTCGAGGCCTACAAAACGAAGCCCTTCCCTCCGTCGCCTTCGGGCTCGCCGATTCCTCAAGATCTCACGCCCTTCAAGAACGGCAGGCACGTCACACTAGAATGTGGTGTGGTGCACTCCGACAGTACACATGCTCATGTTAACGAAACACAGCCACTAACAATGCCTGAGGCGAAAAAGACCGAAAACGGGCTTAGCGACCTACCGCCGCCCAATAACGTCGAGTTGGTGCACTTGGACAAGAAAAAGAAGTGCGGTTGTTGTACGGTGCAATAAGTGTTTTGTTTTTGCTCCGCCTTGAAAACCTTAAAAGTATCTGATCTGTGCATAATGCCGTCCATTTGGTTGTCTCAAAGACCTTGTCTTTCGCTTCCCGCCACATGAATAATATTCTCTTTTTGATGCCTTTTTTTAATGACAGTTGTTAACTAGTGTTAGGCTTTAACTCTACAGTCTTGGCGCTTTTCTTTGGATTTTACTCTCATTGTCTCACAAGTTTAATATCATTTCTGTAAGCATAATAGTGCAAGCAAAAAGCTCTTTAAATTGCCCATTTTTTAAAATTTTAGGTACAAAGATGACTTAAAACTCCAAAACAATAAAATTAATGCCACAAAAGTCATTAAAATTGTCCTAGTAATTTCAAAAACACCTAATAATCTTAAGATGGCGTTAAAAAAGTCTTGTCGTTTTTCATAGCCAAAAACAACGCGAATTGGCGACAAGACTTTTGAGATGCTTTAATACATTGTAAAACGCATGCTATGTTGTAATCTGAACATGCTATATTGTAATCTAAACTTTGATTGCTAACAGGTTGTAACCCATTTTATAGCGTATGTTATTGTTGTTGGTACTTGACTTTTACAGTACTAGGCTTGTTTAATAATAGTTGTCGGTAATAGCAGTATTATTTCTGTAGCTTTTTTTAATTATACTATATAGTATACAAATATATCTTTTGGTACTAAAAGGTACGTTCTACTTTACTGGCAGTACTTTTTTGTTTTAAAAATGTTTTTTAAGAAAAAAAAGTTTTTGTGTAGTACCAGTAGTACTAAAAGTGTAATATTTATGAAATTTAAAGTTTTATAAGGATAAGTTGTACTACCTTTTGCCAAAACTAGCTTATTGTATTACTCTTTGCCAAAAGTAGTACAATCTTTCTTTTAAAACCATATAGCGTCCCCCCGATTAAATAGTACAAAATCCTCCCCCTGCGTCCCTGATAGTCCTATACCATCATCTTCAAGTTTTTATATATATAGTCCTAGGATGATGGTACCCCATACTGCGAAGGGCTCTTGTTATGTAATGGTACTCTCTTGTTTCCGTCCTTTGCTTTTGTAGCTCCAAATTTCTCTACACTCTCCATTAAAGCTGCGATCTTTTCACATTGTAAATTTGAAGCTTTGTTTTGTTATGTTCGATGTATAAATAAATATATCACAATGTTCGGGGTAGGCTGTTTGCAGCAGTTATAGTAAGATTTACTAATATGTTTTTCAAATAGTTCTGTGCCCCTAACCCCGAAAATTTGTTTTGAGAAGGGGTCAGGATTACTTGAACAACCTAATATATTCTGCCGTACTTCAAAATTTTAGGTATTACTTTGCAGCGTAAGTTTTTCAGTCTACTCGGTAAATTTATTAAATAATAGTCAATAATTTAACTATACTAAGGCCATGTCAGCGACAGTGCAAAAGGCAGCAGTTTGAGGTGAAGCAATGAGTATACCACTATTGGTCACAACAAGACCATTAATATTGCTCCATTTGAATTGGGTCGAAGCAAACGACTCGGTTATTACCCAGGTCTGTGCTATATCGTCCTACAATGTCATTTATCTTATACATTATATGCTTATGCATGGTAGCTTGAGGTAGATAACAGAGCATAGGGCATGAAAGGTCAGGGTTAGGTAGAGTAAGGTAAGGTAGGGTAGGGTAGTGTAGGGTACGGTACGGTGGTGTAAGGTAGGGCAAAGGTAGGGTTGAGTAGAGGAGGGTAGGGTAGAGTGAGGCAAGAGAATGGTATTAAGAGTAGAGTACAATCACGTACCTGAAACCGTATCCTGAGTATATGACTAGTATTACTTTGGTCATGGAACATGTGTCCGCCTGGTGATGACCCAACCCAAAGTTCATTTTCACCATTAGTAATGTACGTTGGAGAACTCATTAAGTTTATACTAGTAAGAGGCTTCAATGTAAGGTCTTTCTTTAACGTATAGGCTTGGATTTCCTAAAATACAAGTTTTCGTTGAAAGGAATCAATAAAAAGATAATTTGGGATAAGGTAGAGCATAGTAAAGTAGATAAGATAAAGAATGGTAGAGGTAAGTCCGGTAGATAAGGTAAGGATCGGGTATTGTAGTGTAACATATATAAACCTACCCTTGAGTACTTGATCCCCACATAAAGACGAGATGTTTTTGGATCCCATAACATCTTTGTTGGTCCTTGAAGACCTCTAAAATATTTTGCATACAGCTTTGAACCTTCATTTCATATATAAAACGCTATGTCATTCAATAACACACTGTTTATAATACAATACGTGAACATAAATACAATAATATCTGAAATATGTCCATTTAAACACTCACCGTTCCAGAGTTGAAACGGTCTTTCCATTGAAAATTAGTAGCTGTCCGTATCCCCTATAGAACAACAATTCTAGTAACTGTAGGTATCTATTGTTGAAGAAGTGAGGTTTTGCTAATATAAATCGACCTGGTGATAGTACTGATATGTCTGTTGACCTGAAAGTCATTTTATTTTATCAAGACCTTGTTTTAAGTCACTTTTTAAAAGCCTTTATCTCAAATCCACAGTACCTTACCTTATGTTACACTGCCTTACTCTATTAGCTTATCTTACCCTCCCAAACCATACTTTACCGTACCTTGCCCTAAACAACTCTACTATACGATAACCTTCCTTAGCCTACCCGATAATACCCTATCCTATCAAATCCTACCTTACCCTACTCCACCTCTTTTACCTTACCCTTTCATAATATATCTATAACTCTTCTACAGTATAAAAAACCCACCCAATAAACTCCTGATTATGAATAGTCTGTAAATGCGTCAGAACCCCCTTCTGAAGGCGTAGTTCGAACACTTGGACTGGAGTCTGGTCGCCTTCCTGGCTCAGGACATAAACAAAAGCTCGATATTTGTTTTGGGAGGTCGAGCCTTCCACGTGGATGTGAGCCGAAATGGGGTTGAATCTCTGTAAATGAGGCTTATTACTCAATGAAGCCAATTTGGCTACGTTTTTGAAGTCAATTTTAATGTTTTTGGCTTTTTATTCAGTTGGTATTTGATATTGTGGGTGTGTAGGTTGTGTTCCCTTATAACTTTTAATATTTTTCTAAAAGTTAATTAACTTGTACCTCACCTTGCTTTATCTTACTCTGTCCTGCCTCTACCTCACCCTACTCTACTACCATACTTTAGCCTACCCTTCAAGCTATCCTACTTTATCCTATCTTACCATGCCTAAACCAACCATACCTTGCTCAATAGTACCATAGACGTACCGCACCCTATCTCAGTCTGCCCCACACTACCCTACCTTACTCTAGCAAAAAATTTCTTACTCTGCTCTACCCAACCACACCTTGGTCAGTAGTATCATATACTAAAAACATCTATCGCCTTACCCTATACAATCATACTCTCTCATTACCAACCCCAAAAACCTAACTTAACTTTCCTATCCCTATCGTCATCTCAGTACACCCAGCCCACACCCAAAGAAGAATATTACCCTTCCCAATCACACACTTCCCCCTACCTCCGAGTTTTTCCACTTATTCACGTTCAACTCGTGCAGACTTATATTATTCATGAGTTTGTTCGTCTTTTCCTTTGTCTCCAGCAGAATTACATGGGCGCGTATGTTTTTGTGTTGTGCCGAGAAGACGAGGACCAAGTTTAGGACGTCGGACTCGGTCATGCTCAGGACCCCGTGTTCTGAAAAAGTTTTTTGTCTTGATATATGTTGTGTCGGAGATATAGTTGGTTAGTGTTTTGTTAGAACATATAGTTGGTTGGTGTTGTGTTACCTAGGCCGACGATGTTCTTGCATTTCCCTGGCTTATGAGAGTAAATGGAGGGCGGGTTCTGAAGGAAAAGGCTGAAAAATTGTGGGATTAGAGATATGATATGGCTACTGGACTTTGTATGGTATTAGGAACGTGTTACAGTTCTTTATGGCGTGGGAATGTTAGGTGTATTACGGCAGGGCGGGGTAAAGTATGATAAGATAAGATAGTGTTGGGTAGGGGAAAGCAGAACAGAGCAAGGTAGACTAGGGTAGAGCAAGGTAGGATAGAGTAGGGAAAATACCCGATACTGTATTTCTTACAAAAAAATTAAAATACAGTATCATATGTATAACACCATATCTTTTGTCTACAATCAGACAACAAATCCAAACTTTTGTTTTTCACATTTCAACTTAAAGCGCAATACTCACTCTACCCCAAAGCCATATCACCAATTTCCACGCCTCGTCTTTCAAAAACAAACAACGTACTCGAATGTACTCAAAAAGAGCCGTCTTTTGAGGACAAAGAGCCATACTCGGCTGACTTTTCAGTCGAATTGGCATTCCTTTGGTTGTGTCTAGATAGAAGGTGCATTTTGTGACTTTTTGTGAAAAATGAAGTTTTTATACATCTTTTGGCCTTAAAATGTTACAGTATCTGCTTGAGAGTTTTTTGAAAAATTTTTTTTTCGTTTTTAAAATGTTTTAAACGTTTCAATTTTATGCTTTATCGCGTTTTGAGTTCATAAAATCATTTGTCAAACGAAATTTTAAATTTACTGCGTTCTAAACATCGTTTACCCTCCAAATCATCATGAATAATATACCCATACCTAAATCAAACACCCAAACTTAACTGTAACTTACGCGAAACGCAATGTAATGCCCGTGAAGATGGCAAATCCGGCACTTAGCCAGATCTTTCGCTTCCAGTCGGTGGCCATAAGGGGGGACGAACACAAAAGGAGCCCTCCGGCTCTTTCGCCTTTTTTGGCCGCTGTCATGGCTTCGAAAAGACGGTCCTATGCATAATCGATGCCTTTCCTTGCGACCGTCTTTAATCGAGCTTTAGGTGTTTGCATGGGTTTGGGCATAATGGGCTTCAAAGTTAACGAGTTTTATGTTGTTGTAGCCGGGTTGTCCTGAAAGATGAGTTTTTAAGGTTATTTTAGGTTTCTTTGTCAAATTTTTTGTAACATGAAATTAATAAAAATATTATTGACGTATTCTTACCTATCTTATAATGATATTACACTTTTATCACTTCAAAATCACAGTTTACAGCAAAAGAAACGACCAAAAGTAAAGAGAAAGAGTTGACTGAAGACCTCAAAGCAACACTTGACTCGAATCCTCAAATTTACGAAAAAATAACTTTTTTTTACAATTATCGACCGTTTTCGACCGTTTTTCTTCTAAATTGCTTAAAATTTTGCTCATCTTTGAAAAATATATGTTTCTTCCTGTCTTTGGAAGTAAATTTCAGCTCCACAGATAGGTTTACATCGAAGAGACACTTGAAAACAAGGATAACATCAGGGAAAACTTATTGCCCCGAAAACCAAATTACGTTTCCTCGGGAGCGGATCGAATTAGAATTGTTTCAAATTAATGTCTTGCTTTTTGTACTTTTATTGCTTTAACACAAAGGGGTCTTAGAGTTTTAGAGTTTTGGGATCTGTTTTAAAATGGCATTTTTGTTTTGAAAATGGAGTTTTCAAGGTGCTCTTGTCGTTTTTAATGTTGTAATTTAAATTTTAAAGTAAATTGTTTAAAAATTGAGTTTATTATTAAAGTTTAGTTTATTGTCTATCAGTTTACATATAAACATTTCAATTGCTCACAAACTAATTGATTTAAAATGGCTTGTTCAGGACCTGATATCTGCGGATTTTTCACTGTAAGTGTTAAACTGCCGTTTTGCTTGCTTACAATTATTAGTAATGTAATCTCAATTATAAATTAGACGCTGTAATCCACTTTTTTTGTAACAAAACTTCGTTTCATACCAAAATCCTTTCGTTGCTGAGTAAACGATGTTGTAAATGGTATAAATATGCGAATATTTAATATCGTATTTTCCTTCGAAGCACTTTGAGGACGTGTTTGGTATTCAGAAAACGATTTTTACACGTTTGCTTGTTTTTCATGTCATGTATAATATATATGTTCCTCTCGAAAATGGAGTGTCCGTCTAAAATAATATAATTTTTGGTCTTTCACGGTGGCTGTAATGTGTTTTTATGCACTTTTAATAGCATGTTGTTGGTTCGAATGTTGGGTTTTAAAGGGTAAATTATAATTTGTGTAATTCTGTGTTTGAAATGGCATTTACAATATATGGGGCGATTGCACGGTGCAATAAACTCAATTTTGAACTTTGCACCGTGCAGTCGGTTTTGCAACTTTTGTGTTTGTTTTTAGGTACTGATTGTTTTTTATAGCTTGTAGAAAGAGTATTACGTTTAAAATACGACGGGTTAACATTTAAGGCCTCATTTTGGTGTCAAGCAGTTGTAGTTGTCCAATGTAATATCCACTTTGATGACTAAATTGTCATTTTTCTTTGTTTTGACAAACCTTTTTGTACCCCCACTTCTGTATCATATCAGAAAACACAAACAACACCTTAATTTACCTCGATGCCTCATTATCAGCCGCATTTACATGTGTTTTCACCTTTTTCTCGTTTCCTATCTTCGGCCGCGGGGACCTTATCCGTCTACATTTTAATGCACACAAAGCTATGTATGGCATCGGACAGGCCCTGAGGGTCGTGCCCCTTTAACTGTGCCCTCAGGAGCATCGGGTTGAGATTCTTTTTGTGCCTTTCCTCCTCCATTCTCCTCAAGAAATCGATTATTTTCGCTTTTTTTCGTTATTTTCCGCCAAAACTTTTAACTTCACCCGCTCCACGTCTCGTTCCTCGTGAAGAATAACATGGATTTGACGGCTTGAACACAAGAACGACGCGTTTGGGCGGTGGGATTTAATGTTAGAAAGGGATTAGGCTTGGTGTTATTGTTGATGATATCGATATCTGTGGAGGTTTGACAAGATATTTTTAAGGTTTTAAAAAGATTTGAGATTTATAAAGGTCTTTAGGTACTCTATGTTTTAAAAATTTAATCAAAATTAGCTATAACAACGAATTTCATTAAGAGTTAAGCTTATTTCCTCAGGGCAAACAAGGAAAAGTGTATAATTAAAGGAGAAAAAAAGACATAAAACTGTATTTCGATACTTTTTATTTGCGTTTCATGTGATTTTATCACCCTTTATTGACGTATTGGTAAAAGTTAAAACACAGGGCTAGTAGGTTTGGATAGAGACAATTGAATTTGCATAATAATATTGGTTTTCAATTTATTATACTAGATGAAAACGTGCTTTATATGGTTTATAAATTGATATATAGTTGTTTTTTAAATATTTTTTGGAAATACTAAACAAAAATAATATTTTTTATGTTTTTTAAGGTCAAAAAGTTGATGGACCTCTAAAGTTTTGAGACTTTAGGTTCTATTGGCGGTTTAGGTTCGGTTTCAAAATTTCTTTTTTTTTATTAACATTGTCGCAAATACCATTGATAAGATATCACTTTTTTCATGACTAATATCTAATTTTACTTCCAAATAACTTAATTTAAGCTTACGTCTAACGTTATATTGATCGTGTTCTACTAGCTTCGTGATGACTTAACGTTTAGCAAAAGTTTTGTCGCTTTTGAAAGTGGAGAAGAATGTAAATTGACGACAAGACTTTTGTGAAGCTTTTATAACTAATCGCGATATACGAGTCAATTAAATGATTTTTCTGGTCAAAATAACATTATAAGATTAACGATTTTATAATTTCAGTCATCCAAGATGGCGTCCTTTATAATGAAGCAGATGATCGGGAACAAGTTCGACGAGGTCAGCGGCGGCCTCAGCAAGATGGGTGGCGAAGACAACGAGAACAAGACCGAGACCGGCGAGGACCCAGAGGTAGTGGCCGCCAGACTGGAACAGGAGGAACGACGAAAGGAGAAGCACCGCAAAATGGAGCAGGAACGAGAAAAGATGCGCACCGACATCCGCAGCAAGTACAACATCCAGAAGAAGGAGGAGGGCATGCAGTTGGACATGGGCGCGGACGGACGTATCGGCTCGGCTATTAAGAAGACTCCAGAACAGCTAGCGGCCGAAATGAACGCGCAGGACGACAGTTTGATAGGACAACTTGGCCTAACCGAGCACGTAGACAAGGCCAAGACTGCTGTTACTGGTGCCTTTGAGACCGTGAAGGGCTTCTTTCCTTTCGGAAAGTAATCAACTACCACTTATATTGAAGATGTGGATCTTATCTACAACTTACACTTCACTTCAACTCCGGTGATATACAGATTTTATTAATACACACCTTTTTATAGCTGATCTCACTAATTCAAATACGAAAACATTGTAAATTTGCGGATAGTTCTTATCCTTTTTAGTTACTGAATAAACATTTATGAAAACTATGTTACTTATGCAATAAAATAAAAAGATGGGGCCTTATTGTTAAAGTACAGTACGACGAAAAAACGTTTGAAACAACATTAAGCGTCGATTAAAGCTTTAAAATGGTATTTCTTCTCCACATATACTACGGCATTGGATTTACGTATGCTTAAGATTTTACTTAATAACGGCATAACGCAGACATGCGCAAGTCACGACAGCTTTTTTTTAAGGTTGCCTAGTGTAAGATAAATTAATGTAAGATCTAAAGAAACGACTCCTTAAAGCAAAGCCAACATCGCGCGTCCAAATAAAGATTAGTCTCTCGTATATGTTGCTCATTTCACCTAGTCGTCGACTGAATATACCTTTGTTTGGTTAGTTTTTTTTTGTGAAAAGTAGCTACAAAAAGATGTTTACTGGATCTCCTGCTGCCAAAAGAGCAAGACTGGACTACGCTAAAAGTAACGAACTGTCGGATAACTGCAAAGATTACTTCTGTAAATACTTTGTACTTCCTAATTCGTCCCATATAAGGCTTCCAAATCTTGTTAAGTTTAGAGTAAGTTCTTTATATTGTATTTTTAAAAAACGCTTTCTGACACCGTGAAGCGAGGTGTGTCCTAGCAATTTACCCCCTGTTTTTATTTGATAAATTGATGACAAGGATTTTTCTAAGACGCATGGTAAAGCGATTTTGGCTAAAATGCCGTTTTGGCATTTTTATACCGTTTTTTGACATAAAACAGTTTAAATTTTGTAAAAATCCAATAATGCTCCAAAAGCTTTGAAAATGTACATGAACAGTCCTTGTCATCGACTTATCAAACAAAAACAGGGGATAAATTTCTAGGGCACACGGCCGTTTCAGGATGCTTCACGGTCTCAGAAATCGTACTTTAAAATGAAAACTGATTGTGAGTTCTTTTTGTTTATGGTACAACGTAACAAGCTTTATAATGTGTGTATAATTTTTTTGTTTTAGAACGTATCGAAATCGACAATTGCATGCATTAGACGTGTAATTATTGTCAAATCTATTGGAGTTTTTTGGAGACAAACAGTAGATCTGACGCTGACGATAAACGATTACAATTTCCGCAGTCCCACAAATCCAGTAAGTGTTTAACAGTTTGTAGCTGTGACACATTGTATTTTTCCAGAAACTGTAGAAAGTTTAAACTTTCATCTATTCAGTGATGTGAATGTACACTCATGGCAGAAGATTTTCCGAAATTTGAAAAGTAAGAATTTTTCCTTTTTATTTTTGTAAGGCATTTTTGGTTTTACATTTTAAAGAAAATATAATTTTTATAATATATTTTTTACAGAATGCTCTAATGCTACTGCTAACATAACAACTCAAAGAGGAACTCCCAACGTTTTTGTGCGCTACTGTTTGGAACAGCTTGCGCCGATGTTAAACGGCGCATTACTCAATAGTTCCCGTGTCCTTCACAATTTGCGGACCACAAGACCATTCCATTTGGCCGTCATGATGAGGCCCTATCAAAATTGTGAGTTTTGTTTTAGTTTTTGCAAAATTAAAAATTGAGAAATCAATAACCAATAACCTTAAGTAAACATTCTTTTTTAGATTTGGCACCACTATTTAATACGACGGCGTATGCTATCATATGTAGTAATTTACGTATTGAATCGTTTTGCGGGCAGCAAGAGTAAGTATTACTACGTTATTATATATTGTACATTGAACTATTTTTATATTAAAATGTATAAAAATACCAATTTTTAAAGTTATATTTTTTAGTCTACCAGTTTCTGTGAATTGTAAACAGTTTCAATGTACTGTAAACTTGAAAGAAGGATACAACCAACGGGTATACGATGATGCTATAGAAAAAGTTAAGCATAGTATGCCAAATCTCAAAGACTTTCTGATAGAAAGCTTAATTTCGAGAACGGAATTGGAAAAATACAACGTAAGACATTTTGTACAAGATTGAAAATTTTGTTTAAATTTTATTTGTATTTTGTTTTAATTGTCAATTTATTTTAGGAAAATTGTAAACAAGTAGTGGAACACTTTTTAAATGCCTCAGTTCCAACGATACTCAAAATAATCATTCATGAGCCAATGGATCATTATACACTGAAGGCTGTTTTGCGAAGAACGTTTAAAAATGGTAGATTTATTTACCGCCATTGGCATGAGGAATTCGTCTTGACTAACAACAGCAACAAGGTGCATTTTTGTTTGTTTTTTAAAAAAAAATATTTATGCATTGTATATATATTATTGTAGTCTCATCAACATATCATTTTTACGGAACTTTCTTTTACATTATGGTTTTTAATGCAATAAACTTAAAAACTTATATTGATTTACACCTCTGGTAAATATGAAATAATTGGAAGAATTCATTTTTTAAAACCAAAAGCCCAAGTTATTTAACGAAATTAGACCTGTAAAAAGATATTCCGGGCGCAATTTGCGGTAAGATTTTCTTCGGTTCGGCCTTTTAAATAAACTCCTTATATTAAGAGCCGGGATTTGTATCGTACTGCTTCTACGCCTTAAATAACCAATAATTTAACAACATTTTATTATAAACACTCAACGCCTGTTATTTTCTAATACAATGGACATTTAATGTGATATAAAGCATATATGGTTTTTAATTGAAAATACGGTTGATTGAGTCAATCACATTGTCAAACCTTCCACCTTGGTAGAGTTTCGCACTAACACCTAGTAGCACAATAGCACCTACTGTAATCCAAGCAGGACTGAGTTTTTCTTTCTTTAGTTCTAGACATTTCTCCAACGGATTATTCGGAGTTTGTCTTTTGTGAATCGCTTGAATCCGACGATCTTGGACCGTCAGTATAGTCTCTCTAGCTTTTGGCCATGAATGCGGGCCTACCAATCTGTAGGCGTATGGTACATTTGGTCCAAAAAAGAGAATTTTCCATAAAGTATAGTCAGTAAAGAAGAGCGTAGTCATTGGAGGCTTACAGCCAATTAAATCAGCCATTTCATCCGTATATTCTACATAGTCAATTTGAAGAGCGTTCCGTGGTATATTGGCATAACGATTGAATGTTCTTTTATTTGACGCTTCGATATCTTTGATCATGTTGGTTTTAGAAGGTAGTTTAATATGACCCAATGCTTGTTCAAAGAAAACACGGATGTTTAATTCAGCTGGTGCAAAGATAGAGCCAAGTAGTTGGTATAAACCAATAATGGCTAAGGTGTTTTTGTCAGCTGAGTTTAATGGGAAGGACTTTTTGTAGAGCTCATTCTTGATATCGACTACTGGTACCAACTTCCCGAAGTCTAGGAATAGGAAGTCGAATTTAAATCCAGTACAACAGATGACTTCGTCTACTTCGGTGAATGATCCATCTTCAAAAATGACGCCGTTTTCAGTAAAACACTTTATATCACCTTTTAGAACAATTGTGCCGGAACTTATTTTGTCTAAAAATAATTTTATTTAAGTTACGGTAAGTTGACGTTTAAGAAGGGAAAGTTATGGTACGGTTACAGTAAAGTAAAGTAGAGCTTATAGCTGAAGAAATATGTGTATATTTAGTCATGGTATAGCAGGATAGGCTAGGTCTAGGGTAAGGGGTAGGGTTAGAGTTAGGATATGCCCAGTGTTTTGCCGGACCGGTCCGGTCCGCGGACGGGTCCGGACCGGACGGACCGAAACAAAATTTTTTGCGGACCGGACCCAAAATCCTGCGGACCCGGACCGAAGAAAAAGCTCCGGACCGGTCCGGAAAAAATTTTTTTTTTATTTTATTAAAACTGCTTTAAAAATTGCAAAGAAAACATATTTTTAAGTGTTTTTAAACGTAGAAAAAGCAATTTTAGCGCTCTTTGCTTTTTTTAAAAATAAAAAAAAATTTTTTTTGCGGACCGGACCGGACCCAAAAATTTTGGGTTTGGACCGGACCGGACCGGACCCAAAAATTTGAAGTTTGGACCGGACCGGAAAATCGCCGGACTGGACCGGTGAAAAACGCTCCGGACCGGTCCGGGCAAAACACTGGATATGCCTAAGAGTTAGACTAAAGCTAGGATTCAGCTGAAGCTGGGGGTATTATTGTGAAAACTTACTATGCAAATCATCACTGATTGTAGGCTGTTGAGACCAGAACTTGTGTTTCGGCTTCGATCCGTATTCGTCTTGATCAAAGAAGTTGGAAAACTTTTCTACAGAATCATTGTTAAACTTCTCTATATTCAGCCATTTTTTCAAAAATGTCACTTTACTATTCAAATACATGTCCAATGGGTACCCTCTCTCAATATGTTTTGACACAACCCAAGTGCCATTTCTAGTTGACATTGTAACTTGTTTAGCGACATTGGTCAATTCAGATGCTACATCGACTGCTGAGTTGCCGATTCCAACAATTAGGACATTCTTGTTTCCATTTGTCTTGGCCTGGCCATGGTTCTGGCATTTTGGGGGTAGCATGATGACCATTACACACTAGGACAAAGTCAAATGTTTGTTGTTTTGGGGTTCCGTTACTGAAATGTTTGGTTTTCAATTATTAGGTTGTTCAAATAATTTTGTGCCCTCTTCCAAAACAAATTTTTTGGAATTAGAAGACATAGCATCTTTTGAAGAACTTGAATTTCAAGGACCTACTTGTCAGTATAAGACACCACCCATCGTCCAGTAGTATCATAGTCTCTCGCTCGTTCTACATTAGTTACACGATGGTTGAACCGAATATATTGCCTGAGGTTAAAAGTGTCAGCGTAACGATCTAGGTATTTCTAAACTTCTGAAAGTAAATTGTGTCTTGAAGGGGAGGGGGAAGAATAGTTATTTTTTTTTGGTTTAGTCGAGGGGTGTCAGTGAGTCCTACCACGAAAGCTTTACCTTAAGATTGTTTTACAAGTAATTATAATTAAAAATTTTTTTTTGAAATTTAATAGCAGCTATATTCAAATATTTTCAAAACTTTTATTAGAAGGCGGGTATGACACTTTATTACGTAACTTACTAGTATTATGCATGTAGTTGGCATCCTCAGCCTGAGGCACGAAATCCGAATAACACGTTAGCTCTTTTGATGTATTGATGACACAATGTTTTGATACAGTACTGAATTCGGTTTCTGCTTCTTTGTATTTCCATAACCCACCCAACTGGCTTTGGGCATCGAAAACGGTGGGTTCTACTCCGTATTGCACTGCCCATCTAAAAAGCTTTTTTTTGAATTTATGTTGCTTTAATTTTATAGATTTAAGCCTAGCTGTAGTCTTAGTTTTAATTGTAAACTTACCCTAATCTTAACTCCTGTCTTAGTTATAGCTCTAGCTCGAACTCTAACTCTGGCTCTGGCTCTGGCTCTGGCTCTGGCTCTGGCTCTGGCTTTGGCTCTGGCTCTGGTTCTGGCTCTAGCTCTAGCTCTAGTTCCAGCCCTAGCCTTAGCCTTAGTCTAGTAAATCCTAACTTTACCCCTAGCTTTAGCTCTCGCTTTAGCCTTAGCTTCAGCTCTGACCATAGCCTTTAGCCCCAGCTCCAGCTTAACTCTAACCTAGTCTTAGGCTTGGTATTAGCTCTAGCCCTAAATTTAACTCTAGCTTTAGCCCTAGTCTTTACAATCAACAAACACTTCTATTAAAACATAGTTTATAGCAGGCAAGCCAGACACGCCAGCACCAATAATGCAGACTGTTTTACCAGTACTCATTGTTAACAGCCTATAATAAACACTTTGTTTACAATATTATCTGTCTTGTAGCGATACAAAGTTTTGTGCTTTGATCTAAGAAAACGCTTTGACTTTAATAAGATGATGTTCATCGTATAAAAACACTCTTTACATAGTATTTCCTTTATTTGCCCCGCCCAGACAACGTGCCAATCGCAACGTAAAAAGGGATGGGTTTCGTCGAAAGACCAGGCGGTTCGTAGATCAACTTGATAAGTCAAAACCATTTTTGCTTTTTGCACGTAGGCAGCAACTTAATGTAACTCAATATTGTTTGTTGTTTTCTAGTTTTACGGCGGTAAAAGATAAGTTATAGTAGATTTTACAATTTTAGTCAAAAAATAAATTTATTAATCAGAATTAATAGTCCTAACTTGAGCAAGGAGATATGAATGTAGAATGGACGGTAGATTCTAAGTGAGGTAGAGATCTTTTGTGGAAGGAAGTGTAATATAAGGAGCTATCGGTTGTTGGAAAGTGCCAGCCTTTCCAACGACGCTATCGTCGATTTCATGGTTAACATTTGCTTTCGCTATAAAGATACCATCATATTATATGCTTTATATTCTACTTTCCCCTACTGTAACATACCGTACTCTACCCTAATATAACATAAAGTACCTTACCTTACCTTACGTTAAACTACATTACTGTAACATACAGTACTCTACCCTAATATAACATAAAGTACCTTACCCTACCTTACGTTACCCTACCCTACTATAACAAAAGGTACCCTATCCTACCTAAGATCTCTCAACTTAATTATGATCTCACCTGATCCAAATGACCATGTTTGAGCTTCTCAATCATATAGGCAATGATAAGGGCCCATGCTTTTCGTACCGTCTCTGATCTACACCTTCTGTCTCCCCACTCTAACGTACAGTCGATGAATGTTTCTGCTACGTAGTTCCATACTTTGCCTGAAATGGTTTATAACTATTAGTAATACTAGCAATTAATATGGTAGGTTGGTCTATTTTAAAATTTTGTTTTCCCGCTAAAATTTTTTTCTCAATAAGCTAGGCCAATGAGAATCAATAAACCTGAAGCCAGTTTCCAATTAGTATATCTTGTCTTCCTTGATTAGTATTAATGATTTGTATTACCAAAACTATCAGAACTTACTAGAAAGTTGACCATGAAGAATTGTAGCATGTATCCTTCCAATTCGTTCCAATTCTTCTCCAACTGCCTCTAGATTATCCAGACTTTCCACTACCTAAAATTATTCAAATTTTTAAGGCGAAGACTAGAGTTAAGGCTAAATCTAGAGCTAGAAACTAAATCGAGGACTAAAGTTAGAGCTAAGGCGGGGCCGATAGATATAGAAAAGGTTAGAGCTATGAATGGGGTTTTGGCTGAAGCTGAGGCTAGGGATAAAGCTATGGCTAAAGCTAGAAATAGAGCTAGCGCTATGGTTATAGTTCTGTACTAGAGCTCTGAACTAGGGCTCTGAGAGAGTGCTCTAAACGAAAGCTCTGGGATATGGTTAGAGCTAAAGCTCTGGGCTAAGGTTCTCGGCGAAGGCTCTGGGATAGGACTATAAACTAGGACTCTAAGCTAGGGTTCAGGGCTAAGGCTACAGCTAACTCTTAGGCTAGGATACGAACTAGTACTATGGCTATTATTCTAAACTTTATTCTACCATCTATAAACAATCACATAATCACCCATAAACCACTGATATACCAACTTACCTGATCAACCAGCTCCCCAACAACTTTGTAGTGGTATTTCCCAAAATGATCGTGATTACTGAAGCCTTCAGGCAATGCAACTCGTCGAAATTGTTCTCTCAATTTCGGATATTTAAAGAACAATCTATGCATTACAGTCTCTCCGATTACTGTAGGCCCTTTGGTCGTGTAGACTTGTTTCCACAACGATCGTACCAAGTGAATTTGAGCTACAGTAAGTGGGATTAACGTGGTTGAGGTCCGTCGACCGCTGACTGATTGTACTAACTAAAAGGTTTATAATTGAGATTACTGTAGGTTACATTTGAGATACTGTAACATTTTGTTGGATTTTTGAAGGTAAGTTAGATTATCGGTCACAAAGTTCATAGAATCAAGTTTTTAAAGGTTTTGGCTATTTTTAAATTTGTTTTTAATTTTTTGACTGTACTATAATTTTGAAATTAAAAATTTTAAAAATATTAAGTTTCACTGCCATTTCAAATAAATATTCTACAAAAGTCTATAATAACTTACTTGGTTAGTACTCTGCCTTCTCTGCGCCATAGATGCCCTTCTTCTCTCATTATCAGTAAAACTGCGTCTCGAAGGGTTGGGTGACGCTTGGTAGTTAGTAGGAACATCAATATGTTCTTCGAAATCATTTATACTATCTTGAGAATTCGACCCCACCAACAATGTCGTCTCTCCGTTCGGATTGTCATCAGTTGATAGTGATACCTAAAAATGCTTTTTGTAAATAATTAGCAAAGTAAGGTGTATATTACATTACGCTTATATAATATATTATAACATCTTAGAGATAGACATAGCTATAGAATTACTTTTAGATTAAGCCTTTAGCCTTAGCTTTAACATGGGTTTAAGCCTTGAGCTTTAGCTTTAGCCTGAGCCTGAGTTTGAGTCTGAGTCTGAGTCTGAGTCTGAGCCTGAGCCTGAGCCTGAGCCTAAGCCTAAGCCTGAGCCTGAGCTTGAAGCTGGGCCTAAGCCTGAGCCTAAGCCTGAGCTTTAGCCTAAACCTTAGTCCTAGCCTTCCTTTTCTTTAGCTCACGCCCTATCTCTACCCTTAGGAATAGGCATAGCTGTACTTGTCCTACCTTAGCCTTAGTCTAAGCCCAAGCCCGCCGAAGCCCGAACCCAAGCTGTACTCTTACTTTACCCTATCTTGGTCTACCACAACGTCTCTATTGTAATATAATAGAACTAGACGCCTTCTTCCTAATTAAAAGTTTACTATAACCATACCCTGTATCTCTTTCTAACTTTAAAACCTCCAAGAATTCTAAAAATTTAATTTCTTTCTAAGCTCTTGCAAAATCTTCCTTTTACCCCCTCAAAACCAATCAATAACCCTATGTCACGTCCACAGTATAACATGAATATAAATAACCAACATTCCTCGACTTTTATTTTTCTCACCTGTGGAATGACAAATCTCAAGCGACGTCTTGTTTTGGGCGTTACAGCATTATTCAAATCCGGTGAATTGGCCGACTTTATCGTAGAGTAGCTGTAGCCTCGGCTACGACCACTCGGTGGCAGATCCGAGTTATCATTGACCGACCGGTAAGATCGAACCGAATGCTGTGATAGTGAAGGTGAAGGTTGTTGATATGTGTTCAGTGATGTTCGACTCTAAACATGTTTTGGATGAGTAATGTGATCAATAAGTTTAGGCTTAATACGATAAAAACAAGGACTTTGATGGGAAAACAAGACTTGTCTGGAGGTTTTATGATGAGAATCAATAGGTAAACAAGGAGGCCACATAAGACATTAAATTTGAAAAATAAAAATTTTTTAAATTTTTTTTATATTTGAAAATTGAATTTATTTTTATTAAAATTTTGTGTTTAAGTAATAAAAGAAGAACATTTTTTTATAAGAAACATCAATTTCAATGTTTCATTCAAAAAGTTTGGCACAACGTGATGAAAAGACGAACCGATGCTACGTCAGAGAATGACGTAGGCAACCCTCATCTTGATGTTTTGTTTCATTTTTTGTTAAGTTCGCTTAACCTTTTTAAAAGATGATGTCATTAACAAGCTTGTAAATTGTTATTGTAGGCCTAAAAGTATCGAGAGACCCAAAAATTCGAATGTAAAATTTGCGGTACAGTCAATTCCTTTTTAAGCTGCCACACTTTATTCTTAAGCCCCAGCTTTAGCCGTACCCTATTCTTGCTAGAGCCAAAAAATGATAAGAGACTAAACAACTTACAAGGAAAGTACCTGACTTGCCCCGCTCTGGTTGTCTTCAAACTTTTTGTATGTAAAGATCATGTAAGTATAAGATCTTCAGCAAAGTATTAAATTGCGCTTTATAAGAAATCCCAAGAAAATTGAGATTAAAAAATTAAATTTTGAATTTACCGCCAAGTTGGCATTGCGTTTCAAGCTTATAACTTTGCCATTTTTTGACTTTTAATCAATTTTCTTTGATATACTAGTAGAATACCTTGAAATGAACCTATATTTTTAAATTGGTAAGCGTATCTTGTCTGGAAAGTCAAAAAAATGCTTGAAACACAATGCCAAATTTGCCAAATTGGCGGAAAATCAAAATATTTCAAATTTAATACTCAAACGCGCGAGCTGAAATTTTTTATAGGTACTATTGGTAGTAAAAGAAATTCATATAAAAATTTAGAGCTGATTCTGAGCGGGGCAGGTTGGGTACTTTCTTTGTAAAACGTATTTTTTACCTTCCCCTTCTCCTCACCCCCTCTTCCTCACCCCTTCCCTCCCGCATTATTAAAGAAAAAGTATCAGCTAATCAAGCACAATATAATCCTAATTTCCATCCTCCAATCTCGATAAACCTTCCATCAAAACCGTACTTCCAACCCGTAAATTGTAACAAAACTTGTCAAAAGTGCCCACGCAAATACCGCAAAAACAATTATTACGTAACGTGACGTCACAATACCCTCCGAGAATTCCCTTCGTTTAAAAAAAGTGACAGTTGGCCTTAAAACAACTTGGTTCCGCGATTAAAACCCTTAATTATGTGATAAATGTTGAAAACCTGATATACTACGTACCTAAAACTATAAGTTTATAGTAAATTTTGAGTTACAGAGTGCCTTAGGGTTACAGCGCTGTAGGTGCATGAATCATGATTTGTCGAGAAAAAAGTGACAGAAATCATAATCGAACAACTGTCGGAAATATTAGGAAAGACTTCCAAAGGCACAAAAAACGTTTTAATTACGTACTAAGTGTATTACAAGTTAAAATGTAGGGGTTTGGTGTAGTAAAACTCAAAATATTTTTTTTAGAAAAATTTTTAAAATTTCAAAAAAGTTTTAAAAAAAGTGTTTAAAAGTCTTAAGAAATATTTCAAGTGAGCTTAAAATCCCAAAATTTTAACAAAAAACGACCTAAATAACACTAAAAAGACATTTAAAATCAAGAAACTCATCTTACAGTAAACTAAACCACAACTCACCGCATAAACGTCATCCTCATCCAACAGTAACTGTCTAAGCTCATTAGTATCAGTATTAGCCTTAGGCTCGTCTGGCGGAAGCCTAGGACCGCGATCCCGCTTCGACGGTGTTAACTTCCGTTTTAGGCTCTGAAAGGCTCGCTTTCCACTCGACGCCCTCTGAAGCCTAGAATCACTGCCACCGATTGGTCCTCGGTTTATGTTCAGTTGAGACCCGCGAAAAAGATGACCGTCTTCGAATGGATCAAAGTTACTGTCGACACGGCTTCTGGAGCCGGCGAACACCGACGATCGCCATTTCCGGACCGTATTGGTCTTGCGGTCCTTGATCCATTGCCACAGCTTATGCATGGCATTCAAGTGGGGTTGGTGTTGGTGAGGATTTGTGTTGATGTTAGGGAGAATATGGGTTGTTTTGGTGAGAAAAAGGTAGAATTAATTTTGATGGTGGCTAGAGTAGATAGAAGCTTGGATTTTGATCGATGGAAGAAGTCTTGATGCTAGTTATTACAAATAATATAGCGTTGAAAGTAAACAATGAAACTGGTGATAATGCTGTACTCTAAAGCAAAATTATGATATTTTATGCATAAGTTGACATAAATTGATAAAAGGAGAAAACAATTATCAAAACAACAAAAAAAAACTGATCAAGGTAAAATATAGTAATATAAAAGATCGACCAATATCATCAAAAGACAAAACTTCGCCCAATATATGAAAAAAGACACAAAAACCTGCCCAAGACCCCCCCCCCAAAAGTACAAAATCCTGCCCAAGGTGACCAAAAAAGTACAAAACCTCCCCCCAGATGACAAAATGTAAATGAGGCTAATGAACAGATGTAAATGAGGCCTGATGAAGATGAACAGACTCTCGTGACAAACGGGTTTCGGGATCAAAGAAAACTGGAACAAAAATCGACTGCCGTGTGTATGTATGCTTGCTTGACAGGCCGACTTTTTCTTATTTTTTTCCCGACAACCAACGCCGTTTCTTCGCGGCCGTTGAAGTGATAGGTGCCGGGTTTTTTGCCCCCGGATTTGATAAGCCTTGTCTTTCGGTCCCCGGCTTTGGTAAGCCGGTTCTGTTGTCCCCAGGCTTTTTTAAAGCTTCTGTGCTGTCTCTATGCTGATAACGGCCCTTTTCTTTGCCCCCGGCTTTGATAAGCCTGTCTTTTCGTTCCCAAAGTCAGAAAAATTAAAAAAAAGTGCTTGAAACAGAATGCCAAGTTTTTCCAAATTGGCGGAAACTTCAAATATTTAAATTTTAAAACTCACAAGGAAGGTACCCGACCTGCAACGCTCAGATTTTGTTAAATTTTTTTTAAGTGAAAGATCATGTAAATGTAAGATCTTATGCAAAATTCTAAGTTGCGGTTTGCGGCCAGTCTTGAGAAAATCGAGATCAAAAAATTGCGTTTTGAATTTCCCGCCAAATTGGTATAGTGTTTCAAGCTCATAAATTCCTCATTTTTTGACTTTTAACTATTTTTCTTTAATATGATGATAGAAAAGCTTCAAATAAAACTGCAATTTTAAATTTGTAAGCCTATCTTATCTGGGACATCAAAAAAAGTGCTTGCAACACAATGCCAAATTGACGCGAAATTTAAATATATTAATTTTAAAACTTAAAACCGCTAGTTAAGATTTTTTATATGTGCTACTGGTACTACAAAGAATCCGTATTAAAATTTTGAGCTAATTCTGAGAGTTGCAGGTTGGGTACTTCCCTTGTCAATAGCGCGCACTAAAATTTTTATGGGTACTATTAGTAGTACAAAGAATTCATGTAAAACAATGGTGCTGTTTCTGAGTGGAGCAGATTAGGTACTTTTTTTGTATAATTATGATTGCCGTCTTGTTAACTTGCCCCCAAGTGATAAGCGCCACTTTTTTCACCTCGCTATCTTCTTGATCCGCCTCTCAACTTAAAATCCTATCTTTAAGCCAAACAGGCACACACATCAAGTCAGCTGCAGCAAACCTTCTTATATTATCCTACCTGTCTTTTCACTTATATTATCCTACCTGTCTTTCTATGCTGCTACCTGTCTTTCTACTTATATTCTCCTACCTGTCGTTAAGCTTTGTTCACTTTGAAGGCTCAATTCGACTTCACTTTGAAAACTCGGCTTCACTTTAAAGACTTTGACTTTAGTTTGACGTGAACTTCTTTATCTGCCGCTTTGAACGTCTCAGTGTTGTCGTTCGATCTTGTCATAGCCTGAGGTGTCTTGTCATGCCCTTAGGTGTCTTGGATTTGTGGCGTGCCCTTTGTTTTTCAAATTATATTGTCTTAAGTTTAGGAGAGGCATTTGAGTTTTAAAAGGACAAAAGTCTAGTCTTTTATGCTTTGATTTATAGGCTTATGTTTGATGTTTTGGTACATACTTTGAGTTAAAATTTTTCAATTTTTTGTTGTTATTTGTTGGTCTATACGAATTAACTTTTGTACACTCAGTGATTTCCAAAAGTATATTAATGAAATGTTATGAAAAACGTTCTCGACAAACCGTAGTGACAAAACAATAGTAAACAGAAAAGTAAAAATTCGTAAAATAAAAAAAATTCATCAGAATAGTCTAGAAACCATAGAAAATCAAGAAATACTGAAGCCTATGAAAAATTTTCAGATACCTCTAATACTATGTCGTTAAAATAATTCTGTGCCCTAGAACATCAGAAATTTGCTTGGAGAGTAGACACAATATTAATAAATATGTATACTTGAACAACCTAATTTATGACAGGATGTGTGCCGCAAGACGTAAAAACTCCACAAGATCTTAAAAACTTAATACAAACACATAATGACATTGTCTATCAGTTTACCTGAGTTGGACCGTTCCTGATGGTCATGACCTTTTTGCTCATCTTCATAGTTGTATCAGCGTTTGGCGTTGGCTGGAGCTGAAGTATTATAGATGGACACATTAACATCGTAAGATTAGCACAGAAAACACAGAACATAAATTGACTGCCAAAAACTTGATCTCCATCTGTGCCTAAGCAATTTAAAAATTTCAATTTTAATTGATTTTATTTTCGAACTTTTTACTTTACTGCAGTGTATTGCCATTGTTTTTATTGTTATTTGCAATTAATAAAATAAAAAATAGTATAATAAGCAAACAAGCTTTAGTATGATAATTTCACAGTAATTTTATTTACAGATATCAAAAAATAAAACTCTGATACAAAATAAACTTTTACATAACTATAACTACTATAACTATCTAAAATTACTTTTTCTAAACATTTTAGAAATACAGAGTAATCAGATCACATTCAGTACAGTTGAAATAAAATTTTGTCAAAAATCTTCTGAAAACACATAGAATTTGAAAGATAAGGCTCAAGATAACATTAACATAGCCATAACATCATAGACAACATAAGAAAAAATCATAGATAACGTATTTTTTATAAATTTAGGTAACAAAAATAAAATTTTAAGACTTTGCAAGCAAATATATTACCCTTGCTACATAAAAAACTCAAAACTTCAATTTTAAAATTCAAAATTAACTTTAAAATCTTCAAATTTCAAAATTATTTTAAACTTCACGAGCCCGAGAACGTTGCGGCACGTTCCCAGCACTGCCGTTCCTCTGCAACGGCGGTGGCATTGGTCCCAATCCTCCAAATTGTCCGCCTCCTCCGCCGTTCATTCCCGGCGGAGGCATCTGCCTTCCTTCACCGAACTTCTCCACGTTTCCATCCCAAAGTTGGGTCGGTTTCCGTTGCATCGTTCTGTGAGCGGTACGTTGGATGCGGCTGTTCGGATACTTGATGTTCTCGCGTCTTCTCACCATCGTGGCGTCGTTGGCTAAGAATCGATGGCTTAAGGCTTCTTCTGTCCGCATTCGGCGTCTGAAAAGGGGAGAATTGAGGGAAAAATCAAGAAAATCCGAAAAGATCAATAGTTACACTTCGTCTCGAATTCAAAGTAATAAAATCTTCAAAAAAAGTAAATTTTACAATAAAATAAATGTAAAATAAGTTATGGTAGACCTACCGAGGATCCTTTTTGATGGCCCATGTAGCAAATCGCAAAGCTTCTTGGCTAGCCTGGACTGGAATCAGATTTGGATCACATTTCTCGGTGAGAACGGCGTTTCGAATCGTTTCAGCGTTATCACCTTCGCTTGAAAATGGATGGAATCCGGATAATCTGAAAGGCATAAGAGGTAAGAACATTTCTATTGTTAAACGGGGTAAAGTGAGGTAATAAACGGTCAAAATAGCAGCTTTTAAAGACTTATTATATTATTTTAGGTAACAACTTGAGAATGAATAAAATTTTAAAATTTAGAAGTTATAGCAACATAAAAGCATTTTTATGGCAGTTGAAGTTGAAAGCAAGATGGGGTAGTTTAAAAAATGGCTGTTTTTAATCTTTTATTATATTATTTTAGGTGACAACTTGAGAAAGAATGGAATCCGAATAGTCTGGAAGTTATATCAAGGTAAGAGCATTTTTATGGTAATTTAAGGTAAAAGCAAGGTGGGGTAGTAGAAAAAATGGCAGTTTTTCAAGTCTTTTGTTATATTATTTTAGGTAACAACTCACAAGCAGAAAGCGATCATGCCCATGCCCCAAACATCAGTTTCGGCCGATGGTTTCTCGCCCTTCAGCACCTCCGGAGCTGCCCATTCTGGATTCACGGTTTTTGGGTTGATCTCCTTGGTATTGCCGATCGTTCCAGCTCGATCGAAGTCAATCAACTTTACCAGCCAGGATCGTCGACCAGCAAACATGACATTGTTTGGTTGGATGTCTAAGTGCAATATTCTGAAAGTAGGTAAGGTTATTTTGGTTTTTTTGATTCTTTTTAGGGCAGTTTTAAGGCTATTACTTAGGTTTTTGGCTAATTTAAAGTTGGTTAGGGAGATCAGAAGAAAGTTTTGTCGTTTATTTGGTAAGGTTTGAAGGGTAAAAAACGACAAGACTTTTGTAAAACTCTGATACTGTTTTATATTATTCTGTATACATTACTACAATATTAGGAAGGTCTTAAGTACTCTTATTATGAAGATATTACCCTTTAAAGTGAATCCAATGAAGTGCAGAGCAGATTTGCCTCACAGTAAGCGCGATATGTTCCTCGGTATAGGGATCAGTGGCTACGAATCTCTCAAAGACATTCTCGGCCAAGCATTCTGTGAACAACAACAGACAATTCGACTTCTTGTAGCCCGCCACCAACTTGACCACATGTTCATGCTGGCTAGCCAACAACGTGTCGAACTCGGTCTGATCGAACGGTCGAACCTTGAAGCAGCAGTGTTTGGCCGAGTTCTTGTCCACGGCTTCGCGCACCAAACTGAACTTTCCGCGGAAGATTTCGTGTTTGAATTCGAAGCGGTTAGTCGGTTCTTCGGTCAAAATGGTCGTATTTTCGTCTTTTACTGAGCTGATTGAACTCGCTTTCTCGTCGATCTCTTCTTCATCCTCTTCTTCCTCACATATCTCGGTCAGTCCGGACTTGGCCTTGCTCATCTTCTGAGGCATGGCCACGATTTGAAGACGGTGATGTCGTCGCAGAATGTCCATGTTAAGCTTAGGCACTCCACGATTGTGAGTTCGGATGATTCTGGATGTTAAAGATGGCTCTCCCCATCCGAATCCGTTGCACGCTGTCACTCGGAACTGGTAGATGCCTCCAGGCGATAAATGCTTTACAACCACGAATTCGGCTTCGACCTTTTCACTAATTGTGGTCCAGACAGCGAAGTGGTCATTGTCTCCGGCTGGGCGGGATTCGAGCTTGTAGATGATGCCAAACATGCTTGGCCGGTGCTCTGGAGGCTCCCATTCGATGAAGGCTTCTGTGTCTGAGGCCAGGTTGATCTCTGGGCGACCTGGACGGCCGGGCTCACCTAAAATTAGGGGTTTGGATATTGCAGTAGGGGATATTATGTTAAATCTTAAAGTTTTTGGTGGGTTTCTTTTGAAAATTCAGCAAAATCAGAGTTTCATATGTCATCTATGTTAACTATAGTCTATCTATTATCAGTTAGAGCTGGCTACAAGTTAGGAGTTGGAACTCAAGAAATTAGTAAAAACTTCAAACTTACTGCCAGAAATCAGCCGACAAGAAGTTGAATCACTGCCCATTTCATTAGTCGCAGTACAAGAATACTCTCCAGCGTCCACAAACATCAGATTATTAATAATCAACCTCACTTCTTGACCTTCATGTATCATTTTGAACTTGTCACCTTCAGTTAGTGCACTTCCTTGATGATACCACGTCACTTCAGGCTTTGGGTTACCGATAACTTGACAACTCAACATGACATTGTTGCCATCCTCCTTCAAACACTCGTCATGAAGGCGTTTCCTGAAGATTGGTCGATGACATCCGTCCGGTCTTACTGTAGTTTCTCCGTCTTGTACTATCAGTTCTGGTCGATGTCTTCTAACACTGCCCATAATGGTCTGGCCTAGCTCTCGATCCACCTTCTCTACACTTTTGGCTATTTGAGGCTCTTCCCGGATCAAATCTGTGAAACGTCTTCTCTCACGTACAGTAATATCTTGGTTACGGTAGCCGAGAATGCCTTGATGCACTAGTGGAGCACCATCTCCCCATAACATACGACGATAGTCTCGAACCCGTGCGTTGAAGTTGGCTCCTTTTGTGGCCAAAAGTAGGGTTTCAGGGCCGATTTGATAGTTGGATTCCCAAGGATAATCGTCCACGTCCATTTCACGCCGATCAAAGTCAATATCTTCGTCTTTGTAGTAATTTTTGACACGATATTTCTCGAGATCGGCTAGGGGGTCCTGAAAGAAAAGGTTGATTTTTAGGATTTAGAAGATATGATAATGGAATAGTTGTTGTACATAAAGGATGATATGGGTTTTCTCATGGTAATAATCTTGATTTTGAAGCTATTGTAAGCTATATTGGGTTTCTATGCGTTGTTTTTGATCAAGAGCGCAACGTTTTTGCCACTTTTTTGGCATATTGAGCTCAAAAATAGCCTGGCAGAACTTTAGTATTGTCATCCTTCTGCCCTTAAAAGCTCTACAAATTATTACGGAGTGTAAAAATAAGATATTACCCTTATAAAATCTGGTCTTTTCAAACTTACAGAAACTAAAACACTACTGTTATCCACAAAATCACCCTAAAACTTGGCAAAATCTTGTAGGTATCGGGAAAGCATAGCGATAGATGAAGGAAAAATGGAAGAAAGGGTTAGCAGATTGTCTCAAAACACAACCTTCCTGAGGCTATTTTATAGGCCATGTGCATTTTATGATCCGTATGATTTGTGGCGACAAATTACCGTGTGTTTTACACTAGTCAATTCTAGTTTTAAGACGTTGTAATCAAATTTGTGGTCATTTAATTGGGTTTTAGGTGATTTAGATTAAAATTGAGGGTTTATATCTGGTTTTAAAATGTTTTTTGATGGAAAAGATGGTCTTATATTAGGTTGATCAATTAATTCTGTGCTCCACTTGAAAGCAAATTTTCCGGGTTTGGGGCACAGAATTATTTGAACAACTCAATAAAAGGGAGAAAGGTGTGATTTGATTAAAAAACCGTTTTGTTATGGCAGTTTTTGGCAAAAAATTGGTTTTGAGACAGTATTTTGAGCTATTTTTGGTATTTGCAAGGGTATTATAGTAGGTTTAGGAAGTTCATTTGGCTTTTCAATATTTTTGTGTCATCTTCCGGTATATTGTTGGCTTTTCCTCTGGCCTTGTAGGACTATTTTTCTTGATTTTGTCATCTTATAGTACCTGTCGATCTTCTTCATCCCATAGTACCTTTTTTTTGTGTTCTTAACTTTATGGTACCGCTTTTGTTGATCTTCTTCATCTTATCGATCTTTATCTTACTTTTGTTAATCTTCCTCATATTACTAATATTCAGTTTGTCAATCTCCTTCACCTTATAGTACTATATTTGTCGCGTTTATAACCTTATTTTAACCTTTTTATGCCAAGTTTTACCATTTTATGATATCATCTTTGCCTTTTTGAATCCTTCCTTTCCCTCTCCTCCCTTACCTTTTTAATCTTCGCCAAGCCATCATCATCATGAGTCTTGATTTGAGCTGTGACAGCCTTACCACCTCGATCTTTGTCATCTCCTTCCTTATCATCCAGCTCCCTAGCCTCCTCCCCCAACCCGAATACTCTTCGCTGTTTACCGTACTTCACAGCAATGACACACTCCATCTGATGCTCCTGACCTGGCGACATCATGATGGGACTCTTGGTACCGGTCGATTTGTTCGAAGCCGGACTCAACGACATCGGACTTCGTTTGCCTCCAGGTCGAATAGGTAGCTGGACTGTTAACGGCTGGCCTTTGTTGAGTTCTTCCAAGAAAATTGGTGCACCGACCGGTATCTTGGGGTCGTTGACTTGTGGTGGTATTTTGGCTTCATCTCCAAAGAATTGTTGAATCGGATTCGGTTCATTGGATTCGATTGTTAATGTAGGTGAGGCTAGCGGGGTTGAGGTGTCAGATTCGGCGTGAGGTGTGGTGGAGCGACTGTGTGCTTCATGTTTGTCCTAAAAGCGATAGAGTGGAAATTGCGTGATTATATACATATATCAGGGCCTTCATTAAGAAATTTTTAATGAAGGCTCCATGATATGATGTTAATGTAGCTGATAGGTGAAGAAGCTTCAAATTGGAAAAGTTTAATTCTAGGTATAAGTTTGGAAATGAAGTTATAGGTTGTTCAGCTAATTTAGTGCCCTTCTCAAAGCAATGAAAGCAAAGTTTCGGGATTAAGGGCACAGAATTATCTGAACAACCCAATAGCTAGTAGAAGTTGAAGCAAGAGAGTTAGAAAGTTAGGGTATTGGAAGAACAGTAAAAAGTAAACTTATGTTTGTCAAATTTAAAACGAGCTTACCTTTGGCGGAATGTCCTGCACATCGTCCAACGACGCCACTGACCCTGCTACAGAACATTCCTCCGAAATGTCGGAGAGATTTCGCGTAGCCAGCTCGTACTGAATTTGACGGTTCTCACCGCGGATCAGCTGGATTGGTGGTACCTAAAAGCGTTGTCATTTATAAACGATAATTTGTGCTTTTGAGCTTTAAAATTTTAAATATTTTTACTTGAATTTCCTGCCAATTTGGAATACTTGTCATTGTGTTTCAAGCACTTTTTTCAACTTTCTAGACAAGCTACGCTTACAACTTTAAAAATGTAGGTCCATTTAAAAGTTTTTTACTAGTATATTAAAGAAAAATGATTAGAATTTAAAAAATGCCGAAGTTACAAGCTTGAAGCACAATGCCAATCTGGCCGAAGATTCAAAATTTATTTTTGATTTTGATTTTTTCGATAGAAAACGCGATTTAGTTTTAGTACTCATCTGAATTATATTTACATAATTATTCTAGATATAAAGTTTGAAGCCAATGAGAGCGGGGCAGGTCTGACAATTTCCTCGTTAGTTATCCCCTGGCAGGGCCTTAAAGTCAGCTACAAAGCGCTGCACCAAAATTGCCAACTATCGCTAACAGTTTGGTCAAGCTTATCAAGGTATTATTAAAAAATAATATTCAAAAACGATAATTTTCGTTTTTAAATGTGAAGGTAGTCCAAAAACGTTCTCCAAACAAAATGCAAACTTTTATAAATTTTAGAAAATTGGCTTTCGGAAATAAAATGTCAAAAAGTTAATTTGTTGATTTTTATAGCCAGGGAAACAGCATGTTGTCTTTGAAAACTAATTTCATGGCACGTTTTGACTGAACTTATTCGACTGACCCTGAAATACTGACCTATAGCCTAAATACCTTGCTCTACTCAATCTTTACCGATCCTACATTGCCTTACCCTGTTCTACCCGACCCTGTTAGCTCTACCTTATTTTACCCTACCTTACTTTTCCTTAACTTACCTTATCTTGCCTTACCTTAACTTACCTTACTTTGCCTTAACTTACCTTATCATAATATGCCTTACTCCGCTCTACCTTAATTTGGCTTGGCTTACCATATCCTAACTGGCCTTTCCCTACCCAACCCTATATTTCTCTACCTTATCATGTTCTTCCCTACTTTGCCTCGCTCTACTCTACTTGACTCTGAGCCACCTTAATTTGTTTTACCCTACCTTATTCTACCCTTCTCTACCTACCATCGTTAATAATACCTACAGTAAAACAAAAAAAAATCTACAGTAATAATAAAAAACGCTTTCAATATCGACTTGCCGGTCAGTTTTGTCATTCTTTCGAAAAGAAAAAAGTAACTTTTTTCAAACAAACTAGTAATCAAAAAACAGTTGTCAACGTACGGGTTCATTTTCGTCGTATTCCGGAGCGGGCTGTGGCCGGGGACTGCTCCGTTGGGAGGGGGTTTCGCCCTTGGCCTGCGGCTCCAATCGCTTTCTTTGGCTGTTGGGGCTCCGCGGTGGTTCGGGCGGGGGTAGAGCACCCTGGAAGCCTTGTAGCTTGCGAGGGTCGATTCCCAATTGAGCTAGAATGTCCTCGGGCCTTGGTGGGGGTTGTCGATCACCGCCTGGTAGATTGCTGTGGCTTGATCTGGGGTCTTGGCTACCATCTCCAGGTAAATTACCATGCCCAGGCAAACCCCCATGACCAGGTCGATCTCGACCACCATGATAAGGTTGATCAGCCCCAGGCGGTGGCATGCTCTTGGGGTCGTAGAAGGGCGGCGGCCGTTGCTGAAGCTGTAGCCGGATTTGGTCCTGAATGTGCTTCGGAATCGTTCTCGGCTGGGGGTTCGTGCCCGGCACAAACTCGGGAATCCCGTCGTTCTGCTCCTTGATGGCGTTGTAATCGTAGACCACGTAGGGCTCCGCCCTTTGTGGCAAACTGCCAGCCGCCTCGAGTTTCTCGGTTTGAGCGACGGAACGACGTGGGGACTCAAGCATTTGTGTTAGCTGCTCAGAGGGGGTCTGTTGCACAAACACGCGCCGTTCCTGAAAGAAGTTGCTGATAAGTTGGGGGTTGGAGAGGTTTGGCATGTCAAAGGTTGTTTGATAAGTCAGATATGTTTGTTGACAAGAAATATTGTGTTAGGTTTGTCAAAAAGTTTATTTCTTAAGGTTTAGTGACAGGGAGGGGAGGCTTATTTAATGTTTTATATTGTTAATTGGATCTTTGAATTCTTTTTTTGAGGGTAGGGGTGAGAAACGGACATGGCCCGCTTTTTGAGGTTTGGCCAAGGCTTGGGGCTTAAAGTTTAGGCTTTTTCATTTTTCTTCAGACTCGGCTCTACTTGTCAAGCCTGCCCGCTGGCCGGATCCAACTTTTAAGCCCGGCCCGTATGAACTTTAGCTCAAGGCCGAGCCGGTCTCACCCTAGGGTCGGGCACGTATAAATATAGTCTTTAACTTCGAAAAACTAGACTTACCAGCCATTTATGTTGGTATTTGAATTCTCTCAAACAGTCTGTTCGTAATGTGGCATCTTTCAGAGCTGGATCAGCCAACCAATCATGGGTCAGGGCTTGGTCTACTGACATTCTTTTGCTAAAAAAGTTTTTTTGTGGTATGGACTAGTGTAGGCCTGTTTTTGGTTTTGTAAAAATAAAGAAAATTTAAAACTATTTTTTTTTCAATTTTTTACAAATTTAAAAAAATTAAAATAAGAATTTAATTGTAAAGCTTGAGGCTTTTTTGCTTTTTTTTAATGAATTTCAAAGCAAAATCTTAAAATAGCTGGCGGTGGAAAAATAAAAAAAAGATTTTTGGTCGATTATGATATGTCCACACTATATGTATAATGGCCATAAAATAATCGACCGAACGATCATGATATAGCCGTTACCTTGGGTCCAACAACAGTAATTTCTGTAGGAAATCTTTGGCCTCAATTGTAATGTCTTTAAAAGGCTCTGACTCCAATGAGTAGTTTCCAGTAACAATATTGGTCAGAGTTTCTCGATCATTGTCTCCCAAGAAGGGTGATACTCCAGATAGCCTGAAATATGAAAAAAATAACTGTTACTCCGTTTGTCAGTCTTAGTTTGGGATGTGAACCGAATGCTTTGAAGGGGGCACAGAATTATTTTAACAACCTAATATTACAAATGTTAAGGTTTTTACCTAAATTAATGAAAATAAAAAGATAACCAACTTACAGTACGTATATCAAAGCCCCAGCACTCCACATATCAGCGGCCAAAGTGACGGTTTGGCCCTGGGCGATTTCTGGGGAGACAAACTCGGGGGTGGCTTTGATATTACCAGTCACTTTACCACGGAGTAAATGTCTGAAGTTAATAGGAATTTAAAGTTAGTCTATTTTTGAAAAAGGAATGGCAGTTTTTGAAAAAAAATTGCAAAAAAAAAAAAGTGAAAAATATAGGTTTTAAATACATCAGGTTGTTCAAATGATTGTGTGCCTCCTCTCAAAGCAAATTTTTGATGTTAAGGGGCATAGAATTATTTGAACAACCCAATATTTTTCAAAATATTTTTTTTTCTAAAAAATATTGAACTTGGTCCCCCCTGTTTGGTTCTTTAAAATGAAATTTCAAAAAAAATTTAATTTGAAAAACAAAATTTTTTCAGCAAAAATTTTTTCCCTTTTTTCACTTTAGAGCCAACCTTTTTTTACCCCACCCCATTGTAGTACTATAAAACGGCAATGTATGGTCATATAGTAAAGGTCAAAACCCACCTGCTTTGTCCAAAATCAGCCAATCTCAAATGGTCATCCTGTAGTAATACAGCCTCCGGCCTCAAATCCAAATGCGCTATGTTCCGATTGTGCATGTATTGTAAGGCGGTGAGCAATTGTTTGGCAAAGATGCGGACCTGTGCCTCACGTTCGGCCCCAAACACCTCGACATGTTCGCCAGGTCGTGCCACCAACGAGTCCAGCAAGGAACGGTCGGCACTGGAAAAATCGAGCGGACTTAGCGATCTTGTGCTCATATTGCTATTAGATCTTGGTTAGCAAACATTTTTCTGCGCTACCTTCGTCTTTGATTCCCACCCCACCCACTTGCGCGGCCTCAGGGGAAGAAAGGTGTGCGGGCTCTTAAAACTTTTTAAATTCCTAGGATTTAGGCTTTTTACAGGGATAAGGTTGGGCTTGTTGTTTAAGGAAGATTAAAACAAAATCAAGGCTAGGGTAAAGCAATGAAGGGCTAGGATAGAGCAGTGTAGAAATAAGGTAGGAATAGTTTTAGGGTATGTTTTAAGACAGGGTAAACCAAGGGTAGGGCTAGACATGAGGAACGGGCCTAGACAGGATGAAGTGTAGGATAAACCAAGGAAAGGGTAGGACAGGGCAGGGTAGGGGTAAGTTTTTCCAAATTGGTTCAAGGCAAGGTAAGGGAAGATCAAGGCTAGGGTAAAACCAAAGAAAGACGAGGGTATAGCAGGGTAGAATAGGGTAGGAACCGTTGTAGGGTATTAAGGCATGATAATGCAAGATCAAGGCTAGGGTAAACCAAGGGCAGGGCTAGACATGAGGAACGTTCCTGGCCGGCCGTGACCTAACTTTAGGTTAGGCCGGGCTTGAAAATCAAGGCCCGGTCCGAAAAAGCCCGGCTTGTTTGCACGTAAAAAATTTGGGACGGGCCGACTTGAGCAAAATTTAGATAGTGCCGGGCCTGAAAAGTTGGACCCGGACCGTTCCTTATGTCAGCAATTTTTGGTAGGAATAGGAACAGGATGTTTTACCGTATGTTATGGTACCTTACCTCCTTCTAGCTTTGGCTCTCTTATGGCTACATAAACAATTTTTTATTAGGTTGTTCAAGTAATCCTGTGCTCCTAACCCCGAAAATTTTCTTTGAGAGGGCACACAATAATTTGAACAACCCAATATGTAAAAGCTAAAACCTATTACAATTAACCTTCATTATGACTAATAATAACCTTGCGTTTCCTAGAGTTTCAAACCCGTCCAATCACCCCCCTCCGCAAAACCCATGTGCCGCGGGCGGATGACATATTTTTCCCCGTCAATCTTACATATTAATCTGTCGCAGTGGCATCGTCGTTCTACATAACACACACGAACAAGTTGAATATCCGGATCTCGGGCCAAATGTGTATGTACTTGTGAGGCCCTTAGGGCGACAACTGTGCCCGACTTTCCTCCGCTTTCGAAGCCGGACTGATTGCTTTCTCTGCTTCTCTGGCTTCGGAATCGGCTTCGAGTTTTGCGTAGTATTTCTGAGGTGGGGTTTTCTATGGGCATGGGTGAGGTTTGTAGGGGGTTTGAGGGGATTTTGAGGCTATTTTAAGGTTGACTTTAGTCTTTTTCTAGGGATGATCTCATTGAAAATGGCATATTTTGCCAACTTTTATAGAAAATCTCTCAAAAAACGTGAAAAATCACTAAATTTTTAAAGTTTTCCCCACTTTTCGCCACTTTTTTGCCACTTTCTTTAACACGCTAAAACCTGAACGCTTTCAAATACTATTTCCCTACTCCCCAACTATCTCCCGACCTACCGCAATATCATTAACCCTCATTTTTCCCCTTTTTCTCGGCCAAAATCGACCATTTCCGACCTTCGCCCCCACTTACTCTTCGAAGATTAGTACGGCTAGCCCTTTATCGGCTATGGCGGCATGTAACTGGGCCAGATGTGGGTGATCAACAACATTGTGTATGCTGATGTAATTGGACAACTCCGAAGTCATGGGCTTCAACTGGGCCAAGTAGGATTGACCCGTTTCTTTGTCCTTGACCTTAAAGTAGGCTCCGGCCGCGGCTTTGCTAAAAATAAAGTTGTTTAGGTAATATGTTGTAAAATACGGTCAATCCTGATAGTATTGGACTATTTTTTGTAATTAAGTAGTACTAACTTAGCTTTGGTACCTTAATTTTATGACCCGGACTTTTTCACAAAAATATGAAAAATGACCTAAATTTATATTTTTATCATAAAAAAGTTAAAATCAGATGCTCAGTACAAAATTACAGTGCAAAACGTGCCAAACTTACTTCATTATTCAAATAAAAAAGAGGCAAATGAGGCCGGTTCAATTTAAAAGTGACACAAATCGCCGTCGGCCGAGCGCTCCGACTGATTTGCTTTGCGTTTCGTTTTTAGAAAAATTAAACTATACATTTCACTTTGAATTTTGAATAAAGAATGGCATTTTAATCTACGAAAATTTGTTTATAAATCCCCCCCCTCCAGACCCACACAGCCTTTGAAAAAATTTTAAAAAGTTGAACTTAGCTCTCTTTCTTGCTCTTCAAAACCACGTACTATAACTTCTTTTACCTTAAAATAACAAGACACATGTTACACAGCGATGCCACAGACTTTTCTCTACATTGTGGTACCTTTTCTACTAGCAGACATTACTGTAAAGAAAGTTATGGTCATTTAAAGAAATCATCCTTCGATTTTTAATGAAGACACAACTCATTTATGGTCTTCAACACCTCATAGCTACCGTATCTTGAAATGGCAAAAATAGTTATTGTACATGATAGAATTCACTTCGCTCTACATGACGGTATGTTTTGTTAAACAATAGAATGAAATTAAAATAAGTTATGATCAAATAAAATCGGCAGGTCTTGATTTTTCAGCGATAACTCAAGTCACCAAAATTTTGACGCTTTGTAACTATCGTATCTTGCTGTGGTTAACAGAAGTTGTTCTACGTAATGATAAAGCATACTTAGCTCTACATAATGGTATGCGTTAGTAATCAATAAAATGATTTTAAAGTAAGTTATGATCAATTACAGTTGGCAAATCCTGATTTTTTCTAATGAAAACACAAGTCAATAAACTTAAACATATTATAACTATAGTATCTTGCTATGGAAGAAATATTGTTTTCAGTATGATAGAGCTTACTTTTTTCTACATTACAATCGTTTTTACTAAAAGGCAAATTAATTTTGAAGCAACTTATGATTAATTAAAATTGGTATACCCTGATTTTTTAAGTAAAAACACAAGTCAATAAACTTCAACATACTATAACTATGGTATCTTCCTATAGTATAACATATTGTTTCGACAATACGATAGAGTGTATTCTGCTCTATCTAACAGTATTTTTTACTAAGCAGAGACATTATTTTAAAAAAGTTATAATTAATTAAATTTGGCATACCCTGATTTTCCCAGTGAAAACACAAGTCAATGAACTTCAACATACCATAACTATAGTATCTTGCTATGGTAAAAAATAATGTTTAACAGTATAATAGAGTATACTTTTCTCTAGATTACAGTATTTTTCACTAAAAGAAGACGTCATTTTGAAGCAAGTTATGATTAATTAAACCTGGAGTACCCTGATTTTTTGCGATTGAGAGAGGAAACTCTCTTCATTTCGCGTGCTCTCTCACCTTTTGCCACGATTTTTTCGGACCACCCGCAGCGGCCACCCGAAATTCGGCTGGAATTCGGCAGCCCCTGGGGTGTTTCTGTGTTGAAAATTGCCGGCCGCTGCGGGTGGTCCAAATAAATGGTGGCATTTGGCGATAGATCACGCACAAAACAGAGACGCAATTTCTTTTGCAGACATTGATCGAAGTTATACGAAATTGCTGCGAAAAGAACGCGCAAATCGAGAGACGCGCGATTTCGAGTTAGAGATGCGTAGGTGGTCAGACAAAAGCGTCAGAAAAGAGCGCGGGAATAGGAGAGACGTGCGAAAAAGGTTAGAGAGCGATCGGGGAAAACAAAAGAGGTGCGCAAAAGAGCGCGAGAAAAGAAGAGAGCGCAGAGAAAGGGGGTGATCGCGTGCGCTGATTGGCCGCAAAGAGTGCGCAAACGAAGAGACGTTAGGTTAGTTAGAGAAAAAATTAGAAAAACGGCAATAACTTCCTTTTGGCTCGATGTAATTTTGTAAAATTTTCAAATTAGATTATATATGATATTTGCTAAACCTTTAGTAATTCAAAATAAAAAATTCATTACAAAAATTGTGCTTTAATTGTAATAACTGTCGTGTCTTAATGTAGTAAAGCATGTTTTAAATCTTATGATACATAGTTTGAGCTTTTCTTTGCATGTAAGTATTGTTCCTTATGATTATCAGCATTACCGATCAGTCGAAAAATGAAGTCCTTGCTGCCCAATTAGCGTATAAGCATATATGTAAATCACCATAGTTCCATTTTACCGTGGTAAAAATAAAAAAATAAAAAATATTTTAAAATTTGATCATGGTACATAAGTATTAGGATCGTAGGAACGACGTTAGGACAGGCTAAGGTTGGGTGTGGTGGCAAGGGAGGATAGGGGTTGTTGTGAGGCTAGGGGTAGTACTAGTGTGGGGGTAAGACTGGGTAAAGCCGTGTAAAGCTAGAACTGGGTTGTGTAGGACAAGGTTGGCGTAAGGTAGGACCGAGTTGAGGCTACCATATAGTAAATGTTATAATTTTTTTAAATTTTAATGAAAATTCAATTTTAAATTTAATGTTTTCAAAATAAAAGTTCGAACAACCTTATTCAAAAAGACGAAATTCAAGTTTTGGCAGCTTTACTTTCTCTGTACATACACAAAATGGTCATGAAACAAAGCAGACAGAATCTATCGTACTATTGGAAAGTTACAGTATGAAGAAGTTACAGTATAAAAATCTCAAAAATGTCAAAATTTTTAAATTCAAAAACAATAAAAGTCCATTAAAAAATTCGCGAAAACGTCGAAATGCATTAATAATCGCCGTATAACATTAGAATCCTACTGTAATATAACTAAATTGAGCATTAACAACAAGATAAACGTGTCGAGACCGGGGTACACCTTGTCATAGCGGGATATATGACAAGAAACAATAATTATGAGATTACTGAGTAAAGAGTTACTCGGCAATCGAGGGCTCGTCCTCTTCGGCGATCTCGTAGATCTCGCGCACGTTCTTCTGCTCCAGGTCCACTTTTCGTTTGGGCCGTGGCGTCGAGTAGTCAATGACTTCTGAAATTGGGGAATTGAAGTTAAAATGTTGATATTCGTCTAGTCTGTCATATAATTTATAAAACAATTTTCAAACCCAAACCCACTCCAAAACCTTACCATCGACATCGATTGAGCACGAGGTTGATGCCTGGCCGGCATCGTTGTAGGCGACACACGAGTAGATGCCCGAGTCCCTCCACATGGGGTCGTTGATGATCAGTGAGCAGAGATAAGGTCCTTCTCTGACGATCTTAATGCGTGAGGACTCGACTACTGGGTGCCATTCCTGCAAAGGGTTTGTTATATTATGTTAGGTATCAGGTGTAAGTTAAATTTGAAAAAATTAATTTTTGAACCTAAAACAACATTATAGGTGGTTTTTAGGATCTAGAATTGTAAAAAAATAATTTTTAATTGATATACAATTTAATTTTAGTCAAAATCAAATATTTTTAAATGTCTGCACAGTGCAGTCCAATTTTATAAACTGCACCGTGCAAAAATTACAAAAGCTTCTAAAGATGCCATTATTTATTAAAACTAACAAAAAAATGAAAAATAAAAACTCAAATAGATGTAAAATACGTAAGTAACACACAAAAAAACTCACTTTCATCCATTTCACTTCGGGGAATGGAGATCCTTCAATGCGGACGTCCAGCTTGACTGGAGCGCCAGTCTGGAACGTCCTGTTGTTCAGGGGTTGTAGGAAAGTTGGTCGTGCTGAAATACAGTTTATTATCAATGATATATCTAAATTTGGTTTGTTTTCAAGTATTTTTTCGAAAGATATGACTAATTTTCTAAAAGATACCATCTTTTTTCAAATTTTTACTGATTACAACCAGATTATTGTCATTTTTTAAATGACCCATAAAAACTTTACAAAAAAAATTATTGTAAATTAAAATACGACATCTTATCTATCATAAATTAAAATTTTAGGAATTCTCGTCAAGTGTTATTTGAAATATCACTAATTTTCAAAGAGGTACCACTAAATCTCTAGTATAACATAATATAATCTTTAATTTTTTACTTCTTACATTAATAAACTATATCAGCCTAAATTTCATGCTAAGATATGTTAACTTACTCGCTAAATCAATATAAACATTCTGTTGTGCTTCGCCGTACTGATTCGTGGCAATAACCTGATATTGTCCTACATTCTCCCTCGAGAAACTGCTGATAGTCAACGTTGTGTCACTTCCACCATAAGTCGTGACCTTGAGATTCGAGGTTGGACTAGCCGAATCCACATCCCATCCTCGGAACTTCCAAACAATCTTCGGGTCGGGATAGCCCGAGTACTTGATGTTCACGATGAGGGTATCGTTCTCGGCACAGTAGCGTTTGTCCACCGCACCAGGCGCAAACCATGGCGCACAGGCGTACTGTTCGGCGTATGCCAGGTCCAGGGCACGCTCGGCGTAGGGGTCGAGGAGAGGAATGATGCGCTTGTTCCTGTCCATGACCGGCTGAGGTGGAGCCATGAGGCGTGAGGGTGGGGAGGCGGGGCTGGGGTCCGAGATACCGTAAATGTTTTCAGCACGAACGCGGAATTGGTAGCTCTTGCCCAGCTCCAGGTTGCGGACTTTGCATACAGGTTCGGGAATGTTGTAGTCAAGCTGAAATTTTGGGTTTTAAAAATTTTTTAGTGACTTGGCAGGTTGGTTTTGGTCTCACCACGAAAACCTGAATAAGCTTAAAAACGGCTATCTTCATGCTAAAAATACAAAATATTGCTCAAATATTGTAATATATCATTATTTAGCCCCAAATTAAGAAATTTTCAAAATTTTTGGTCCCACCACGAAAACATAAAACTGCCTAAAACCCCCCAAAACCGTATTTTTAGCCCAAAGTATCCACAAACTCACCAATGTCCAGTCCCTGTAGGGTAGTTCTCGGATTTCGACAACATACGTGACCTGTGGGTATCTGGGTGGAGATCGTTTGGTAGGTATCCATGATAAGGTGAGGTAATGTCCGGTGACTTCTTTGATGAAAGGTCCATAGTCGGGTGGGGTCGGTAAGCATTTGTAGTTGATTTTCTTGAAGCCATACTCTTCCGTGAGGTACGGTGTGATGTCGATCGTTCCATCGAACTTGATCTCGTCTAGATGGGGTACTGTAACATCGAGAATGGCTGAACTCGAGGCGGTACCGTGAGAGTTCTTGGCGATGGCTACATATTCTCCTGCGTCTTCTGGAGTTGTGTCGGTGATCAGGAGAGCGTGTGAGCCGCCTCCGCATGATTGGATCTTGATTCTGCCGCCTGGAGTGATTCTCTTACCGTTGTGGAACCATTCGACTTCTGGAGGCGGGTAGCCGACCACGAGGCAGTCGAAGATCGTGGGCAACTTCGTGAACACGTGTTTGTTCTTGAGTTGACGAATGAAGCCGGGTGGGAACGGTATACCGTGATGACCGTCCTCATCGGCCGCCGCTCTGGGCAGGATCACGCTCACGTTACCTACACTTCTGGCTTCACCGTGAGGGTTCGTAGCCACCACCGAGTATTCACCTTCGTCTTCTGGTGCCGCGTTGATGATGACACAGTGATGGAAGCCTCGTTCGTCCGTCCAGATGGTACGTTTGCCTTCAGCACCATCCGAATGGATCTCTTCACCGTCTTTGTACCACTTGACAGTTGGAGTGGGTAGGCCGAGAGCACAGATCTGCATCTCGATCGTGTTGCCTTGATGAATCGACTGGTTGTGAAGGCCTGGGCGGATTCTGGGCTTGCCTTCTTCGGGTTCGGCTGGAGCTTCTTCGGCTGGTTTGGGGCGTTTGTCACCTGAAGGTAGGTATGTTAGGGTGGGTTCTGGCATGGATTTTTAAAATTTTTGTAAATTTTTTGAATTCCATAATTCAAATTTTTAAAAATTTTAATTTTTTCAATTTTTCAATTTCCGAAAATTTCATTTTTTAAAATTTTTTTTCAAATTTCAAATTTTTCAAAAAAATTTTTTAATTTCGAAAAATTTAAAATCTTTTCGAAACGCATCCTCAAGTGTTTAATTAATGTTATCATAAAAAAGTAATTGATTAGGTAATTTGAAATCGACACCCCTTCCTTTTGTCGCTTTAAAGTAATTAATTAAATCGACCGAATGAAGTGGTTGCTGCTCTTTATTTTAGGTTTAGCCAGAGTTTCCGGCTGTCCTGATAGATGGGAATGGCACGAAGCTAATGATAAGTGCTTAAGGTTTATTCGGCGTCAAATGAGGTATAATGAGGCCGAAGAGTTTTGCAAAAGTTTGGGTGGAACGGTTGGCAATGGTCATGGTAAGTTTTTAATTAAAAAATTACTGGACGCATCGTATTTTACATTCAAAAACCCAAAATGGCTCGTATTTTACTTTCAAAAACGTTTTCGTTTCAAAACTATTAATTGTAGATCAAAAATTAGCCATAATTTCTTCAAAATCCAGTTTTCGTTGTAAGACCCAGCACAAAAATTAAGTTTTTCATAAATCTTAAATTTTTTTTTAAAATTTAGTACAAAATGTTTATTTCACCATTTCTAAACCATTTCTTTGATTTTTCAATGCATACATGTAATATAATGCCAAAACCAAGTTTTCGTGTTAGGACCATTTTGGTCCCACCACGAAAACATATAAAATTTTGATTTTTGCATAAAAATCGATTTTTAATTATAATTTTGAAAAAGCTATTTTTTTAAATATATAACTTCTCATACTATGCTAAAAAATCAATTTTTCGTGGTAAGACCATTTTGGTCCCAACACGAAAACATCAAAATTCCAAAAACTGATTTAAAAAATATTAAAAATGGATTTTGTGACTAAAAACCATAATCACTGAAATTCCTTTTTTTACACTATTATCATTTTTTCAGAAACCCTAACCTTCCTAACCCCCTACTGGACAAAGTCATCTACCCCCTGTACCTACAAAACCCTGAAGGGTACTACCAAAAGAAGTTGTACCAAAAAAGCAAATGTAATTTGTGAAATCGACCCTATTCAACCAGTTATTCATTCTCCCTGTCCATCTAACTGGATTCACAACCCGAGAACATCAGCTTGTTATTATACAGCCAATGACATTAAGAGGTGGTCGTTAGCTGACAAGTTTTGTTGGAAAATTACCCGACCTTTCGATGTGGATGGTCATATTGTGACAATTCATAATGAAAGGGAGAATGAGTTTGTTGCTAGTGAGTTTTTGTGGTTTTTATTGTTATTTTGAAAGTTTAGAGATTTTTGAAAGAGTTAGAAATATAGGTAGCTAGACCGTTACCTTACATCTTTAAAATTTCGGCAAAGTGGGCGTAGGGGTAGAAGGGAGAAGTAAGAAATGGTGAAATTTTTTTTATGATCAGAGAAACACAGCTTCAAATTAAAAAAATTTCGTTGCGGGACCTAAGCTGGACTATTAAGGCCTTGGTTTAGTCCCCTGGGGCATTGGGGTTGGCCTCCGGCCTTCGGACCCACATGTGCTGGCCCGGCCTCTTTCAAAATTTTCTTCGTCCCAGGCCAGGCCGAGATCTGGCCCGACCTAGTGGGCCTCCTTCTAAGTCTACTGGGCTCTGCTAAAACGAAAAATAGCTTTAAAATATCATTTTTTTGCATTTTTTTTCAGAATTGGCATCAAAAACAGGTAATAAAAACGCTTATCTTGGAGCTATTGGCAACCCAAGTGATAAAAAATTATGGTCATGGTTTGATAGTAAGTATTTTGTTTTAAAAATTTAATTTTAGGGGGTTAAAAATGTAAATTTAGAAGTTTTGTCATTGAAAAACTGAGCTATAACTTTTGAAAACATAAATTTAGTGGTTTTTTCATTAATAATGAGGTTTTAAACAATTTTTTTGGTCAAAAATAAATTTGAAAATGTTTCATACCAGTGGCAACAATTTTCTGGCCTTATCATACATACTATTGGCAATAATTTTTTGACCTGCTCCTACTATTGCCAACAATTTTAAAGCCAAAAAATCTCCTAATACCTTCTTTTAGACACCTACTTCCCCTCATACTCAAATTGGGGTGAAGATCAACCCAATTCATCCTATAAAACATCCACAATTTTGGTTATGAATGTCACTTCAAAACAATGGTATAACTATCATCCTACTCGGGTCCTAGAAGATGTTGTTACTATTTGTAAATTCGATCTTTAATTTAGTCATTTCTAGGTTTTTGGATACTTTTCATTGTTTTTCTTCACTTTTTGAGTGATTTTTGACCTTTTTTGGGTACTTTTTGTTCCTTTTTGGATTATTTTTGTTCTTTTTGGGGATTGTTTGATCTTTTTTGCCATTTTTAGATAGACTTTTTAGTATTTTTACACTCCAAAAAGTTAATATTGTCTTCTATATAGTCCTTAATATCACCTACAATAATATTAGTTACGTTTTAGTATCGCACTTAAGCTCAGTGCTTCATTATCCTATAAAATCTCGTGAATAAAGATACTCATCATGGTTAATATCCACAATATATTTTTTTGTTTTTAGATAAAAAAAGTATGCTTTATTAGCCTTATATTACTATCTAGTGCCATATCATCATATGGCAATCTATTTTAATACGTTTATTCAATTTTAATAGCTTTCAAAAAGTCGTGTCGTTTTACCTATGAAAATACATATAAAATGACGACAAGACTTTTTTCAACCCCCTACTATAATATAAACCCCTAGCATGATATTATAACCCAAACATTCAAAAAACTTACCAATAAGAACCAGCTCAGCTTTGGTACTAGCCGTACCGTGCTCGTTCGTAGCCACACATCTGTAGTAGCCTTCACTCAGCTGATCAACATTAGCTACGATCAATCGTTGAGTTCCGTCTTCAGCAGCTTCGATTGTGATGCCATCTTTAGGTAACAGCTCCATGCCGTCCTTCATCCACTTGATCGTGGGGAAGGGTTCACCGTAAGGTAGACATTCGAAGGTGACAGTCTCTCCCAACTTGGCCTTCTTGATGGTCAATGGGATCGTGAAGCCTGGAGCCTTGCCCTTGTTCAACTGCTCGTTAATGTTGCGGGGTTGGCGACTCTTGGCGGTTACTGTGACTTGACCAGTCGTTCTTGCACTTCCAAAGTCATTCTCGGCTACACAACGGTAGGTTCCGGCGTCTGATTTGGCGGATTCTGTTACGACGAGCTCGGTAGAGCCGTCCTCGTTCTCCGTGATCTGAGCGTGACTATATGAATATAGACGTTCGCCGTCCTTGAACCATTTGATGGCCAGCTTCGGGGCTCCGGAGAACTTGCATCGTAGCGTGAAGCCGTTCTTCTCGTTCACGCGGATCGTCTCCAATGGGATCACCACCTTGGGGGCTTTGCCGGCTTCGTAGCCGTCGCCGAGGCCGCTGAGGTCTTCGGCCGGTCTAGCCGACTTCTTGACTGTAGCCGTGCATTTGTCGTGAGCGGAGCCGGCTTCATTTGAAGCTACGATACGATACATGCCATCATCGTCGAGTGTAGCCGATGGGATGATGAGGCGAGCGTAGCCGTCGGGAGTGAGTTCGAGTTGAATGCGGTCGGATGGTGAGACTTTGGCACCATCTTTGTACCAGACCACCTCGGGTGTGACATCCGAGTCTATGCGGCATTCCAGCTTCAGAGGCTGACCTTCGTTTACCCTAACATCAGATAGCTTGGCACTAATGTTCGGTGGCCGAACGTCCTTTCTGTCGCTCACAGAATCGTCCAGCTTCACAAAGGCCTTGGTTGTAGCAGAGCCGGCTTCATTCGTGGCTACACAACGGTAAGTGCCTTCGTAGTGTTGAGTAAAGTCCTTGATCAACAAGCGATAGGTACCGGCGGCTGGGTTGTTGTCCCATTCGTAGCGTGAATCGTCGAACAGTGGCACACCGTCCTTGGTCCACTTGCACGATGGCATTGGAGTGCCAGTAACCTTGCATTCCAAGGCTACATTCGACCCTTTTACCGTGGTAACGTCCTCCAATGGGATGATGAAGCGTGGAGCTTGACCTTCCTCAACCTTCAGAGGTTCGGCCTTTGATAGCTCCATGTCAACGTGAGCGTTACATTGAGTTTTGGCTTTACCGTGCGCGTTCTCAGCTTCGCAACGGTAGACGCCTTCGTCGGTCATGTTGCAGTCCTTGATGATGCATGTGCACTTGCCGTCTGGAGTGTTTTCGATCGTGATCTTGTCGTTGGGCTTCAGTAGCATACCGTTGCGGTACCATTTGATTTCGGGCTTGGGGTCTCCTTCGACTTCACAGTGTAGCGTGAGGGTTTCGCCTCGGTCGAGCCATTGATCGACCAGGCCTTTGGTGAAGAATGGTTCGGCTCCTTCCTTCTTCTTCTCCTCCTTCTCCGCGTGTACCGTGACCAGGCAGGCGGTGTTGGTGGTGCCGTTCTTGTTCGAGGCTACACATCTGTAGGCACCTTGATGTTGTGCTGTAGCTCCATTGATGCGAAGACGGCATGTTCCATCGTCTTCTTGATCAATCGATATAATGTCAGAAGCCGTGAGTGGGATACCATCTTTGTACCAGACGATGGAGGGCTTCGGCGTGCCTTCGACCTTGCACGATAGCTCCAGATTCTCGCCTTCGTTGATTTTGGCGTCGGTGAGGCCGGGGTTGAACTTGGGGGCGGATTCCTTCTCTTCGGCCGCTTCCTCGCCGCCTTCTGTTTCGATGCTCAGATGGCTGATGGTGTCGGCTACACCGTACTCGTTCTTGGCTACGCATTTGTATTGGCCACAGTGTTCTTGGCTGAATTCTGTGAATCTTACGCGGCACGCTCCGTCGAAAGAGTTGTCGATTTCGATTCCGGGCTGTGAGGTGAGTTCCTTGCCGTCCTTGAACCAGGTGATGTCGGCTCGAGGCTTGGCGTCGACGTGACATTCGATGCTGGTGGGTTGACGATCGATGACACGACGATCCCATAATGGCACGTTGAACTTCGGAGGGTATCCTTCCTCCTCCTTGGCTCCCTTTTGTGAGTCGTCCTCACCAAAGTTGGCGCTACACTCGGCCTTGCCGTTCTCGTTTGTGGCCGTGCACTTCAGCGTGCCAAAGTCGGCGTCCGTGACGTTCTTGATGGTGAGACAGAAGTTACCGTCGGCCAAATCTTCGACAATGATTCTTTGGCCATCGGCCGCTATTGGTCTACCGTTGAGAGTAAAGACGACTTCTGGCTTCGGCGTTCCTTTGACTTTCACGTTGAAGATGGCCGTGCCGTCCAACGGTGTCTTAGTATCCTTGAGTGGGATCACGAACTTGGGTGCTGATGGTAGTTCATCACCTGACAGTACCTTGACTACACAAGCACTCTCGGCACTGCCAGAATCGTTTGTAGCCACGACCTTGAAGTCTCCAGCGTCCTCCTTCTTGGCGTCCATGATTCTGAGTGTAGCCGTGCCGTCCAAGGCCAATCTTTGTACGATACGATCCGACGGTACCAGTTCTTGGCCGTTGCGGTACCATTTGACAGTTGGAGCGGGTTTTCCGTGGACTTGACACTTGAGAGTCAGGATCTCGCCTTCTGGAATCGTGGTATCTTGGAGTGGAGATACGAAGGTGGGCGTGGTCTTTTCTTCTTCCACCTTCTTCGGCCGAACATGTGCTACGCAGCCAGACTGTACATCACCCTTGTCCGTCTCGAACACGATACGATAAGCGGCTCCATCTCCAGGTTGTGACGATGGTACCTTGAGGGTGTATTCGCCGTTATCATTAGCTGATAAGATGACACGGTCCGATGGTGTGACTTCTTGGCCGTTCCTGTACCATTTGACTCCTTTTGGTACTCCTTCGACTTGACATGACAGTACCAGTTCTTGACCTTCGTCAAGCGTGACATCTTGAAGTGGCTTCACGATCTTCACGGTCTGAAGCTTCTTCACGGTCAATGGGGCTTCTGAATCACATGAGCCAGCCTTGTTCGAGAGTACCACCTTGTAGTCGCCGGCATCTTCGGCCAGTGACTTTGGCAACAGGAGTTCGTACTTCTTGGGCGATACCTTCTTCATCTGGACCTGAGGTGATTCGGCCAGTTCTTGACCGTTCTTGTACCACTTGACTTGACGTACTGGAGCCGAGACTTCCACTCGGAACAGATGTTCATCTCCTTCGTCAACGTCGCCTGGAATCAAGCCCTTGACGATCTTCGGAAGTTCGTCAACTTCAGCGACGGCCGACGATGTTGCTTTGCCTCCATCGTTGGAGAGTTGAACCTCGTAGTCGCCAGCGTGATCCAATTCTGAAGCCGGAATCGTGAGTTTGAAGGTTTTGTCATCGACCTTCTCCACGTTGAAGCTTGGCTCGTTGGTGACGTTCTTGCCGTCCTTCAGCCACTTGACGTCCGTGACTTCACCATCAACCACAACTTCGAAGATGATAGCATCTCCTTTGGCCACGATGGCGTCTTCAAGGCCTTTCACGATCTTCGGCGCTGGCGTGAGCTTCTTGTTCACGGTGAGCTTGGCTTGGGATTCGGCTGGACCGTGCGAGTTGGTCAACACCACCTTGAACTGGCCTTGATCCGTAGACTGAGCCCATTTGAGGACACAGCTGATGACATTTCCATCTTGAGTCAGTTCGATTCTGTTGTCAGGAGCAATCTCTTGACCGTTACGGTACCACTTGATGGTATGAGGCTTGGTGTTGGTTTCTACCGTGAACTCGACCCTTTCGCCTTCGATTACTTCTTGATCCTTCAATGGCTTCAGGAACGAGATCGCCTCTTCCACCGTGATCACGCCCTTGGATTCGTCGGATCCGAGGCTGTTAGATACGACAACCTCGTAGTTGCCAGTATCGTCCAAGGTGGACTTGGGGATTCTGATGGTGAAGGTGTTGTCATCGACCTTCTGGATGAGTAATGTAGCTGATGGAGTGAGTTCGGCTCCATTCTTGTACCATTTGACTTCGGTTGGGTTGCCAGAGGTCTAAAAATTAAATTTTTAAATTGTGCTTGTTTTCGTTGTGAGGCCCAAAACATTTCTTTCTAATTTTATGATTTTTCATGTTTTCGTAGTGGGACCCCCATTAAAAATATTTTTTTCGACACATAAAAAATGAGCAATTGTTTTCGTTTTAAGGCCCAAAAACAATATAAAATTTTTTTGAATTTTTTCCAAATTCCAAATTTTTCATATTTTCGTTGTGGGACCCAAAAAATTCCAACCGTAAACTACAGTATCGTACCTTAATAGCCGCCTCCAATTCCTTGCCAACCGGCACAAATTTATCGACCAGTCCATCCAGAATCTTTGGTTTCTCATTCACCTTTGGTGGTAGCTTCACAGTGAGAGCACAGAACGTTTCCGTTGGTTCATCATCATCATTAAAGACGATGGCTTTGAATGTGCCGGCATCATCGTCGTCGGCTTCTGGAATGACCAGTTGGAAGGAGTTTGGCTTGACTTCTGAAGCCTTGGGCTTCTCGCTTGGTCCCAATTCCTTGCCATTCTTGTACCACTTGATGGCCTTTGGTGGTCGGTCTGTTTCCAAGTATAATATGGCTTCTGCTCCTTTTGGTACCTCGGTATCTTCGAGGCCTTTCACAATCTTGATTGGTGGTAGTTTCACGGTAAGAGCAGCTGAAGAATCGGCTTCACCGTGATCGTTGGAGACGACCACCTTGAAGTCTCCAGAATCCGATTTTTCGGCTTCTGGAATCTCCAGAGCGTAAACACCTGGGGCCACTTCTTTGGCCTGTTCTGGTCCCAGCTCTTTGCCGTTCTTGTACCACTTGACCTGTTTGACTGGTCCGGCGACCTTGATTTGGAAGCGGGCTGGCTCACCAACTTGTACGGTCTGTGGGACCAAGCCTTCGACGATCTTGGGCTTCTCTCCGGCTTCTTTGCCTTCTCCTTCACCTTCCTTACCCTTACCTTCGTCTAGGCCGCTCTTGTCTTCATTAACATTGGCTGCAGACGATGCTTGGCCAGCTTCATTGGCCACTTGGACTGAGTAGCGGCCAAAGTCTTCAGCCTTGGCTTCTGGGATGTTCAGAGCGTATTTGCCATTGCCAAGGTCTTGAGCAATGTTGTCTGGTAGTGGTTCACCATCTTTGAACCATTTCACTGAAGTTGGGTTACCATCAACCTCCACTTCTAGTCTTATTGGAGCTCCTTTGGGTACTGTAGCATCATTCAATGGTTTTCTGAAGCTTGGAGCTTGTACTCCTTCGGTTACCGTGACCTTGCAGCTGGATTCAATAGACTGAATGCCATTGCTTAGGAAGACCTTGTAGCTTCCCGTGTCACTCAGCTCGCTGTTCTCCACCGTGAGGCTGTAAACTTCGTCGGTGACCTTCTGAATCACGACCTTGCTACTGCCGACTACTTCTTGTTCATCCTTGTACCACTTGACAGTCGATGGTTTACCTTCGACTTCAACTGACAGATGAAGCTTCTGGCCACGGTGAAGGCTCTGGTCTTGTAGTCCCTTCTTAAGCTTGAATTCTGAAGCAGGTTGCACGTTGAGTGGAGCCTTGGACGAGGCCGAGCCTGATGGGTTCGTGGCCTCGACTCGGTAGTTGCCCTGATCACCTTGGGATACGTTCTTCAAGATGAGGCGGTGCACACCGTTGGGTAGGGCTTCAATGATGACATTGTCCGAGGGTACCAGCTTCTCATTGCCCTTGTACCAGTCGACTTTGCTGTTGTCATCGTCGGCCAATTTGCATTCGAAGATCGCATCTTCTCCTTGTTTGGCGTCGACGGCTTCCAGCTCTTTTTCGAATTCTGGAGCTTTGACCTTGGGGGCTAAAATTTGGATTTTAAAATTTAATTTAAATTTTGAAAAATTTTAAATTTCAAAATTCTTTTTTCAAAACCCCCCCCCCCAAAATGCCCTTAAACCCCCTAAACCTACTAGTAACAGTGAGTATAGTATCGGACCAAACATCACCGTGCTCGTTGGAAGCTGAGCATCTGAAGTCTCCAGCATCCTCAAGCTTACAGTCCTTAACGATCAGCCTCTGAATTCCATCAGCTTCACTTTCAATCTTGAACTTGGCATCAGCTGGACTAATCTCCTCTTTGCCACGGTACCACTTGATGGTTGGGAATGGTGCTCCCGTGACCTTACCCACGAAGACAGCATCCTTGCTCGCTTCCACGATGACTGGCTTCACTGGTTGAACGAAATCTGGAGCTTCACCGTCAATCTTCGGCGCGTCCTTCGACGTGACGACGATGGGGCCTTCGGTCCAGGCCGTGCCATGATCGTTCTCGGCCAGACAACGGTACTCGGCAGAGTCGTCCATCTTGGCCTTGTTGATGGTCAACGTGCAGCGACCGTCCTCGGCGTACTCCAACTTAACCTCGTCCGAGTCCTTGATCTCAGCACCATTCTTGTACCACTTGATGGTTGGGCGTGGTGCTCCTTTGACTTCGCACGATAGTACCGCTTTCTGTTCTTCTGGTACTGTGCATGATTTGAGAAGCTCGACGAATTCTGGAGCTCCTTTTCCTTGGCCTTCGCCGGCTCCGGAGTCTAGAATTAAAGAGTAAGTAAAATGTATTGAAAAGTTGTCATAATGACATGAAAAATGTGTCATAATGACTAAAAAAAATAAAAAGTTGTTATTCTAGCTAAAAAATAGCGTCATTAGGATTAAAAAAGTATCATTATAATGTTTAAAAAATGTCATAATGACATTGAAAATAAGTCATGATGACATTGCAAAAGTGTCATTATAATGTTAAAATTATGTCATAATGACATTTAAATAGTATTTTTATGATATTGCAGATGTCATCATGTCATTTAAAAGGCGTCATTATGACATTAAAAAAGAGTCACAATGACATTAAAAAGTTGTCATCATGACATTGGAAATGTGTCATTATGACCTTAAAAAATTGCCGTCAAGACATTTAAAAAGTGTCATCTTGACATTAAAAGAGTCATTATGACGCTAAAAAAATGTCATCATGACATGAAAAAAGTGTCGAATATGCACTCAAAATTCAAAACCAAAGAATAGTGTTGAAGAAGTAAAAATTACCAGTGACAGTGAGAGAGGCGGCCGTAAAGGCTTCTGAATCCTTGGCTTTTACCGTACATTGATACTTTCCGGAATCCTCGATCTGAGTATCCTCTAGTTTCAGCGTCAATGTGCCATCAGCGTTCTTCTTGGGACTACCTTTGGACAATGGGGTACCATCTTTGCTCCATTCCACTTGGACATCTGGGTTCTTGGCCGTAGCTTCGTCAAGTTTGCATTCGAAGAGGGTTTCCTTGGCCTTCTGAACTGTTTGATCTTGTAACTCCTTCTCAAAGCCGATGAAGCCGGCCTCTTCTTCTTGGCCTTCAATTGTCGAGATTTGGGCGTACTTTAGTGCACCAATGGTCTTGTCGGCACCGGCTTTGTTGACGGCTTCACAACGATACTCGCCGACGTCTTCTGAAGTCGCCTTCAGAATCTTGAGTTTGATGGTACCATCCTCTGACTGTTCTAGTACCAAGTTCTGAGTTGGCTTCACTTCGTGACCGTCCTTGAACCACTTGATCTCTGGCTTCGACTCCGGATTCACCTTACAAATCAGCTCGGTCGGCTTGCCTTCTTCGATGTTCAACTGCTTCAGAGGCTCGATGAACATCGGAGCCACATCTTCACCTTGTTGTTCTTGACCTTCTTGGCCGAACTTGAGTTGGCCGATGCTCTCCTTCCTTCCGGCTTTGTTCGTAGCTTGACACGAATAGGTACCGGCGTCAGCTGTGGTAGCATCGTTGATCGTCAGACTATGTGTACCATCTTGTTCCTTCTTGCTGACAATGTGTTGGTTGTCGATGTGAACGGGCTCACCGTTCTTGGTCCACGCCACTTCTGGCTCTGGCTTGCCAACAACCTTGACTTCGAGTTTCACTGAGTCGGCTGGACTGACTTCTAGATCTTCTAGTGGTTTGATGAATTCTGGAGCTTCAACGTCTTCAATAACACCAAGGTTAGCCTTGGATTCATCAGAGCCGGCTTTGTTAACAGCCTTGGCACTATAAGTACCAGCATCAACGTTCCTGGCGTCCTTGATTGTCAAAGAATGTTTACCATCAGCAGACTTTGAAGCTATAACATGTTCACCATCCAACTGGACTGGTCTTCCGTCCTTGAACCACTGAACTTCTGGCTCAGGCTTTCCAGCTACTACAACATCGAACTTGGCCGTTTCGGCTTCCTTGATCTCTACTGGCTTCAGACCTTCAATGAACTTAGGAGCTTCAGCTTCTTCCTGAACTCCAAAGTTGGCCTTAGTCTCAGCTTGGCCTGCCTTGTTGACAGCCTGGCATGAGTACTTGCCAGCATCAGCCAGTTGAACGTCCTTGATCGTGAGCGAATGTTCTCCTTGAGCGCCGTCCTTTCTGATCACATGACTGTTGTCAATGTTGATTGGAGTGTTATCCTTGAGCCAAGTGACTTCTGGCTGGGGCTTTCCAGTAACTTGTACCTTTAGTTCGGCCGTATCGTGTTCGGCCACTTCCAAGCCTTCTAGAGGCTGAACAAATTCTGGAGCCACGAACTCTTCCTTCTCGACCGCCATCTTGGCTTCAGATTGATCTGATCCAGCCTTGTTGGTCACCTTCACAGTATATTCACCTTCATCTGAAGCACGAGCGTTCAACACCTTCAACACGTAGCTTCCGGTAGCGTGATCGGAGAGAATCTTGACATGGTCGGCTTCTGGCTCAATCTTCTTACCATCCTTGAACCATTCCACCTCAGGTTGGACTTCTGGGTTCACAGCGACCTTCACGCCCATCTCTGTGGTCTCTCCTTCCTTCACCTTGGTCTGCTTCAGACCGTCTGTGATCTTTGGCTTCTCCATCTTCGGTCCAGAAGCCCTAACTACACATTGACAGGTCACTTCGCCTGCGGCATTCTTAGCCACAGCCTTGTACTCTCTGAGGTCGTTTTCCTTGGTATCTTTGATCACCAACCTCCAGTGAGTGTTGGAGGCATCGTGTTGAACAGCGACACGAGTGCCACTTTGAAGACGAACATTGTCCACAACCGAATAGAACTCAACGTTCGGTTGAGGTGTTCCGGTGACACTACATTCGAGAATAATCGTTTCTCCAACCTTGATTTCCTTGTCCGATAAAGGCTTGGTGAATAGTGGAGGTTGTGCTAAAATTTGTGCGATTGTGAGGTGGATAAAGTGGCAAAAAACGGGTATAACCAGACAAAACCTGAGGTAAAACTTTAAAAACGGGTATAAATATCAAAAAATTTTACATTTTTATGTGAAAAAAAAATCAAAACTTTGTGCTAAACTTCAAATTCAATCATAAAATTGTCGAAAAAAGACCAAAAACGGCCGAAAACAAACGATATTCCATAATCCAATAAATTTTTGACACTTCGTCTAATTTTCCGATAATTGAGTGACATTTCGTCCAATAACCAAAAATCAAACTACGGTGAAAATAAAGTAAAATTTACCTTCAACAGTAACCTTGGCTTCAGTCTTGGCTTCTCCAGCGTCATTCTTGGCCACACACTTATATTCACCTTGACTCGACACTTGAGCCGATTCAATGATAAGAACTTGAGTTCCGTCTGGTTTGCTTTCAACCTTGATTGGTTCTCCAGTTTCAGCTACTGGCTTGTTGTCCTTGAACCAGGCTATAGCGGGCTCTGGGACGCCGGTAACCTTGCATTCCAGGACGACTTTCTCCTTCAGTGGCGTGGACTTGTCTTGGAGCTTCACCGTGAATTCTGGAGCCTTGTTTTCTGGTGCCTTCTTCTCGAGAGCATCTATAATATGTGGTTTTTATTTTAGGTATGTTTTTGATTGACAAAATTTGGTTTGACTGTTGTTTTTTTATGATTTTGTGACATTCACCATCTAGTGTAATATAATTTTGATGAAACTTGAGATTTTCGGTATTTTATAAAGGTTTTTGCTTTCGTAGCTTATTAATAACATTCTTTGGGACGTTTTTTATATTTTAAATCTATATTTAGTTTAAAAACGTCACAAGAATAAAGTTTTAAAAAGATTTTTATCGAAGAAGATCATGAATAATATAAAAATTTCAATTTTTTCATATTTTCCCCAATCCAAAGGTTTGATAACTTACCAATAACAGTTAAAGTAGCTTCACATTGATCTTTTCCAGCAGTATTCTCCACAACAACGGTGTATTTACCAGCATCTTCAGGTAAAACATCGTCGATGATAAGTTCGTTCGCAATATGGCCATCGATGGTTCTTTGTTGGACTCTGATTCTGGCAATGAGTTCAATTTCCTTGCCATCCTTGAGCCATTTGCAGCACACGCCCTTGGTGTCGGGGACGACACACTCGAAGATGGCTTGGTGTCCCTTCTTGGCGGTGGTATCCTTGATCTTGGTGATGAAGGACGGTGCCATGACTGGTGTCGGGGTTCGTGTCAGTTCTTCGCGAGTGTCTTCTTTGAAGTCTTCGAGTCGGTCTTCGGCGAAGGCGTCAGATTCTGATTCCGAGACCATGTCCGAGGTGTACAGGATCATGTTGGCCGTGCACGATACTTCGCCGGCATCGTTCTCGGCCTTGCAGATGATCTCTCCGACGTGAGCTTCGGGGTTGAAGCTGTTGATGGTGAGGATGGAGGTGTTGTCGGTGGTTTTGATGGTGATTCCATCGACTCCATCCTTCACCTCCTTGTTGTTGATGTACCAGTATAGTACTGGTTTCGGGTCGCCGGTGAAGACGACCTTGTGCTCCACCTTGCTTCCGGCACGGGCACGCACGTTCGAGAGCCATTCTAGGAAGTCTGGAGGTTCACCGCGAGGTAGTACCTTCAACATGGCTTCTGATGATGCTTTTCCGAATTCGTTGACGGCTTCACACAGTACTTTACCGGAGTAATCCATGGTAATGTCCTTGATGGTTACCGTGTACGTTCCCTTCTCGGCGTGAATCTTGATTTTCTGTGATTCGACCAGCTTTTTGCCATTGACGTACCACGTTACGTCTGGCATGGGTTCTCCTACTAGGACAGCCTTCAGTTTGAGGGTATCTCCTTCACGGCACGTTGCATCACATAACGATGTCTCGAATTCGACTGGGATCGGGGCGATCACGGTGAGTTTGCCTTCCGTGCTGACTTCGCCCATTCTGTTCACGGCGGTGACCTTGATCTTGCCAGTCATGTCGGTGGTGCAGCCATGGATAACAAGCGAGTAGACACCGTTCTCGTTCTTGATCTCCGTGTCTTCGGTTTGGCACACCAGCTGGTCGTTGATGTACCACTTGGCGTTTGGTACTGGGTTTCCACTGATAAGGATACTGGTTTGGAGACTGTCACCTTCTTGGATCACCAAGGGTTGGAGTTCTGATAAGAACTGGGGTTTGGACTGCATCTGTTTGCGTTGGACGGCGATGCTGGCGGCGGTTTCGGCCGTACCGTACTGGTTCTCGGCCTTGATGCTGATTCGGCATTTGTCCGTGAGTTGAGCCTGGAGGATCATGAGCTTGCATTGGCCGTTCTCGCTGATCTCCACCTTGATATGGTCATCTGAGACGAGAGGTTGGCCATCCTTGAACCATGAAGCTGTTGGCTTCGGCTTCACTTTGGGGTCGAGTTCGGCCAGCATTACCACCGTCTCACGTTCGTCCACCAGCTTGTCCTCGAGGTTTCGGATGAAGAGTGGGGCACGGCCGACCTCTTTCACGATGAGTTGAGCGTTCTGTTTCTTCGTTCCTTTAGAGTTTGTAGCCGCGCATGATACCTCACCAGTCTGTTCTATCTTGGCATCAGTGATCTCTAATGTGTGGGTATCGCCTGAGGCTGATACCTTGATGTTGTTGGCTGAGATGGGTTTGTCATCGATTGTCCATGTGACCTCGGGCTCGGGGTAGCCGACGATTCGGGTCACGAACTTGGCACTCTCGCCTTCGTTGATCTGGCGATCGGACATGTCGGTCATGAACTCGGGAATGTCACGTTTCTTGCTGACTGTGAGGTTGGCTTGGGCTTCGATTCGGCCGTGCTCGTTTTCGGCTACGACCTTGACTGTGCCGCTCTGAAATTTAGTGTTTTTTACTTTTACACATAATATTATTGTTGATCAAATAATTCTGAGCCTCCGAATAGCGAAGATTTGTTTTGAGAGGGGGTGCAGAATTATTTGAACAACCTAATGTATGGTAAAATACGGTCTTTCCTTGTGTTTTACGATAACTACAGCCTACTACAATATGTTTTAAGCGCTAAACATGCATTTATCTCCAATTTTCTTTAAAATACGACTTTTTCTAGCCTTTTCTTATAACTATAGCCTACATAATATCCTCTTATCACCAAAAATGGCCTTTGATATCTTTAAATTCAAAATTACCTGCGGAATGGTAGGTTTGTAGATTCTGATGGAAGTTTTTCCACTTTCAGCATCGTGCTTAACCCTGATCACATCGCTGTCCTTGACCTCTTCTCCATTCAGATACCATGTCACCTTGGGGCTTGGCTTTCCACTGACATAGGCACTGAACTTGACTGATGCATCCTCCTCCGTCTCCGCATCTTGAGGTACTTTACTGAACTTGGGCTTGTCTCCGGCTACTTTAACTTCGATTTTGGCTGATGAGTCAGTGGTTCCGGCCGGGTTCTCGGCTTTCACCGTGAGCTGACCGTTCATGTCGGGGGTGGCGTGGGACAGGGTCAGGTGGTAGGTGCCATCGCCATGGTCCGCGATCTGCAAAGTGTGTGGTTTTTAATGTTCCGGTGGTCGAGAGTGGGGGATTTTGATGATTTAGAGTGATAAAAAGTGATAAAGGTGGGGAATATAAGTTTAGGTATAAAAAGATGATATGTGAAGCTGTGGATCAAGGGATATTGTTGTTGTGGAGATATTGAATTGAGAAGAATATAATAATATATCTATTCGGTTGTTCAAATAATTCTGTGCCCCCTCAACGCATTGAAAGAACACAAAGACAACAATTTCAAAAATGAGGGGCACAGAATTATTTGAACAACATAATCATTGATATCTAACACAATATAATAAACCCTATGTAGGCATGGCACTCAGTAGCCTTACCTGACACTGATCCCCATTCTCCAACGGTTTCCCATTCAAAAGCCAAGTCAGCTTGGTGTCAGGAGTCGGGTTCTCTAGAGCAACATCGTACCTGATCGGCTGTCCTTCATTGACAGTCTTATCAGTGAGATTGGCTTTGAAGATGGGTGCTTTTAGAGCCGGCTTCACGTTCAGGTTGGCGTTGGATTCGTTGGCGCCAGCTGGATTCTCGGCTTTCACACTGACCTTACCCGACTGGTCGGGTGTGGCGTTCGGGATGGTTAGGGTGTAGGTTCCGTTTCCGTTGTCGGAGATCTGAAATTGGGATTTTTTAGGTTTTTTATGGATTTTTAAGGTAAAAATATTGACATAGGCACCAGAAAAAAATTTAAATTTCAAAGAAAAGCCTACAACAACATCCCCAGTCCCCAAAAAGCCCCTTTACTAGTATACCACTCTTACCTGAGCATTCGGACCAGCCTGAACTGGATTTCCATTCAAGAACCAAGTCAACTTCGTATCTGGAGTTGGATTCTCCAGCGTCACGGTGAATGTAGCCGGTTTTCCTTCGTCCACATTGGCGTCAGTAAGGCCTTGTTTGAATATTGGTGGCTTTAGAGCCGGCTTCACGTTGAGATTGGCGTTGGAATCGTTGGATCCGGCCGGATTCTCGGCTTTAATCGAGATTTTACCGGTCTGGTCAGGGGTGGCGGATGGAATGTTGAGGGTGTAGGTGCCGTTTCCGTTGTCCGAGATCTGAAAGTTTTGGTTTTTAGGTGTGAAATTTAATTATCTTGGTATTTGGTGAATAAAGTTTGATAAAATTTAAGGTCTGGGTTATTGAAAAATGGCATTTTTGAGGAAAGATCATTCAAAAATTGAGTCTTCTGGCTAGAATTCTTCAACAAATTTCATTTTATACCTAAAACATTGAAGAAACTTAAGTTTAACACCTAAAAAAGCATAGAGAATCATGTTTTAGGCAAATAAAAATTTAAAAAAAAAGTTTTAAGCTTAAAAAATCGAAGAAAATCAAGTTTTAGACCTAAAACAATATAGAAAATCAAGTTTTATACCTAAAAACCCACAGAAACTCAAGTTTCCAACCTCCAGCTTATCAAAAACTCCACTTTCCTAACCTAAAACAACATCTGGAAGTCAATAAACTTTTGTTACACTACCCACAGGCCATAAACTTGACTCATAAGACATCAAAAACCCAGTCGATATTGTCGTACCTGAGCATTTGGCCCATTTTGGATGGGTGTCCCATTCAAAAGCCAGGTGATTCGAGTGTCGGGCGTGGGATTCTCGAGGACGGCCGTGAATTGGCCCGGCTTTCCTTCGTTTACATTCTGATCGCCGAGGCCTTGTTTGAAGATTGGTGGCTTCAGGGCTGGCTTCACGTTCAGATTGGCATCGGATTCGTTGGCTCCGATTGGATTCTCGGCTTTTACCGCGACTTTGCCGGCGATGTCTGGAGTCGCGTTTGGAATGGTTAATGTGTAAGTTCCGTTTCCGTTGTCGGTTATCTGAAATAGGGTTTATTACCTAAAATAATGTCTGAAATTAGAGGTTTTTGATATTATGTTAGGTAGGAAAGGCTTGATTATTCCTTTTTAGTTGAATATTTTCTTAAAAATCAAAAGATCCTAGCTTATTTTACGGTTTTTTACCTAAAATAATGTTTGAAATTCAATGTTTTTGATATTGTTTTAGGTAGAAAAAGCATGATTATTGCTTGACAGTTGATTATTTTATAAAAAAATCTAATTTTCCTAGCTTTTTTTAGCCTTTATCACCTAAAATATTGTTTTAGAAGCTCGATTTTTAGTCAAAAAGACCTTTTTTCAAACTTTTAAAGGCTAAAATAATGTTTTTACAGATTTTAATACCTAAAATAAGGTTTTTAAACCTAAGATTTGTTTAAAATAACCGTTTCAAAAGCTTTTAAGGCCTAAAATAGGGTTTATGTAAGCTTTGTTTTTGTCTAAACGACTGTTTTCAAGCCTTTAAAACCTAAAACAATATCATTAAGCCTTATGTTTGAGTCTAATTGAGCCTTTTAATACCTAAAATATTGTCTTCAAGACTTAGTTTTCCCCTAAACAACCTTCTCAAAGCCTTATGAAGTCCAAAACCCTGTCCTTACCTGAGCATTAGGTCCGTTTTCCAATGGTTTTCCATTCAAACTCCAAGTAACCTTGGTATCTGGAGTTGGATTCTCCAATGTTACCGTAAATGTAGCTGGTTTACCTTCGTCAACATTGGCATCATTCAGCTTCTGTTTGAATATTGGTGGTTTTGGAGCCGGCTTAATTTCCAAATAGGCGGCGGCCTTATCTGAACCATGAATGTTCTTGGCCTCGACTCTGACTTCTCCACCGTTCTCCAGTTTCGTGTCTTTCACGGTGAGTGTGTAGCGATTGCCATCGTCCGAGAGAACAAAGTTGTCGGCCGAAGCTGGGACGACCTTGTTATTAACGACCCATTGGACTTCGGGCTTTGGCTCGCCAGTGATAACGGCCGAGAACTGGACCGTCTCTTTCTCCGTGACTTGAGCTCCTTTCGGCCACTCCGTGACCTTTGGTGGGGAGCCTTTGGGCGTGACGTTGAGGTTGGAATCTGAATTCTGTTTTCCGGTTTCGTTCACCGCCTCCACGCCCAGTTTTCCGGCGTGATCTTTGGATACGGATGGTATGTTGAGGATGGATTCGGGGCCGTTCTGATTGATTTGCACTCCGTTTTGGCCGTCTTTCAACGGTTGACCGTTCAACGACCAGTTGATTTGATCGGCGTTCGGAGCGTTCACGGTGACCTTCAGAGGTTCGCCTTCTTTGGCGTTCAAATCGCCTGGTAGGTCTTGTTTGAAGCTGGGTAGCGGCTTCTGTTTTTTCTTGACTTCGAATGTGGATTGGGCCGAGTCTTCGCCGGCCGAGTTCTTCGCGGTTACTGTAACATTGCCAGTGTGATTCATGGAGGCATCGTTCACTCTTAGCATGTACTGATTACCGACTTGACTGAGGGCGAAGGTCGGATTCTGTGGCGTCACGAGCTCACCGTTCACCCTCCACTCGACCTGAGGTGTGGGCTGGACTTGGCTGACTTCGGCTGAGAAGAGTACCACTTCGTGTTCGTGTACCGACTTGTTGGGTGGTCCCTTGGTGATCTTTGGTGGTTCGCCCTTCTTGTCTACGACTAGCTTCGTCTCTTCCGACGCTTTGCCGAACTCGTTCTCGGCCGTCACACCTAGAACGGCATTGTTCATGTCTGGTTTGGCTTCTGGGATCCTCAGAATAGATTCACCGTGCTCTGTCGTGACCTGAGCTCCTGGAACGGCTTCAATGATTGGCTTGTCGTTGTAGCTCCAGTTGATCTTGGCTTCTTCTGTGAACTTGACATTGAGTACTACTGGTTGACCTTCTTCCACCTTAACTACTGGGTTTAGGCCACCGTGCGAGAAGGTGGGACGATCAGCTACGTCAAGCCTGGCTAGGCTTTGGATCTGATTGTCACCTGAACCGGCTTCGAACTTGATGGTTGTGGATGATTGGGCCGATTCGATGATCAGAATGTGTTCGTTCGGCGCTCCTTGAGGGAATCTGATGCCTGGCGTGCCTTGGGCCAGTAGCTGATCACCCATGAACCAGCGCACATTGTCGGCGTTCTGGACGTTGGTCTGAAACTGTGCTTGATGTCCACGTTGGACTCGTTGGTTAAAGAGCTCCTTCTGCATTACGAGTTGTTGTTGGGCTTGTTGTAGCTGGTCGAAGCCGGTGCCGTGCTGTACGTTGGAGTGGGCGTGCTCTTCGAAGCGTTCGATGGATTCACGACGATAGGGTTCTTCTTCGGCTTCGAACGAGATGACGTTTCGGCCACCTTCTTGAAGTTTCTCGTGTGAAATTGTTGTGGTTGGTTCTCCAGAATCCGAGCTTACGTTGAATTGAGCGGATTCACGTAGCTTCTCGTGTTCAAACTTTGACGAGTCATCTGTAGCTTGTGTAGTAAAGAGTTGGGCCATGCCCTCATCTGTACCTAGTTTATTTTCGGCTACAATCACGATGGTGGCTGGGTTCGGAAGCACGTTCGTGTCGATGTGAAGCTTCGTGCTACCCGACTGTGAATCTGTTTCTATCGTCGTGCCCTGCGTCGAGTTCCACACCTTTTTACCGTCAATGTACCAGGTGAATTCGGCCGCGGGAACGGCGTCGGCTTGTGCTTCGAATGTGACACGTTGGCCGATGGGCACGGTCTGATTCTGGGGCTTCTTCTTCAGAATCGGCTTCTGTTCCTTTCTGTTCATGTTGAGTTTGGCTTGGCACGTTGCTTCGCCTTCTGAGTTTGTGGCGGTGCATGTCACCGTGCCCACATCGTTGAGATCAATATTGTGAATTTCGAGTTTTGAGCTTCCGTTGAATTCACGGAATTTGAATTTTTCGTTCTCGGTCACGGTGACACCGTTCACCTTCCAGGTTAATGTAGCCTTGGGTTCGGCGTCCACGGTGACTTCGAAGACGGCCGTGTTGCCTTGGAGTTCGGTGACGTCGGTGAGGGGCTGAACGAATTCCGGAGCCTTCTTCTTCTTCTCCAACGGTAGCACGATCAACCGTGCTTTGGTCTCGAAACGGCCAATTGGATTCTCAGCTCTGCACAACACTGTGCCGGCGTACTTTGACGAATCCACAACCAGTTTGTGGTCGCTTCCGTTGACGTCGATCTTTACGTGCTCGTTGTTGGCTTCGAGCTTCTCGCCGTTGATGAACCAACTCACGGTGGGGTTGGGGCTGCCTTTAACGCAAGTTGTGAAGGTCGCCTTCTCGCCCATCTTCACGGTCTGGTCCTCAATGTCCTTGAGGAAGGTGGGAGCACTTCTCGAGTCCTCTTCCTCCGGCTCCACCACCAAACGTGCTCGACTTTCGGCTTGACCGTGCTCGTTGATGGCACGGGCCAACACCTCGCCATCGTGCTCGGTAAGAGAACAGTTCTGAATGGTGACCTTGTAGTAGTTGTCGCGTTGTACGATGGCTACTCCATTCACACCGTCCTCCAGCTTCTTGCCCTTGAGGAAGAACTCGACCTTGGGGTCGGGGTAGCCGCTCACGTCCACCTCGAACATGACGGCCGACTTTTCGGTGACGATTCGGTCCTCCAATGGTCGGTCGAACTGTGGTGGTAGTGGGGGAACGCGGACCTTAAGGCGCGCATCACAAGTCGTTGTTCCCAGCCGGTTTTTACCCTAAAATTTCGAACTTTTTAGTTTTAAAGGGTCATTTTGAGAGTAATTTTGAAATTTTTCATAACAGTTTCATATGTATATTCATTTTTTCATATACTATTAAACAAAATGTGTCTTTCGAGGAAATTAAGTTAGGTTATTTCACTTTTTCTTCAGTTAAGATGACTCCCACCACGAAAACTCTCAAAATGAATTTTTAAGCTTATTTTTATACTACATAGCATGATAATGGTTTTTAGTAGGTTTAAGTGTGTTTTTTCCTAATTTTTGGCTTTTGGTTTAAATTTAGGTCCCACTACGAAGACATGGTTTTAATGTAAAATACGCCAAAATGTTTCCATCTTACTTTATTTAACTAAAATCAACCATAAGAACAAAGTATTATCATTGAAAATTATGAAATATATAGCAAATTAATATATTTAAAATTTTTTTTGCCATTTCATTTCAATTTTGCCCTGATTTCTGGTTTTATCAATTATTTTCGCACCGAAAAGCCCCTGAGGGCAAAACTGGATGCGTAGGCGATGGAATGCCTTTTTTACTTTTTTTAAAACATTCTCCGGGGGCACCTGTCGGCTTTCATGGATCGGTTCGGGCGTTTGAGATAAATAAAAGCCAAAAAGTGCATTAAAATTAGTTATAAATTGTTATAAATAAAGCTCTTTTCGAAAACAAAAACTTTTCGAAATTTTAAAATTTAAATTTCGAAAAAAAAGTTAAAAATTGCTGCAAAAAATATTGAAATATTCTAAAAATAGTGTAGTGTATAAAACTATCGTATTTCATAAAATATGTCTAAATATTGAAAGTTTTTAAGTTTTTCATGTTTTCGTGGTGGGACCTAAAATATATTTAGAAATTTACCAAAAATGATATGAAAACACATTTTATACTTGAAATTTCGTATTTTACTCAAAAAAGTCTAATCAACAAAAGCTTTGGTATTTTCGATGTTTTCGTGGTGGGACCCAAAATATTTTTAGAAATTTATCAAAAAGTAATATGAAAATCAAGTTTAAACTATGAAAAACGAACGTATTGTACTCAAAACAAAACAGTTTAATAAAGGTTTTGGAATTTTTCATGTTTTCGTGGTGGGACTCATGTAATAAAATCAAAAAATACTGTAAACGGCCCGCCAGTTGTCGTATTTTACCCTCAAAAGCCAAAATTCAAAATTTTTAAAATCGAAAATTAAAAAAATTCAAAAGCAAAGTAAAATTTAAAAAACCCCAATTGAATACTCACCTCACAAGTGACAGTGCCATCGAAGTGTCGTGAGACGTCTTTGATGGTGACGATGCAGATACCGTCTTCTGATATGAATTTAATCTTTTCTGATGCTGTCAATGGGTGGCCATTCACGTACCAAGCAATTTCCGGTTCTGGGTCTCCGGTTATGACAGCTTTGAATTTGACTGTGTCACCTTCGTCGCATTCAACGTCTTCGGTCACGGCCTACAATATGTAATATTGGGTCAGTGGCTCGTTCTTGTTATATTGTACATAACTGTTATAACTGCGACTAAAGTTTCATTTTTACTATTTTAAGATGAGAGAAAGCCTATAAAAAAGTATTACCATGTCCTACCCCACACTACTATACCCTATGTTACCTTACCCTACCCTAATCTACCTTACCCTACCCTACCCTACCCCGCCCTACCCTACCCTACTCTACCTTACCCTAGCCCTACCCTATCCTACCTTGCCTGGTAATACCATAGCCATATTGCTTTGGACTACTATACCCCCCCCCCTCCGCATACCCCTCCTTGCCTCAATATGTCCAAAGTTGTACCCTACTTTACCCTAAGCTACATTTCATACCATGCCCTGCCCTACAGTAATCATACCTCTTTATGTTCTTCACCTTACTCTACCCAATTCTTTGATATCCTACCCTACCCTTCCCTCTCTTATCTTATCCTACCCTACAGTATAACCATAGCCTTACTCTACCTTTCTTTACCCTACCTTAACCCAGCGGTACCCCTAACCATTCCAACATTGTAGTAGGTCTCCCCCATCTACATAACCCCAAAACACCCTTAGTCTTTACCTGAAACTCCGGAGCGACATGATTCTTGTCCGGGTCTGGTTGTACCACCAGTTTGGCATTGGTCTCTTTGGTACCAAATTCATTTGTGATTCTAACAGCATATATTCCAGTATCATCGGGTTGAGCATCACGGATCTCCAACGACGCCTTCTGCCCATCATACTGTAGTCGGAAGTCGTGTGAGGGTCGAAGCGGTTGTTCATCGACTAGCCACACCAACTCCGGCTCGGGCCATCCCTCCACCTCGCACTCAAAGTTCACGACGTCACCTTCCTTGCACTCCTGATCCCGCAAAGAGTTGGCAAAGGCTGGTGGCGCGGCTTCCTTCTCCACCTTCAGGACCTTGAAGAAGGCGGAGGTCGAGGCTTGACCGTACTCGTTCGTGGCTACGCATGTGTAGCGACCTGTGTCTGTGGCCTGAAAGAAGGTGAAGTATGGGTTGAGTAATTGAATTTACTGACTACCAATGGTTTATTAAAGCTAGTATTAAACGAAAATCGAGTACAATATTGTAGTAGAAGGTAACCTACTTGAACTGGGTCGATGGTCATGGCGAAGAAACCATCGTCATCGGCGTAGAATGTTCGGCGTTCGTCTTCTTTCAAGAGAACATCATCCTTGTACCTAAAGTGCCATTTTTATTTAAAAATTTATAAAAATTGCAATTAAAAAAATTTTAAAACAAAAAAATTACTTTATCCTCTCTTAATTTATCTTACTTTACATTACCTTACCCTACCTTATCATACTTTACTCTATGATATTCTACCCTACCTCACCCTGCTCTCCCTTAACCTACCCTGCCCTACCCTTAATTTACCCTACCCTACCTTATCCTACCCTACTAACCCCCCTGCAGTTGATAACCCAACCTCATCCAATCCATACCCTAGCCCCCTCATCGTCCCTTCTTCCAAAATCCCCCACCCAAACTCAAAAATATCTAAGTAAAAGTGACATACCATGTGATTTCTGGTAGAGGATATCCAGTGACTTTTAAGCACATTTTGGCTGAGGATTCCTGTAGCGTTCTGAATCCATATTGTGTTCGTGTCACTCGGGTACCTTGCATATCAAGCGTGGTACCGGTTGTCGCTGAAATTTTTATATTAAACTTTTTTTTTCGAAATTTTAAAAATTTTAAAAAATTTTAATTTCAAAATTTTTTTAAAATTTTTAATAAAAATAATTTTAAAAGCACAAAAGTTTAGTAATAAGGTAGTTTTTAAATGTAAAATACAATAACCAAAACCCTTAATAACTTCAAAAAAAGTCATGTCGTTTTTTAACGTTAAAAACAGTGTAAATTTGCGACAAGACTTTTCTACCCTTCAATTTACAATAATAAAAAAAAAACAACAACAAAAAAATAATCTAAAATACGCTAAAATATATCAAAATTTCAAAAAATTAAAGTTTAGTACTTACTCCAATCGATACTGGACCCCCCACTGTATAAGCTGGTCGATGAGCCGGTGGGCGAGATTGCCGGTGGGGATTTGATCTTTTTTCGTGGTGGACCTTCTTCTGGACCTGAAAATACAATTTTTATATCTAAACCTACAATTTTAAATCTAAAAAACAAATTTAAGATTAATTTGTTACCTAAAAATTAAGATTTTTTCAAAGTTTTTCCAAACTTTTTGGTTTTTTTGTGCCATTTTTAGCGTTAAAATAGCAAAAAATAAGTAGAGAAAGCATAGTACTGGTTAAACATAACTCGTACTATATAGTACTAACCCTAGAATATCTAAAAAAGTCAAAAAATGGGCATAAAACCATTAAAAATCATCTTAAAAATGGCATTTTCCCAAAATTTTTCCAAAAAAAAGTCAGTCGAACCGATGGCAGAAGTCGATTTCCGACTGATGGTCGAATACTCGCTGAACTCCGAATGCACATCACTGATGTTCACGTCAAAATCGGTCCCAGTGACCGTTTCCGACCCTTTTTCGCCAGCTGAAAAGTCTCGGAATTAGTCCAAACTCACTCCATGCTGGATCGACCAGTTCGATTCCACCGTCGTCGGCATCCAGAAGCTCGATCACGTACATTACCTTCAGCACCATAGCTGACTTTGGGCTGGCCTCAAGGGCCTGGGTTTAAGAATTGAAAATTTTAGGTTTTTGGGTTTAGTCCAGCCACGTTTGGGCTTATATTGTAGTAGGTTTGGGCTTAGGAATAATGTTTTTGGGCCTTAGAATTAGGTTTTTAGGCTTAAAAATAGTCTTTTTAGGCTTAAAAATCCTCGATTTTAAAAGTTTTTAATAACTTTAGGTAACACTTTGTATAAAATCGCCTGGCCTAGCCACCGGCAAGCTAATCAAACGGTCGAAACTTGAAAACTAAGCCTTTCGACCGAATTGAAAGCCCTTTGCCGTGCCTGGCTAGCAAAAAATAAAGGTTTTTAGCCTTATAAACTAGCCCGACTAATAGCAATATCTTAGTCAAAATAATTCTAGCCTAGCTCGAAAATTTAGTCCAAGCAAGCCTGGCCTAGCTCCAAATTGTAGTCCAAATAAGCCGGCCTAACTAGGAATAGCTCGCGCACTTTTTCCCAAAGTTTGTCGAAGAAAAGGCCCGCTAGGCAGGATGAGTAGGAGAAGCTTAGGGCCCACCGATCGGAACCCCCTCAGGCTCTCCGAGATCCGACCCGCTCTTTCTCTGTCCCCGCCCTCCGCTCTCGCCACACTCTCTCCGCGCCTGCCAAACTGCCTTTAATTGTGCCCTACGACAGTTGTTCTCGCTCCCCCGCAACATTTTCGTGGTAGTTTCGCTTGATCATGCCATCGTATTTGGATATTATAGTAGGCTAAATGTTGTGATAGGTGTTGGTTATATTGTAGTAGGTCTTTTTTTTTAAAATTACAAGTGTTTTGTATTCAAAATCCTCTTGTTTTGTTTGAAATTGAGCTTGCAAGAAGGGTGATCAAGGTTGGGGAGTGATAAAACATCATGTTATGGACCCGCCCTTCCAATGTTCAGAGAGACGGAAGTGCACCGATTACTCATACGATCAACAACAACAAAGTAAATATGGCAGAGCGGGTTCATAATTTACTCAGCTTTTCAGTTTTAGCTGGAAATGGCACCGAACTTAAAATTACAGTAAAATTTGGCTGAAAACGACCAAATTACTGTAATATTCAGCCAAATTACTGTAATATCTAGTCAAAAAACCAAACTAATGTAATATTTAGCCACAGAATTAAAGTTACTGTACCAATTTTTCAAATAATTTTAAAACTACTGCAATATATGCCTTGGCTATGCTTTTTTGACTGCAACATGCCATTTTAAACCCACATTTTATGCTTTTAAGTTCAAGAGATTAATATGATTTGATCCAGATGTCTCAGTTATGCCAAACCGCTTCTCTGTCATTACTTTTTGTTTCAAAATTTTAGTTTTTCTTTTTTTCAATAAAAATTTACATTGATATCAAAAAAATTATTTTTGATTTTTTTTTCGGAATTGGCATTGTGTTTCAAGCCTATAACTGTCATTTTTTTTGACTTTTAAGCGTTTTTCTTTGATATACTGATAGAAAACCTTTAAATATCATTTTTAAATTTGTAATTTTAGCTTGTCTAGAAAGTCAGAATAAATTGCTTGAAAAACAATGCCAAATTTGCCGAAAACTCAAATATTTAAATTTTAAAACTCAAAAGCACAAACTAAACTTTTTGCTTGCACTGTCAGTGATACCAAGAATTATAAAAACTCTGAGTTGCTTCTCAGTGGGACGGGCTGAGTACTTTCCTTGTTAATGTAAACTCTCCCTTTACAGTGCCATTTTTGTTAGAAAATAAGGGGGCGGGGAAGAAAGTATACCAGGTAATGTACGTGATCAAACTTGACGTCAACCTTAATATTGAGTTTACAAAACACCCAATACTACACAATATGATAACTGTGTCATAACAGATTCAAAAATCTGATTTTGGAAAATATTAGGTTGTTCAAATAATTCTGTATCACCTCAAAAAACGAATTTTTGGAAAAAGGGAGTACAGAATTATTTAAACAACTGAATAACATAAAAAAAATCATGGTAGTGCTATAAAAAACAAATTACTGCTTTTTCAAACCATGAAATCTTTAAAAAATCATCAGATACTATAAGTATACAGCATTAGGTATTATCAGTATACAAGGTCAAAAAAAGTATCATTATACAGCATCAGGTAGTACCAGTACTGTAGCACCAAGTAGAATGGAACTGGTCGATTTTATTTAATAAAAAAATACAAAAAATGAAAGCCCAAAGGTTTCTTAACAAGGAAAAACGAAATAACGAAGTCACAAACATCAACAATGTCTAAAATAACCATTTTACACCTAATCATCAGGTAAAAGTGAAAAATAAACATTTCATACCTAATCATCAAATAAAAAATCGTATTTTAGACATTGTTAGTGTTGAGAAGTAATGACTCACAAGGCATTTCCTGAAGATCCTTCAGCCACGCTTTTCGTGTGAATTCAGCCTGGACTGGGTCATGTTTCTTCAGTCGAATGTTCGGAAGACCTTGTTCTTGAGCTCGAAAGACAATACAGTCCTCATCTGATGTTAGTTGACGGACTATGTACTTGTCCAACTAAATTATATGAATTATAATATAAAGTTTAAAAAATCGTTTTTTGTTTAAACTTATCATAAAGAACATCGTATTTTACATCAATAACATTTATTGTACAACAATCTCTAAACTACACCACAATATTCCCTTCTATGTTAGCTTAATCTACCCTAACCTGCCCTAAACTATTTTGCCCAAGTCTACCCTACTCTAATCTACTCTACTCTACCCCATATACCACACCATAGTAATACTTAAATAGGACTTTAACACTGATTTACCATAGCATAACCCTAGCCTTCCGTACCTTGCCCTGTTCTACCCTAGCTTATCCTACCTTATTCTATCTTTCTTTACTCTACCTTACCTTGCCCTACCATACTGTACCATACCGTGCCCCTACTAAAATAAGAATCTAGTCCTGACCTAGCATAGCCATGGCGTAGTACAATATCATCTTCTAACCTATTACAGACATAAAACTACACCACTCGTATTTTACATCATAAGAAAATTAACCTACCCTGATAGTTAGTATGTGTTCATAGTTATCGTTGTCCTTTCTAGTGACCAACAGCATGTTTTTGAACAAAAAAACGTGTCTATCTTGAACTGCACCGTCATCTTCCCAAACGTCGAAATCTTCCTGAAAAGGCCATGTTATAATAGCCATATCTACACAAATTTTTATTTTTTAAAATTAAAATTTCAAAAATTATAAATTAAGCCCAAAAATAGGTAAGAAAACCGTATCTTACATGTCTGACAATCCCTCCAAGTCGACTGATCTCTCCCGGATACTTGGTGATCTTATTCGTAAGCGACAGGTCTTGAGCTCTTCTGGGTACTGATTGAATCAATTCTAGAGCTTTTTGCATACTCTTGGTACTGCAATTGGCTCTGGCTGAGTATTTGATGATTTCCTGAAAGATACAGTAAGTTATGTGTATATATGTAGGAGTTGGTAAAGTATTAGGTTGTTCATATAATTCTGCGCCCCTGACCTCAAAAATTTGCTTTGACTGGAGGCACAGAATTAATTGAACAACCTAATATTAAGGTAGCCACGTCTCTGACCATGATTTACGTTCCCTGACCACAACATACGTTACAACTTACCCTAAAGTAATCCTCGTACTTGCTGATCCGATCAGGAATGTCATTCAGATAGTCAATGTAACTCCGACTACCAGCTTCAACTTTGTCGCTCAAACTTTTCAAATAATTCGAAATCTCCTCATTCTCGTTGATGACCTTTAATGCCTCAGGCAGTTTGTTTAAAAACTCTACATGATGTTGAAAGTCCTTTTCTAGTCGGACGAAGGTTTGGCCAACTTTTCCTGGATCATCCGAATAGTACTGGAGACCTTTGAGCATTATACTAAAAAAAATTTCATTTTGAAAAAATATGCAAAAACTTTGTTTACAACACTGAACTTTGTAAAATTTTTTGTTAAATTTACTAAAACCGCAATAACTTTGTTTACAAAGCAAAACTCCTTAAAATTTTGAAAAACATGCAAAAACTTTCTTTACAACACCGAATTTTGTAAAATTTTTTGCTAAATTTAGTAAAGCCGCAATAACTTCCTTTACAAAAGCAAAATTTCAAAAAAACACCCCCATAATGTCAATTATAAACACATTTTACACCAACAAACCTAAAAAAACAAAAATTTAGCAAAAACTTTGTTTCCACTCACTTTGCATGAAAGTTGTAGAGTTCAGTAATGTTGAGAACAATGTCCTGAATACCAGCAATGTTTATGTCTTGAAAGGCTTGAATATAGTTGTCCAATAGACCCCGTAGATCGTCCACAAACTTCTCTTCCGTTTGTAGTAGGTCATGGTAGACTTGTCTAAAATATAACGAATTATCGATCAATTAGGCATTTTAGTCGTAAAATCCTTAGAAATATTTTTAAAAAAACGAAAAGGCTAATTTTAAAACATAAGAAAAAGAACTAAAAAAGGAAGAAAAAAGGGCTAAAACATAAGAAAACCAACTAGAAAATGAAGAGAAAAGGTCAAAACATTAAAAAAAAGGTCAGGTGTAGGGTCGGGTAGGACTAAAAGGGTCAGGAGTAGGGTCGGGTAGAGCCAAAAAGGTCAGGGGTAGGGTCGGGTAGGGCCACAAATTATAATTATATAATTATTTTTTATTTTTTTAGTTATACGGGGTCACAACCAACACGGGGTCACAACCGCCGCGGGGTCACAATCGCTTTTAGTGAAGAAAAACAGCTAAACCCCAAGGACAAAAAGCTAGAAAAAAAAGAAACAAAACTTAAAAGAAATAATTAAACTTAAAAATAAACAAAAAAAGAAATGAAACATCAAGAAAGAAAGCAGGCATTTCAAGAAGACGAACAAAAACCCTGTGAAAATGAACATAAATTCCCAAAAAAAACTAAAACTCAAAGAAAAAAGGCTAAACTACCAAATATATTAAAATTTTATACAATTTTCGACCTAATTACTAAAATACGAACTTATTTTTAACCATAAAGCATATTTAAAATAACAAAAAAAGATTATTTTTTGATCAAATCAATTGTTGCAACCCGTTGTTTTTCGCAGATCACAGACTATTTATGCTTTGATTCAAGCAGAATTCAAGAAGAATCAAAGCACAATTCGATAACTTAACAGAACTTACTCTCTTTTGAGTATTGCTTGCTGTTCTGGCGTCAGATTCACATCTTGGTTGGCCAGTTCTCGAGTTCGCCGCCTTTGTTTGTAGTAATTGGTCGGAGTCTCGAAGTACGAGCCTGGTACCCACCCTGTCTTTGGTGGTCTGGCCTGAAATTTTGATTTTAAGACAATTTTAAGTTAATTTAGGGTAATTTCAGAACGTATTTTACAAAATTGTAACAAAGAACAAGTTTATAAAGAAGATTATGAAAAAAATCTAATAAATTAGGTATAAAATTAAAATTTCAGATCTTAAATTTGGGTAATTTTAAAATTTTTTCATTTTTACATTTTCTTCAATTTCAAAAGCCCTTTTTCAATTTCATTTCTCGTGAATTCCTAGACCAAAACGGTCGATTTTTACTGTTACAACGCTGATAAAGGCCTCGAGATTAGTGAATTTGGAATAAAAAGAATCAACAACACTGTAAGTTCGAATGGTATGGGTTATGACAGTCTATGTAGGGGTAAAACGTTAACTTTTACAGCCTGTATAGAAGTGGGTTCTTAATTTTTTATTCACCACCCGCTCCAGCTCAAAAATTTTTTCGAAAAAAGTTCAGCTTGGTCCCCCCTGTGAACTTTTTGGGCAAAAAAAATTTTAATTTTTTTTAATTCTTCTCTACCCCCCTAAATAAACTAATATTACCTGCTCAATGTTATTCACCACGTATTTTACCTTTTTTTGCATTTTCATGTAATGATATTACCTAAAATTGCCAGAAAATAGCAAAAGTTCCTACTTTATGAGAGCTACAGCAACTAAGCCCTTAAGATCTTCTTTTCAGAAAACGTCAAAGCCACCAGATTAATCGTTATGTATTTCACAGAAGCGTTACTGTACTTGACTATAACAAGCTTTACGTTGCTGTATAGTGTTTTTGGGTGTGGATGTAAGAAGAACAACAAGAATCCGGTGGTGTCGCCCACTGGGACTCCTCCTCCTAGTCGTAGGTTTACTTTGTGAAATTATGGTATGAATGGCTGAGTATGGTAAGGAAGGGTAGAGTAGGGTGGGTAGGGTAGGATAGGGTAGGGTAGGGTAAGAATAGGCAGGGTTGGGTAAGGTGGGGGGGGGTATTTACAACTTCTCAAAACCCCAATTTTCAGCCACCGCCTCCCCCCGGGTCTCAAACACCTTCAGCTGCCCCTACTGGTGCTCCAGGCGCACCAAAGAGCCTACTCAAAAACAAAAGTGAGCTACCATCGTCATCGGTGAACGAAGATCCCGACCTCAAGACCAAGAGCAATTACGACATAAAATCAAAAACGGCCCAATCGGAACCAACAGCCCAGCCTGAGGCAAAGAAGGAGGCGGGAAAGAAATGAGAGAAAGAAGAAGAAGATGGCCTACAATAAGCTATAAACTCTGAGCTAGAGGCTTTTGTGATGTTGTAATTGGTATAAATATTACTTTTTATATTGTTAGATAAGAGGTGTTGGACTGTTTTTGTGGTTTTTGGCCATTTTTTCGATATTTTTGAGCTAAAGCTAGAGGTAATGCTAGGTCTAGGGCTATAAAAATGCGTTTTATTAAAAAGTTTTCAATTTTAAAATCGTTTTTAAGGCTTTCAAAAGTACATTCAACTCTGTACATTAATAAAAAGGTAATACCCTACGGCACTTAAATTAAAAAAGAGTCGATAACAGGGCCGTATTTTACAAAAATACAACATTTTTAAAAAATATTATCCTACCTTTGTCCTCACAAGCCAAGCGGCCGGATTACTATTCTCCAAAACTTCTACAATCTGCCCTTGTTCCAAAGTCACGGCTTCCGCTTCACTCTCATCTGGGGTAAAGTTCTGAATGGCAATGTAGACCGGGTAACTCCGCGTTTCCGAACCCTGAAATTTAAAGTTTTAGGTAATAAAAGTAGTATAGGTTAGGCAACGCGTAGAGATACGGATATCTGTTGATGAAGACGTATGGGTAAGCTAGAGCAAGGGCTACAGCTAGGATTAGGCAAAGGTCTCGGGCTAGAGCTTAGGCTAGGGCTCTGAGCTAGAGCTCTGGGCTATGGCTTGGGCTACGGATTAGGCTACGGCTTAGGCTAGGACTTAGGCTAGGACTTAGGCTAGGACTTAGGTCAGGGCTTAGGATAGAGAGGGCTAATACATGTAGTACTACACTGTAAAACAATTCTTTAACAAATGAAAAAAATTTTTACCGTAACGATTTCGGTCGATGAATTGCGACCCTGAGCTGAAGATGTTGATGTAACCGACTCGGAGCGGTAAGCCGACCGAGTTGAATGCGTTAGGTAACTGACATCTTCTTGAGCTGTATATCTTCTAAAACAACATTATTTTAAGGATAGCAGTCATAAATTACCGTAAAATTTAAAAAAATATATTTTATAATATTATTTTAATTTTTTTTTGTAAAATACGACTCATCCTTCTTTCTGGGGATAAGATAGCTAATATAGCAGTACGAGAGAGCTCATAAAACACTTGAAATTTCTATTTATAATGACCGTTTCACAACAAAAATTGGAATTAAAGCCAAAAATTTTTCATTCCCCCTCCCTTCAAATACTTATATGTCGCTAAAAGAAAAATGAAAATTTTAAAATTTTACCTGTAAGAATTGTATTTGCGTTGTAGCTGTCGCTGACGACGAGAAGCCATAGCGACAGGAGAAAGGTGGTGATAGTGCTAGTGAAAAGTGTGTTTAAAAAGGTTGGTCGTTCATTACAAAGGGCTTAGCTGCCACGCCCTGAAACACAATAAATTATAGTTTAAGTCTTGTATAACGAACTTTTATATCACGAACTTCTGTATAACAAAGTCTTCTATAAAGAACTCTTTTATAAAGGTAACCCCATATAACAAACTTCTCTCTTGTAACTTCCCTAGTCAAACACTACAGAGTGCATGTGAAACTCCTCTATACCGAAACTGCTTTATAACGAACAAATTTAAAAACCCCGAGCGATTCGTTACACAGGAGTTCTATGGTATTGTATAGCTACAGAAAGAAAACTTTATAATAATATTTTACATATATTGTAAGCCTAAGACGAATATTAAATTTTTCAAATAATTCTGTGCTTCCTGACCCCAAAATTTTGTTTCGAGAGAGAGCACAGAATTATTTGAACAACCTAAAACAAGAAAAATTGTAAAAAAGTAAAGCCAAAATACACCATAACCGGCTTAAAACACGCGCATTTAATACACAGTGGAACTCCTGTACAACAAACGCCTCTATAACGAAATTTCTGTATAAGAAACAAATTTTGAATCACCAACTACCACTACACTGTGAATTTAAAACTCCTCTATACCAAAACTCGTTCATAACATACAAATTTTGAATCTTCAAGCGATTCGTTATACAGGAGTTCTACTTTAGTTTCAAATGATTTTACCAAAAGTTAGGTAACAGTACTACACAGCCATAAACTTTAAAGAAACCTGAATTATATATTGTTCCAAACTATAAAATTTTGAAAAAAACATATGATAATGAAAACATGTTGCAAGCGTATGTTGTCTTAAGATTAATCACAGTTTCAAACCTTCGTAACAATCAACAAGAAAGAATGGCATTAAAAGTTGGCAACAGCTTCATATGCAAAATTCGACATAAAACTAAAAGACAAAAACATATACAGTAGTTACGTTATATACGTCATACAGGAGTTCTACTGCAGTAGAATTCCTGTATAACAGACTTTTCTATAATAAACTTTTCTATAACAAACTTATCTATGAAGAACTCTTCTATAAAAACTCCTTTATGACGAACTCCTGTGTAAAGAACTCTTCTACAACAAACCCCTTTATAAGAAGCCCCTCTATAGCAAACTCTTCTTTAACGAACAATTTGTGGATCCTCGATCAACTACTACACAGTAGATTTAGAACTCCTGTATGTCGGATTTTTTACAACAAAAAAAATTAAGTTCTTCAACAATTTGTTAAACAGAAGTTATACTGTACACAAATGAAAGAAAGTCTCCAAATGAAAAACATTCAAATAAAAACAATTATTTTGAAAAAAAACTGCAAAATTTTAAAAACTTCTTGTCGTTCTTCCTTCCAAGCCGTAACTTATGGCCATTTTTTTCTGAACATCGATATTAAACCAGTAGAACTTCTGTACAACGAAAATCGTTTACCACGAACAGCTTTAAACTCTCAGCATTCAAAACACAGAGCATTTAAAACTCCTCTATATCAAAACTTCTTGTAATAAAAAAAGTTTTAAATCCCTAAGCAATTCATTATACTTTGTGTTTTACTGTAGAAGGGTTTGTTGTACAAAAGTTTCACTGTATTAAAATAACTCCTTGTTTTAAAAACTTTATGAAACACCTCTTTGAACTAGTATATGATCAAAAGTCACATTTCGAAGCAAAAAAAGTAGGGCGAATCTAATCAATCAGAAGCAAGTTCAGAATGTTTATCTCAAACTTGTAAATAAAATTAAAATTAAAAGTCCATAAAATAAGCCATAATAATAGTCCATAATGATATAAAAAATATTGTAAAAACTCGAAATTTAATTCGAAAAAACATATGGTTTAGAAATGCCTCACATACTTTCAGTTGTTTTAGTTTTGACAATTCTATATTTAGTCTTATGACTTTTGTTCCTGGTTTAAAAACTTGATCCTCCCCTCTTATTTACTACTCCTCCAGCTTTCATTTCTACTGTTATACCCCACCCCCTTCTCTTTCCCTTTACCATCCCTTCAGTTTTACCCCCCCCACTTCTCCTTACAATTCCTTCAGTTTTACCCCACCCTCTTTATCATTACCACCCCTTTCGTAAACTCACCCCTCCCCCTGTTTTTCTTTACTATACCTTCAGTTTCCCACCCTCTTTCACTTTACCGCCCGTTCAGTTCGACCCACAAACCCTCCCCCCCCCCTTTTTTTTTGCTTTATTACTCCCTCAGATCTACCGCCTTAGCTTTCTCTTTACCATCCCCTTCACTTCTACCCCCGAGCTTCCCCTTTGCAACTCCCTTCATTTCTACCCCTCCCATCTCCCTCAAAACCCTCTTCTTTCGCCCCCAACAAACCCTCGCCCCTATCAATTACCAGTCGATAATGCAACAAATAAAAATCCACCCCCTCAAGCAGTTTGATCAAAAAATAAAAAAAATCTGTAGAAAGTGGGCGGGGCCGAGTGTAAACTGTAAACAAAACGCGTTTGTAAGGAACAGTTTGGGCCGTTCCCCCCTCTTCAAGGCGGCCAAGCCCAAGTGGAGGCGGTGAGAATAAAATACCTGGCCCGCATTTCGTGGCCAGGAACAAGATCCTCCTGAGGATCTAAAAAATGAAAAAAAAATCGCTGAGCGACGTGATCTCTCTCTGTTCCGTCTCGGGATTTGGCGTTGTCTCTCGGTTTTGTCTGACTTATCACTTTATATTAGATAGAGGTTTAGTTTTTTTTAGTTTTTGCTTGACGGTCTCTTAATAGTACGTGCTCTCTTGCTGTTTCATGACTTTGTTTTATGGTTTTGACTATTTTTTTGTTTTTTTATTAAAAAGATAGTTGCACCAAATATCCCTAAAGTTTTAGAACAAGCCCTATATAGGATGGAAGAGTATAAAAAGTTACCTAGAAAACTATTTTCAAAAACTGCTAAATGGCCTCGGCTAGCGAGATATTAGCGACATAAAAATTTTTAATCTTTTCTGAAAAACTTGAGCCCTTCTCTGAAGGAAAAAATCTTGAATTGGCTAGCTAAATTTAAGTAATCAGTCGGGTGTGCAAAAGACTACAAGTTCGAATCCCGTTAGTTTCATTTTTGCGCCTTGCCATTAAGGCACGATGTTTTAAATAGCTAGTCAAACAATATATTATTTAACACATATTTTTCAGCAATTATTTTTGCTTTTAGTTAATTTCCTAAAAAAATAGCAAAAAATATATTTTTCGAATTTTAAAACTATGCCTTATAAAAATAAGAAAATTGAGCGTACTGCAACTCAGTAGCCAATGCCATCCTGCAGTTTTTGAAAACTTTACTTTCTGCAACTTTTTATGCTCTTTTGTTCTAAAACCCTATGGATATTTGGTGCTACTCCCTTGTAAGGCGAGGTGTTTTGAAGTTTTGTGCCAGTCTAGTAAACTTTCCTTTCACCATCGCTTGTTTGAAGTCCTCCCCTTTATTATTTTATCTTCTGAAGCATACACCAACTCAAGAGGTTAAATATTTGAACCTTGCCTTACGTACAAGCTCAAGATACGTAAATTACAAAGCTCTTTTTAAAGCTTAAATTGTTTCTTTTAAATTCGTTTTATTAAAGTTACCTTTTTTTTAATTTTGTTTGGTTTAGAACTCGGATTTATATAAATAGGGTATGAAAAAAAAGAAGAGAAAGAAATGATCATCCAAGAGTATACCTAATGGCTAATTGCTTTTTAAACTGACCATGGATCGGCAAACAAAACAATCGTTAAGGTGAGTTTTTGAAAGCTAGTACAAGTTTTCTAAAATGGCCTTGGCATTCTGAAAAAGTTTGGAAAATGATTGTCGTTTTCTAATAACGTCTTGCAAATTAAAAAACGACAAAACTTTTAACAACTTACATTACGTCAAGCTGTTTACACTGTAAACCGCCTGTACACCCCAGTAAAACAATACATTTTGCTATATTATACTCTTCTTCTTATAAAAATCAGTTTACCTTGTAATTCCAACATTTACATCAGTGTATTTCTTGTAAAACATCATAAAACGCTGGCAATGTGTTATCCCATGCAAAGTTTTTCCGTTTCCTTCAGGCATTTTTCAAACGTTTTTATAAACTAATTCGAATCGGATCGAGACAGCTGTTGCCATCGATTACATTAACAGTTTACGAGCTCAGAGGTCGATACATAGGTCTGTTATAAGTTGTACATAGCCTATTATAAGCCGTAGTAATCTTTTCCAGTTGGCATATTTTTGTTTTTACTAGTAATACTAAGCTTGTACTGTATATTATACTCGCAATATAAGCTTGTAATATAAAACATTAGATGTTCAAATAAATTTAAGCCCCCAATTCAGAGAATTTGCTTTGGAAAATAGCTCATGATTATTGAACAACCAAAAACTTTCGGAAAAATTAAAAAAAACGGTCAAAAATTACAGAAAAAACCCAAAAAACCAAATTAGAAAAATTTTCAAGCCGACCATCTTAAAAAACAATTAACTATGTTAGAGTAGTATATTAATGTTAACAAAACACAAGAAACAGCAAACCAATCACAATATTAACAGTTTATACAACAGATAAAGTGAGAACATTAGACCGTAAAAAATAAAAAAATAAGTGTTAAATCATGCTTTAGGCCGATTCTTCGATTTCGCGTTCGGCCGACGAAGCTTTGAACTTGGCACGAAGGTCGTCTTCGCCTAGCTGAGAAGCGAACAGTCTCATCTTGTCTCGGAAGTCTAGTTGAGATCCGTCACGCTGAAAACATAAATATTTTTTACTGTTTTAGATGGTGATATGTATCTAATTTTGTGAGAAACTACAGTATATCATGTGAAATGACCTAGTAATCTTCTTTCAAGCCTACTATAATATCCCTTACCGAGCCAGTCTTCTGCGCATTCTGAGATTCGTTGATCTGATTCAGTCTTCTCTGTCGTGGATCGTTGTAAACCTCGCTTGAGCCCAAGATCTGAACTCGAGGTTCGTTTTCAACGCACTTTACATTATTTACATCATCCTCGAGTTCGTACAGTAAGCGATCTTGTGGTGGTATGGCTCGGTTCTCTTTCAGACTCTGTTTGCGAGGCTGGAACTCGTGGTGAGAGCTAAAAGTACATAGGTTTTGGCTTGTTTTAGATATTACACATTATCAAAATTGAAATTTTAGGTAACAAAAAAGTTTAAAATGATGTTTTCGGTACCAAAACATAAAAAATTGTTATTTTAGGTAACAAAAAAAACATTTTAAACTTCGAAAAAAACTAATTTTAGGTAACAAAAGGCTTAAAAATGACATTTTAAACTTCAAAACCTCAAAAAAAGTGTAATTTTAGATGACAAAAAAACTTGAAAACTAAATTTTTAGGTAACAAAACCCTCAAAATTTAAAGTTCCTTCCTCAAAACTTAAAAAAACCTTATCATTCCTAACAAAAAACCTCAAATCCACCCTACCTTTCCCTTCCCTCATCATCATAAACCAGTCGGTTCGCTTGTTCCTGAAGCAAATCGACCTGTCGCACAAAGTCGTCATCATTCTTATTGTGTGGATACAGCTTCCTAGAGTTATTCGAATGATTCGAATTGAATGATATTCTTTTTTCGAATTCTTTATTCAATTCATTTAGACAGGCTTCATGACTTCTGGCCACTTCGTTGACTACAGGAGGTTGACGATGAACTAGTCTTGAGGTTCCATTGGTAAGGGGGATATAGCCTAAAACAAATTTTGAGGGTTTTATGATTTGTAAGTTCTATACTTTTAAATTTTAAAAATATTTTTATAATTGTTATAGTTTACAAGCTTAAAATGACATTATTACAAACAAAAAATAGGCTAAACACCCTTTAAAATCAACCTTCAACTAAAATTTTCTGCCATTTTTTATATGACCTTTCTACTAAAACCTATAAAACAGCATCGACAAGCTTCTTGGCTATCTAAAAATTCTAAGCTCCGCTTAAAATCACTTTTCAAAAACATGTTTTGACCCAAAAATAAACAAAAATCGTCGAAAAATCACCCTAATACTCAAAAAATCAACCTTTAACTCAAAGTTTCTGCCATTCCTTATATGACCTTTCCCCTACAATCTATAAAACACCATCACCAAGCTTCTTGTTTATCCAAAAACCCCAAATACAGTCATTCATCCTTACCTAACGACGGTTTTCGGTCGACTTCCTCCGGTCGTTCAAAGATCGGCGCTGATCGTCGGCCGGATTCTGGAGGTGGTTGTGGGATTCTGACGTCATTTTGGATGACTTTCAGTGATCCGACCGAACCTCTTCGTATGAAGCCATGATGATCGTTGAGTTGGTGTAATTGATGATCGGGATGAGCTAGTTGTTGATAATGAGGTTTCATAACTGGTGGGCGAGCGACCGGTCGGAAACGTTCCGGAAGACGTTGGGAAGACACTGATGGCAAGGAATTCTAAAAAAAAGATTGGTAAGAGTAAGATAAAACTTTCTATTGATTATTATATTCAAAAATTTCTCCACTATCAAGTCAAAAAAGTCTTGTCACCAATTCACGTTGATACTATAATGAAAAAACGCCAAGACTTTTCAGCCATTAATAATATGTGAAAACATTCAAAATAAACAATTTTAAGCTTCACATACATATTTCAAATTTCAATTTTTTTCAATTAACAAAAAATTTTCTTTGCGCAAAAACTTTCTTTCCACCAAAAACCCCACACCAAATCATCGTAACCCTACCTGACTATAACTCCCAACATGTGAGTGAATATCCGAAGTTGTGGCATAAATTTGAGCATTGTTTTGAGCTTGTTGTACTTGAGATCGGGAGTCTAGCCACGAGTCTAGTCCATTGAAAGCAGCTTGGTTCTTCAGCACGTCTAGCCTGACAATAGGGCCTGCGGCTGAAATGTGTTTAGCAGCAATTTCCTGAGACACGTTGAGCAATGGCATGCCATTGACAGCCAATATCTGATCCCCTCTTGCTAACGACCGATCAAGGAAGGCTGGGGAGTTTTCGACCACTTTTTTGATGTAGATACCCATATGTTGATCACCCACTCCTTGAGCTGCGACAATTGAGAGGCCGAGACCAGTGCCTACTGGTCTTCGAATGGTTACAGTGATTCGGTCTGGTCGATTTGCGAAAGAGAGAGTTTGGGATGGTGGTCGATAGTGAGGTGGGGGTTGGCGATGGATGGGTGGGAGCTGGTGGTTGAATTGAGATGGCCATGAAGCTTGGGATTGTTCGTAGATGAGGTCACAGAAGCCGAGACGTTGAAGGTTGTTGAGAAGGGTGGACAGGACCAAAGGAATTGATTCTAGAGTATCTGAAGTGACATTCGTATTAAAAACCAAGCCTCTCTAACCCAACACAATCCCCATAACTTCAAAATAACATACCCAAAACATATCCATCTTCAGGAAAACTGAATGGTAACCTCATTACCGGGTCTTCCTTCAACACCACATCTCCACCTTCCTCCTTCACAATAATATCGGCTTGTCGCTCCGCTAACTGTACTACATTGTCCACCAAAACTTGTGTTACTGGCACTTCATTCGGCTCGGATATGTACATACTCAACAAGAAGCGTACTTGAAGTGAGTTCAGCTTGTAACAAGTCGCTCCTAGACTGGCAATTTGATTTACAGTCTTTGGAGTGACGAGTAAGAGAAGGGTCTGGTTGATACGATCGAGTTGACAATCAGCTACGAGCTCGAGACCATGCACTTCTGCCCATCGTGTGAGTTCGGAGATGCGAGCGCGGAATTGGGTGGCAAATTGACGAGTTAGACTCGAGTTGCCTTCTAAAAATTTTAAATTGAGCAACACCATTAAAAAACTTCAAAAAACAAAGCTCCACAAACTTTTCGACCAAAACGTAACAAATCCACTGTCTTACCTTCAGTAGAAATCAACCAATTGAAGGCATACATGTTGATAGTGTAGAAGATGTGAGAAAACAGTTGAATAATCAGTCCAGCATTCATTTGAACACTCCTGACATTGTTTGACACGTCCTCCAAGAAATCCAGGATCTCCCTCACTGCAAAGTCACCTCTGACCGTGATGTTCAAGAACTTTGACATTCGTCGTTCCACTTCGATTCTACAGGATTCTACAAGGAAGTCGAAGCATCTGATGGTTGTCACTTTCAGATGTTCATTTAGATTGTTGGTAGCTCTTTGGTTGGCATCTTTTGATAGGACATTCGTGAGTTCGAGGCAGTTGGCTAGCCAAAAGTTTTGGATTCTCCAGTCGTCTGGTCGGGACTGAAAAGTTGAGTTTCAAAAATGACGAAATAAATATAACCCTAGATGAAAAAACGTAAATTAGACTTGTCTTTATGCTGCCTATATAAAATGTCTAATAAAAATATTTTTAAAAAAGCTTACCTGAACATAATCATTGACTTTATTACAAAAGAGAAGTATCAGTGCTTCTCGATTATGTGGGTCTTTCACTGCCAGATAAGTAGCAAAGGCTGGTGCCAATGGAAACTCGGCTTCATGCCCTCTAAAGTTCTCGAACAGACCGGTCAGGAATTGTGATGCGCTACCTAAAAAATAAATTTAGTATATATTATCGTACAGGACCGCCAAAAGAACAATTTTTTCCTTCATGCTACTAGTTATTACTAAATAGTACTATTTAATCCGTATACAAAGCTTTTTAGAACAACACTTCAAAATGAATATCCCATACGCCTCAGTAAGTTAACTTACATCGCAACTGCACATAGTTCGGTATATTTGACTGTATCGTTTCTGGAGCCACGTCAAAGTGTGTAGCTTGACGATAGCTGGGTGGTGGGTCTGTTAACATCTGAAATTGATTATATTACACATAATAATACTTCAGAAAGTACAAATAAATCGTATATTACATGCTGAAAACAATCTAAGACACAGGTTTCAATAAGGCTACAATATACTAACTAATCAGGGACATCGCTTCAAATTTTTTACGGTACAGGCGCTCAATTTTCAATTTTTTTAAAAATTTTTCTGCAATTTCTTACGTAAAGAGTACGATATGGGAATGGCAGGGTGAGACAAGGATTAATAGAAAGTATAAAGTAAAGTAAAGTAGGGTAAGTCAGTATAAGATAAGGAAGAACAAGGTAGAGCTAGGATTTTTTTCAGGTCGGCTCTGGGAGGAAGAGAGGAAAAAGGTCCACACCCATTCACTCACCTCCCTTCTCCCCCAGCGACTTCCCTGATAGTAACTTAAAATCAAAAATATCCTTCAAACTTAAAAAAACTTTCCACCTCCTCCAAAAAACCGAAATAAATTCAGAATTGAAAAAAAACGACAACAATAAGACACCCAGAACCCAAAAACAGGCTTGTTTTCGAATAAAACCGTTTGATTCTTTCACATGATGACACATCTTCCCCTACCGCTATATTATACTCTATTCTTTGACGGTAAAAGTGACAATAAAAAATGACTTTATATGTGAAAAGTAAGCTGAATTCAACAATAAGAGTTTATAAACCAAGCTTTATAAGACAGTATAAAATAAGCACAAAAAGATTTCATTGAAAAACAAAACTAGATTGATACACGTAATCAGACAGATAACAAGAGTTGTACCGGCATGTACAGCTAAAAGAGAGAGCAACAGGTGGAAGACGTGGATGCTTTAACACGCACCTGAAAATGCACGTTAAATACTATATAAACATTAGTTTTAACAAATTTTTTAAGCTTTAATCCTACTTAATAAATTATATTTGCAAAAAAGTAATGATAAATCATTTAGAAGAGTTTCCAATTACTAACGCACCCAAAGATCGCTCATAAAATCCGAAAGATCGTCGTATCCATCGATCATAAATAACAAGAAATATCATGATACTTTCGAATTCCAAATATCTTCGTCATTGCATCCCTTTACACATTTTAATTACGTTTTTATTCTTTTAAGCATAAGCCCTTTTTACAGTGAATTGCTTTGGCAAATCATCCCTGCATATAAAAAACTCGCTAAAACAGTTTTAAAAACTGCCAAATAGCCTTGCATAGCAAGTTACAGTATATTCATATAAGTTTAAAAAGTCTAGCTTCGTAATTTTAGAATTTGAAAAACTATATTTTTTGATAAATATTTTCTAAAAGTGAGTGAAAACAAAAATCATGACTAAAAAATTTTTTCTAATAAAATTATTGTTTGGCTAGCCAATATATATTGTCACAATGGAAAAAAGCAAAAAAGCCTAAGCGTGCAGAAGGAGGTTAGTCCGCCTTCTGCACACGTGGATGAGGACCCACTAGGCCGAGCCGATGCAAATTTGAAAAAAGCAAAATGTTCTTTAAATCTTAATATCTAGCTAGCCAAGGCCATAGCAATTTTTAAAAATTGTATTTTCCGTAACTTTTTTGCTCTTTCATCCTATATAGGTATCTTTCTCCCGTAGCCTAATCCCTCAATTTCAAAAATCAACCCATAATCATTTAACTTTTTCATTCCCCCCCCAAATCACCTCCTAAAGGTAGCCCAAGAAAAGAGACAGAAATTTGAATATTAAATCAAATTGATTGGAGGAATGCGCAGCACGAGCAAATCGGTCAGCGCGCAATTAAAGGAAGAAAAAAAAGCGACGAGGTCGCGATTAATCTCAGAATCTCGACGTTCTGTCCCCACTCCCCACTCACCGTGCTCTCTTTCCCGTTCAACGGAGTCGATGTCGTTGGAGGCGATGAAGTCCGTTTCCTCAGATGAAATGACGTCTCGACTGCAACAAAAAGAACATAATACCATTAATCTGCTTCTGTTACAACACTTCGTTTCAAAGTGTTCTACGGTAATATGTCATAGCTCATGTTACAGTAAAACACTACTAATAGAGTCAACAAAAAATCTTGTCGTTTTTGAAGTTGAAAGACATAAAAAATTGACGACAAGACTTTTGCTGATACATATTATATTGTTCAAATAATTCTGTGCCCCCTCTCAACGCAAATTTTTGAAAGCTCACAATTATTTGAACAAGCTAATACAGTATCCCTTAGCTTCTCACCTACAATGCTCCCCTACTACAACAATATACATGTTGGTTTGCGCGAACTTTTCGATAAATCGTCGCGAGAATGTTTAAAAAAACTGTTTGAGCTGTCGTTATTAATTGCTTTGGGTAACACAACAAATTACTTTCTAATCGAAACATTTACTTTTTATGTCTACCATAAAATAGTAAAGAATATATTGGTTTTTGAGTAATCAATAGGTGAAAAGCTATTGAATATCTACAGTAAAATGTTTTAAAAATTGTATCTTTGTCATTTTTTGGTCGAAAAACAGTCATTTTTGGGAAAAAAAAGAAGTAAAACTGCAACCCCCTCCCCTACATTGAAAATAATAAATTTTACCACCCCCAAAAAATGAAATGAAAAACCCATTCTAAGCTTAAAATTCCTTTAAAAACCCCTTAATCCCCCTAGAAATATTTATTCCACAACCAAAACACGTCTCAAATCGATCACCCCTCCTCCCCCCCCCCCCCCCCTCTAATTCCATACAAGTTTATCAAAAAACTTTAAAAAAGTCATTTTTAGAAAGGTAAAGACCTTCAGAAGGTCTTAGGATAAGATTATGACAACCTACTTCCAGTGGAGTTGTTTTGAGCCAAGACAACTACAGGACATTCATCAAAGAGAAGGCTTCGTTCGCTGCGTTGTCCGTTTATTTGTTGGACCTGAAAAGGTATCAAAGCATTAGGTATCATTGATCGTAAACTTTTAATCGAAAGGTCATTTATGTCAGTAAAACTGTTCCCCGCTCTTTTTGTGACTTTTATCTCTTATTCATCGTGAGATATGTTAATTTAGGTAATTTATGATAAGCTAAGAAAAAGAAGGGTAGAAAAAAGTAATGATGGTAGGGCACAGAGTAGATTAAGAGGAGGTAGCGGTAAAAGTATAAAGAAAATTAAGAATGAATGTAAAAAAAAGTTAGGAGTAGAAGTAAGGGCAAGAGTAGGAGTAAAAGTAGGGTTTGTGGTTGCAGTAGAAGTAGGAGTAGGGTTAGAATTAAAAGTACAAATAGAAGTAAAACAAACATACCAGTAGGCGTAGAAGTAAAAGTAGAGATAAGGATAAAAGTAGGGGTAGAAATAAAAGTAGAGGTATGGGTAGAAGTAGGAATAACTTTTAAAATTTTAAACTTTTCGCATTTTCTCCTTGACATACTATACCTTACCCTACCCGACCCTGCCCAACCCGACCCTATCCTGTCCTACCCTATCCTACCCTACCCTCAAACAGTACCATAAAGTGTTTTGCCCGACCGCAACGTTTTTCACCGGTCCAGTCCGGTGATTTTTAGGTCCGATCCGCTCCAAACCCAAAATCTTTGGGTCCAGTCAGCAAAAAAATTTTTTTTATTTTTAAAAAAAGCAAGCGCTTCCTTTTTGCTTAATAACTCTTAAAAATATGTTTTATTGCCATTTTTAAAACCGTTTTGTTAAAATAAAAAAAAATTTTTTTTAGATCAGTCCGGAATAGACGTAGAAGTAAGAGTAGGATAAGATAGAGGGAGAGGCAAGGGTAGAGTAAAAATAGAGAAAACAGTAAGGGTAGCGGTAGGAGAAGAGTAAGAACAGGAGTAGGTAGCAGTAGTCCCTCTTCCTCTCTCTCCCCCCCCTTCCTCTCTCTCCTTACCTTATAAAATCCTAAAAACCCCGTCCCAAAATAATGTCTTACCTCCACAATGACAAAGCTTTTGTAATCCAAAGTGCCAAAACTAAACTTCTCAACCGCTTCCTGTAGCACCTTCTCCACGTGGTCCAACGGGCTTACCAATACTGACACATATGGCCGGTTGGCATCCAATTCTTCACAATAAATCTTCAGACTTCCACCTAAAATAAGGTTTTGTTTAATAAAAAATGGCTAGAAGTGCTTCGTTTAATATTAGGTAGAACTGAATGTCTATATTTAATAGATGGAAATTAAAAAAGATTCTTATCACAACGGTAAATAGTAGTTTTAAAAGCATCTCCGCTTTAATAACCTTGTTTTAAATCGAATTTAACAAAATTTGGGTAACAAAAATAAGCAAAAATAATTTTAAAATAATTTTTAATACCTAAACGTTATTCCGAAATTGATTTAACTACCTAAATTTGAAAATAAAAGCTGTCTTAATACCTAAAATAATCAATAACAACCATTACCACCAAAAAAACATCGAAATAATGTTACACTACCCAAAGAGTACAATAAAATCCTTCAGCAACTGAATTCAGTACCTAAAAGACCCAAAACTTACCAGTCAAACCCATCTCTCCAAGCTCTTTCAATTTCTGGTCGATTTTCTGTTCCCTTTGGCGTTTCATCACAACTTCTGGATTCGATATTGTCCTTGTAAAGGTATTCTCAGGTAGCTCTTCGTACAAACACTTGTTCATGTCATCCGAGTAGTTGCTGTCTGGAAACAAAGTTTTTGTAAATTTTTCACTTGATGATTGCATTTTTTAATAATTTTTTCAAATTGTATTGTTTTGATTTTGCAATTTTAAAATTTTATTTTTTGCACAGTGCAGTCAATAAAATTCTGCACGGTGCAAAAATTTCAAAATAAAAAAAAATTTTTGCAAATTGTAAACAAAGTATTCTATTACAAAGCGTTCACTTACTCTTCTCCTTGATTCGCTTCTTAAATTTGTTTGATCGTTTTGATGATCGAACTTCATCTCCAAATTGTAACGCCTAAAACAACAAAAATAGCTCATTATAGTATTAAAACGTTGTAAATATTGTTGTTTTTTATTTTTACATTAAAGAATAATCTTTTCTCACTCATTTAAGACCAACATTGAGTTAAAGAGCTAATGAAAAGTAGTTGAAACAAATTTTTTTAATTATTATAGTGCAGTATCAAGTATAATATCGAGCGGAATGCCGTTTTTAATCAAAAAAACTTCATTTATATTACCTAACTTTAGTTTTTATAATTTTATAATGTCATCTTTCTTTACTTTAAACCATTTCTCTTTTGTTCTCACAATTCGTCATTATTTATATGATTTTAGGTATGAGTAATATCATCCCAAACTTTCTAGTTAATTGATCTGATAACAAAATTAATTTGTGTAAAATGATTTCATAGTCATTATGCTGCTTTAAATCATTAACATCTAAAAAACAAGGCCATGTCATGACAATAGATCAACATGTAATAAAAAGCCATTTTATTACCTAAATCTGCTTCCGAATAACAAAACGGCCATCTGTCATTTCCAATCTGCCGTAACGCGTTTAAACTACAATAACCTTAATCTGTAAGACATTTTTAGACTGTCTTTGGTATTCGAAGAGGTATGGAGTTACGAGAATTGAGTTATGATGGCTTAAAAGTGTTACACTTAATATTAAGGTAGATTTTTAAGAAAAATTGTCGTAAAAAAGTCAAATTAAATCGAAACTAACTAAAAGTTGGTCAGTAACTAGCGTATAAATACTATATTCAATAAGCAAAACAATAATTTTAACTATGCACTTTAAAATATTAAAAATTCAAGTTTCCCGTCGAAGCACATATGTAACCTTGCACAGTGCAAAATTAATTTTTTGCAAAAGAAAGCCTCCCAGCACAAAACTCACAGAAAACGGCAAATATTCAGGTTCATCGGTGCTTCTCAACAAGAATCTGCCTTCTCTGTTCGTCTGGTGCCAACTCAACTGTACCAACAAGGGCCGCTCATCCATAGCCAACATGCGTTCCTCTTTGTTCTCATGCAATTCCCATATCGAATAGTCCGGTTCTGTTAACATCTTCATATCAGGATGAAACTTTTCCACCAGCGCTTCTATTACCACCTTGGTTGTAGCTGAAGACGAAACTCGAATACATTTGGTAGTAACTTTCTGGCCTGGTTCTTGATAGTAGAAGCGCATTACTCCGTAGAATTCCATATTCTGCAAAAAGTATAAGTTTTTATAGTTTGATATTAATGTAGTTTTGCAGAGGAAGTTCTGGAGTATCTTTTACATTCATTTTTGTTCGTTTAGCTTATAGAAAATTTGCATAAATTAATAAAAAACAAGGTTGACTTCAAAAAACATCGCATAAATTTCTTTTCAATTTTACGCACGTATACTAATGTAGTTTTTTTAGAAAAAAAAACCTTAAAAATGTTTCACAAAGCTTATCCTCAATTTACATAATAAAAATTTGCATAAATTTCCCAAAGAAACCATCAAAATCGATCAAAACAGCCTCTACACCAACATAACACCTTAATTACTCAAAAATCCATCAATTACAATCGCCAAAACAACTTAAAAACTCGAAAAATACCTCGTTGGGCTCACTGATGCTGAACAAATCCAGCCGGTTCTCGTTCCATTGCCTTATCAACGTCCGCAGCCTTTCGCGTTGATCCACCTCCATGGATAATATAATTTACAAGTCGCTTCACAGGTCTGGCCGTTTCGAACAACAATTCACGGCTTTAAAAGTTTTTTTCAACAAAATAACCGCCCCTCTACGAACGGAAGCTCGCGAGAAAGCTCTTGTTCGTCTTCCCTTTCTATCTGATCGCGATTCGACTCGCCCGGAGCGCGGGCGCAGCTCGCACCAAAAAACGACTGCGCATTTTGAAGAGACAAAAAGTCCGCGCAAACTTTCGAATTTGAATCACAAAGGGTGGGGAGAAGGTCGGAGAAGGTAATGCGGTTTTTTTTAGATAGTTCATGAATTGTTTTTGGCTTTGTGGCTACCGACATGGTTAATAATATATATATATTGAGGTTGGGTGATAGAATTGACGTTTTGACTTCATTAAGAGTAATGTTTTAATGATGTGTTTTGTTTTTGCAATGAGGGACTATACAAAACGTAAAAAGGAGGTTGTAGTTAATCAAAATTGCTGAAAGAAATTGAAAAATGATAAGTATAAAGATATGAAGGTACTAACTTTCATACTGTATAACACGTAGATTACTGTACCAAAACTAGCCAAAACTTGTCTCTCGGTAAAAATCATTACTGTTTGCATATACATATGGTATATTAAAAAAATTTTGACACATAAAAGACTAAAAATAGCATCCAAATTATTTTACGTGCAAGTAACAGTATTAAAGTTTTTTTCTTAGAGTACGCCCAAGTATAACAATAAAATTAAAAACTAAACATATAGTTCTAAACAGCAGACCTTGAAGTTTTATATCACAAATTTTCAGCTTGTTTCACAGAACGAGTTAGACGATACAATGATTTTAAGTTTATGTTGTTATAGTAACATTTATATAACTCAAAGTTCCGTAGTCTAAACAAAAAAAATATTTTGCTAGAAATTTTACATTAAATTTTACTTTTACTTTAATTTTTTACAACATTAAACTTTTTTAAAATCATTTTTAAATTTCGTTGAATTAATAAAATCCAAAGCGCAGCCTGCTTCGATCAAGCGCAGCCTGCGCAGATCAGCCAATTTATTTTTTTCTCGAAAAACGAAAAAATAGAATGCCATTTGATTTTTTAATGGCACAAAGACGGAAAAGTGGTACCTCGTTGTGTGAGTAAGATTTTTCGATTCCGGAATAATGTTATTCCCATCCGATTCCACTTTTCCATATTATTCTACCCGATTCTCAGGTATTTTTGGGTATTTTATGTGAGTTTTGGGGTTTTTAGGTAACATTCTTTGATTCCTTCTTGATCTATATGAGTGGTATTGTGCCAGGTTTTGCTTTGCGTTTTATACTTGTTTTTGTGGATTTAAACTGGTCTTGAGTTAAATAAGACGTGATGGGTAGTTTTTATGATGGTGAATATAATTTTGGTGTGATTTACATATTTTTAATGCCGTTTTTGGATTGACTGATAAGTATACAGAAGTTAATGAGTTTTTACGTTATTTTAAAGGGTATTTTTTGATTTCAATTTATTTGCCGTATTTCACCTTATTTTATAATTATTTTGTTGATGTTATAGTTGGGTTTATATCTTGAGTTGCCGTCGAAGTTTTAGTAATATTTTGTATTTAAAATGAGCGCGAGAAGATTCTTTATAATATGGCATGGCATTTACTTCAATTTGAAGCTGGTTTAACCATATTTCACTTCCCATATAATTACCGTTATATAGATGATGATGTTACTCTTTGCTCAATATCTATATGTTACCGTGCTAGCTTTGGGCACATTTTGCACGTAAAATGATCGCAGGAAAATTATTTTTATTACGATTTATTACTTTAGTTACTTAAAGTTTATTTTCGATATTATCTGAGCAAAAGAATAGTAATCACAATATTTTGACCATAAACATTATTTGAATTTTTTAATGAGTACATTCCAAAAATGAAACTTTATAGATCTTTTACATTATCATTTAATGTAAACTTCCGTTTACGTTTATATTTTCCAATTTATATTTTTTAAGCAGCGTGATTTACATTAACATACGAGGCCATCCTTTACATTGCCATTTGTTATAATCGCTAGTTCACGTTACTATTTGCTGAAACCCTTAACATTACCATTTGCTACAAAACTCACAAATTTGACATATATTGTGAACATTGACATCAAAGGCGGGAGGCCGCTCCGAGTTTAAATAACTTTATATTGTATATGGCCACCTGAGAAAGGGGTGCTTCTCCCACAATTATCATCAAAGGCGGAATGCCGCCGTTTGTGCCCTTATTCGTATGTTCGTGGTATCTCATCTTGATAATTGTTGCGATTTGGACGTGCGAATTGGTGGATTTAATTAAGGATGGGTAAACACATATTCTGTCTATGGTTAGGTATAGAGGGGAGGGGGAGGTATGTGCCGACATTGAAGATTAAAGGGTAATTGGAAGGAGGTTGTAAAGTTTTACTGAGGTATTCTTCTCGGCGGTCTGGGAATGGTAGAAATGAAGCGTTTTGATAAGGGGTGTGGTAGTTTTTTGAAATTTTTTAAGGGAGGTGTCTGCAAAGGTTTTTGGGGCTAAAAGCTGACAAAACTTATGAATAAGATGTCAAAGAAGGCAGTTATATGGCGCAGTTACGCAAGGTGACATTGGTTATGTAATTCAACAACAATTACCTGAATACGAACTGGTAACGAGGTCTCTTTGAATATTTATGTTGGTATAGACAAACATACGACTTTGCACTGTATTGTCAGCTAAAAGTCTATGTAATAGTATAGTATATAGATGTGGTACTTAAATTGGGGACCAATTTCAACTTTTTTGAAAAAAAAAAACTAAAAATTTTTTTTCCGTCTCTTCGAAAAAAAACGTTTTAAGTACAAACACTAGCATGACACAATACCTAGAAGTCTGTTATTTCAATTGTTATTTTCTGATTCTCTCCTTCAAAGCTAATTTATTCAAATTTTTGACTCTTTCCTCCGACCGATTACTTCCGGTTTTTGAAACGTTTTCGGGACATTTGGCGTCTGTTACAGTATCCGGCGGTCGGTGAGTGCGTACGGGCGTCTTGTGTACGCTTAATAAAGTCGAAAAGGTTTTGAATTTTATTGATTGCTACGAAGTTACTCTGAATTTTACTAATGATGGCTTGGATTTATTGGAACTCTACTTCTGCATTTAAGTTGTTCTGTTGATTTTTGAAGTTAATCTGAGATTTACTTTTGATGGATTGAAGTTATTTGTAGTTTACTATTGATTTTGAATGGTTTTGTTGATTTTTGAAGTCAAAGTCAAACCTCTTTAGTATGACACATTTTTGATAGGAGTTCTATTACAAACTGTGGAAGCCGTCATTATAAAGAGGGTGTTCTACTATTGAGGGTCATACTGATGGGGTTTTACTGTTTGTTGAATTTTTTGTGAAAATTAGAATTTTTGGTTAGTATTCAGGAATTCTTCTTCTTGATGTTCAGTGTCGGCTGAATTTTAAATATGATATTATGTACTTTCTTTATGGGTATATTATCGGTCTTCTTCTAGTTGTTTTATTGTGATTTGTCGTCATTCTGAACGTTTATAATGTCATGAAGGCTTGTCAAACTAATTTTATCGAAAATTCTTAAAGGTATTGAGCTTTTAAGTTTTTTAACTAGCTAGTGATATCATCATTGAACTTGTTTTTATAGGTAGCTACTGTTAATCCAGTTATTCTTCATTATTTTTTCTAGGTATTAGTCAAACCTTTTTTTTATAAGTTAATCTAAATTCATTTTTGTCTTAACCCAACTGTAAATGAATTCAAGTTGATCTATCTTCCAAACCGTAAACCTATTCAACTAGCCATTACCGTTCCGACCTTATCAAAGTCAGCCGTAACAACTTGGCACGACTGGAGGTCACTCTCTTCGTCTCCGGAGGTTTGGGTTTTGAAAGTTGTTGGGCGTCCGCCGATTGAATTCGGTCGAGACTACCGTACCCTCTCCCTCTTTCACTTCGGTTTTTGTATGATATCTGGAACATTCAAAAACGAAAGAAAATTATGTGGAAGGACACAGCGGACAGCTGTGTTTGGAGAGGAGAATGTCGCGCGAGTCAAGTCGCGGCGTCGTGAGGTTCGCGGCCTTTCCTCCACCCTCCCCCCTTTATATTCGTTTTTTGAATGCAACGCTGCTGGAAGGCACTCGACTGACCAGTGCCCGATCAGTTTTTAACTCTCTGCCTTCTTCCATCGCGCTCTATCTTGTTGTAGGCGATGGCTATGGAAAGGGGGGGGAGAGAGCGGCACTCGACCAAGGCGGGGCGGTCCCCATGCCGAAAACGACGGCGTTCTTTTTGCGCCCCCTTTTGTGATGGCCATTTGCCTTTTCGTTTGGGATTCTATCGCTGAGCGAGGCTGGGTTTTGATCTAGCCGGGGCGCGCCAACCGCGAAGGGGGGTTGGTGGATGGGAGGGGTGGGCCGAAACGCTTAAGATGTCACTAGGTGTTTTGATTGATAACCCCTGACAGCGTGATAATCCCGATCAATGTTTGGATTACTGCGGCCGTAGGGGTGGTGGCGTTGATTTAGAGAGTGATGGTTGAGGTAGGGTAGTTTTCTGAGTGCGGTAGAGTTGTTTAAGTGACTCAAGGCGGAGGTGTAGTTGATTAAATGAATGAAGGCATGGTAGGGTGCCTTGACTGACTCAAGGGATGATAGAGTTGATTAAATGATCGAAGGCGGGTAGGGTTGATGAAATTACTCAAAACGGGGTAGGGTTAATTAAATAAGAATGAATGAGGTTGATTTAGTGATCGAATATGATAAGGGTAGATTGTTTTGCTTGAACGTAAGTTTTTTAGTTGATCAGTTCATATAAGGGAATAAGAGCTTGATCAAACGATTTTATGGCCATTGTCGGCATTTTTTTACGATTGGTATGCCTTAAAGTGGATTAGGTAAGGCTTTAAAAGCACTTTCATCTTTTATTTTCATTGTACTTGATAAGGTTTGTAAAGCAAGCCAAGGCTAATCTTTGGGGAGGGGGAGATCAACCCCTATAAAGCAATGCTTGAAGTGCAAGCCTTGACACTATACTCTATTATAAGTTTAGTAAGCCTGTCTCCTTCTTTAAGATAAAACCTCTCGCTATAAACAACATTAGCATAAGATAAGATTGTTTAAACGTGATGTTAATCAACTACCACTTATCGTGCGATCGAGGCTAGAAGGCGGAGTGAAAAAACGAGGGCATCTGGAGGCTCGATCGAACGCCGGATCCTTATCGACCGCTTCAAAGTTTGTTTTGATGCGGGCGTGAAGGTCGAGACATTGTGACATTTGATCAGTAAGAAGCGTTTAAAGGCGGGTACTTGAGGGAATCTTCGGTATTGCTTTAGGTACGGGGTTTGTTGGTATAGGTGTAGCTTTGTTTTAGGTTACGTGAGGTTATAGTTGGGTCGGTATCTTGATATGTATATGTATTGATCGCTATATATTTTGATCCTTTGATGGGTCTGTGTATTGATGGTAATCTTTTTAAATGTTTTTGATAGTGATAAGGATAAAAATTGATAAGTTTTGATATCTTTTAAGTTTTATGGATATTGAATAGTATATTGTAGTAGGTGGGAAGGCTTTCATAAAAGTGTTGTACGCATTATTTCTTTAAGTTCTAAGACTTATTAGTAGTCAATGCTGATTACAAATAGTACTAATAAGTGATATTTTGAATCTTCGTCAGCCAGCTCTTATAAATCTCCTCTAACTCAAGCAATATTTCTCTACTACTAGCCTTAGAAGAGCAAGTTTATGAGTTTTAAAAAATCATTACTCATGAATGCAACAAATGTCTCGAATTTCCTTTATGTTGAAGACATTTTTCTTGTGATTTGGGTCATTTTTTACACCCAATCTTAATTATTGGGAATTAATGTGGATGGGTTTCGTCTTTCAACGACGGGGCTATTCCAGAGTTTCCGAGGTGTTTGAGAGGTTGCGTAATCAGCTGTAAAAAGGGAACCGGGCGATTGATGTTGAAGGGGAAAATTTGCATATTCAAAGCTGATGGGGTGAAGATTAGACAAAGGGTTGAGTTGTCTACCGATACGTAATAGACGAAATAAGAGTTTTTGTGCAGATGTAAAAGATGTAGAGAAAATATAATATATGTGTAGGTAGGGTTGATTAAAAGCTTTCATAGAATGGATTTTAAAGTTTGAGGTCATTGGTGATATTCTGTATGGCTATAGGCTGGTGTCGCTTCTTTGCTAGATTTATAAAAGATTTTATGGTGGTGTTGTTTCTTTACCAGACCTTTGTAGCTGTATTCTTCGATAATTTTAAAAAAAGTCAAACGTTTGGGTTCAGTTTTAGTTACTTTGTCGGTTTAAAATTCTACATTTATATGTTTTCAATCGGTTTTTCTCATGATTTGGCCTTCTTAAGTGGTAATGGCCTTATTTCTGGTATTTTCTGATGTCATTTTCAAAGTGAAGGTGTAAAAAAGTTCAATGCTATCGTAGAGGCCCTAAGGTCATCAGTGCTTGGCATTTTCTTATGTTCTATCTTATTCTTTGTATGTTGTGAAGCTTACAGGTAGCTTGTTTGAAGCTTGTTGCTTTTTTGTCTTAAATCAATGCCATTATACGGTACTCTTTGACCGTTTATGATAGATTTTTCAATGATAACTTCTCAGTTCTTTAAAGAATTTTTTTACAAAAATCTAGTTTAAAGAGTTTGATTAGCCTACAATTTACCTTCAGCTATTATTACGTTGGCATGTCAAAGTCTATTTAGAAATCGGTTTTTCTGTCTATAATAATTACCTTAAAATCTCTATTTTTGGTAAAAAATCTACCTCACCTTCTCTAATAAGGTGGGGTATACATTTTCCTGAAAAATGGTGTATATCTTTTTCTATAAGATGCGGTAGACCTTCTCCTATAAGATGAGGTAAATTTTTGGCAAAAAATTCTAATTTCTCTCCCCCACCGAAACAGTTCGAAACGTCGAAACACCCCCATCCGAACTTGACCCGAACCGTGAACGAGATTCGAACGTATATTAATCACCTCGATGTTCTTATCGCTGTTATCTTCCCAAAAGTTTCGTTTGCAGTATGTTTTTTCGCGTCGTTCACACCGGCCTTGGCGCTGTCAGTCAAGTCTTCTGATATTTCGACTGGCTGGAGGCGTGGGGGAAGGAAGCCCGGGTGATGAATGACAACGCCTCTGCGCACGCGTCTTTTTATGTCTTAACTATTTCTTCGGTTCGTCTTCTGCCTTCACGAATTCGACCGGGCCACAGGTTATTAATTATCGGGAAGCCGGTTGGCAAATTAATGGCAATGAATTCAGTTGAGGGTTTTGTGGCATTTTTATAGGGCTTGATTTGTTGAGGATAGTATTAGAGCTTTCGGTATGATTTATTGAGGGTAATATTGAATTTCTTTTTGATTTGTGAAGGTTGGTATAAGGTTTATCAAAGGGTAATGTAAGGTTCTTCTCGGTTTAATTTGTTGAGAGTAATATTAGGTGATATGATTTATAAAGGGTAATATAAGTTTTTTAAAGGGTAATTTAGGTTGTCCAAATAATTCTGTGCTTCTATCTCAAAACAAATTTTTGGGATTATGGGGCACAGAATTATTTGAACAACGTAATATAAGGATATTCTTGGCTTGATTTGCTAAGGATAAGGAGATTTTTTGGTCGATAAATTAACAAAAATTATTTGTAACGTTAAGAATGATAGATATTGTTCTAATAGTCCAGAAGTAGAAGAAGAACGATCAAAAAATTATATTTTAATCAATATAAGGATATTCTTTGAGTATTTTAGGTAATAGAAAGGCATTTTCTGTATGTGTTAGGTAATATAAAGCTATGACAAGCCCTTTTCATGGATGACATAAATTCCCGTTCAGATATTGTTCAAAAATTCCAAAGTGATTTTTGATGAGCTGATAATGGGAGGAAATGGTTTGAAGGCGGAATGTGAGGGCTCACAATGATTTGCGAGGTAGAACATTATCAAAAACGTTTCCGACGTCAACGTTGGGTTTGTCTTGGGATAGCTACTGGATATCGTCAAGTGTAGTATTGCTGGTGATCTTAATAGGCTTAACTTATCTAAAGATATCGAAAAATTGAAGGTTTTGGTCTAAAAGTGAGTAGAAAGAGCTCTTAGAGGTTTTGTTACCTAATTTTATAGGGTTTGTCAGCTTTTCTGCGAACTTTTTGACCGAAAAACTATTTTTCTGATGGTAATCATTACGTTTTTTTTTAAATATTAGGTTGTTCAAATAAATCTGTGCTTTTTAATAACCAAAATGTGCTTTAATAAGGGCACAGAATTATGTGAACAACCTAATATTATCTAAAATCTGTTGAATTCAAGTTGCCAAAGACCTTATCCTTACAAAATGGATCAACTACACACCTCGTGTAGAAGATGAATGACATCCCAATTAGAGCATTATTCCTTGTGATAACACTTCATATTGTTCTTGCTTCTTCTTTTTGCTCGTTTTGCCCTCCGGGGGGTTTTCGCTGGGAACGGCTGTCATTCTTGCCGGCCCCCGCATATGTTACTTAATCGATTTTAATTCGATTAAATATTTATAATTGGCCTAATTACCTTTAATTACTTGTTTTGCATAAGTTGAGGTGTAACATGTTGAGGTTGATTGTACTGTTGAACTATTGTGATTGATGGTTGATGGGCGGTTTTGGGGTGATAACGAGGGTTTTCAAACTTTTTCAATGATTTTTCGATCGCTTTGAGGTGTTTTTTGCCGAGTTTTATATTTTTAAACAAGTTTTGTGTAGGTCAATATTAAAAATATCCTTTTTTGTTCAAAAAGTTCATAGAGAATACAAAAAAAATATTTTAATTTTAACATCTTCAGCTTTAAAACCTACTTTTCTACCGACGTTTAGACCATTTCTGCCTATTCTTGACAATTTTCGCGCCATTTTTGAATTTTTTTTTCATTTTTAACGCCAAAACTAATGTTGCTGTTGTTGCAGATGACCACAGAAGTGGAAACCGATGAGGTGAAGGTGTTTCGGACGAATGAGCCGGAGGAAATCACCGACACACCGCAATCTTCACAACAACTATGCGATGATAAGAAGGAAGTGGCCTTTGAAACAGAGCTGGAAGGCCAAAACATCAATCGTAAGTCTATTTTTGGAGCGTGCATGACTTGGAATCTCAAAGAGATATCATTTTTGTATTTTAGATAGTAATAGAGTTGAAAAAGATATTTTAGTTATCAAAAAAATTAAATTTTTAACTTATAGGTAACAATTTGACTAAAATAACAAGAAAACAGAGAAAAAATGGTTTATGTCAAAAATTTTATGTTTTTTTTGAAATTTTTGAAATAATATGTTGTGATAAGAAATAAAAAAGCTTTATGTTCACCCTTTTCAGCTACAGTCCTACCCTTCTCAGAGCTACCGTACAAAACACCAACGTTACCGCTTGGAACGCTAAGTCCTGCCTTCTTGGGGCCATTACTGGTAAGTTTTTTGATTTCTTTGGTTGATTTTTAGATCAGAAGCAAGCTTTGGATCTTAGCAATGATAATCGTTAAGGTTTTCAGTTATTTGCTTGGACCTGATCTTGTTTTAGATAATAAAAGGGAATCTAGTACCTAAAAAAAGGGTTTTTTGTTGAAAACATGAGTAAAATGAGATTTCTAAGGAAGTTCAAGGCTTCTTTTGTTAATTTATGGGTATTTTAATATTTTGTGGTTTTATATTTTTAATAGAGATTATAATAATACTTATTTTCTTAATTTTAGGCAATGAAATCTCCACATTCCCTGTTATCACCCGGATTTCAAGGCCTAAACTTTGCCTCACCCAACTACAGTCTTCTGTCGCCTAACTTTGTGTCGCTCCCGCTGCTAAACCCCCTATATGCTAACATGCATCAGATGCAAAATATGCAGAATCTATTTTTTAAACAACAAAACTTCCCCATGGCCAACATGACCAACAACATGAACGGCCTTTGCCTGAATCCGGGGCTAGGCCGCTACCCCACCTCCGAACCCACCACACCACGCCGAGACAAGATTCAGAGGATCGAGAAGGATAAGAATCGGATCAAGAAACCATGCAACGCCTTCATGATATTCATGCGCGAGAATCGGGCGGCTGTCAGCAAGGAGAATGTGACAAAACAATCGTCCGAGATCAACAAAGAGCTGGGCCAGCGATGGCAATCACTGCCGAAAGAAGAGCAGGAAAAGTACTTTGAGATGGCGAAGAAGGAGAAGGAGGATCATGCACGACAACATCCAGGCTGGAGCGCCCGCGACAACTACGCCATTCACAAGAAGAAGAAGAGAAGCCGCAGAGAGCGATCTTATGGTAGGTTTGGGGTTGGTTAGGGGTTTTTTTGGAAAGTTGGGGTTATATTAAAGGTTTATACGGAAAGCTAAGGTTAGATAATGGTATTGAAACTTGAGTTTTTATGGTTCTAGTGCTCAAGTGCCTTGGAATACCTTTTTTGTTAAAAATTCTCTAACTTTTAACAAAATCTCAAAATTTCAATTATTTAGGTAATATAACTGAAGAATAGCCCCTTTTTAGTAACGAAATAAACAAACTAACTGCTCCTTATTTTCAGACCCAGCCAACGAAAGCAACGAACAGAAGAAGTGCCGCGCCCGCTTCGGCATCGACAACCAAGCCAAATGGTGCAAGCACTGCAAACGAAAGAAGCGTTGCCTCAACGTGCAAGACCTTGAAGTCTCATCCACGACGAATCCATCCACACCTCAGTATCAGCTCAACTCACCGCTCATCTACTCGCCGCTAGCGCTTTGAACATGTTGTTAGGCCTTATTTATATTACACTTGTTTTCTCCTTTGATCTCTGTCGTGAGGGGTTTGAGTGGTACTAATGGTACTGTTTTAGGAGCTTAGTAGTACTGATTGTTTTGTTTTAAGAGTTTAGTGGTACTAGTGGTACTGTTTTAGGAGCTTAGTAGTACTGATTGTTTTGTTTTAAGAGTTTAGTGGTACTGGGGTTGAAAAGGCTTGGAAAAGTGACGTTGGTACTAAACGTAAAACTTTTGTTAGTAAAGTGGTACTTTTGGTAAAGTTTTAGTTTTGACAAAGTTAGATTTGAAAAATAGCACCAACAGTAGCTTGAAGTCTCTAAAACTTGTACTAAAAGTCAAAATCAGGGCAAAAATTAAAATATAGTATCACTGGTACCAAAAAACGGTACCATCCTTTTGAAATTTAACCAAAAATGAAATTAGTACTATTTGATATGGCACTAAAAAGTACCACCCAGACCACTCCACCGACCCCTCTAATAATCTTGTTAATCTGTTGATCGTTCCTCTCTCTCACTCTACCACTCTCTCCCCTCCAACCAAGTCTCTCTCCCTTATCCCTTGCTCCAGAAACCGGGTTCCGTATTTTAGCCAAAAGACATCACACGATTGTGCATTGCTCAGATTGTAAATAATGTTTGAACTTTTAACTTATCTGTTTCCTTTATTTCAGCGACAGTAAATAGAGTAATATTACAATAAATACACCGATCTTACAATTTTTAGGTAATAATTTTCAGGTTTTTTCAAATAAAAGTGACATAAATTAAATTTCAAGGCTACAAAATAGATTTACAGTAGGATTTTGAATGTTACAGTAGAAGTAAAGCTCTAATTTTGTTTCTAAAACGTTAGGTTGTTCAAATAATTCTGAGCCAATTTTTTTAAAACACATATTTAGGGTTAATTGGGGCGCAGAATTATTTAAACAACCAAATGATATAGCCTTACAGTATAAATATTATAGTAGACTTCATAACCTTACAGTAGAATTTAGCACTACAGTAGGCTTCATAAACTTACATTATAATCTACTACATACTACAGTAGAATTCATAACCTTACAAAGTAAAAAATATAAATTAGAAACCGATACAGTACATGCTACAGTATCCATATATGTCGAGGGGAAAGCGAAAAACCGGGAATCGAAGACGATATATCTCTATACAATGGCTATACCTAGTGTAATATGTAATGCTCTCAAATATATAAATAGATTAATAATGTCATGGAAGAAGCTACAAAGCCTGAATTACAGTTTTGGCACAAATAAATAGTCATTTGTCGTATGTTCAGTGTAATATACCAAGATATCTATTTTTCCACTAAGAGGTGTCCCGCTACTTTTGGTTCAACCAAATATATGCATATGCCTTTTTTCTATGTAATTTTTGACCAATTTTTTAATTTTTTAGAACGTATTAAGCTGTTTAAGTAATTCTGTGCCCCTTTTCAAAGAAAATTTTCGAGGTTAAGGGGCGCAAAATTATTTGAACAACATAAAACACAAAAATTAAGGTGGTATTGATCAATATTTTTAAATGTAGCTTTAATGTGAACTAATAATAATAGTTTTCTATCTTTATATAACACAACCATAATATACGACAAATTCTAAAGCGTTTTCTATTGGTTAAACATTAAAATATTAGAATAGATGCCCTCAGGTCATCCTGAAGGTACAGGTGACAAATAATGTCACTACAATCGTGATTTGCAATAAATAAAGTAACCATGCTGTTGGTCAATCTAACATAGACAAGTTTGTGGTATTTGACTTGATTTTTAGAGTTTTTTTGTAGGTATAGGCTTACTTATACCTATGTTAATCTAAAACTCAAAATCTTGGCAAAATTTAAAGTTTAAAACAATTGAATTTCAAAGATCTTAAATTTTGAGTCTATTTAGTGTCCCAATTGTTAAGAATCATTCCACAAAACCTACCATAACCCCTAGATGCGTCTATAGTAAACTATGTGGTGACCTTTTGTCTATTGTCCTATTCATAATATAAATAAATAATAAACGGAATGTCATAAATGGCTGAGAGAAATGCTATCCAATTTCTATTAAAGTTTTCTCTATTCATTGCACAACTAAACGCAGACTAGTCAATAAATATTGGCATTGCTCAGGAATTTTTTAAAATTTCGAAAAAAGTTAAATTCCGATGGCTTTTGCCTTGCTAAACTAAAATAATATGTAATTTTCATAATAAAATATGTTTTTTCTAAAGAAAGGAATAAATAGTTGTTCTATTAGTTAAAAATCTGCTTTTTGATACCTAAAAAGACATCAAAGTACCTAAAACAATATAGTAGGTATAGATAAAGACCCCAATGTATATTTAAACTACCACAAACTGCAGTTGAAGCACTCCCAACCCCCTAGCACTTCTTCACGGTCTGGGCATAAGTCCTTCGCTTATCATCGGCCTTAGGCTGGGCCGGTTGCTGATGTTTTCTGGCCACAACAGCACTGAATTGAGGCTTCTTCTGCTCCTTGATCTGAACCTGCTTTACCGATCGACTTTCTTCCTCGATCAGACACGGAAAGTCGGCAATGCCAAACTTGGTTGAATCATGGTTTTCTGGAGGTGATTCCGGCTGAAATTCCTCTGATTTCTCTTCCTTTTTCCACTTTGAAATCGGTTTTATGGCCGACTTGATTGGCTGATAGTTGTTGTTATTGTTGTTCATGTTTGGCGGCGAAGATTGGGCTGAAGCTGTGGTTGTTGTTGACAGAATGCTTTTCGGTTTGTCTCTGAAGGTAATAGGTATTAGTTTAAAATTTTAAAGGGCTTTAAAGTTGTTGAAAATTCGGTAGAAAGCCAGAGAATTACTTGACTCAAAACTGATTAATGGGTCAACCTTTTCCCTCTACGTAAAATTGTTTTTTTTTGTTAATTTCGCACTTCAATATAGATCTAAATCTGTTGTCAAAACCAATATCTTTTTAAAACACCTTCACCAGTTCGTAAACTTACTGTTCCTTGAATTCCACCGACTTGTGAGGCTTCGATGGCTTCTGATTATGATTGTTCGAAGTTGATAGATATGGACTTCTCCGTGGATTCGAAGGTCGTTGTTTGTAGCTGAAACTGGACCTTTCCGAGTAGACTTCATTGGCAAATTTGTGTTTTGAATCCGGGATTGTTGCTTTGTCTGAAAATTAGGATTTGGTTCGGGTTTTAGGAGAGAATTTTATGTTATTCATGAATTTTGGTAGGTGATTTACAGTTTTTGATGTAACTTTTTCAAAAGGTAGGTAGGAAGTTAAAACTTTCTGTGATTGTTGCTTTTTTGTTTGGCCAACTAATGCAATGAAAAAATTTTGAAATTTGTCTGTTTCTTGACGTTACAGTAATTTTACCGTACCTTATTTCCAACCTTGAACTTTGATTTTTTTTTTCAAATTTTTAAGTAAAATTTAAACGAAAACTTGAGTTCGTAGACGTAGCATTGACTAAAGGAATCTAATAAACACTATTTTTAGTCATCTTACCGGTCGAATATCCTCGGCTGCTCAAAAACTTGTTCTGAAGCGATCCAACGGAAATTGGCATTGAAGCCGGCACAGTTGGTGTACTAAACGCGGGCAAGGCGGTACCATTGCTGTCGGTGCCCTGAGCAGCTGCAATTGCTGCCGAACTCGTGACACTTGGCCTGAAGCTGGCTCGGGGGACGAAGCCAGCGCTGGCGAGGATTTGGCCGAGGCAGAAACTCGAGTTTTCCTTATCATTCGATGATTTTGGGATATCCGGGACCGAAAAGGGTAGATCGTGGATTGTGATTTGTCCGGTTATCACAGTCTCGCCTCCTGGTGACATTCCGACGTTGGTTTTGTAGGCTGTGCCAGTGTTTGTTATGATTTTGTCTTCAGCTCCGAACTGATAGGAATCTGTTACGATTGGGGCTCCACCGGTCTTTATGCGAGCCTGAAAAAATGCTAGTTAGGGTTTTGCTTCTAATGCGATTCTTTTTATATTAAAATGGCAAGTCTGTAATACAATATGGAGCTTCTATAATGTTTTAGGTACCTCTGATAAAAAGTTGACATTTTTCTAATTTAATATTAAGTTTTGATATTGTTTTAGGCTCTCGCACAATCTTTTTTGTCCTTTTTTTCAAGTTTTTCATGATTTTTTACGTTTTTCCTAATTTTTGGCCATCTCCTATATTACACTAGATAGATTGATGTCCATGTTACTCTATTTTTCATGTTAACCAAAACCCGTTGCTTTTTGAAGTCCTTCGCCGGCCACAAATTGGTTTTTAAAGACCACCCATTCAGTTTTTAATCGAATCAGCGAAACCCCCACTTGACATACGACCATATGGCCGTTGTATGTTGATTCAGTGGTATTTGAAATGTCTTGTAAATTGAGTAAAATTTCGTATACGAATATGAAAACGGCAGTATTTTCTCGTAAATGCCTAGTAAATTACCCTTCCATACCATATCACATAAGAAATGGCATTGAAGTTAAAGGTATTAGGATGTTCAGAAAGTTCTGCACCACCTAACCCTGAACGTTTACCTTGAGAATGGCGCAGATTTTTTTGAACAACATTTTAGGAGGTTTTTAAGTCTATGATTTTGGCTAAAACCTATAGTATATGGCCTAAAAAGCTTCGTATCTTCATTGAAACTCCTGATATCTTAACAGTAGCTTTGTATCTTAACGTAAAGCTTCGCATTCAACCGTAGCTGCTTCGTATCTTGACTTACATAAATTGGTTTGCCTCTGAACGTCCGGCCGAGGCTTTGAAGATGCATGAACGCCTTTTGAGTGTCCTCCTCCGTCTCGAATGTAACATACCAGCTGTTGTTGAGGCCGTAGCTCAGGCTGACGTACTTGACACAGTCGTCAAACATGGCCTTTACCTCCTCTTCCTTCGCGTCCTCCGGGATTTCCCTCAATATTATGGTACAGCGTTTGTTGCAAGGCCGCACTTTTAGTCCTGAGTCGTCAACTTGAACCTGGGGAGAGTCTGGAAGTATTGTGATAAGGAAGGACTATATTGTCATCATTAACATGGATATTGCAGTCAGCATTTTCATGCGAAATTTGAGCTCAAAAATGATTTTTTATTGATTTTTAGTGATTTTGGTCAAAATTATGCAAATTTAGATTTAAAAAAATTAAAAGTTTGATGTCCTGCCTACCTCTTAGCACCTGTACAATAAGAGCAAAGTCGTCGGTTAATTTGGAAACCTTGGGGAAGCCGGCTACGGTCTTGATCGGCACGTACTGATCAGCGTCCATTTGGGACCGCAAGTACCTGTCGTTCATTAAGTTTTCACTGGAAATGGCAACAAGTTAATAGTATGCTTCGGTTGACATTTTAAATGACTCCACAAAAAAAATTTTTCGAAAAAATTTTTTTTCGAAAAAATTGAATTTGGTCCCCCCTGTAGATTTTTGGATTTTAAAAAACTTTTTCAAAAAAAATCATAGTTCTACGGACTTTTCAACCGTGAAAACAAAAAATATTAAAGCCAGAAAATGTTTACTTTAATAAAAAGCCAAATTTTCCATTTTAAACCTTCAATTTCATACCTAAAATCACAAAAAACCAAAAAAATCCTTACCGACTGAAGTAGTACTCCAGCTGATTCCTCAACCTCTGATACAACTGCTCCGGTGACAATCGTGACGGCGGTTCTGGCGTCGATGACGGTTCATAGCCTGAGGGTGTGGATCGGCCTTGAGGACAAGGGATGCTCAACAACTGTTGTCGGCATTCCGATGTGAACCACCATGGTAGGAACGGTATGTGAGGCGAGGCGGCTTCTTGTTGCGGGCGGCTCGCGTTCCCATTCTGCGCTGAGTTCTTGTTTATGTCATTCAGGGCACGGTTCACGTCGCTTACCTGAATAAATTTAATTAAGGATTGTAATGCGAATGAGTTAACGTTTAGGTAGTTTCGAACCGGTCGATATCAGAAAAGTTACAGTAGAGCTGTTAGGTTGTTCAAATAGTTCTGTGCTCTCTAACCCCCCGAAGAACAACCTAATAGGTGAAGAAGGGTTTAAAATCAGAATAAAATTTTTTTGGGGTAAGGTTGGGGGTAGATAAAAGAATTAAAAAGGAAAGTACCCGACCTGCCCCGCTCTGATAGACTTTAAACTTTTGGTATAAAAAGATCATGTAAATACAATCAATATCTTCACCAAAGTACAAAATCGAGCTTTCCAGACAACCCAAGAAAATCAAGATCTAAAAATTACGTTTTGAATTTCCCGCCAAATTGGCATCGCGTTTAAAGCTTATGACCTTGTCATTTTTTGCCTTTTAATCATTTTTTTTATATACTAGCAGAAAACCTTTCAGTAGACCTACATTTTTGAATTTGTAGGCGTAGATTGTCTGGAAAGTCAAAAAAAGTGAATGAAACACAATGCCAAGTTCTGCTAAATTGGTGGGAACTTCTAATATTTAAATTTTAAAAAACCAAGGGGCGAGCTAAAACGTTTTATAGGTACTATTGGTGGTGCAAAAAAATTATATAAAAATTTTGAGCTGATTCTGAGTGGGGCAGGTTGACTACTTTCCTTACCTTGCCTTATAAATTTTAAACTTTTTATTTTTTCGAAATATTTTCAAAAATCCTTCAAAATTTCAAATTTCAGGCATTTTCCCCGTTCGCCCCCATAAATCCTCGGAATTCGGAAGCGCATAATCCGTTAACAATAACAACATTACTAACATGACATGACCGACTCGTTTGAGCAAACACAACAACCGAGTTGTAAATAAGTGACGTCAAAGACACAAACCTCCTGAATCACGAAGCATCTGGGCGTGGTCTCGGTGCAGATGAAGAAGCCGTTGTCTTTGAATCCGAAGCCGCGCATCTGACGCCGCGGATTCGGTCTTCTGGATCAGGCCAGGGGCTCTGAAATTCGAAAAATTTGAAATTTTTGAAATTGAAGGGGTAAAATTGTTTTTAAATGAATTAAAATAAAAATTTAATCAAAGATCTAACAAAAAATGGCATTTTAGTCGCTGGTCAAAAAGTATATAGCAGTCTAGATAGTGGTCAAAAATTAAGGTCATTTTAAGGTATAAACCAAGACAATAAGGTCAAAAGTAAATAGAATTTTAAAAAAACTTCAAAGAATAAAAATTATAGCTGATGGTCAAAAAGTAAATAGAAAGTAACTAATTATGAGCAAAGCAAAGGCAAAAATCACAAAAAAAAAGATTTTTTTAAAACAAAAAAACGAATTCTACGCACTTTTTGACCCGAAAAACAAAACTGTTTTAGAATGAAAATACATATCATAATCTTTGCTTCAAATTCTACAACCAAAAATTTTTTTAAAAAATTTTAAAAACGGACTTTTGGTCAAAATTTTGAAGAAACAATCAATTTTGTCATTTTAGGAGGTCACAAAGTTCATAGAAAAAATAATTTTTGCTGTTCCGCTCAATAACTTTATAGAAAAATCAAATTTTGTTACATCGGTCAAAAAGTTCATAGAAAAATAGATATTAGCCAAAAATTTTAAAATAAAATCAATTTTTACTATTGCGGTCAAAAAGTTCATAGAAAATTAAAATTTTAATTTAGTGATCAAAAAATTCATAGAAAAATCAAATTTTGGTTCATCGGTCAAAAAGTTCATAGAAAACTAAGTTTAGTAAAAAATGATAAAGTAAAATTAATTTTTGCCATTTTGGTCAATAAATTCATAGAAAAAATAAATCTTACTTCATCAGTCAAAAAAAAATTCAAATAATTCTGTGCCCCATCTCACTGCAAATTTTCAGTGTTAGAAGGCACAGAATTATTTGCATAACGTAATAAAACAACACGTATCAATTTCAAAACCTCAAAAGCCTTGCAAATGTTAAAAAATATTAATGAAAAGGCATGTATTCGATATGGAAAATAAACAATTTGAGCTTAAAAAGGGCTTCGATTAGAGGGAGAATGTTTTTTCGATTAAAAACGTTTGAAAAGGCTTTTTAAATTTGACAAAAAATGGTTCAATTTGATTTTAAAGATTAATCGGGAGAGGAACGGAGGTATAACAACTAAAATATTGAAGCAGAAACAATGTAAAACAACATTTTTAATTGATTTTAAGGGGTGGTAAATGAACAATAGGAAAAATGTAGTTTTAATTTTAAAAATATGAATTTAAGCTTATAAATTGATTAAAAATTGATAAAAAAAATGTTGCTTAAGCCAAGAAATTCATAAATAAAGGTAGTTTAAGAGGTCATAAGATTTAAAATCTAACTTCTTTAACCTTTCATTAACGTCAAAGTGCCAAAACTTAAAATTTCCTTAAAGAAAAACCAATTATTTTTCAAAAAATCGACGAAAACTTACGTATTTTGATGTTTACAACAAGATAATTTGATGATATTCCCTGAAGTTTGGTCGATATTCAACTAATTATTTGTTTGCAATATCCAAGTTCGTCTATATTCACCTTCCTTTGAGTAAAACAAGCTCAAAAGGTTGATGTTGGACTAACCCAAGGGCTTTTTCGACTATAACAAGGCCAAAAAAGTCGATATTAACCTTCTCTTGGACTGAAACAAGTTTAAAACGGTAGACTTTGGACTAATAAAAGGTCAAAAAGGTTGATATAAACCTTGTTTTACAATAAAACAAGGTCAGTTGAGTAGCACAATCCTCAACGTTGCTCAACGTGCTAATGTTGATATCGAAGCGGACGTGAACTCAAAGTGCGCCGTCGTTCCGTTGCTTCAAATCGAGGTATCGCCTTCGAACTCAATTCGTCGTGAAGCTCCCGAACTCGACTTATCGTTCCTCCAAGTCGACTTATCCCTGCCGCGTTGCGAACGTGCGCTGACGCCGGACCGTTCCAACCACACACGATTAAAAAACAACACACGCCGGCGTGAACAGGGCTCCAAAGACGGACAATGAAGAGGCAAAGAGGTGGCCACAAACGATGCACACCAACACACAAGGCTCGCACACACACACACGCTGGCGGAACGGCCCCTTTGGCTACACTCTGGGACCCGCGGAATCCGTCGTTCTCTCGGTTGGGGGAGAAGCCAGCCCCCGGCAGAATCCGGCTTTTTGCGCTTTTTTTCACGTGAAGCGAAAAAAGAGCGCGGGACGTGGCAGCCGGCTGACGCTTGGAGGGGGCCCGCCTCGCGGAATTTGCTCAAAACTGCCGCAGGGCCTCTAACCTCTGCTCTCGTTGAATTCGGTCTTTTTCGCGATCGGAATCGGCTTTTTTGCATCCGATTCTGATTCTCAACTTCTTTTCTTTGTTTTTTCTTAACTTTTTGCCTTTTTCGAACTTTTATTGATAACTGTTGGCTTTTAATGTATTTTGTGCTTCTGAATTTGTCTTTTTTATTAAAATTCATAATTTTTGATCTTCAGCGATTTTCAATAATTGCTATCTAGAGGCTAACACTTTTTTTTCTTGACTTTCATCAACATAACAGTAGTTTTTAAAATTTACAACAGCCGATTTTAAAGTTAAACGGATTAAGAAAAAGTTTAGCTATAACAAATTAGCTTGGCCTTATCATAACGTACCTAACGCTATTACGCTTTACCCTACCATAATATACCATTCTTTATTATATGCTACTCTCCCCTACCCAAACATACTCTTATTCTCCCCATCTTACTTCACCCTACCCTATCGTACCCTACTTTACTCTACGCTGTTCTGCCCTACCCTACTCTACTATAATCTACCCTGCTTTACCCTACTCTAATATATCCGGCCCTATCTTATTTTAAACTTCCCTGACCTATCCTAACCTTCACTACTTCAACCTACACTACTCTTCAATGCTTGCCCAACCGTTAAAAAACTGTTTAGGTCTCCCCTAAGCTACCCCTATCAAAGGAATCCAAGTAGACCTGAAAGGAGCCAAACTGGGCCGAAAAATTGGGTAAGACTTCTAGGTCTAAAGCCCAGCTTTATCCTAGCAAAAACTTAAAATCATTGTCTTTAAATAGTATACTTACAGCACGCATCGTATTTTACAATTCTACTTAAAAAACTGAACCCAAATGCTCTGTGGACGTTTCCTTTTACTTAATGCCAGTCACTTAATGTCATGTTATCTTAGGCTCATTCAGGCCAGAAAACCGAGTGACAAGCTGTTTTTAGGAGCACAAATGGCAAGATACGACCTTTTTTGGGATAAACAAGCCTTCAGCTAGCCATTATATTCTTACTTTTAGAATTTCGCTTTTGTGTCAATTAAAAATGGCAGTGAATAAAAATTTCACTACCTATTGAATACAGTGCTATGATTTGTGTTGTAATATTGTATTTTTACTATGGTCTATTTCATCGTTATCTTGATATTACTATAGTTCTTGCCAGGATACCGAACAATTGTCATAATTCATGTCATAACCTCAAATACCTTACTATAACTCAAGCAAACCATCTACCTCAATATATAATAATATCTCTGAAAATAGCGCAGCATATCGATATATATCTCTTTATTTCGTTGTCATATACTTCAACTTGACTTACAACAATGAAATATAGCCTCACATCACGATAGGCAATGAAATATCACCACGAAATTAGGCAAATCGTATGTTGACATCGATTAATGACATTGTTTGTAATGTTTTGAAATGAATTTTTAAATTTCATGCTTATTTACTATGTAAATCTAATCGTATCACACTATGATGACATTACATGTTGTAATTGGCTTTGAAATACATATGTTTTGGGCAAGATTTAGCTAGAAATGTCATAGTAATGAATAAAAGTGTCATTGTAATGGTAGTTGTTGGGCTGAAAAAGTTACTATAGTCAAGTACCAAATAGTACCACAGTATAATCTATATCACCTTAATATCTTACAAGCCCGTACCTTCATCTACCATCTTAATATAAACTAATAAAGCAGTATATCATTCACACATACCACAACAAACCGTAGTAACACAATTATATTAGATTTTTCAAATAATTCTGTGCTCGTAACTCCAAATTTTTTTTTGAGAAAGCGCTCAAAACTATTTGAACAGCTTAATATTACCCTGCGCTGCATAATAACATCAATCTACCTTCATATCCTAACCAATAACAACTATTTTACTACCTCATCGTAAAACACTATTACTTCATTGTATGCCACCAACAAACCGTATAACATCAACACAGCGCTATTCTACAACAACATCAATTTTATACCGCCCACACCACCACAATTTGGCCATTTGAACACAATTTACCCTACTAGAATATCGGATATCAAGCATAAAGTATAAGCATTATAAATTTTCCGCGTAATACGACAACATTTATATGATATTTATGGTAGTTTCGTAGTCGTATCTTCATTATATTTATTTTGTTTTCCTTTATATTAATGTTGAGGCGTCCAAAAAGTTTTGTCGTTTTTTAGCATTCAACACAATGTTAATCAACGACAAAACTTTCTAAAGCCTTATTGATGGGCTGGCTTCGCTTTTTAATGCATTGAATTGGAATTATTATACCCTGCAGATATATGCTTGTTTAAATAATTATGTGCCCCCTAACCTAAAAAAATTAATTCGAGAGAGGGATCAGAATTATTTAAACAATCTAAGAAATTGTGTGTAATTTAAAACTGTCCACGTCATGTGTAATATCATAAGTACATTATTAAGATTAATACAATAATTCATTGTGTTATATTATACTAGATATACCGTATTTAATACTAGTAATCTGCTTTGAAGATTAGATATAAAAAACAATAAGCTATATCATTATTTAGCCAAGAGTACAATACTATTAGGTTGTTCAAATAATTCTGTGCCCCTAACCCAAAAAAACTATCTTTGAGAGAGAGCACAGAATTATTTGAACAACCTAATATGCCAGTATTGAGCTGAGAGTATAATTCTATACAACTGAGTATTGGTTTTTGGTCAAAAAGTTCGTAGAGAAGGTCAAAAAGTTCATAGAGAAGAGCCAAAAAGCTCATAAGCTACAATTCAACATCAAACTTTAAAGACCAAGGCATAGTTATGAATTGACATCATTGATAACTTATCTTTCCCTTCTTTCCTCCCACACGCTTTTTGCAAGAAAAGATGTCATCATGACGTCATTTAGTCAAATTACTCGTTTTTCGATACAATTAAAGCCTGAGTGAGCCGAACAAAAGTTATTTGAGAGAATGGGTTATAAGAGTCAATAAGCATATTATCTTTGGTTTTTTGAAGCTAGACTTATATTATGAAGTCAGACTTACATTATTTTAGGTTTTATTAGACTAAATCTATATTTTTTAGCTTTTCTAGGGCTGGACTATATAAATATTCAATTTTAAGTAACAAAAACTGTGAAAAATTGAAATTTGTGAGAATTTTAGGTAATAAAAATGTGAAAATTACAATTTTTGAAAGTATTAGATAACAAAAACTGTAAAGACCAACAATTTTTAAAGATTTTAGGTACAAAAAGTATAAAATTAGCTATAAAATGTCTAAAAATCAGCTGTAAACTACCAAAATTCACCAAAATCCATAAAATCGTAAAAAAAGACTTCAAACCCTTTTAAAAAATTAGAAATCTCATCACAATCCTCATGAAACCAACAGAAATCTCACCAGAATTTCTGCCAAATCCACCCTGACCATATTTCCTCATTCCTCTCAAGCCGCCTTTACCAGTCGATCCAGTGCCTCCAATGCCAGTTGAGTTTGTAGGAAATGTCGATGTAACTCTTCACACTGACCTTTCAATGTTTCTATCGTTCCGACTAGTCGACGACCGTTCCTTGACCATTCTACGAGCTTGTGCACATTCTCCCAATCTTCATTCATATTCTGTTGAAAGGCACTCATCCTGGTACTGGCCATGTTGGCTATCCTCAAGGTTTCTTGGTTCATGTCACGAAGCTGCATTAGTTGGAGTTCGTGTCTGGAAAGAGTTGAGTGATACGGTTTTTATAATATTGGGAGTAGTAATTTGCTATAGATAGAGCAATATATTGAAAAAAGCTTCTGAATTTGAAAAATCTAAAAATGACTGCACGGTGCAAGAAATATTTTAAAATTTTGAAATTCCACATTCAAAAAAAATTTAAACTTTAAAAAAATCTTCAAAAATATTTAAAATCGTCTTAGATTTCCATTTTCAACGCATTTTGCAAAAGTTCTGCTCGTCTCTTACTTTACCGCACTCTCTCACTAATACTCAATTAAAAGTCAAATAAAGACTATTTTTAACTGCTAAACCATTTACACAATACTTAAACAACATTTTCTAACTAATCCTATCACAATTAACTTTGTGTACTAAAAAGAAACATTAATATAAGCAAAAAACGATGAATAATATTAGTAATACCTGCTACAATATATTATTACTCAATATTTCGAGAAATCCCCAAAAATAGCTGAAATGCGTAACTCACTTGGCGAGAATATCATCGACGTTTGGCTGTTTGGCTAACTCGTCGTAGAATTGCTTTGCAACGAGTTCTGATTCATTCCGATTGATCAAGCCCATATTCGATACCAGGTTCTCCAAACCACTGAAAACGGTATAAAACTGTCAAATTGTTACAACTTAAAATTTGTTTTTGAATTTAAAAGTTTCTTAGTTATCATTTAATGCTATTTCAATATGAATTTACTTAGTTCTTAAACTGTACTTTAAATTTATGATTTTTATACACTTGATCACCTATCATAATATAATTTTTCTCTGTGAACTTTATATAAGCCAATAAAAAATGTTAAATGTCTGCCATCCTCATATAATGCTTTTTGTAAAAGGTTTTTAAGAAAGTCCAACAGCTTCACAAAAAAATTTGAATATTACTCTTGTCCACCTATTACGTTTCGTTGCCATAATTTTAATTTTTAATATAAAATTGTAAAACTTGGGTAAAAAGATCGTCATACCTTATATTTTTACTATTTCTTAAAAAAGAGAATTAATTTTAGTTTTAATAAAGTTAAAATCACAATTAAACGTATGACTACAATACTTTGGCAAGCTTAATATAACGAGTTCCAGGTTGACTAATTCATGAAATTTTTAGATCATGAATGTAAAATAATGTCTAAAAACAAATCTTGCAACATTTTTCAAAGTAAAAATCCTAAAACTTTATGTGTATTACCTATTTTTTCAATTATAAAAGAAAAACTACACTTTTCGCCTGAAAAATGAGTAAAATCGACAAAATCTTTCATTATAGATCCAGAAAAAAGTTTGAGTAAAATAGGTTATGCTTTTATAAACATGATTTTTTCGTTTTAGCTATTGTAAAATACGCTGTGGATTCATCTTTCCACTAAAACCAACAAACTTCACCTAGAAAAATCCGATTTTCCTCCCAAAAAACCCTCAAAACATGGCCATAAACTGAAAACTCACTTGGCCACTGGAGCTAATTCCTCGACGATCCTCTCACCCAACAACCTGACACTCTCCATGGTTGATTGCTCTTTTATCAGTCGAGAAATGAGTCGTCGAAGCCCGTCTTTTTTTATTTCTCGAGCAAATTCAAGGCTGAAACGGAATGCCAAGCCTTTTTCGCTTTTCGGGAAAACTCTTTCTGGATGAAGGAGCTCGGAGGGTTTTTGAGGATTTTGAAGGGGTGTTTAGAGTTTAAATTTGAATGTTTTGTAAAATAAGAATAAAAGTTTAGGGCTTTTGGAAGGTTTGCAAAAGTTTTTGGACTTTTTCGAGGATTTTTTGAGAATTTAAATTGATTAAGAAAGTCATGACACTTGCTTTTTGTTACCTTTTTAATGTTTTTAGCTTGTAAAATCTTAATAACTTTAAAATTTTGCTTCAAATTAACACTGAAAAGTTAGTATTGAACAAAAAATCTATTTGTAGTATTTCACCCAAAAAATCTTATGTTTAGTGTGATTTATCTTGATATTGTAGTAGGCACCACGAAAATCAAATTTTTAAAAGTGAAAATTAAAAGTCCAAATTTTGCATTCATATTACACATGGCATTGGTAATCTTTACACAAAATTTTATCAAAAACTGAGGTCTACAAAGGTACTTTTTGGAAAAATTCATCTTGATATTGTAGTAGACACTTAACTTTGATTACTTATTTTTAGTAGTGACTGAAAGCAAACTCGTCAGTTTAACTTATAATTAGCAAAAGGGAAGACTGCTTAATTGTTTTGTAAAACCATTTTTTGCAATCTTTGCTGTAAACAAAGTTATTGCGTTTTTTGTTTGGTAATAGACTTTTCATTGGATTTTGGCTTTTTAGGTATTAAATTAAACACTTTATTAAAGTGTTGGGTGTTAAAATATATTTCAGATAAAAACGAAACCTATTTTCTCAAAAACAACCCGGTAACCACATAAAGTTATGTTTTATGACAAAAGAAGACTGATGATGAAGGGCTACCGTGAACGGTCAGAAGCGTGAAGGGTTTAGCCTTGAGAGAATGTTTTGGGAATTCAAAGTTTGCTTAGGAAGAATGCTTAGAATGCGGGAGGGGGTTGATAACCAGTTATTGCATGTTTTCGATGAAAACTACTCAGTAATTCCGATCATTTTCTCGCTCGCTTTCGGCTGCGGCACGTTTCGTCGTATAACATGTCGCTTTGTGTAATTTTTGAAAAAATTTTATTGTGGTCAGAGTAGGGTGGGTAATTTTGGTGTTATACTTGGAGGGTGTGGTAAAATTTTTTTCTAAATTTTGATTTTTTGAAAAAAGTTTATCTTTGTAAATTGCACCGTGCAACCTTAATGATAATTTTAAATCTAAGCTTTTCGTAACTTCTTATGGTCAAACAGACCTTTTAAGCTTACGTTTCAATAATGGAGGCGGAATAATAAAAACTTTGATAAAATTTGATAAGAAGAACGCAAATTAAGTATACAAAATGTTATTGTTGTAAATTGTTTGTTATATCTTTAATATTTTACACGTTAACTAGAAAGTCATTTGAGTCATCAATATAAATTTTGAGATAGGTTAAACCTTAGATACAGTAGCTTGTTTTCATGGCTTAATTTGACAAAAAAAAGACGTTATTATTATCAATATAGCCCTAAAAAGAGGTCGAATTGATGATAATATTGAGTGGGAGAACGTTCAGCTGAGTCATGGCTATTTTAATTACCCGGATGTTAAAGACAGTATGCTGGTACATTGATATCATAAGTTAGAAAACAAAGTGTAGGTTGGTTAACGACATGTGATTGTTTACCAGAGATAAACGTTAAATATTAGATATGATATGTAACATTTTTGGTTAATTTCTGGTCTGTTAGGGGATAGATAGCATAATTATGGCTCTGAAGTTGGTTTGAGAAAACACTGCCCCAACCCCTACCAATACTCCTATTCCTAGCTTACCCCTACCCTTGTCTCTATTCATACTCCTACTTCCACCCCACAAGGGGTGGATTTTTAAAAATGTTTTTTGCGTGTTAACTCTAGCCTTACCACAAACTTAAATACCATATATTATTAACCTAAAGCATCTTCAGCCCACCTTACCACTTTATAATGTAAAACAAGCAATATGATGGAAACATTGCACGAAACCAAAGACTTGACTCTAATCACCGATGAACTCCGTCGACTCTTCGTTAACGAACCCGCTGGCAAAACTGAAAAAGCCGAGAAAACTGAGAACGACGATTTGAAGATCAAGTTCCAACATCAAGATGACAAAGGGGCCATCAACCTAAAAAGGCCGCCAAAGTTTGCCGACCTAAGGGATTACTTCGAGCGACGATTCAAACGGCCGTTAAAGATATATTACACTACCTCAAGCAAGGAGCTCATGATCCAAATCCGCTCACAACAAGAGTTCGATCATGTAGTTGACTTACACGATCGAAACAATCGCTGCAAGAGTCGGATGAGATTGATTTTGGCAAAGAAAACCGACCAAGACCAAATGTATACAGCACCACCGCCTCAGGGCATGTACCATTCAGTACAAGAGTCCAACATGTCCGAGACGTCTTCAATATTTTCTACTGGATCCACGTCTTATTCACATTACGGTAACAGTAGACTAGGTGAAGAGGAATACAGTCGACTAGGCACTCCATTGGCGCCGTTACACTGGCGACCGTCAAGGTGCTTAGGTCGCGGTAGCTTCGGCACTGCATACGTATGCTTGAATGTAGATACGAATGAACAGTTGGTAGTGAAGAAGATATCACTGAACAATAATACGAGGCATAGGAATCGGATTCTGGCTTCACTGGAGAATGAAGTGAACTTGTTGAGTACGATACGACATCCTCATGTAGTACAGTACCATGGATGCGAACGGCAACATGACTTTTTCTACATTTTCATGGAATTCATGACTGGAGGGACGTTAAAAGAGCAAGTATGTCATTTTTTGGTCGTTATGAGAGGGGGAAACACAATGCCAAGAAATGAGAAAAGCCAGCGAAATTCAAATTTCAAAAAAAATTCTGGTATTTTAATTAATAAAATGGTAAAAGATGTCTTGGAAAGTCATTTAAATTACTTTTACTTTAGCATTTTACCATATTTTTAATAATTTCGAGCAAAAAAATCGAAATTATGTTATGCATAACCTACTGCAACATAACATAATATAAAACTCTTTCAGATAACCGAATGGGGAGCTTTAAACGAAAACTTTACTGTAGACTTTACAGCCCAACTTTTAAGCGGTTTATCGTATCTACATGGCCGTAAAATCATTCACCGTGACATAAAATGTGCCAATATACTACGACATACGAAGGCATTAGTCAAGATAGCTGACTTTGGGTCTGCAATGTATTTACAGGCGATTTGTAGTGAAAGTGGAGTTGACATTCATGGTACACCACATTATACGGCACCTGAGATTGTGCTGAATACTAGGCGAAGCGATCAGGCTTCGGATATTTGGAGTTTAGGTAAGATTTGATAGATTTTTGGTGGGGTGGAGTAAATCTTCATCAAAGAATTTAAATTTTCAATTTATTTTAAATATAAAGCTCTACCTTTTAAAAATTTTAACGACTTTTCCAATTTTAGCTTAAAAATCAAATTTAAAAGTTTTCGTGGTGGGACCCAATTTTCAGAATTTTTTGTTATTTAAAACATTTTATATTGAAGAGCCTATATATACCATAAATTGAAAAACGTAAACTATCGTTTTTCAACACTAAATTTAACATTTTAGGTATATGTGTAGTAGAGATGTTGACCACCAAGACCCCATGGCACGATGTAGATCCAGCAGCCGTTCATATAAAGATAGGATATGAGCAGCCCGACCTAAATCTACCTCCTAAAATCGGTGCAAATTTGGAATCGGCCATTTTGAAAATGCTCGACCCTTGCCCGGAAAGTCGCCCATCGGCCGAACAACTCTTGAAGTTGGCACCTTTCAGCTTGGTGGAGCCTTAGATTTAATAGTAAATATTATTTATGTACAGACATTTTTACGATTGAATAAAAGTTTAATTTTATTTTAAATTTTAAAAAATTTCATTTTAAAAAGGTTGGAATAGCCCTACCCCACCTTACACTGCAGTACCCTACCCTACCTTACTCTACCCTACTCTATTCTGCCTTACTCTACTCTACACTATCTTACACTATAGCTAAAACTACCAAAAAGACAACCTACTCTACCACACGTGGTAATATCATATCCTTACACAACATTAATCTACTATACTCAGACCTACCCACTTTTCTCTATTATGCCTTACCCTCAACTTACTCTACTTTACCATAGACTTCCGTACCCTATTATGCCCTATCCTACTCTATTCTGCCTTACCCTACTTTGCCATTGGCTTACTTACCTATCATCATGCCCTATCGTGCCGTCTATTCGAGCCTAGCTAGATTTTATCTCTCGCTATCTCAACCAGACCCTGCTTTACTACCTTTGCCCCACCGGTACCCTTAAAAACTATTAGTTTTTCAAATAATTCTGTGCCTCCTTAACCGGCAGGCTTCAATATAGTTCTGTGCCCCTTCACAACACAATGTGCTTGTTGAAGGGGCATTGAACTATTTGAAAAACCTAATATTAATAAAGAACTGTCTATGAAAGAAGTTTTTTTGACAAAAATGATTGTCATACCTCATCTTTCAGTATAATAGTGCATTCTCAAGTAATTTTACTCTACCTTCTTCGAAACAACTAATCCACTTTGGTAGCAATTAATTTACAGAATTTACTTAAGCGGTCGAAAGACGGCGCGCAAACTTTGACACCTTCACCTTCTTTTTCCGTCGATTGCGCGTTTAATTATCATGTCGCTGATCTTGTGACTGACCTTTGAGTAGGGAAGAATACCTGCGCAAATCGCTTTCTCATCATTTTTCGTTTATTTCATGGCATTTTTGGGGGTAAAACGGCTTCGAAAGAGTGTCTGAAGCCGAGAGACGCCAGAGAAACGACTTCTTTTGGAGGTTTGCAGAAGTTTTTGATGGTTTTTTGGGTACAATAGATTGAAAAATATGGTTATCTAAATATCCCAGCTTTGTAGATTATTTGAAGTCATTATTAATAGTTTTGAGTTGGTCTATTATATATATTGCATCATTATTTTTTGCAAAAAAAAGATTTTTTTGTAAAAACTGCCATTTTTGATTAAAATATATTTGAAAAAAAGTTATAAAATAAAAAATAATTTCGGATTTTACCTATCTTACAATTTTTAATTTTTAAAAACTGTTAGTTTTCGCAATATCACAATTTGAGCGAGAGATCACGCGATCCCAAGAGAGCGCGCGAGATAATATTAGAGAACACATAAGAACGAGAGAGCGCGCAAAGAAATCTCCTCCAATCAAATGAGATCAGACAAAAATGCCAAGAAGGCGCGAAAACGCAACGCGGACCCGAGAGGGTGGTTATAGATATCTCGGAACAGCGAGACGAATCGGCGAAATAGCATGCGAAACGAAGAGACGCGCTAAGAAAGTCAGAGATCCGCGTCCGATCGCTCACTGAAAATCCCGAAATTTATTCGAATTTCGGAATTACACTAATTCGAACCGGCTTTCATCGGAATTACACTAATCGTGCCGAGGAAACGAGTTGTGCTGATCATATTGTAGCGTCGATCAGCTTCAGAATCCCGATTTTGATTGCGATCACACCTCGAGATTCGGCTGATCTTCACCAATTTTCCGTTTTTTCTCGGAATTTTCAAATTTTCTTCGGCTTTTTTAATGTTTTAGATGCCAAATGCCAGGGAAATGCGGACGGAACGCGTTTGAACCTTGATATTAACATTGAACGTGATAATAAAAATGTTCGGAAGACAGTTTTGCTATAACTATATTGTTATTGGCCTCACTTATTCACCCGATTTCGCCGCATAAACATAGAGGACCCTACTTTGTTTTATGTTACCCATGGGAGATTCGCTTCAGCGTTCGTTTTTGTGACTTTCTTGGCAAAATATGTTGTTGTAAATTACTTTATTATTGTATTATCTTGTTCTTATCATACTGTAAAGTTTTTTAATACAGTTTTAATTAAAAATGGCAGAAAACTTGATTTATATTACACAAGAAAGTTCTTTTTTGGCGTTGATTTTTGAGATTTTTTTAGGTAATAAAATATTGTAGGTTAATTTTAAAAGCTAAATAATACTGTTCTTATTATACTGTAAAGTTTTTTAGCGCAGGTTTAATTAAAAATGGCAAAAAACTTGATTTATATTACCCATGAAACCAAAAGTTAGTTTTATGTCTAATATTTCAAACTTTGCTTTTAATTTTAAATGAGATCATTACAAAATATTAATTTTTATAAACTACAGTATCTTTTTTCTACTATTATGCAGTATTTTTTCTTATTTTTTGTTTGGCAGTTTCAGAAAAACATGTTTTATATTACCCACGCGAACAAAATTAGGTATATCTCAATTTTTTGATTTTTTTGGTCAAAACAAAGTTTTTTGTTCTGTAAATTATACTGTACTTTTTTCTAGATACTGCATACTATTTTACTGTTCATATTTTATTTAAAAATTCGATGTTTTCTCCTAAAAATATTGTTGTAGGCATTTTAATCAACAAATATCCTTATAAACCAAGAAACTTCGATATGAGGTCATAGTGAAACCCTTGGAATCCAGATGTTTGATCGAAAAAAGTCTTCGAACGAATAACTTTTTATACGAGTAACAGTAATGTGATCAAACTTTTGTACAGCTGACTTTTACTGCATGTTTGACTTGAGAAACGGGTGGATATTTGACGCGAGTTTTTTTTACTAGCGTTTCTACCAAATAATATTCATTAGAGATTTTTTGATATTATTTATCTTAGGTTTAGGGATTTTTTAGTTTTTTTTTATAAAATACGTTTTTTGTTACCTAAAATTTGGTTTTCGACTGGTTTTTGTTTTTTGATCAAATTTTGTTGTAAAATACGGCGCGCCGTCCCTTGTAAATTTTAAAGTAAACTTTACGTAAAACTTCAAAAATTCAAAAATTTTACTTTCAGCGAGTCGAGACGATGCAAAAGAAGTAGCAAAAGTACGATAACAACATTGAAATGCGGCTGTTTTCCCGTCCACTAGTGCTGTGCGGGTTCGGCCTGGTACTGGGCTTCCTGGGTACGGTGCTTTTGTTCAGCTTCAAGGATGTGTCCAAGTTAGTGATCCAACACTCGGCTCGTCTCTCGCCACGACCTCGAACCTCGCTGCCTCAGGGTCGGAACACGATTTTGGTGGGAATCATGACAGCGGCCAAGTACGTCGACACCAGAGCTTATAATGTGTGGAGGACGTGGGCCAAGTACATTCCTGGTAAAGTACTGTTCTTTGTGGCAGAGGATACTGTAAGTGCGTATCCGGAGATGCCATTGGTCAGGTTGAAGGGGGTGGATGACACTTATCCGCCTCAGAAGAAGAGCTTCGCCATGTTGAGGTGGATGTACGATAATCATGTAGGTTTTTGAATTTTGTTTGATTGGTGTTTAGGGAAAATCATATAGTTATTGGCATTAAACTAATATGTTGTCTTTGACGTATTCAAGACGATTTTTTAAATGTTAGACGGCTTGTAAAGGCTATGGTAATGTTAATATTAAATGGTAGAATGCTTTTCTTTTTCAAAAAGCATTATTACGACCTAAAAAGGATAATATTTTAGCTTTAAAATGATGTTAACATAGGCAATACCTCCGTCTAATGCCTTTCTACAGTCAGAACTTCATTTTAATGCCATTTGAAATACCACCCTTTCCAGATAGACAACTTTGATTGGTTTCTACGAGCCGATGATGATCTGTATGTTCGTGGTGACCTACTAGAAGACTTCCTCGGATCCCTCGACCCATCCAAAACCCACTTCATTGGCCAAGCTGGACTTGGCAACAGTGCTGAATATGGCCAACTCTCTCTAGGGCCTAGCGAAAACTACTGTATGGGAGGGCCTGGTGTTATATTGTCTAAAGAAACCTTGAGAACAGTAGCTCCATACCTCGAATCTTGTCTGTCCGAGCTTCTGACCACTCACGAGGATGTTGAAGTAGGTAGATGTATAAGGAAACATGCTGGAGTTGCTTGTACATGGAACTATGAGATGCAAACTCTCTTTCACAACAATCAGACGATACCAAACGCTTATAGTAGTGGGGTTTCGGATGAGGTTAGTCGAGCAATCACATTACATCCAGTAAAAGACCCTCAGGTCATGAAGAAGCTTCACGTCGCTGTGAATACGATGAAGTTGAAGCAGTTGAGAGCACAGAGGATCGAGTTGTTGAGGTTGATCAAGAAGATCGCTCCGGCTTCGCTGAATCGACGAGTTTCGAACAAAACCAATGATCTTCAGGTGTGGGACTTTTTACACTTTAACAAGCTCACGTTCTGCGCAAACCAAGTCAATTGCCCCAGGCATACGATCGATATGAATGTGCATTCGGCTACTCAGGACATTGTTACTCAGGTAGGGGTGGGGAATTTTGAAAAAATGTGATAAATTGTTATAAAATTGAAAATGACGTCTACTACAATATAAATTTTGAATCATTTTATGATTTGACTCTAACAATGATAATTTTTACAGCTCTTCGACGAATTCAACGTGAACGCCCGCCAACGTGGCCGTCTCCTCCAATTCCAGAACATTCAGTACGGCTACACGCGTGTCGAACCTCGGCACGGTGTCGACTACGTACTGGACATGATTCTATGGTTCAAGAAGTTCCGCCCACCACATCGAGCCACACTCTCGGTCCGACGACATGCCTACATTCAACAGGTCTTCGGCGAACCCGAAGCCATCAGTGAAGCCGGCAAAAGGGCATTGTTAAGGTCGGGAGAGAAGAATAACACGGATTCTGCTGGAAAGAACGGCATATTCAATCAGGTACTGTACTTTATAATACCATTGAAGGGAAGAGCTGCGACATTCTTAAGGTTTATTGAGAATCTGAAGCAAATCATCGAGTTGAACGATCATCGACATCAGCTGGTCATCATATTGTACAAGTAAGCTTTTTTAGTTTTGAATTTGGTTTTTAGGTATTAAATGAGCATTACGTTCAACATCTTTACCTGTGATTAAATTTTTATAGCAAGAAAGTACTAGTTGTTACCTAAACTATTCGTTTTTATTATGAAAATTCTATTTATTACTTAAAATAATTGCTGGATCAAAAAATCGTAATTGTTACCCGAATGTACCATTTTATTACCTAAACTATCATTTTTATTAAGAAAATGCTATTTATTACCTAAATTCCTGATTTTATTACCTAAAAATCAAACTTTCGATCAAAAATTCTTGATATGGCCATACCTACATCCATATATATATATTCATTTTCAGTTCTGGAGACCAGAACGAAGATGCAATGATCAGATCGATCTTAACCGAGATCACCTCCAAAATGATGATCAAAATCATCGATATGGGTGATAAGGAGTTCAGTCGAGGCCAAGCCTTGACAGCCGGCTCAGCCATCCTCCCAGACGACGCTTTGATGTTCTTCACCGATGTGGATATGATCTTGAGTTACGATACCATCCAAAGGATACGACTGAACACTATTCAGAACTATCAGGTATTTATGAGCTATTCATTTATATTAGTACAGTAATATAGCTATATTAATATAGTAATTAATGGTTTTAAAACTTTAAATCAAAAAATATTGTTTTAGGTCTACTTCCCGATAGTCTTCTCCGAGTTCTCGCCCAAATTCTGGAACCCAACCGAACGAAACGACCATCACCAGATCTCGTACGCCCGACAGCGCGGCTACTTCCGCCATTTCGGCTACGGACTGGTCTCAATATACCGCAGCGACTTTGTTCGAGTCGGCGGATTCAACTTGACCATCCGAGGCTGGGGCATGGAAGATGTGGACCTGTTCGAGAAGGTAATAGCCTCTCCAACGTTGAGAGTATTCCGAGCACCAGATCCTGGACTGGTGCACGTCTTTCATGACATTCATTGTCCCCCGGACATCCCGGCCGCCCAACATCACATGTGCTTAGGGTCACAGGCCGCTAGTATGGCTAGCTTGGATTCATTGGCCGAACATTTCGCTAATTATGCTTGATTTTGAGGTTTTATGATCATCTCGATGGTGCTTATGGCGTTTTTAATTTTGTTTTTCTTGAGATTTATCAAGTTTTTTATACTATTTGGTTGTTCAAATAATTCTGTGCTCCTAATCCTGAAAATTTGCTTTGAGAGGGGGCACATAATTATTTGAACATCCTAATATTACTAAAGTTCTAGGACGACTTTAGGTGCGATTTTAACCAAATTTCAAGTATCTTGACTTCAAAGCACCTCTAGTACACATAGTCGTTACAAGAACTTTTGGTATCTTATAGTATGTTAACTTTGAAATTCTTTCATTTTTAACGAGATTAATAGCATTTTTCTAAAATTTGGGGCATTTAATGCCATTCCCAATAGTCTTTGTTGGTCGATACTTAATCTTGTTTATATTCTTTCATATCTTTTTACCTACATTAATATAATCATTTTTTTAGTATTGAGTTCATAATGTTAACATAGCCACAATATTTCCATATGGGTCATATCTTTTGTTGTATTAACTTTTATTTTGAATATTTTTGTTATTAATGTTATCTTAATGTTTGTATTTTTAACCATACTGTAGATTACTTCTTTCTTATCAGTTTGAAATACGGGATTATTTATTGAAAGTGGACTGATTCACAAAAATATGAAAAAAGGCCATAAAAATGTAATTTTTGTTTAAAAAAATATTTTGGAAAATTTTAGGTAACAATTTTTTTAAACAAAATTTAGAGTTTTTAACAAATTAAAAAATTTCAGCCCAATACCAATATAAAATAACATTCCCATTGGTCATAAAATCCCCCCCCCCGTTGTCTATCGATTGCAACTAATTTCAGACCCGAATATGCATTTTAAAGTCTTTCCACATTTATTCCGTAATAATTAGATACCCGTCCATAATAAATATCACAAATAATGTCTATCACAATATGAAAATCAGTCTACAATAATATACGGTTTTTTGTCTCATATACGTACTACAAATGTACCTAATTTTAAGCCAAACGAAAGAAATTTAAACCAAAACCAAAAAGGTACAACAGTTGGTACAGGTATGAAAAAGGTACAATGTATTACGTATATGACTCAAAGCATATTGACCTACCAGTAAGGCTGTCTACCACATAAATCTTTGCTTCCGACCGGGTTCGTGCGACCATTCGAATGGGTGAAATACGAATAAATAAGTTGTTACTACAATCAGAATGACATTCACTACGATCTCAACAAAATTACAGACGCATTTCGGCGCTTTCTCATTAACATTCAAACGCCAAATGGCATAGGGAATGATAAAATATCGAAATTCCACCAAATGAGCGGGGATTACTGTAGCTGCGGTTGATAATAACAAGCCTAGAGTAAAGTAGACACTACTGGCATTAAGAGTATGGAAAAAGTAAACCAATGACAATATATCACCAGGGATTATGGCGTATTTAAAGTAGGTATACCTCAACATAAACCGATTCCAAATGTAAAACACATAATGGCGGTTGTCGGCAAGGAGATAGGGATGAGTATATGAAAAATAGTGAACTGATAAGGCCATAAAGACAGAGATAACAACAAGAAGCGGCTTATAATACCATGAGATACGTAGGACTTGTGACAATCGAGGTAGAACATGCATCGACGATGATAACATGGTGAATAACAGAAAGTAAAGAAGCTGAGGTAGATGAAGATGTAGTTGATGAGCTGTTTTGTCACCCAACACAATCGATCCGTCATTCCATATGAGGTAGTAGACGAACATGGCTCCCAAGATGGCAAATGGCCAGTGTAACACCACACAGTAAACTGTAGCTTTGATGTAATCAAATGACGATGTAATACTCGAAGAGTTAGCTTTTGAACTCACGGTGGAGCTATTGTTCTTCTTTGCTGTAGATCCACTGTTCTCTTTCAATGTAGAATCATGTTTCCTCTTCTCTCTAGAACTTCTTTTGCCATCTACTACAACATCATCTCCCACAGTCTTCAAATGATCAATCAGTCCACAAAAACAGTAGAATCCAGCCCATATGATGTTGGTTTGCCTCGACAAGCACGATAACATAAATACCATCGCCGATCCCGCTTTGTTTTCCATTGATAGTCCAGCCAATACCAATGTCAAAGACAACATGTCAGTGTAGTACAAGCAGGAAGTCTGAAACAGCACTGGTAGTGTGCACACAGCCACAGCAGCCCATCGATTCGCTTGTTTTGTTTGTTTTAGCCCGTACTTCGCGGCTGCCAGATAACAGAGTCCAATCATGATCGAGTTGAAAGCCCTTTCTCTTCCACATAGGAACGTAGCTACAGTTAAGAAGTACATTAATGGTGGTGTAGTGAGCATGGGGTCGTAGTCACGGTAGTTGCCGTTACAATATTGACGGACTTGAGGTATGTGGAACACTTCGTCCATGTATGGGTCGGGGACATGTTTGTCGTAGAGATTGGTGAAGAGGTAATGGATTGATGACAAGATTGAGGCTATCACAAAGTCTGAAATTACAAAATGTGTAAAATACGAGTCTATGTTCCACAGAGGTTAATATTGTAATTAATAGATGTCGAATAAAAATAACAGAAAAATGGATAAAAAATGGCAAAAAATGCAAAAATTTCAACTTTCATTACGAAAAAATTTAAAATTAATCTTAAAAACTATAAAATTAAAGCAAAATAACAAAAGATATTTAATTTATAACAAAAAAAATGATTCCTTGCCTGCTATTTTAAGATTCAAGCCTCTTTCTGACATTTCACGGCGCTTTTGTTCCTAAAAAATTAAAAAATGTAGTAAAATACGATGGAATGATGAACAAATACAAAAAAAAACATTAATATTTACAATAAAAATTCCTAAATTTTAAAATAGACAATTATGAATAGTCTACATCAAGTTATAGAAAAAACATTTTTTAAGAAATTTGGGCGCAGCTTGCTGTGAACCAATTTATATGAGGTTACCATGAGAAACGGACCAGATCAGTTGGTATATTTGATCTTTTTGGGCCAGGACTGAATTTGAAAAAATCAAATTTGAGGCCTGTCAAAGCCTTTTTTAAATCAAATCCAGCCCGTTTCTCATGTCTATACGAGGCTTAATAAGTTTGAAACTATAGTAAAATACGTCCAACCTTTTTAACGCTTTGAGAACAATTTCTGGCATTAAATTAAATTTATAGAAACTTATAAGGCTGTTCAACTAATTCTATGCTACTTCACAAAGAAAATTTTCAGAGGAAAGGGCACAGAGTTAGTTGAACAACTTAATAGTCGAGCTGCAATTTAAAATTGAATATTTAAAACTTTTTTAAAAATTTTTTATATTACGAGGTGTCCAAATTTTATTTTTAACTTTTACCGTGCCATTTTATGTTTTGTTATAACCAGAAAATTGAAAGTTTTAGCTCCAAACTTTGTGTAATGCAAGGTGTTTTTATGGTTTGTCATTAATCATTTTGTCGGTTTCATTTTTAATGATAATGAATGTTCACGACCCACTAATCAACAAAGGAATACCGTCATGTTGTAACCCCATAAATTTACGTTTATATCATTTGTTAAGAACAAGAGTAATGGCGCCTTACAAATTGGTTTCTAGTAAGGCCTTCAAACTAGTCTTGTTCTGTTGGAAAAATCAGTCCAAAAAGGCCAGAGTAGTTTGGAGTAAAATGCCAATAACAATATAATACTACATATTATAAATTCTATTTAATATTATATTTTTAAGATTTCATAAAAAGCGATGTTAATATCCTTTCTATTGTGGTATTTTATAACTTTTTTTTGTTTCCTCGTTGTAATAGATCACCATTTGAACAGAATTATAGTTTCAATTGACTTTATTTTTCGCTACTATTAAGTTTTCAAAGCCGACATAAACTATAATATCAATTGTACTAAAGGTCATGTTATGCTGTGTCTTGTCATTGTTAATTCATTCTTTTCGATACCTAGTACCTCAAACAGAATGTTTTGTAATCGTACAAAGCAAAACATTGTATGACCGTATCACGACACTCCCAAAAACGCATGATAAACTTGAACAACAGTCCTAATCTGATTTTCTACACGGTTCTCAAACCGTTGACCCAGTCCGTAAAAGGGCTTCCAAAGAGGAGCGACGACCTTGACGGCGATTTCTACTCTCAGTCTTCGCTCCCTGCTTCACCTTCCCCAACCTTAAAACGTTACCTTCCCTAACCCTAAAACATTACCTTCCCCAGTCAAACACTTCGCTTTACCCCTACCCATCAACGTCCCCGATCCGACTACAAGGCTCCCCTCGATTGGCAGCGTAGTTTCAACCCCGAACTCAACTACAGACGTCCCCGACAACTGCGGATATTCGAGGTTCGATTCTCGATCGCCGACGTACATTTGTTCCCAATAGATCAGGCGTAGATTCTCCCCCGAAAACCTCGCGTACCCCCGAACAATACATTCATCAGCGTACGCAGTCTCTTGATTCCTTCTTTTTTCGGTCCTTCAACTCGCTACAACCGTCCCCCCAACAGCGGCAACCGAAGGAAGGGGGCGCGACCGTCCCTCCTTTTCCTCTCTCCGCTTCCATCGCATTCCCTCGCTGCCGGAGCACCCAGGAATTATGAATATCGTACAGGGCCTTCTGTCCAAAATCTCTCCATTGCCGGATGGAGATTTGGCCGATCGTCTCAACTACAGCTACACCAGTACCATTTTGTTGGTGTGTTCGGTGTTCATATCGGGTTGGAGGTGAGTTTTGCCGTGATTTGTTTCAATTCTTTTGATTTTTAGTTTTGTTGGACAACCGATTCAATGCTGGTTCCCTGCTTATTATAGAGGTAAGTGTGGCCAAGCGATAAAGTGCTGGATATTATTAATTTTTAATCGTATCTTTTGATTTTATTAATATCCAAATCATCCATAAGTTAAAATATTTCTTTCTTTTAATATTTTTAAATTTTGTACGTCCTATTATGATGCAATTCCACTAAAAAGCATTTCCAATATTAACCATGCCCTATATTATGCATTTCTAGGTTGGTGGATGGAATATGCGTTAGATTATTGCTATGTTCAGAATACGTATTTCGTGGGATTCACCGAGTTCAAACCCGATGATAGTAACGCGTTTGACTTTGCGAAGCATGTAATTGAAATCCCGACTAATGTCACCCAAAGAGACGAAAAACAAATTGGTAAGGATCTTTTACTGATTTTACAACTTCGTTTTTCCATTAGTTATCTGTTAAAAATTTTTTTCAAAATTTTAAATCTTTTATCAATGATGGAAAAGTACTGTAAACTATTAATGTGACAAACTACAACTTATCAGCTTAACTATTAGGTTACCCGAGAAATGTTAATGTTATCAACGTGATAATTCTATTAGAAAATTCCCGCATTATCGCCGTACGTACATGTTAAGCAAACAAGCGGAATATCCTTTTAAGCAAACATGTTTAAGCGTAACTAATTCGACTCGCTTTTTGTGGCTAATTTGTTTGTAAACAAGTATTGCAAACAAACTTTATCCTCATTTCCATTAAAACCTTCGAAAAAGTGCCTAAACCTAATTATGCCCAAAAATCAGTACTCTTATAACAAAATCATCTTCATGATATCATTTTCAAAAGACCAACTATTTTACAACTTCAACACAGCAAACTATTATACAATCAAAGCAAAAACAAACCCAGAATAACCCAAAAAATCTTTCAGGATACTACCAATGGGTGCACTTCATCCTAGCCATCCAAGCTTTCTGTTTCTACCTCCCAGTCCAACTATGGAGAACAATCTACAATACGATCGGCTTCAGAGTACGAGCAATCTGCGAGACTTGCAATATCAGAGCTAACATGGACCCTAGTGATCGTAGCAAAAACATCGAAACCGTAGCCAGATTCTTGGCCAGTGACCACGAATTGGCTTCGACGTTAGGCGGTCGAATTCGACAACATTTGGAAGGTCGGGTTGTGTTGTCTACTTATTTGGTAGGTTATTGTTTTTATTTTAAATATTGTAATTTTTTATTTATTTTTTGAGCTTTAAGTTTTACTAGTTATTTGACTTTCTTAATTTTTAAAATTGTCTAAAAATTTTCGTTTTTTAGCTAATCAAGTTCATCTACGCAATCAACGCTCTATTGCAATTTTTGATCGTTAAATGGCTACTTGGAACTGATAGCATTTTCTGGGGTTGGAATGTCGTCGTTGACCTTTGGAATGGTCATGAATGGCCAGAAACTGGCAACTTCCCTCGAGTTACATTGTGCGATTTTTCGGTAAGTTATAGGGTATGGTTAATATAGAAATTCTACCTTTTTTTCTTATAAAAACGATAAATTTGCATACATTTTCCTTTTTTAAGTCAACGTTATTTTAATGTCATTCTTTGGTTATTTGATTTTAAAGTTCATTTTATGCAAGTTTTTTCTTTGAACAAGTAAACCGTCAAAGTTTTCAATTAATTCTCTTTCCGTTGTAACAGGTTTAAGATGCTTATGTCTACAACACAGAAAAGCTACAACTCGCACATTTCAGGTTCGAGTGTTAGGCAATCTCCACAACCACACACTACAATGCGTGTTGATGATCAACATGTTCAACGAGAAGATCTTTATGTTTTTGTGGTTCTGGTTCCTATTCATGGCCATCGTCACAGCATACAGTTTGTTCAGTTGGTTGTTGGTTAGCTTCAGTGATCGGTCCGACCGACACCTAATTGCCACCTATTTGGCCAAGATCGACCCGCAGACCCTGCGGTCAAACACCAAGAAGGAGAGCATCAAAAACTTTGTCCGACACACTTTGAGGGCTGATGGCGTGTTTTTGGTGCGACTGATTGCCAAAAATAGCGGCGATTTAGTGACATGCGAGCTGTTACAGACCCTATGGAAGGACTACTTGGCCCAAACGCCGCCACCGCAATATCAGCCGGAGCCGTTGATCGACAAGAAAAAAGGTGGTCAATAAAAACAAATATATACCAGTATACTTCTAGGGTAAAACTATTTTTTGTTCTGCAAAACTTCTATTTTTTCTGTCAAGCCTTATACCTACAACAACTTTTCTATAGTTGTGTTTTGGCTTATTGTAATGAAGTGATACATAATAAGCCTTGTCTGTTACTACTCATTAAATACGACTACATTAACCCTGAATCGATCTTGTTTTTGATAACCGCCCTTGACCTTGTTATGTAACCTTGACCAGGGCATTCAAATGTGAATTTTCTAGTTATCATATTAATATTCAAAGTAACAATTCCATTTTAATCCCGAATTCTTAGGCTCTATTTTGTTAATTTTGTTGTACTTCTAAAACGTCACTACACTAACTAGAATTGTCAGATGTAATACCTTTTTGGTTGTTCTGAGCGTTTTTAAAAAAATTAAAAATGTAGTCCATGCTACAGTAAACCGAAATGACTAGTTGCTATAATGTCTCATATCACGACGCTGCCGATTTCTATTTTAGAGACTCAGTTATGTGCTTTATGTTTTTTGAAGCTTATAAATATTCAATACCTGTCGAATTGTACGAGAGTGGACGAAACAAAAAATCGAAAATCAGTGGGTGCTTTTGAGTGGCGCCTTTAACGCGATCAAGCCCATATTAAGGCAACGACAAGGTCGTTGGGGTGCATCTCGTAAAGGGGCGGTGATGAGCACTTTCCCTAGATTCGTCGTTTTGAAATTCGCTGTTGATTTGCCCCCATGATGACATGGGGGACAGATCTAGCGACGAGGATCGTGGGGTGCTTTGTGAGAAGGACATACATAACATTGCGCCTTCAAGAGAGCCTTCATGTTGTGTTACACGAGATGCGCCTTCGTGGTAAAATACAAGAAAGGCGTCTTCAAGTTGAGAGGGCAACGATCCGCAACAACCTTCCCTGTTTACTACGTCAACAGACACCGTACGACCTCGGAACTCATCCGTCCGCCCGACGAGAAGGCGGGGACGCGTACCCGATTCCTCCCTGTACGCACTGTCGGGAGTGAAGCGAGTGACGGAAAAATGTGATTCTGCCCTTTCGGTTCGCCTCACAAAAATCTATCCCATCACACAACAACATTCCCCTCCTTCCTCCACAACAGCGATCATGAAAGGAGGGCGAGGAAGAGTGTGGCGGTGTCGCGCACTCCAGAAAAGGAAGAAAGAGTATTCTCCGATCTTTCCCCAGTTTCGCGGGGGGAACCTGCAACATTCAATCGGAATGTGTCCGTTTTTGTTCCCTGTTAACCCCCCGACGGTCGCCTTTTCCCGACTGACAATGGCCGCGCGACTGATCGCCGGCAGGCTGCTATGCCTGTCAGCTTTCATGGTAGTTTTCTCTCCTCCTCCTTTCCGAAATGGAATTTTTACCCCCGGTCCCCCAAACCCTTATCACCTCAACTCGTACAGTGGGCTACAATAAGCGTGTGTCGTGTAGTGGGATTTAGTAATCATATTTGCATAGTACTGTTTTATAGATATTATAGTATGTAACCTTGTACATGATATGAAAATCGTTTATAGACATTTTTAAGCTTGTATGCTGATTTTGTAAATTTTTCAAAAGTTCTGTCAAGTACAACAACTTTAAGAATTTGATTTTATATATACAAGTTGTTTCCCATTGTTTACTACGGTTGCAGCCTTTTTCTAAATGTTTTTGTGTTTCTTCGCGCAAGTTAAAAATTTTTTAATCAAAAAGTCCAATTATCATTTCATAGTTTTAGACCAAGCAAGGGAGGACAATGATCTTCCTTGACAAGTTTCTGCAGGGTCTCAAACCTCAATTTGATGACGATGCTATAGACCGCTTGAATTACTATTATACCCCGCTGTTGTTGGTGATCTTTGCCCTTACGTTGAGTGCCAAGCAGTGAGTTTTTGAGCATTATAATGCAATCTTTGAATATTTTTCGAAAAAGAAATCTACGCTCCGTACTTTACAAAATGTCCTTTAAAATTACTGTTATAAATATAAGACAACTAAACCTTTACCTTTTTCAGATACGTCGGCCAACCCATCCAATGCTGGATTCCCGCCCAATTCACAGGTAATGATGCCAAAATTTATGCAAAATTTAAATTTTAGGTGCTTGGGAACAGTACAGTGAGAACTACTGCTTCGTACAAAACACCTACTTCTTGCCTCTCAACTACTACATTCCCGCAAGTGTAAATGAAAGGGAACATTCGGAAATCGGCTACTATCAGTGGGTACCGTTCGTGCTCGGCTTACAGGCCATCCTCTTCTATTTGCCCGCTTTGGTATGGAGAATCTTCAACTGGCAGTCTGGAATCTCCGTCAAGGGGATTATTCAGATGTGCGAAGACGTTGGAAACATGCAAGTCGAGAAAAGAAAGGCTTCAGTCGAAGTTGTTGCTTCACACTTGGTGGATTCGCTCAAAATGCAACAAAACTTGACCGGCAAAAGTAGGTTTTAAAGACAAATAATTCATAAAAATCTACTCCTAATAGTAACAACTTTACAAAAGAAAAAAGCATATTTCAAAACAGCAAAACAAGAACAATCTAGCTCAAAATAATTAAAAAGACCTTGATTTATCTATAAATCAAGTTTACACTTTCAGATGTCTTCTCCGTTTTGCTGAACAAGAGTAAATACCTAACCACATTGTACTTGTTTGTCAAAACCTTATACTTGTTACAAGTATTCTCTCAATTCTTCATACTGAACCGATTTTTGGGTACGGACTATACATTCTACGGTTTCGAGATTCTCAGAGACCTAGCCTACGGAATTCCATGGCAAGAATCTGGACATTTCCCAAGGTAAGACATTTTTTCTATTTTTTGTCCTATATTATCATTCATTTTAAGGAATCGACCAAAAAACTAAAAATTTTATTTTAATAACCTACTTAAACGTAATGTCACGGAAAATAACCTAATTCACTTCAGAGTGACAATGTGCGACTTTGAAGTCCGTGCCTTAGGCAACGTCCACCGACACACCGTGCAATGTGTGTTGATGATCAACATGTTCAACGAAAAGGTCTATATCTTCATCTGGTGGTGGTTGTTGATCGTGCTATTCGCTACGATTGGAAACCTCATCTACTGGCTATGTGTGTCTTTCTTCAGCTCACAGCAAGAAACATTCGTCACGCAATACCTGAGAGTGTTCAATCTGTTGAAGAATGAAGGTAAGGCATTACTTTTATACTAGGTTTCTCTTCCCTAACCTAGCTTACAAAACAAAAGCTCTATAATCTATCTATTAAGTTCTTCAAATAATTGAGTGCAACTAAAACCGAATTTTTTGCTTTGAAATGGGGCTCAGAATTATTTGAACAAACCAATTAGATAAATCATGATATTTTTTATAGTGAATTCGGTTAAAAGGCCGATTTTATTATTGTAGTACCATAAAGAATAAAAAGTAGCATTTTTTTTTAAATTTCATTTTCAGACAAAAAAGTGGCCAAAAAGTTTGTGCACAACTACCTGAAGAGCGATGGAGTGTTCCTGCTACGATTAATAGCAACCAACGCTGGAGACCTGATCACCACTGACCTCGTCTACAACTTGTGGTTCATGTTCCTGCAGGAAGAAGCATCAAAGGCCCCAACCCTGCCCCGATCTCCGAGTGCACCAACCAATGAGCAGGCCCTGGACGACGTGGACGGAAGTTTCGACGGCGAGAAACAACGACTCACTTAAGCACGGTTACAGCACCTAACCACTGCCAACTCCGCATGATATACGATTGAAGGCTTTCTTTTTATTTTTGATGATTTTTGTTATTGTAGAAGGTCCATAATATTTATCTATACATATTACTCTTTGGAGGTGGGTTTTATAGGCATATTATTATACCTTTGTTTTGGCATGTTATTGTAGCTTTTTTGCATATTATTGTAGATTTTCTTTAACCACGCCTTGATTTATATACTGTACTAGCTTTTTCGACATCATTGGCTTCTATTTTGTTATTGTTTAGGGCATTATGTATGATCTATTTTTTACTTCTTTTATCAAATTTGCTTTCTTTTCTGTCAGATATACCTTATCCTTCCCACGTATTGCCACAATATCACAGACTGTCACAACTTGAAACCACATTACCAGAGACTAATGTCATAGATATTCTACCCTCGTTTAAGGTCACATTGATTCGAAATAGTCATAAATAGGTAAACGTGATGGTCTCACTGTTCAAAATTGCGTATCTACCTACCCCGCTCCTTTTTGGATCCTCTACTATGTTTTACTAGGTCCCAAGCTTACGATTAATAAAGACTACATACTTTATGGTTAAGTTTTTTTTAATTAATTTAATAATTAAAACTTGTTTTTACCAATTTTTAAAGAAAAATTACATTATAAAAGTCATAAAACGTCAAAAAGACTCATAATTGGCAATTTTTGCTAAAAAACTGAAAATATAGGCTTATTATAATTAAGTTTATTACTAACCCATAAAAATAACATTAACAATAAAGAGATTAAAGAGAACGAGATTTTAAAGAGAGATACTCAGCCTCTAGTATAAAAATAGTGATTGCAATCGCATTAATGAATATCATATAATTCACAATATCATAGTTAATTTTGACTGCCGTACCAGCCTGCCTGCTTCTGTGCGTAATGAGCGGCGCGTGTGGGCATGGCATAGGGATCGTGATAGGATTGTTGAGGCGACACTACCGCTGCTTGGGCCGCTGCTGCAGTGGACTGGCTAATCGTGGCTAGCAACGCGTCGCAACGATCGCGTTCTCGCTGCAAATCCAACTGTAACCGTTCAACTTGAGCCTTCAGGTCCGCGTTCTCACGTTCGAGATCGTGAGCTGCGTACGGTGTAGGCGGCATAAATGCGGGCCGCTTGGCCGCGCCCGCATACTCGTCCATGGCGGGCCGGCGCCGGGCCGCTGCGGCTGGTGGGATCAGTGGCTGAGGCAGTGGATGACGGTACTCGCGCGCACTCGCTCCTAACGGCTGGTTGTTGCGGAATTCGCGTTCCATGTCCACATTCACGTGCCAGTAGCGACAGCGGGGTCCGCGCGAGCAGCGGTTCGTTTGAAACTCCTTGCAAAACGGAATGCCCTGGATGTTATCGGCTTTCGTAACGGCCGCAATCGCACGCGCCAACAAATTGGAGATGTCGCCGTTAAGGCGATAGCGCTCAATTTCTTCTTGCGGTGCGTGAACAAAGCGACAAGATGCGCGGTAGCAGCCCTGGTTCTAAAATGAGTTGATGAATCACTGTTTTTAGCTAACTTTCGAAATTTTTACGCTTTTGCGTATTCTAAGCATCTTCTCTATCAACGCACACTTAATATTAACAATAACACACAATATATCATGTTTTTGACAAGCCTCGCAGATTTGAAATTCAGCGTTACCTATCAAACTATACCTAAAGACAGAAGACAAAAACATAAAACCAACCTGATAATCAATGCAAAACTGGAAGTCATCTCCATTTCTATCTTCATCGTCGCCTCTTGGATGGTAGTATTTACATCTCGTTCCTCTGTTACAAACTTTGTTCAAGAAATCACGGCACACGTCTTTACGATCTTCCTCTTGGCCGTTCTGTTCGTCGTCTTTTACCATGGCTACTAAAAAAAATACTTTAAGAAACTGAAAAGAAAGATCAACAGGGTAATACCATATCGAATCACGTAAGAAATGAAACTAAAAACAATTAAAATAGCTTTGAAAGATTAAAAACATTGAAATTTATGACAAAATTTATAATAACCAAAAAAAAATCAGAAACGCAAAAAAACAAATCGTCCTTTTTATCGCAAAACCATCAAAAAACTATAAAAAAGTTGCCTGATTCATAAAGTAACGATCTGTTTACTTCATACTCTCACAAATTCGACTAGGAAACCCAAAGTACCTCGAAAATAAAGCCTATCATACGTACATAAACCATGAACTTACTGAAAACAAAGTTCGCAATTCAATTTATAAAATTCATAGGCCAAGACTACTGCGAAAAGATATAAAGTATCCCCTTTTTTATAAAAATTCTTTTTTGTTTCATCGCGCGCGTCCAAAATTTTATTTATTTTTCGTTTCGGGACGTGCTTATTGCGGAATGCCAAAGATATTAGACTTGGCCCTTTAAAGTTGGAATTTTTACTAGTCATTGAGGATCAGATAATAAGTTGTTGGAGGCAAAAGAAAGGTAAATATTTCTAGTTTTTATATTTTTAAACATTTTTGTCATAAATTGTCAATTGACCTTGAAAACAGTCAGCGCCTTGTTTTAGGTAGATCAACTTTTTATAACGTAAACTAAAAGAACACCTATCTAAATATAGTTGAAATAGCTTATAATGTCCTATTTTAAAACTGTTATTCAGAAAATTGAGTTAAAACACTAAAACAATTGAAATGAAAGAATGTTTATTGACAAAATAAAAGTTTTTACAAAATATGTTTCGATTGGAATTTTATGACAAAATAAGAGGTATATACACAACGTACATGGTAGAAATATACATGACGATGCCCTCCATGCTACTATAAACCAAACCTAACATTTTGGGAATCTTCACCATGTACATCAACAAAAAATGTGGATTCTTGACAACATTGATGGGTGGCAAATGCTGCTTACAATGATAGAGAGTATACCGAATAAGATACACAATACATGCCTTTTCGAATGATGATTATACATCTTTTCAGCTGTATAACCATATATCCAGACAATCACATATCGTCCATGACTAAAGATTCAAACGGATGGTGTGTATGTACATAGAAGAAAGTCTGTACAATATCATACAACATCGTTTAAGATGTTCATTGTGACATGACAAAACAGATCAACTTCAGAGGTTCTCGATATCCTAACTTCAAGTAATCGACCGGTTTTTCGGTTTCTGGCGCTATATTCCACTTGAATGCTGTGTTCGTACTCCTTTATTATGTCTCCTCCTTGATACTCGTTTATCATCTGGTCTTGGCAGTGGGCGATTTCCACGTGATTTACCATGCGGAAGATTGTCTGGGAGGTTACGAACCTCTAAAATAAGATTTTTTCATGAAAAATTGAATTTTAAATCAAATTTTAAACCTTAATTTAAATAAATCCATTAATTTTTTCGCATTTATAAAACTTTTAATCCTGAAAAATGTTTTACTTTTGCAAATTTTAACTTTTCAAACAAAAGCTTTGAAACATTCAAACTACTACAATATCAAAAACTTACACTCAAAATCTCCTTGACGAACAAATTGGTCACGTTTGGACTGTCGATGTACAAGCTATTCCTAATCGGTGTATCTGGACCTCCAAAAATATGTTGCAGCACGACTTCATCCCGAATTTCCAGCTGCATATCAATATCAGTGTTACTCTCAACGTCGTAGATGGTAAAGTCATCAGCCCTTCGTACCGTATCCTGTTCCATCAGCCTTTTGTCAAAGTGTTCTGGTCTCGCGCCTCGGATGGCTTCTAAAAAGTACTGTGAAGCTGGGATTGTGGTGCCAATCAGCTTGTGGAAGGCCAGATCCGAAACGTTGCTGAGATTCATTGCTAAAAATTCGACTCGGACAACATCAAGATTGTTGTTCATCACAGCATCGTGAAGCTTCCCCACGATCTCATCGGTTAACTGCACGTTCAGGATAACCCATCGTTTGACTGAGGCGTTTTTGAGAAGACGACGAAGGGTTTCATAGAGGTTGAGCCTGAAAGTAGATGATTTATAAAGGAAACATTGTTTTTTCAAACAAAAAAACATTTTCTGACCATACTTCTAGCTTTCTCTTCTCAAAAAAACAATTACCACCCCTTACTTCACCTAAAAAACAATAAAATAACAAAACCTTACCCTTGTTCCATGTCCTCTTTAGGAAAAGCGAACTCCTTGCGTTTGCGGCCCGAGGTCGCTGAAAGATGGGCAATGTTGTCCTTACACACCAACTTCAACAGATTAATCGGACGTCGTGGGTATCGAACCGGAGTTCGTCGGATCAGCGCGTTCCAGCTCTTGCGCACCAGCCGGCACCGATCCAAGTCATCCCGGTTCAGGAAGCGGAATACAATATTGAAAACTTCGAGAGGTAGCGGGCTTTCCTCGTCGGTCTGAGTGCCTTTATCCAATCCAGGTCTGCAAAGATGCTCCGATTAGATCTTTGCAAACCCAACTTTATGATAGCAGCGCTCAGACCCTATAGTTCACTTTAGGTTAGTTATACTAGCCTTGCTAAGTTCCAGAAGACTAATTTTTAAAGAAAGCTAACTTCAAAAGGATAAATCTCTTTTTTTATGTTATTATAGTAACTAAAACCTCAAGAAAGCTCAAACTGCATAAACAGAGCATGCGTTATCTAAACAACATGTATATGCGCTTTATTTCCAACTTTTGCAAAAAAAATGACTTGAAAACATAAAAATTTTGCCAAAATTAATGTCGTCCATGAAAGCTATTCAAAAGTCATGTTCATCCAAACAAATCCAAATAAAACTGGCCTCTTTAGATACCCAAAAATCTGCTCATTCCGATATAATTAAACAGAACCACCCTTAAAGTTTTTTGCCTATGTTGTTCGTAAAAACTGATAACACTTGCTCAACATCAACTTTTAAAAAAAGTAATGCTTTTTTAGCATTCCTAAGCAAGTTCAATCAAGATAAGCTATAGCATGGTAAAAAATATCCTCTAACATCTAACCTAGCTCTTCCAAAAGCCGTTTCAACCTTTCAAAACCAAAAATGTCTCGATATTAACACAGCCATTCCTAAAACCCGCTAAACGCCCAAAACCTCCGCTTTTGGCCACAAATCCATGTTCAAGGCCAAACAGAATCTCGCAAAATCAAGTTCAGTTCAATATTGAATATCAGCTCCCTCCGAACACCGACTCAACCTTACATTAATCTGGCTCGTTTGGCCTGGAAATCTGTTGAATTGGGGATCGGTCGCTTTCGCCCAACATTCGTGATTTCTTGAACAAATTCCTGAAAAAAATCGATAATCAAACATCAACTACCATGGAAACGTATACCTCATTAAAGTTTAGTTATTAACAACTTACTGGACCCAGAATTTGAGAAGCACGTGTAATGGCACACAGAAGTTCGTTCCTCAAGGAATCGAGATCGTGTTTGGTCGCCAATGCCATAACTGACACACGTTTATAGGTTTATCAAAGGCTTTTCGTCTTTAGAAGAGTTTGCGAAAACAATTCGACAAAACAACGTTATTTTCTCCAGCAGCACGTGAAAGTTTCTAGAAAATTTCGTCGGTTTTATCGGATTTTGAGGCGAAGTGTCACACATTTTATTGGTCTTTTTAAAAATAAGGTGTGATGGTTAAAATGTGGCAATGATGAAGATGAAAAGTTGAAAGTATTGTAAAATACGGTTTGAATAATTACTGGTTTTAAAATTTTTTAGAATTTAAAAATTTAAAAATAAAAATGAATTTTACATATTGTGATAAATTAAAGTTCTTACTGTTTAAAGTCTAATAACTTTTGAAGTAGTCATTCAAATTTTACAAAATTTTGCAAATTGAGTCAAGAGAGTCTTTTCAGTTCACTGACGCTATATTTGTAACATTTTAATTTTTTGATTTGATTTTATAAAGAAAAGTATAAAAGATAGCTATTTTTCTGTTTTTATTCATGATTCCCCTTCCTATGCTATTTTTTGGGTTTTCCTATGTAACTTTAGTACTTTTTTACATTGCTTGTTAATTTTTACATTTTGGATGCTTTTTTGTTCTTATATTATGTTGTTATTGCCTATTTTTGTATTTCCTCTTAATTTCTTTCAAATTGAATTTTACTTCAAGTATAAAAACTGATAACTAGATATGTTTAAAGTTCTTGCATTTTATAGTAAATGTCATACTGTAAGCACATAGCAATACAACAACATATAAAAACATGTAGTTCAAGTCTTTATCGACTAGTATCCAGCTTTACAAGACTTCATCGACCAGTTGTAAAGCTCTCCACAGCGTTATCAACCAGTTGTGAGGCTCTCTACCCTGTTATCCCCTACTTGTAATACTCTCCGACCCTTCATCGACCAATTCTTCATCATTCCCGGAACTTACCGACCACTTATAAGCTTGTAATTCAAGTGGGAGCAATTCGGAACAATGCCAAATATTTTAGGGGTGAGAGATGGATGGCTAAAGAAGTCGTGTTCATTGCCTTAATATCTCTTCGAGATAGGGCCAGATGTTTAAGCCAGATGGTGGAGAAAATGTTTTAATTCGCAGATTCGGTGTTTGGAGAGCGATGAGATAGTGTGGGATAGTAGGAGAGGTTAGAGCAGGAGCTGAGAGAGGGATGAGGGAATTTTGGATAATATAGAGGTGTGGTAGAGAAAAGAGATGTATTAATTGAGAAATATGTTATAATTGGGTATAAATGTATAAATTTGAAATATTATAACATATTTTTTGAAATTTTGCTAAAATGAAAGTAAAAATAGTTTTAAATTAATCAATTTTAAGCCCAAAAAATATTTAAAACGGCCTAAGAAATCATATAAAACAAGAAAAAGGCAATTGGCGGGAAGATCAGGCACGAATCGGCCCCAAAGTAACAAAAAGAAGCCTCTTTTTTTGCCATTGTTTTATTAGGTTTAGGCGAAATGTCATAATAAACAACATGTGAACTAGTTGTACTTTTCATGGCAAACCTTATGATTTTAGGCTTGTTTATGAGGTTTAAAGGGTGATGGTTTTAAATGGGTATGGGTGGGGTAATAAAGACGGAAGATATTAGGCTGTGGCGATTAAAATGGTGGCAAGAAGAAGTAGGGAGTGGTAGAATGTTTCGCTTTGTTTGTTTTATGCTTAAATCAAGGCTTAGCTAGTATTTTAAGTCCTGCCGAAGAAAATTTATGCTTGGCTCACTAAAAAAACAGAGAAAAATTTCAGAAGCTTAGACGATTGGACTGGCCCGGCTTTATTGTTGTTGTCTACCCCTTTTTAATGGTTTTCTTCATCTCTTCTTACTTGTATATAATATTTCTGCCAACTAGTTTCATTCTACAGTAATCATTTCTGACTATCCTCTTTACATTTCCTTACCCTTCTATATCTTTTTCTTCTTTCTATACTTTGGCCTACCTCTTTCTACAGTACCCATTTTTCTCACCTGCACTTACATATCCTTCTTTAGCCCTCTTTATCTCTTTTTACATTTTTCTACCCTTCTCTGTATTACCATTCTTTGCTTTATCCGACCCTTCTCCTCACCCTCAGTACCTATTTCTCACTAAATACACCTGAATTTACTTACTTCTTTCTACTTTACGAGATCCTCTCTACTAGACCTCAAAGAGGGCCTACTATAAGAAGTTCAGCCCAACCAAATCAAATTTAAAACATTACTAGCTGATACATTTGGGCTTGAGGGCCAAGGGGTTAAACCTAGGGGTGAGAAACGGGCCGTCTAGGCCCGGCCTTGAGCTAAAATTGAAACGGGCCGGGCTTGAAAATTGGGCCCGGGCCCGAAAAAAATTTTAAAAATTTAAAAAAATTTTTTATTTTAATCCCCGTTGATGTTTTTTAATTTTATTGGGTACCATGGTATATAAATGATCTAAAAGAACAATGGAAAGCCAAATTTCCGTTTATTTTTTAAGTTTTAAAATTTTTAAAATTGTTTAAAACGGGCCGGGCCGGCCTGAGAGAAAATTGAAAACGGGCCGGGCCTAAAAAGTGGGCCCGGCCCGGCCCTTTTCTCACCCCTAGTTAAACCAAGAGGCCCAGCTAAAGTTGCTGTAGAGATCAAAATAGAATACAACATGTCGCAGTTATTATCTATATAAATTTATATAAAAGGCCAAGCCGAGCTAAAGAAAACTTGAAAAGAGCCGGGCCGGCACACGTGGGCCAAAGGGCCGGGTTTTCAAATTCTGGTCTGGTCTTTAAAGGTATTTTCACTAACATTTAATTTTTAATTTTAATCTGTTCTGGCAAAAATCATTTTTTATTTATGGCATTTGGCAAAGATTAGCATAATGGCACACGTCATCCCATGCTATGTCTATCCCTTCTGCATCTATCAATTTTCTTGTATATAAAATCAATCCTAGAAGCAATTCGACTTGGTTTATCCACAAAAATATTTAATTCGCGACTTTTGGGGAATAAATATTGTGAAAGACTACAGAAAAGGCCATCTAACCCTTGTAATGCCCAATCTTGGCCGAAAGGGAATTTGGGCCGCACAAGTTGGGCCGTCCTTCTTCTTTATCAAATCCTCAGAAGTGCCGTTTTCGGCACGCTTCTGATGGGGACGAGTGATGGTCACTCTTTCAACTTTTACCCCTGCCCTCGCGGGGGTTTGTCTTCTAATTTGTTTCGATTTTTATGACATTTTTCGTCATCGTTTTGTGGGTATGAAATTTGAAATATTAAGAGTTACCGTTGGGTGTTTGTTAAAGCGTCCGGTTTAGAGAGGGGGGGGAGTTATGTTTGATAATTTAATATTATGGGACGTTTTAAAAAATATGTTTTTTGGATATTGTTCAAGATTATATTACATTAATTTTACTTCTTGATTATATATTAGGTTGACCCAAAAGTGGCGGGACACTTTATCTCTATTTTTCCATTATAAAGTGTCCCACTACTTTTGGTTCAACTTAATATTGAATTTTCAAGCCTTACACAGTAGAACTGTTTTACAGTGGTCTCTCTGTATAGTGAACCATCTGTACAAGCAACTCTTCTTATAGTAAACAAGAAATTTGACCCCGCCAGGTCAATTTTCTACTTTTACTTACTATTATCTACTTTTCCCTGTTCCTTCTCTGAACCTCTGCCTATTCAAAAAAGTTTTGTCGCCAGCTTATAAGGTTTTTCACGTTCTTTTACGACAAGACTTCTGTGCCACTTTAAAACATTACTTTTCTATATAAAAAGCAAGTTTATCACTTATTTTTTGTAAAATACGGTACCTACCACTCAAGAATTTATTTTTGAATATGAGTTTTTTTTAATTTTTAAAAATAATCTAGTTTACAGTATTTTTTGCGCATTTTTTTTAAATTAAAAAAAATTTTGTTTTGAAAATTTTAAATTTTGTAGTGCCACCAAAAACGAAGTAAAACCAAAAGTATAGGAACTTACTTTTATAAACAAACCAAAGCATTAGCTGAAGATTTATAGCGCTACTTATATGGCCACGATTCAAAACAGCATACTTACTGCTTGAGGCAGAACGTTTAGTATTTTATACTACTTCTGGCTAGTTATTACTTTTTGTAAATGTACAGCCAAGCGAGTGATTTTGATTTGACGTAGAGAGAGGGGGGGGAGCGGGGTGTAAAGAATCAATTTTTTTAGAAGCCTACCCTACCCTACCCTACCCTACCCTACCCTACCCTACCCTACCCTACCCTACCCTACCCTACCCTACCCTACCCTACCCTACCCTACCCTACCCTACCCTAACCTACCCTACCCTACCCTACCCTACTCTACCCTATCTTATCCCACCTTTCGCCAACCTATCCTACGATACCGTAACCTACCTCTACCCTACCGTATCATAAGTTACTTTACTCTATATTGTTCCACCGTATTCTACTACCGCGGTAAATACTATAGCTTACCTTTGCTTGTTCAAGAAAATATGATCTTCTTCCCAAAACATACTTTTCTAACTTCAAACATCCAACCTTTACTCAAGAACCTAAAAATAATACCTAAACTTCTAACATGCCATTACAATCATTATAATCAACTCTGCCCTATTATTAACGGAACGTCGTTTATAAACCGAGCCATTTAGTAAATGAAACCCCCGACTTTCGTAACAGCTACATATATATATTGGCTTTCAAAGTTTTTGGCCTCTCAACGCCTTAAGTGGCGCGCTTTCGGCGAACTTTTGCCTCGAGCATGCTACAATTACAGCTCCGTTTAGCTACAAATTTGCGCATATTTTTGAGAGAAATTGCCATATTTTGTTTACTCCCAATCGTGGTCAACATTTTATGCGGTAAAACGTCACAAACTTACAATTATATTAGGCTGTTCACATAATTCTGTGTTTCAATATTGTTGAGTTTTGGGTACTTTGGGCAGGATTTTCGTTTTTTTTTAAGTTTTAGGTATTTATTTTTAATGATTAATAAAAATTTTTTAAAAAATTTTGTTTTTTAAGAACTGGGCAGGTGTTTTTCACATCAAAATAAGAAGGGGGAGGGTTGTTGGGTATTTTTTTTGAGTCAAAAAGAGGTAAGGGAAAGGGGAAACGGCTGCGGGGCGAAATCATTTAAGAAACTTATCAATAACCAAGTGTCCTAGCCCAGAGCTCTAGCCTAGAGCCCTAGCCCAGAGCCCTAACCCAAAGCCCTAGCCCAGAGCCTTAGCTCAGAGCCCTAGCCCAGAGCCCTAGCCCAGAGCACTAGCCCAAAACCCTAGCCCAAAGCCCTAGCCCAGAGTCCTAGCCCAGAACCCTTGCTTCTAACCCTAGCTTCTATTTTCTAAAACTAGCTTCTAGCTTAGCTCTGGCTTTGACCCTAGCTTTGTCTCTAGCTTTAGCATCAGTTCTAACTCTAGTCGTAGCCCTAAACACCCCCAACCTTGTCTTCTTCAGCCTCTGCTTCTGAATTTTGGTACTGTGAAAAGATTGCAAGCATATATTGCTTATAATCGCAATTCTATAGGTTGGAATGTCAAAATATATTTAAAGCATATATTTTTACAAATCGCGTTTAGTAATGACCACCTTTTTAAGAAATTTTATTTGTTTTAAAAACTTTAAAAAGTCTTATTGTGTTTTACCTGCCAATTCAAGACCTTTTACGACAAGACTTTTTTGTCTTATTTAATCAATAAAAATCTTATTAATAACATTCACAATTAACTGCCAGAACGTTTACAAACTACTTAAAGCTTCATTACTTTTCTAAAAGTAGGCTAACTCACTTTTAATACCACTTTTAATGTATCAAAGAACGCTTTTCATAAGCTGTTAGTAGGCCGTGCTGTTTTACACGTTTGAATTTAATTTGCGCTAGGATTACCGCTTTTAATTAGCCACTGTTTTTTGGGTATTAGTTGCTAACGATGGCTAATTTTAGTACTATTTTGTATGTGGTGTTTTAAAGTATTTTCAATGATATTTTGGTTTAAAATGGCTTATTATAGTATTATATTATGCTATTAGGTATGGACTTTTAGCTAAATAAATGCTATTATAGAGTGGAAAGAATTGTCTTTTTTTGGCATTAAAATAGGTATGAAATGACGGCAAAATTTTTCTTAAGGCTCTAGTGTAAGATAAACATGTAGCGTAAACCGCAGAAAAGCTAGGGATAAGACAAGGGCTGAGGCTAGAGCTAAGACTAAGGTTAGAGTTAGGGCTAAAGCTTGACCTAAAAATTGAATTAGGGCTTGAACTAGGGCTTGAGCTAGAGTTTGAGCTAGGGTTTAAACTAGGGATTGAACTAAGGCTTGAGCTAGGGCTTAAGCTAGCGTTTGAGCTAAAGCTTAAGCTAGAGCTTGAACTAGAGCTTGAAGTAGGGCTTGAACTAGGGCTTGAGCTAGAGCTTGAACTAGAGCTTGAAATAGAGCTTGGGCTAAAGTTTGAACTAGGGTTTGAGCTAGGGCTTGACTTTAGGCTTGAGCTAAAACTTGAAATAAGGCTTGAGCTAGTACTTAAACTAGAGTTCTGGGCTGGTGCTCTGGGCGAGGGCTATGGGCTAGGTCTTTGGGGCTAGGGCTTTGGACTTCGGCTAAGACTATATTTCTTATTAGGAATTGACCAAAATTGACAATTTTTGCTTATATTACAGCTTTTATTTCTATTTACATTAGGATCTGTTACATTAATAACATATTACACTACTCTTTTCTTGCCATAAACGTCGCGTTTAGTAAGTCATGTGTGTGTTTTTTTTTATGTAAAAATGTTTATGTTTAGCGATGTGATAAACAAATTGGTTTTTACTTTTTTTTTAGAAACTAGCATCGCGTTTTGGCATTACTTTCTTTCTGGGGGTTATATTGGTGTAGTATATAAAGTTGCACTTTACGCAAGAGTAAATTACGTGTTTAATATCAAAGCAGGGCAGATTTATATGTGTGTTTTTTAAACTAGGACTAGGCTAGGGATATAGCTAAGGCTAGAGCTAAGCTAGAGCTACGGCTAGAGTTAAAGCTAGAGCTAGGGCTTTAAACTAGGAGTCTGGGCTAGGGCTCTGGGGTAGGGCTCTGGGCTAGGGCTCTGGGCTAGGGCTCTGGGCTAGGGCTTTGTGCTGGACACCAGGAACGAGTTGAGCCCATGTTTCAGGCCCGACCTAAATTTTGCTCAGGTCCGGCCCAGCTTGTGCTCCATCTCTAGCTAGAACTAGAGTTAGTGCTAAGATCTAAATTGTAAAGTGTAAGAAGTAGGGCGTGGTAGAGTAGTAGCATCCATTTTATATTTTGGGGGTGGGGTAAAGACATTTTTTTATTTTCAAAACAAAAAAATGTATTTAAATTCCAATTTCCTCTCCAAACTGCCATTTCATAACACAACGTCCTCTTTTTTCCTCGAAATATACGCGGATTTACCGTGCGTTCGGCTCGCCCTTTGTACTCGGCATACATAATATGTTGAGATTAGGACAAAAACAAAAATTTGCCTTTTCATTACAGCATGTGGAGTCAGGGCCATCTGATACGGGTCCTGGCCCTCGTCCTTGCCTTGTGCCAGGTCTGTAGCGGCGTCAAGCCTAAGGGCATTTCTTCGGCCATCATTGATGTAGGTTTCAGGGGAGAAGAGAGAGGGAAGGGGGAAGGGGTAGAGGGCGGGGTGATTCAAAAAATCACACTTTTAAATTTTTTACAATTTTTTTTTAAATTTAAAAAAATTTAAAATTTTAGCCTAAAAAAACCAATAACTACATCTAAAATCCTCACCCTTCCAGGTAAATGCAGCAAAAGGCCACCCCAACCCAATCCCATCCTCAGCGACCCCCCTGAAGCTGTGGTGTCAAGCTGTGGATGACCAAGGTCGAGTCCTACCTCTAGTTTCTGCTCAATTCCGATCCAAAACCACTACCCACAAGGCTGTACTAAGTGGAGACTTGTCGAATGCCAGTATTACCATTGAGAATGCTCAAGCTGTTGAAGCAGGCAAATGGAATTGTGATTTGCATACTAGTTATGGCAATACCAGTGGTATTATTGAGGTTTATGGTAGGGCTTTTGATATTTTTAAAAATTTTTATTACGCAAACAACATATAAACCGTATTTTACCTTTACTTTAGTACAAGCATTGGGACCATTTTAAACGAATTTGGCCTTGTTTTTATCAAAAAAAAGTTGCTGCAGGCTGCGGTCTTTAATTTCCGAACTGCGCCCCCATTATAAGCGTAAAAAATGCAATCTGTGCCAAATCCTTATAGTATAAACAATTACCACGCCATCATTTTACTTTAAGATATACTAATTAATACATAAAAAGCCCAACCGCGCCATTGTTTTTGCATCAATTTTGAAAAATAAAAAGTTTGAAAATTTTGCAACTTTTTAAATATTTTTTAGTCCGAGGAGTAATCAAACACAATGCAAACGTGCGAGTCGATGACAAAGGATCCCCCTTCGAGTTGGAAATTAGCGGTCATACGGTAACTATCGGCGACAATATTACACTCAACTGCCCTATATATGGCTACCCTGCACCGTCGATCACGTGGCTAAAAGATAGCAAGGCAGTTTCGGTAATTTATTCTATCTTACCCTACCCTACTTTACCCTACCCTACCCTACCCTACCCCCCCCCTACCCTACCCTACTCTACCCTACTTTACCCTACCCTACTCTGTTTTATCATATATAACCTTACCATTCCAGCCCTCCTCCTCAGACCCAACCCAATTTGTGCTCCGAACCACCACTAACTCAGATGAAGGTGTCTACACCTGTATCGGCACAAACACAGTAATCGAGAACGGCCGACCAACAGAGTACAAGGTCAAGGTGGAGCAACACCTTCGGATCAAAAGCAAACTGGCATGGCTGGTGCCGTTCCTGATCATCCTGGCCATTCTGACCACACTGGCCATCGTCATCGTCTTCTGTGAGTGTCGACGGAAGAAACAGAACAGGGAACTGAAGCCTCAAGATGACGATTAAGGAATGCCGGTCGCTTTCATAATAATAGTAATATACAAAATGTCAGTAATTGTTTGTAAATGTATTTCACCCCTATTAAATTGGTTTAAGTTTTGGTGCCTTTGAAGATATTTGAAGGGGAGGGGTAGAAAGTGAGGTATTGTAAGATAGATCAGAGTAAATAGGGTACGTAAGGAAAAGCTAAAATAAGTTAGAGTAGAAAAAGGTAGGGTATGTATCGTAGGATAAGGTACGGTAAAGTAGAGTGGGAAAAAATAGGATAAGTTAGAGTAAGATAAAGTAGGATAGAGTACAATAAAGAAGGATACGATAAGATAAGGCAGAGTAGACAAAAGTAAGGTGGGAGAAAATAAGATAGGAAAAGGTAGGGTAAAATAAGGTAGATTAGAGCAAGCTAAACAGAGTAAAATGAGATGTTTTAAGCTAGCAAAGACCAGGATAAGGTTAGAATGTACTAGTAGAAAAGAAAGGTATTGCAAGGTACGATGAAGCAGGGTAAGGCAAGTAAAATTAGGTAGAAAAAAGTAAGGTGGTGTAAATTAAGGTAAAGCAGGTCAAAGAAATCAAGGGTAGAGTAAGGCTAGCCCAAAGCAAAAAAGAGAGGGCAGGATACAATAGTTCAAAGTAAGTAAAAGTAATGAACACCATAATTACAGTAGTGCACGGTAGGTAAGATATTGTTGGTCAAAGCAGACTAAGAACTTAAACTCGCCCTAGCCTTAGCTCTAGGTTTAGCTTAACATTGGTTTAAGCAGGTTTTTCCTCTAAGTCTACAAGCCTTACCAAACCGACTCCTTCATCGTCGATTTTCCCCAGATAAATTTTATACCCCTCCTTTAAAAAAATCCATTTTTCTTCCCCACTCCCTTTCAAAAACAACTCTAGCTACACCCATTCCTGTACCACATTCTTAACAGTCATTTCAAAATCCAATAATTAAAGCCGGTCACATTATAAGTAATTTTTACTTGCAAATAAACATTTTTTACACTTCTAGGCTTTCGTATCTAGGAGAAGAAAAGCACTGACATAAACATTGCTGGCAATATCAAACAATAAAATGTTAACAAACATAGACGCGACGAGAGCAATAGATTGTAAGCTTAAACCGTTTTGGCCACTTTATCTTGAATTTAAGCAAATTTTGAAAGCTATTCAGCTCATAATTATTTGAACAACCTAATACTGTAACCAAAAACTGCCTAGTGTAATATACTGATGTAAATGTTACATTAAAACCATAATAACATTCAATTTTGTGCCAAAAATAGGTATAAAGGCTTACAATTGTTTGTTCTCGTCTTCTCTATAGAATAATATGAGTATTAACAGGTAATGGATTACAATATGGGCGTACTGTAACATACAATAATATGGATTAAAGATTGAACAAAAATCTACAAATTGAGGTAAAGACCTGATAATTTTTAGTTTCGGAGTTTGAACAGGTTTTTGACTATTTTTAAAATTTACGGTTTGGTTTTTGGGTATTTGGCTTGACAACTTCGTACTTACAAAACTTACCATACCGTTTCGTACTGTAAGATAATGTGATGTTCTAAAGCTACTCTGTAAAATGGTACTGAACAATTCGATATTAACCGTAGTTAAAACATTTTTAAGCCATTCGTGGTGCTATATAGCATTAAAGCCATTTTAAGAGCTATATAGTACTGACGCCATTTGTAGTGCTATACAGCACTAATATAAAGCGTTAATGCTATTTGTGGGGCTATTTAGTACTAATGCCTTTCGTAGTGCCATATAGTACTAACGGCATTTTTAGTGCTATATAGTACTAAAAACCGCTTCTAATTCCCATTTTTGAATCCGTTTTAAATTCGAAACCATTGCTATTTCAAACTCATGCTAAAGCACCGCCATTTCCATTTTTAGCCCTACAGCAAGCCAGCTAAAAGTGAAAAGAGGCTTAGAGTCGTCTGGCATTGTATTAGCCAATATAACACTTATATGTTACTAATGCACCCAGAATGTAATGTAAAACTAATGCACCCAGTAAGAGCAGAATGTAATGTAAAATTACATAATTACGCGTAGCCATAGAAATTAAGCCTTTTCGCGTATCAACAGGCTCATTAGTGTCATATGCATATTATAGGCAGCTAGTGTCAACTTATAGAGATTAGGCCGGATTTTGTAGGTCAAAACGTAGGCACATAGGTATAGCGGTAGAGCACTTTATAAAAAATTACAGTACCAAAACCAAGGCATTGGCGTAGAAAAAAGGGGAAAGGGTAAATAAACAAAACAAATATTTTTAAAAAAAATTCAACTTGGTACCCCCTGTTAACAAAAAATTTTAAAAAACTTTTTTTGTATTCCCACCCCCGTTGACAAAAAAATTCTACCCCGTCCTCACAAAAAAAATCGCCCTTTTGGCTTCTCCTGACCTCAATTTCCCCTTAAAACCGTACATTTTAACATTAAAACCTGTTCAAACTCGAAAAAAGCGGAAAGCAGCCCATGCTAAGTGCCATTATAACAACAATAACTACATTACTGTCTTAAAATTCGCAAAAACAGTAACCCAAAACATTACTGTCTTATCATAACTAACAAAACAGTAATATTACCTACACTATCTTAACATAAAGACAGTTTAAAACCGATGAGGAGAGTAGTAAGGTATATTACTGTTCAATATTAACTATAAAAAGACAGTATTATTAAAAGAATCGACCGAAATGAATTAAAAAGAGACCCTTCAACTACGTAATACTGTAAAACATTAAATTAGAAATATAACACTACCTAACGCGGTCCCAGACCGCCCAATAGACTTTAGTAATCTCGTTGTTTGTCATGATGATGTAGATGATCAGCCGGTTTTTTGATCGATTTGTGGGGGTTTTGAACATTTTTTGTAAATTTAGGTAACAAAAACAAGAATTTCTGTAAATTTAAGTAATAAAACAAAACTGGTGGTGCAAAAAAATTTTTAGGTAAAAAAATACCAAAAATAAATTTTAGGTAACAAAAAATCAAATTTAAGTACCAAAATTCAGATGTACCTAAACTATACAAAGTTCATAACCAAAAACCCCTAAAACAACCTCCAAAACCAACAGAATCCACCAGTAGCATCACGACGTCGACGGATCTGCTGGCGGCGTAGCTTCTTCAATCCTCTGAACATCACCATTCTCGTCGGGCGGTTCTTCACTTAACAGGGTCTGATCCTGCGTTGAGGTAGGGGGCAGGGCGTTGTTACTCACAACTTTCCCATTCGGAACCTGCGGCTTCCGATTCTCTACGGCGATCGACGTCGTGGGGGTTTTGGTTTCGTCGACCTCGTGCACCACAGCCTCTTCAGCACGTTGGATCGTGTAGGCGAGGAAACGTTGGTGTTCCTCCATTTCGGCCAACATCGGCCCAAACGTTTCCTTGTACTTGGGGTCTAATATACAAAAAGGCTGGACCAGGGCCCATACGGCAGTGGTGAGACCGGTAACTCGTGCTTCTGTTAGTCGTACATCGACTTTTCGTGCTGCTAGTGCTTGTAGCACAGCATCGAAGCGGGGGACGACACGAGCCGTGGCTTCACAAATAATTTCGTTGAGTTGAGGACTAACTTGGTCCAGTGAGATGGCCGACAGTTTGTCGGTTATTACATGGCAAAGCTTGAGAATACACACGGAGTGCTCCAGGACTCCATTCACATCGAAAATCCATTCGTTATTGCTTAAGGCTTGAGCTGAAAATGGCAAATTTGGTTAGGAATTCCATGATTTAAAACTTTTAATAATTTTAAGTCTTTAAAATTTTAGTAATTGAGTTTTTGCCATCTTAGAACTACAAAATTTTTAAAAAATGTGACTTTTTAAGTTACCATGAGCCAATAAACTAAGAGTTTTGTTTTTTGTAGCTCTCAGTTTTTAAGATTTACCAAAATGAATTAGCTCCTTCCCTTATATTACTCAAAAACTGTCAAATAAACACTCGTCTTAAGATATCACGTGTTTTACAGCCTCTAATGTTGTCTTTACTTAAACTTCTTTTCCTCGTTTTCCAAATGTATTCAAAACCACGTCCTACTAAACTTATAAACCATACACGCTTAAAGTAACACCCAGTTCACCTGGCAAATCCCGTAAAACAGCGTCACAAATGGCGCCAAGTGTTTCGAAATCCTTTCGTAATCTAAACCATACAAAACACGAAGCTAAAGACTTACAAAGGTAGGGACTCAATTGCACAAAGTCGTCCATGTTGTCCCGCTTGAGCTTGGAGAACCTTAAGGAGTGAGCAGTAAGCAGTCGATTGTATTCGTACCTTCGTCGACACATGACCACCAACAACACTAGCGAGATGATGAAGACGGCGACGAGAACGGCGAGTGCAAGATAAACGACAACATCCATGAGAATCGGCGAATCCGGCACCGGCTCACATAATATTCACCCCCGGCGCTCAGGTGCAAACAATTCCGAAGGTGAGGGCTGAGGTAAAACAATATCAGAAGGCGGTTGTCGTTGTTGCGAGCCACACAATCTAAAAACAACACTATCACACACTTATCAGCGCGTTCCGCACGCCATCGCCCATCCTCAAAAGCAGCAAATGCACGATATAACGAATTACAAACCGTCCATCTTACACTTGACGGAACTGTTCGATTTCACAACAAAAATCCGCGCGAAACCGGCCCCGCGAACACAAAAAGGTGGGCAAAAGTAAGGGCAAGGCGAAGAGAATGGTATTGGGGGGAGAAGAAGACGACAGAAGAATTGGCTGCGCACTCGTTGTCTACAACACCAAGGAACGCGCGTCGGAGGTCAAAGAGAGGTGGGGGGCAAAGACAACCGAGCACCTCAAAACCCGATGCCTCCAACCTGAAGACGGTCGGAGCTCGCGCGAATCGCACGATCATTGCTTGTGTCCTTCTCGCTCGTCGGTCGCTCGGTATCATGCGAACACAAAAAGATAAAAGCGGATAAAAAACAAGTGGGAGAGGGCGAGAGTCGACCCGATGCGTGTTGTTGGGTCATGTGTGACGACGAAATAAAAAGTAGCGCAACACTTGACAGGTTCATGCTGATTGGGTCAAGTGTGGCGGCCGGCATGCAAGAGTTGTCACAAAGAAACAAAAACAATATAAAGTAAAGTCGAGAAAAGGATGAACAAGAGGAGGAATCTGCTCTTGAGGTCACTCCCTTCTCTATCTGCTCTTTTTTGTCCGCTTTATCACCGCTTACGTTGTTCATGCGGAGTTCCCCACTGGTATTATTCACGGCTTGGAGGGTGTTATAATGAGCGAAACAATCATAGAAAAGGAAAGTGAGAAGTGATTCTGTTATTATATTGTTTTTTAGAGCTTTATCAAGGTTTGACAAAGGAACCATAAAGGTTTGGGAGATGTTTGAGGATGTTTTGAGACAAAAGGGTTCTTTTGGGAGGTAATGAAATTGGTCAGAGAAAAGCTTTAGCTTGATACCTAAATTTGGCATAATATTGGTATCAAGTGCTCTATAAAGGTTTGCAGGGGATTTTAAACGTTTTTTGAACATTTTTCAATAGTTTACTGGCAAATATAACAGCAAAACTTTAAATTTTATCCAATAAAGGCCAAAATATTGATATTGATCAAACAGAAGCCAAAATTTGATACCTAGATCGCTTCTGTACCTTATGCCACTTTCTTGCCGCAAAGGCTTCTTTTGTATTCCGCTCGCAAAACATGTTTTTCCAGCTCAATGTGCTTGCAATTATGATTTACAGTCAAAGATCACACGCTGGCCAGCTGTTATTCCGGTTAACATGTTCCGAAAACAACGGATGTCCTTAACTTATGCTACTTGGAGCAAGTCTGGATGTTTACTGGTGGGGAGGCCAATGTTTTCACGACGTGACATTGTTTTCTCCCAAATGTCGTCTGTTTATTGTAGGACTTCTTGGGGTCAGGGTTTGACGTCAGGTGTAATATAAAATGGTGTGAGTAGTTTGTTTTGATGCACTACAGTGTTTTGGCTGGGATATAGTGTTGTTGAAGGTTTAGTTGTAGTTTTGGGGAGAGAGGGTTTTAGATGGAGGTTTGAGGATATAAAAATGATGTTATGTTGAGGTATGGTCAGTTTTGGGCTGGATGTCCTTGAAACTTTTTATTTGTTTAGGTATTTCAGATTGGCTTTAAAATTGGCATTTTGATTCTTGACAGTCTAAGTATGATATGTGACTAATTTAGCCAAAAAATCTAGGCGTGCGCTCTTGGAATTTTAAAATTGCGGTAAAATGAGTATTTTGGACTAGCTTCTGGTCGTTTTTCTGTCATAACTTTTTGCAATGGGTAGCTACAGACAAGAAAATTTTTGTGGTGGTAAAGCATTGGTTTATTGACTAGTCTGTAAGAAATCACTGTTTAATTTTAAGCTGTTTGAGAAATACAGTACTTGAACCATGATCATGCTTTGGCCAACTTTCAAAAAAATTTTTTTTTTCATTTTTAAACTAAAATTTAGTTTTCCTATGATAGCAAATATCAAAATGTACTCAAAATACTTAAAAAATATCTTTGCGAACATCTTAAAAGCTATTTTTACATTACCCATAGGGGCCTTTTCGTGTTGCTATATATACCTCACATGGCATGTTTCTAAATACTAGGGGAAGCCGGTTGGTTGTCACTCCGTGGCGCTCAGATGTTCTTCACACATTTTGTTTTCATCAAATTACTTAAATTCGAGATATTAATCCCGGCTGACTTTATTTGGCACGAAATGCCGTTGTGGTGCGTCTCTTCGGCGTCTTTCGGCCGAAGCGAAAGCGGGCGCTCGCAAGGCCCTGGGGCCGTTAATTTCCAAGTCAATAATACTTAATATGTTTGGGGGGATATAAGTCTTGAATTACGTCAATCGGAGAGTTGGTATTAGTAACCGCGCAAACGGATATCTGGCTAATGTCACCTGTGAACTTGTGGATTTTTAGGGAGGTTTTAGGTATTTAGAGGGTGTTAAATCTATACAGGACGGTTTTATGAAGATGTGCGAGCTCAGAAGGTAGTAGAAAGCTTTGAGAACAGTAGTTTTTAAGATTTATGAGCTGAGAAGATAGTCTAGTATAAGGTGCGAGCTGTGACAATAATTTTGTTGGAATTTCAGAAAGTCTTGGCGTCATTTTACAAAGGTTTGTTTACACAAAAGCGACAATATTTTTTGAACCCGTATAAGATTTTACAATGGTATTCTCGGAAATAACAAGGACTTATAGTCATATAAAGACTTAACGGCCCATATTATAGACTTAAGAAGATGACGGGGCTTAGAACATAGCTTTAAGAAGAGTTCTTCCAAGAACATCCATGTTAATATTGAATGGAAGTGAAAAAAAAGATTTTGGGTTTATTTCACGAAATCTTTGGTTTGCTTTTTGCTGAAATTAGACGCATATTGTGTTTGATCTTACCATAGTCGTCTTAAATCTTGCATTTTTCTTTGTTATCTTGGACAAAATGAAAAAGTTTGAAAAACTTGTTGTTTCGAAGTTTTTAGGTAATACAGAACCAAGAACACAAATTTAAAACAAATTTTTAGTTGGATATTGTTCAAGGTAACATAGTTTAGTCGGGGTCTATGTTGGCATTATTTTTTATTTTTCAGTTTTATAAAAAAATTTGGAAAAAGTTTTTTGTTTTGAAAATATTGATTGGTTTTAAAAAAAGTAATTAGAAAATGATGTTATGGACCTTGTCTTCAAGTTTTTATGGTTTTAATCTTTGGAATGTTTTTTAAAATGGCATTATCTTTAACTTATCTCAATACCTATGCTCCTAAAGCCACAAATTTTAAAGCTTTCAAGCTTTTTTATGAAGGTTTATTTTTGTGTTTGTTATTCAACTTTTAGAGCTATTTTCAACCGTCAAACTTATCTACAACGTGCTGCACATTATCGTGATAACTAATCTTTTCTAAATGTCTGTCTATGATCAATATCTGTCGTATAACAACTAATTTTAACTTATAAATCCAACTTTTTCCCTTGTAAAATTGAGCAAAATTTCAGGGGAATATGCGAGGTGAAATGTGCGAAGACTTGAAATCCTCAGCTCAGAATGAAGAACCGGTATCCGTGGAAAAGCAACAGGAAATCATGTTGATGAACAAACTCGCTTCAGGTGGCCGACTTCCACCAAAAACACAGAGCAGCTTCTTGCAAAAGAAACTACAACAAAGAGTAAGTATTTTGCTTTGTTTTTGGTATTTTAGGTATGAAAAGATGATGGATTTTGAGGTTTTTTGATGAAGCGATTTTTGGGTAGCTTAGATTTAAATGTTTGAAAAGTTTCGTTTAAAGAATTTGCTAAAAAACTGTTTTGTTAAAGGAATATTGAGTTAGATGTGGGGTAACCTATGAAGGTTGAAAACAAGGCTATATTGCTTTCGATTAAAGTTCTTTTGTAAAATACGTCTTCAGGCTTTATTGTCTCATATAAATCTTTCAGAAATTCTTCGACTCCGGCGACTACGCCATGAATCAAGACAAAGAAAAGAAGCATCAACGTCAGCCGTTCGCGAAGACGATCGCCGAGGGGAAACCCCTCCCAACGCCGGTGGTGGCACCAGTAACTCCAGTGAAAAGCGCACCAAAAGAGGAGGTACGAATTGCTCCACCTCCACTAACTTCAGAGCCATCGCAGCAAGGCGAATCCGGGTCCGACGAAGAGGAACATCTTCAGATTCCACGACCCGAAAACGTGCCACAACGCAAAGCCTCGATCTTGCACCCGTCCGTGCACTCCAAGCTCAGCCCCCAGCCCCATATTCATCATGAACATAACGACGACCTGTCTTCCTAAGTCTTTTGTATCTGATTGCCCAGTGATTTCTTGTTGTATCGTGGCTGGGAATCGGGGCTTCTGTGTGCGTGTAGAGACACCAGATATTGTTGGGGATTGTGGGGGTGGAAAACAGTTTTTGAATTTAAAATTTTGGGTTATCTTCGCTTTTAAACTTTTTAATGGACTTGTTTTGAAGGTATATTCGACTTGTTTTATCAAAAAATTCAGTTTTTAAATGAGTTGATAAAATAAAATTGTATTTTTAATATTTTTCTGATTACAATCTACCCATTTTGTCATGTGATTGTGACCTTCTCTATCTATTTTGTCAATATGGCAACAAAAAGTCATTATAAGTCTTGCACGGTGCAAAAAATTAAAGCTTTGCACGGTGCAGGCCGTTTTAAGATTTTTGGCCTAACTTGATGTGTTTTTAATGTTTTGATCGGAATTCTATGATCTTTCTGACCAAAACATTTTTTTTTGTATTTTATATTGTGAAACTTTCAATTTAAAAATTTTTAAATGTTTTGATACCTAAAAATTGATTTTTTCGTCAAAAATCAAGAAAAAATGGCGATTATACAGAGTCTTCTTGCAAATATAGAATGTTTCTATCCACTTTTTGACCAGGATTTTAATTTTTTTTTGGTAAAGTAATGTAAAATCATTTTTCCATCTTTTATTCATCTAAAGTAATGTTTTAAGGCCCCAAATCTCCATTTTTACAATAAAAAACATTTTAAACCCAATACACCCCCCGAAACCCCCGCCCTCGGATAACGTTTATAATAACTACTTAGCCCTCTGGTCAGCCGCGATATCTTTGTACTTTCTCTCCTCTTATTATGAATAATATCTATCAGTCATAGACTGTTATTGTATAACCATTCCTCTTTTTTCTATCCACAACATAGAATAAATAAATAATATTGGATATGAGATGGAATTTACATTCTTTTCGACGGTATTTTACTGAAAAGGCTATTGTGAAATAATTTTTTCCGTTTCGAAATTCGCGGGGAAAAAATAAATTTTTCGGAAAATTTTTATACTTTGTTAGATTTTTAAGGGAAAATGAGCTCAGCAAGGGATCTAAACAGGTTTGCTGATGCTTTTGGAAAGGTAAGTGTCAATTTGAATAGTTTTTTTAAATTTAAGGTTTTTGAAAAATTGTTGTCTAAAATTTAAGTTTCAAAGGATAAGGTTTTTAAAGAAAAAATACGTTTTTAGACGTTACCTCATATTAGAACTGTAATGAATAGTTAGGTTTTAACTATAACAGAAGCTTTATTACTTAAAAATTCGGTTTTTGAGTAAAATTTCTTGATTTTCGACGAAAAAATGTATTTTAGGTTCAATCTTTTGGTTTTCTAAAAATTGAAACTTGCTTTATAAAAATAAAGTTTTTAATAAACAAATAGCATTAAAAGCTTAATTACAGCCTTTAAAATGACTCTTGCATTATTCTTCTTAATTTAGGTATCACCAAACACAATACGAAATGTTTGCATTATTGCCCATGTTGATCATGGCAAAACGACGATAGCTGATGCTTTAATATCTTCAAATGGCATAATTCCTCGTAAGTTTTTTATGTTTATATTGTTTCTGGCTTTAGATATTTAGCTGAAACTGTTTGGAAGTTTTCAAACGGTTTAGCTATTAAATTGATGTTATTATAGTTTGCTGATGAATATTATCAATGATTTGGTTCGTGATGAAGAATTTAAGCTAGGAAAACGTTTAACTGTCTTTTCTAAACGTTATGTTAATTTATAGCTTTGTTTTGATTTAGTTAAGCAGCAAAAAAGGGCTATTAACCTATGTTAACATAGGGTTTTACTGAATTTTTCAATTTTAGCAGAAAATTTGATAGTGTTTTTTTAAATTCATAGTCTTGGTAATGATTTAAGCATTTCTTTTTTAATTATAAACTTCTTCAGCCCGACTTGTTGGCCAAATGAGGTTCATGGACTCGCGAGAAGATGAACAAGAACGAGGAATCACGATGAAATCTTCAGTTGTCTCTCTACTCTTTGACCCATTGTTACTAAACCTGGTCGACAGTCCAGGCCACGTCGATTTCCTGGCTGAAGTCAATTCAGCAGTGAATGTTGCAGATGTAGCACTATTAGTGGTTGATGTTGTCGAAGGGGTTTGCTCTCAAACCGAAAGTCTTCTTCGTCAAGCCATTCTAAACCAAGTTCAAGTCATTTTGGTGTTGAACAAGATTGACCGATTGATAACTGAGTTGAAGTTGAGTGAATCCGAAGGCTTTCAACACATTCGACAGTTGATTGAGAATGTCAATTCGACATTGTCACAGATCTTCCAAGGTTTATTGTTGGAGGATCATGATGAACAAGTGGAATGGGACAAGATTGAGGATGTTGAACTAAAGTACCATTTCCATCCGTCTCACGGCAATGTTCTCTTCTCTTCGGCTGTTTTTGGCTACGCCTTTTCTGTCGGAGACTTTGCCAATAAATGGGCGGTCAAGTTGAAGATGGAGCCTTCGTATCTGGAGCAAAACCTCTTCAGCGATTGTTACTTTGCGGGAGGACAATTACATCAAGAAGCCGAGAAGAAGGGGAAGAAGACTCTGTTCGAACAATTGGTGCTAACACCACTTTGGGAGGTGTACAAAGTGGCATTTCAGGACAAAGACGTGGAGAAATTAAAGTCCTCCGCCTTGAAGTTAGGTTTAGAACCATTAAAGGCCAAGAGATGTGAAGATGCTTTCCATGAGCTGATGAGAACATGGATGCCATTAAGTTCGGCGGTAGCTAGAGCTGTAGCCAGGTGTCAAAGTGCTAAAGCGGCCTTCAGTACGGATGAAAGAGTGTCAAGGATATTCAAAGCGAACGATTGTGAGAAGATCACCAAGGCTTTGAAGGCTTGTGATTCGAACGATGAGTTCTCGTTGTTGTTCGTCATGAAGTTGTATGTTGTGGATGAGAAGAAGCTGGCTGTATGTAGAGTTATGAATGGAAGGGTGGAGAAAGGTAAGGATTTTGGGTTGTATATTGACATAGAGAGCTTTAAAAAGCTCTGAATATTGATGTTATTGTAGTTTTATGCTGTTTTGGAATTATTCTTTGGGTTTTTTGCTTGAAAAATCAACTTTTTTAGTATAAAATGACCTTTTTTTAGCCTAAAACAATATTTTCTAGCCTTCAAACCAATTTTTATAGATATGATATAACTTTTAAACTAATTTAACTTATCTTTAATCAATTCCAGACCAACTACTATATCCAGTATCGAAAAAACCAGACCAAGAGCCTCAAAAAGTCACCTCAATCAATATTATGTTAGGCAAAGATCTTCATGAGGTTGAAAAAGCCGTAGCCGGCACCATCGTAGCCATAGAATTTGAAGATTTTCCATCATCAGCGACATTATCAAACGAGAAAGTGGATTCAGAAGGTTTGGGCTTTGTAAACGAGGGAATGGAGCCATTGGTCAGGGTTACCTTGAGGACATCTTTGGATATTCAGAATATGGCACAGTTGAAGCAGGGATTGAAACAGCTTAGCACGGTTGATCCATCAGTACGAGTGTTTGAGCAAGAAGATGGAGACTTGGCGTTGGTGACAGCCGGGGAAGTGCATTTGCAAAAATGCTTGCAGGTATGGGTTTTGGAGTTTTACAAATATTATATGGTATATTACAGTAGGCAGTTTATGGTAATATTATTAAGTTGTTCAAATAATTCTGGGCTTTCTAATTACAAAGATTTGCTTTGAGGTGGGGGTTCAGAATTAGTTGAACAACCTAATATATTTTGAAAAAAAATGGTAGCCTCACTTTTCTTTTAAGTAAAATACGAACTTTTCTTGTTCTGGTTTGAAAGTTAATTGAAAAAGTAAAAACTTAATTTTACTTTATTTTTTAGGATCTGGAACAACTAGGTCTGACTGACCTCGAAGTTTCTGCTCCTATCGTGCCATGTTTGGAAACCATCGTACCAGACATTTCGAATTCGTATGCCAAGATTGTCGCCTTGCATTTGACGGTAAGTATTATATCAAATCGTTCAAATAATTCTGAGCCCTGTACCAGAGCATTTTTTTTCGGGTTCAGGGGCACAGAATTATTTGAACAGTCTAATGTAAAAAATTAAGGCCGTTTGGACTGTCTATGCCTCAGGGCGTCGCTAAGAGATGGGGGAGGGATGAATGGGGGTGTATGTCTTCAAGGCGTACCTAAATTGCTACCTTTTTGGAGGCAGAGGTTGGGCCCGATCAAGCTCATAAACTTTTGGCTAGGCTTTTTTTGATTTTAGCTGGTTTTTGACAACTCTGACTTGAGTTTTGATTGAACTTGCTTCTTGAGATTGAGGTATTCTTAATTATCTTATCTCTTTACATATAGTAAGGGCTGATAAAACAGATACAGATAAAACTTGAAGATCTACTTTATTGTCATCATATTGTTTTAGGAATGCTTTTTGAAAACCTTCAGCTTGAGGCTAAAAGTGAGAGCAGTGCCACTGTCAGAAGAGATAATTCATGTTATGAAGAAGTGCGAGGACTGTATTACGCAGTTCAAGGATGGTAAGTTAATATATTTTTACTGTACTTTACCTTGTCCTATCTTACCCTACTTTATCTTACTTTACTCCACCTTATTCTACTTTACCCTATCTTATCATACTCTACCCTACCCTACCTTAATCAGCTTAGTCATTCATATATTATCATACTAAAAAGAAGTTATTTTAGATGAAAAGTCAGAGCAATTGGATCATTTCCTGAAGGATTTGAAAGAAGCAGCGGTCAAGAGTTTACCAGGAACGAAAGGAACCTTTTGGGTACGAAAAACGGGCGAAGACATTGAGAAGCTCTTCGACAATCTATGGACTTTTGGACCGAGAAGAGCCAAGTTCAACATATTGTTCAACGCTATAGAGGAACAAGGTAAGGGGGTTTTTAATCTTGTGGTAAATAATATGGTTGTGTTATATAAGGAAGTTTTTATTTTTTTTAAGGTTTGTTGTTTAACAAGGTAAAAACTACTACAATATCCCTTACTTCCAGACGAAACAGTAGTAAAAGCCTTGGAAAGAGCTGTAATTGGAGGCTTCGAGTTGGGCATGAGCCTAGGACCTTTGGCCGACGAACCAATGCACGCAGTTGGAGTCCTGGTTGAAGAACTCGCTTTTGTAGCTCCAGAAGAACCGAACGATGAAGACAATGGCCCAGTAGAAGTGACAGACCCCCAACTTCAAGGTCAAATGATCTCGGCCACAAAACAAACCATCAAAGCGGCCCTAAGAAAGACTCCCATGAGACTGGTGACCCCAATGTACAAGTGCAAGGTTCAAACCTCGGCCCAAGCCCTAGGCAAAGTACACACCGTTCTAGCTCAACGTCATGCCAAAGTGCTAGACGAGGACATTAACCAAGCCACCGGCTTCTTTGAAATCGACTGTCACCTACCCATCATCGAGAGCTTCGACTTCTGTGATCAACTACGCAAAAAGACCTCGGGAGTGGCGTCAGCTCAGCTCACCTTCAGTCATTGGCAGATCATCGACGAAGACCCCTTCTGGATACCATCGACCGAGGAGGAGCTGGAAGAGTTCGGAGAGAAAGGAGATACCGTCAATCAGGCCAGAGAATACATGAATAATATCAGAAGGAGGAAAGGACTGCCAACTGATGAGGTCTTGGTAGTTAATGCGGAGAAACAGAGGAATTTGAATCGGAAAAAGTAGATGATTTGGGGGATTTTTGACAAATTTTGAGGAAATTTAGATTTTTATTATTGAATTCAAAGAAAAAATGGCATTTTTTTTGGATTTCGAAAAGAAATTTAGTTTTTTCGTTGACTTTTGGAGAAGTTTTTGTTGAAGTTTAAGAAAAAATGCATCTTTCTTTACATTTTTGAAAGAAAAACCAAATTTTTATTGAACTAACTTAAGGAAATGACAATTTTTTAATGTTCCAAGCTAAAAATTCTACTTTTTTAGTCTTTTTTCGAGGTAAAAATGATCTTTATATGCAGTTGACTTACAAAAACTGAAATTAAAAAATTTTTTTGAGGAAAAATCACTAAATTTTTTATTTTCTTTGAGAAAAAAACGTAATTTTTCTTAGAAGCTTGGTTTTTTAGGTTGTTCAAATAATTCTGTACCTCTTCTCAAAGCAATTTTTGAAGTAGGGGGCATAGAATTATTTTAACAACTTAATAAATTAATTTTGTCGATGATTCAATCGAATTTTCCCTCAACTTTTGTTAAAAAATGTCATTTTCTACCGGTTTCAAATTGAAAAAAATCAAAATTCTATGTTTTTGTTAAAGCCTGTTATCTTTTTTGTTATACGAGTAAATGTTGTTGATTGTTGAAGTGAGGAATGATATGATATAATGGATCAAAGTAAGGTAATCATTGTTATTAGGTTGAATTTTGGGGTCATTTCCCTACCCTATCTTACCCTCTCCTACTCTACTCTACCTCAAGGAAAAATGAATCTTTAAAGTTTTATTTAATTTGCATAATTTTTAAAAATAAAAAATTGACAGTAGATACCACTGGGAAAGAGAAGACTTTTGAGTTTATGTTATAGTAGATATCAATAGATTACTTTCTCCATCTCACCTTCAACATGTCGTCGATGTGCACATCAATATAAGTCAGTGCTTGGAACGGAACGAACGGCCGCAACAACTTCTTCAGCCAGACCATCTCTTCGATGAATTTTTCGAATTTCTCTGTGAACGCATCCATGTCATCCCGCTCGGCCACAACATAATACTGGGCCAGCACGGCCACTGCTCCGATTTTAGCGTCACGGGGGAGCTGGAAGTAAAAACAGCTAGTGGAACACGACGTATTTTACAAAATCTACTCATATTTCTTGATCCAAGACCTGTTATAAGGAAATAAAATACTATGAGATGACCCATTTTTTAGATGTTCAGAAAATACGTCGATATAAAGCAGATATTTTTTAGTTTTTTTTCGTAAAATATTAGTTTTTATGCAAATTTAGCCTAATTAACCATTTAAAAAATTGCTTTTAAAATTCAGACTAGTTTATTTTGATGTTAGGATGACACATTTTTTAAGTTCCAGAAATTAGATCGTCCAAAACTGGTTTTTTTATATTGGAATGTAAAAAGTAGTAATGTCTGTAACTAAAAGTTACTTTTGACAACTTAAAAGGTACTTCTAACCGTAATAATGACTCATTTTAAAGTCAAGATGACTTATTTTTTGGAATTCTAGAAAATGTGTCATCTTAATTACGTCTTTACGAGAAAAAACCTTCAAAAAATTGACCCTACCTACACCTCCATACCCTGTCCTGCGTCACTCTACCCCATTCTACCCTAACCTGCCCTACCCATCACTTACATACTGATCGATGAGCTGAAGCGTGTAGTTGATGATGTAGTTGTTCTTCTTGAAGATGTAGCCAATGTCAGGTTTGTGATGGTACTTCCGTGCACTCTTCTTGATACTCCTCAAGAATCCCTTGCCCGTCACGCCAGTGTACTTCATCAGATGCAGGAACATATCCGTGGTTCTGGAAGGCTGCAGATTCTTAAACAATGGGCCTATGCTCTTCTGGACTCCGGAATCTCTGTCATCGTCAAAGTCATCGTCATGATGACGATGATGACTTTTGTGTGGTCGATCGTGATGTACTACGGGGCGGGGTGGTCGGCCGTTGCTTGGCCCGCTGGAATGATGGTGACGTACTGGAATGTGCCTTGGGCGGCTGTCTGTGAATTCGAGGTTTTCAACGTTTTCTGAATTACCCTGGAATTGAAAAATTTTTTAAAATTTTTTAAATATTAGGTTTGAAAAGTTGGGGAAGGGGAAGAAAAAGAGAAGTAAGGGGGGGGGGGCGGAAGATGTAGGATAGGATAAAATAGGGTAAGGCAGAGTGACTCAGGTAGGATAGGGTAGTAAGGTTGGATAGCAAGGTTGGGTATAGTAGGGGCGGGGTCTCTTACTAAGAAGTACCTAACCTCGGGTTGAAATCACACTTTTTTATAGAAAGGTCATTTAAATATAAGTCATGCAGCAAAGTACTAAACTAGGCCAAATTTGCCAACTCGGCGGAATCTTCAAATATTTTAGTTTTAAAGCTTAAAAGCACAAGTTAAAACTTTTTATGGGAGCTATTAGTGGTACAAGTTCATATAAAAAGTTTGAGCTGATGCTAAGCGGGGCAAGTAGGATACTTTTCTTGTAAAAAATTTTTTTCAGGAATGTTAAACATGAACCTTTTTTCATTTTTAAGGGTTGGAAAAGGGCACACAATTATTTCAACAACCCAATAACGCAATATAAATCTTTAAAATTTTGAAAAAAGTAAAATCTATTATAACTGTAAACATACATTACTAGAAACCCTCTCACTGTGACTTTCTTCATTCTCTGACATTGTTTGAGAAGAAGCGTAAGTACCAACAACTAGTACGATTAATACTAAAAATAACTTCATTTTAATTTGAAGTTGTTTTTAAATTACAGTAGCCAATGAGAGTCTGATCACAAAGGAATTGCATCATTATTTATATAGACAGAGTAACAATGGAATATTAAAATCATAAAAACAATTAATTTTCATACTTTTGGCAATTTTAGAGACTTTTCGTAACTGCATAATGTTATTGCAATCGCTACTATCAGATTTGTGCAATAAGATAGGGCTTGCAAATTGATCAGTGAGCTAGTTTTTCATTTACAGTACCCTACCCTACCCTACCCTACCCTACCCTACCCTACCCTACCCTACCCTACCCTACCCTACCCTACCCTACCCTACCCTACCCTACCCTACCCTACCCTACCCTACCCTACCCTACCCTACCCTACCCTACCCTACCCTACCCTACCCTACCCTACCCTACCCTACCCTACCCTACCCTACCCTACCCTACCCTACCCTACCCTACTCTACCCTACCCTACCCTACCCTACCCTACCCTACCCTACCCTACCCTACCCTACCCTACCCTACCCTACCCTACTCTACCCTACCCTACCCTACTCTACCCTACCCTACCCTACAAGTTAATCTTACAGTATCTCACATCAACCTAGTGTACTTTAGTTTGACAGTTAAGTAAGCTTACTGTAGCCTCCCCCCTTACTCTAACAAGCTACCCTTAACCGGTGTTACCTATAATAAATCTTTCTACAATATTCTAATCTTGTCCTACAAGATCCTGTTCCTATTATTATACTCAACACGAGTTCCTGTCTTGCCAGAACCTACTACCTTACCTTACTCTCCTCTGCTTCAGAGACTACTGTAATTAAAAAATCACGTTTAAAATCTTACAATTGTTACAAATATTGTCGTCTAGATTCAAAAATTTTAAATACAATTTTATTTTTTAGGTATAAACTCAAAAAAGAAAAACAAATATAAATATGTAAATGTAGGTGTGGTAGATATATAGTGACACGGGGTAACAAATGAGGTTATAATGAAACTGGTATAATACTTTAAAATTCAAAAACAAAATTTTCAAAAAAAAATTTTTAAAGGTAAAACTAATCTAAAAGGCATGGATAATATATGACAGTAAAGTTTACTGAGTAAACCCACATCGCAGTTATGTAACAAGAGAATACTGTGAACTAAGAAACAAGAGAGTACTGTAATCTAAGAATCTAACAAAAAGTTACTGTGACAAAACGAGAGTTTACTGCACAATATTAGAGAGCTACTGGCTATAAGAGCTGTTATAGTAAGCTAGAGAGCTAAAGTAAGGTAGATATACATATATACTCAATATAGTCTAGATCAAGGTAGGTAGAGCCTATATAAAGGTAGATATAGTCCAGATACACTACTATAATATCAAATACCTGTTTTTAGATGTAAATGTTCATAGATTAATACACAGTAATGTAAAATACGGCAACTCCAGTATTTAATAAAATACAGATTTTAAAATTTTAGGTAACAAATGTAAAATTTTTAAGATAAACCGGTAATACAGAGTAAAATAGCTTAGAAAAACATAGTAACATGACATATATAACCTTAAAATATAAAATAAACATTCACATAAGATAACAAGACTTACAATAGTAAAAACAACCTCCAAACTACAATAATATCATGAATAACATAAAAAATCAAGGGTTCATGCTCAACCTCTCGACCAGAATCTTCTTGTCCATCGAATCCTCTTTATATTCTTGTAGAATCAACGCCTCCATCAACGAATCCACCGATGTCAGTTGAAACAATCGACAAAGCTGAACATCTTCAGCCAGTTGCTGAGCTACAGCCTGAACAGCCGGCAACAACAGTAACAGTTGACCCATTCGACATTCCGCTTCCGGGCCATCATGAACCGATTGCTTTAGGGCTTTTAGGGCCATTTGTCGCGATTCTTGCAGCTTTTTCACACATTCCGGCGAAATCGACACTAAAATTATATTGTAGTAGGTACGAGTTCATACGGGAAAGTAAAAGTATACTATAGCCTCAAGGCACAGTAAAAAGCAAATAATATAGCGTTAAAAAAGCATATACTGTGCAGTTCAAATAATTCTGCGCCCCTTAACTCTGAAAATTTGCTTTAAGAGTGGCTCAAAATTATTTTAACAACCTAATATTATAGTAGCTTAATTTGGAGTTTTTCTTAGAAATATCCACAAAATTTAAAATTTTTAAATAAAAAAATCAAATTGAATTAAATTTGTTACCTAAAAATAAATTTTCACCCATTCATGACATTAATAATGGCAGTTTGTGCAACAATTAGCCGTGCAGCCTGCAAAACACTCTGCGCAAGCTGCCCCCGACCTTCCCCCTTAATTTTTCGAAAAATGGGCCAAAATCAAACTTCAAAAACACCCCCTAATATAAAAACGACCAAAACCTTTACAAAAATCCAAAAACCTACCAGCATTGTAAGGATTAAAGAACAATACAGCCTTCAGAGCAATATACTCAGACAGCTCTACGTTAATATCCCGTGCTGGTCGAACCAATTCTCTTACAATCCGCACCACCACCGCGTTTATATCACCAACCAATGCTGCATTTTCAATTGGCAGGAATGTGTCATTGGCCAAACATATTCCACCATCTAGGCCCATCGACCTGATGGCTACGGCGAGGACTATTAATGATGTCGCATTGGCCTTTAGAATTGATGCCTAAAAATTTTTTTTGAGAATAATATAAAGAAAACCTTTCTCTTTATCCCAGTAGTACGAATTTATATAGTACTAGCCATTAAAACACTTAAAGTGTCACTAAACCAATATAACTTAGGTCCCACAACGAAAATCAACTCTACAGTAAATCTAAGACAATTTCTTTTATTGTAAACCCATTTTTATAAATAAAGTATGATTTTTGTTTCCAAAAAAGTCTTAACACCCACGTGATAGATCAATCAAACCTGTCATATTCGCTTGCCCTTTAAAGAAGCTCACAAGATACGACTATATACCAGTAAAAAACAAACAATTACAGTCTTCGGTCGCGTAAAATGGCTTCGAATATCTTTCAACAATATTTTGACAACATTTTTCATAATTTTCATAATTAAAACTAGGCTAAACATCAACTTATAAGGCTTTAAAACAATATTATAGTAGGTTGATACCAAGATTTTTTCAAATATTGCCCTATATCTCAAAACTGTAATAAACAACCTGTCGCAAAATTAATATCACTGTACTCCCCATGACCTTACGGTCATTTAAAGCCCAAACACATACCTGATCGTCCAACTCCAGCTCGCGGAACGGCCGCAAACTCTTGGCCCACTCGACTGTCAATAGCAACTGTTGATGAATACTCGAGCCCACATCATTCAGTGTGGCCACCTTCGGCAACCCTTCGTACTTGATCTTTCCCTTGTCATAACTGATCTGATCCGTGCTCTTTATCACCGATTCACGCAGCTGCAGGCACAGACTCTCGGCGTTTGTCAGTTCGGCCAGGAAATTGGCGCCTTCGTTCAGTTCCGGGTCCAATTTGCGTCGTTTCCCGATGGAATCACGTTCGTTCTGAATCGCTTCTACCCGCATTCCAGCTTTGAAGCATTTGCGTAAGCGGCAGGCACGACAGGCGTTACGGTGGGCTGAAATTTAGTGGTGAAAATTGAGTTTTTATATTATAGTAGACATGAAGTGACATGATTTAGGAAAATAGCTGTTTATGCTAATATTTCTGCATCTATGAGGCCAAAACTAGTTTGAATTAATTCGAAATAACGTATTTTAACTAAGAACAATCCAAAGTAAAAAGAACAGCAGCAGTGACATTAAGTTATGTTACGCTATACATCACCTAATAGTGGTTGAAAAAAAGTCGACCACAAGTTAAATAATGTTTAGGTATTAAAAATTATTTACTCTAGACGCTGACAATACTTTATATTGCATTTAAACTAATATTCAAGATATCAAAAGCTTTAAACTTCAAGGTAAAGATCAAATTATATTGTAGTAGGTCTCAATTTAAAAGTTGGATGAAAAATTATGTTTCTCTTGAAAAAACCTGAGTTAAATGGTAAAATACGATAAAAAGATTTACGTCCTTTATAAATATGTTAATATAGGCATCTAAAAACTTTGATTCTTAGTAAAAAAACCTACTTTTATCGACATTACACTCGCCTTGGAACCGGCACTTGTAGATGTGCTCTTTTCGAATGCTGCGACGGAAAAAGCCTGAAATCACAAGCTTTTACATTTTTTTATTACTCTTTATTACATTTCTGGTCCAAAAACCTACCTTTACAGCCATCACAACTGTTAACACAGCCATAATGTCGACCGGTCGCTTTGTCACCGCAAATCGCGCATTGTGACAGATTGGGTGGGCTTAAAGATGGGTTCAGGGAGGTGGACGAAGTTGAGGATGATGGAGATGGCATCAGAAAAGCCATAAACTAATTGAGGAAAGTTTTGGGCCCAACCGAAGCTTGTTGTATCTGGAATGGATATGTTTTAGGTATAAATCGAAGTGAAATTTTAAATCACTGCCATTTTTAACGTGATGATGTTTTTTAAAATATTAGGAACCTAGTTAATGCTATAAAACTATAGTTAATGTTCACGTAATTAAATTTTTAAATATTCTCAAAGAAAGAATTTGTATTGCACGGTGCAACCGTTTTTTACGCGCAAAAAAGTGACTACACTGTGCAGGAAAACAAAAAATTTTTGTAATGCCATTATTCATATAGACTACTAAAAATTTTAAATTGACAATGTTTCATGCTACCAATGGCTATTTTATGAACAATAACCAAAGCCTCTTTAAGCCAAATTCACCCAGATATTAACCTTCAAAATTTTTTGCACGGTGCAAACATTATTTCCTCAAAAACCGCAAAAAATGTAAAAATATGACACATAATACAATATTTATCCCTATCAAAAAACAATGCACGTACATAGCCATAAAACTCTACGATAACATACTTTAGCGAGATAAACAGGTCACATTTTGTCTTTCAGAACGTTACGTGTACAAACATGTTCGACCACGTTTCAACGAAATACAAACAATAATTGAAACGTTCGTAAGCGTATTTGGGTTTGAAGAGAATTACGAGCTTGGACACTATTACAAAATTGGCCAAAGATGAGTTTTAGTGTTGATGTTAATGTATGTATAAACCACTTTTTTAGTTAAAAGTGCAAAAAATTTAAAGACGTTTTATTTCAATACCTTCTAAAAACATTATTTTTATCCCAAACTCTTAAAAATTATATAAAATTTCATATTTTTGCAAAAACTTGTATATAAAGCAACTGCACCGTGCACAAAAACCTCAATACTATATAGTACCAAAAGTAATACCCACTTATGTTATCTTCAATTTGCACGCTTTTTAGACTACAAATAGCAATTTTATGAGATATAATTGAAGGGTTGTTGTAAACAACATTAGCAAGATATTGTACGATGAAAAACTTTTGCACGGTGCAATTGTCTTTTTTAGTTTTAAAGGTTAATTTTGATGACAATTTATTACAAAAATATTAACATTGGCTTTGAAATAAAATAAAAAACCATAAAATTAAATTTTTTAAAATTTGAAACAAAAAATTTTAAAAAATCTGCACAGTGCAAAAATAAAACAGACTGCACGGTGCGATAAAATAAAAAAGTTGAGTTTGGCGGGAAATTTAAATTTTATGTTAAAAACTAAATTAAAACTAAAAAATAAAAATAAAATTTTAATGAAAAATTCAACCTCAAATGTCTTATAGAAAGTGCACAGTGCAAAGTCCTTTTATACCGCACGGTGCAAGAAAAAATAAGTCTGCACGGTGCAAAAAAAGTAAATTTAGAAAAAAAACCCAAAAAATATATTAAATTATAAAATAAAGCTTATCAGTGCATTTTAAACCCCAATAACTCTTGTTTACAACAGGTACTACTTGCTATTGTAAACAAAAAGTTGTCATACCTTCATTGACAAGTTCAATATTACCTACTTTTGCAAAAACACAAAATTCGCATAAAAATATGAAAATATTAATATGAATAAACCGCCCCGAAATGGTGTGACACTATAAAACACAAGTGAGTATTGTATAATTGAGAGAAGCCCCGCATTGATAACAAAATGTAAATTGGAGCCGGCTGGCAGGTAGGGCACACAAAAATAGAGATACAAGAAGCGCCTGTCGCCATCTCTCCCTTAAGGCCTTCGGGCTGAGAAGAAAGACCGGGAGAGGGGGGGCGATCACGTGACCCAAACAACTTTTCTTCCGATTCCGGCTGATAACGCCTCGGGGCGCAGCCACAACTATGATTAATATCGACTGAAACATACATGTTTTTAGGGGAGAGGAGTGGATCGGTTTAAAAATAAGTGAGGTAGGTTGGCTTCAGAAGAAGTAAGGTTGCAGTTGAGGTCCTTTAAACTTGCTGTTAAGTGGTGATAAGCTTGGAATGATTAGCCATGACCAAACATGACTAATATCATTACAGCCAACTGATAAGCCCAAAAAACGAGTTTTTGGTTTAAAGTTAGGTCAAAAGATATCCTAAGACCTACCCTAACCTAAAATACCCTTAACGGCCTTGCCCTGTCCTACCTTACACTATTAGGCTTAAACTTAAGTGCTAGTAGGCTTGTAGAAAGTTGGTCATGAATAAATTTTTCAAAAAAGGTTTTTTGGCTTGCTATAACTCAATGATAAGCCTGCTAAAAATGGTTATAAGACTTTCATAACCTATTACAAATAGCTAGTGATAGGCTTGCTATTAGTCACATACACTAGCTTGGTCCTCCCCAACTCTAACCCTCCTCGTACCATAACATGCCCCATACTTTATCACATAACTATCCCTTACTTTACTCTATCCTAGATTTCACTCTGATTTTACTAGTTCAACCCACATGTAGCAAAAACAACTATATACACGTTGCTGAAAAATAACAACCTTTGCAAATGAATTCAAGGAACAAAATTTGATTTTTGTTCAGTATAATGTAATGAAACATTGAGTGCAATGACTCAAAAAACTTTCGATGAATATGGGTTGTAAAAGGAGATAAAGAACGTGTTCAAAAGCCTACGTCAACATACAAAAACAATATTAATAAAGGCACGTTTTGGATGTTAATAATCCATTATTATGTGTCACATACTAGCTTAATATTGTCCTATTAAAAGAGCTGACCAGCAAGAGTATGGTTGATTTTGAGTTACAAATAAAGGTAGGTGTAGGGCTAAAGCTCTGGAGTAAGGGTGGGGTTAGGAGTAAACATAGGAATGGAGATAAAGGTAAAGGGGCATGTGTGAAGCTTATTAAAAGTAGGGGTAAAAGCCCCTAAAACCCATAAAAAAAGTAGTCAAAACTCCAAAAACGAATGGTCAACACGAATATTATCCCCAATTCGATCAACAAACTTTATTAAAACGCAAAATTATTCAAATACAAATGTACAAAACAAACGTTAATGCCTTTTGAAACAATCATAGAATACAATTTACATTTGAAAATACGATTTCACAATAAAAAGTAGGTAGTAATGTCATGCTTTATGTGTAACATGGTTAATATAATTTTCGAAATTGTAGTAATCTTGAAATTAAAAGCTATAGTAATATTGAAACCGCTTGTAATTGTACTGATATATGTAATATCTTAGTGATATCTTTGTACAACTACATGCCGTTTTGTTTTACTACAACTATAGTCTACTACAATGTAATTCTTAAGTTAACACGTAATTTCATAGCAGTTTTGGATTTGTACAACGCCATTTTAAGCTATTGTAATGTAGTCATCTACTACAATAGTACGGCAAAGTGAAAAGCACATACTATAACATAAAGGTACTGCAAAAGCACATATTAGACTGTTCAAATAATTCTGTGCCCATACCCAAACAATTTGCTTTGCGAGGAGGCTCAGGATTATTTGAACAATCTAATACTATTACTTCCGGTGCGCTTGTGTAATATATCACCTAGGTAAAGAGCATATACTACTGCTTCAAAGTAAAGTAAAAGGCATATAATACATCACCAAGGTATAGTAAAGCAAGCCTTCAAAGCCTACAATTCCCTTTCGAAAACCGTACAATGTTACACATCTAGTACAATATCACAAATTAAGAAATGACCTGTCAAGAAAATAACTTAATACCCTTAGGAGATAATTTTGTAGTAGGTAATGGGATGGTACTGTATATATATATCAAGCAAATATATTGTGTATAACCATATGAATATAGATAACATACAAAACATTCTGTAGAACCACCATATGAATGGAAAGTATACTGCATACAATTAAAAAAACGTGTAGTTCAAGCTACAGTAATCTTCAGATAACATTGTTAATAAAAGAAGAATAGAATAAGAGTAGGTTATGTAAGAAAAATACAAGTTACAGTATGAAAAACCCCAATTTACAGTAAAAAGCTACAATAAGACACCTTAATACAACAAAAAACCATATTAAAGTGGCTTACTGTAGTATTTACAAAAGACAACAATAATTACAGTAAGCCCTCAGAAAGTTACCGTGATTTTAAAAAAATTATAAAAATTACAGTAAGACTCAAAATATTACTGCAATTTTCAAAAATCTCAAAAAATTTCAAAGAATTACATTATACCACAAAAGTTACCGTAACCTATCAAAACTATAATTAAACTCCAATTTACAGTAATCTCAAACTTGTGAGTCCCAGAAAACTACAGTATACCACACTAATAAAAAACCTACTGTATACTACAGTAATTCAAAAAACCTACAGTATACTACAGTAATCCATTAAAACCCCATAAAATTTAAAAGGAAGACTCGGCACGAGAAGCAAGATACGACGAGGTCAGAGCATGGTCATTACCTGATCCGTTGGAGTTTGGCCGCTTTGGTTGGGTGGATTCATTTGATTCTGACTGTAGATGGGAGTCAGGGTGGGCATCATCATATTGTTCATGTTGGGTTGATAGTACTGTGAGACGTTGTTGAAGTTGAGGGTTGAGGTGGGAGGCTGCATCGTGCTCGACGTGCCTTGCATTGAGATTGAAGGCATCTGCATGTTTTCTACGCCGTGCATTGACGTGCTGACACCTTGTAGGAGGTTGGATTGCATTGAAGTGGCTACACCGTGAAGGGATGACGCTCCTTGAAGACTTGAAACACCTTGAAGAGATGAAGCGTCATGTAGAGAAGATGATAGTTGATTGTGGAAGGATGAGGCTGATTGGTTATGTAATGATGCTCCATGAAGTGACGATGAAGACACGTTGTGAAGTGTGGCTCCAGAAGCTCCATGGAAAGAAGAAGCTGAAGTACCGTGGATCAAGGATGCTGCTGAAAGTCCATGAAGCGACGTTCCAGAAGCCCCATGAAGAGGAGCTCCAGCACCATGAACCGAAGACTGTGAAGAGTTGAAATTCTGAAGCGCTCCACCCATCATTGAAGCCGAAGTCCCTGCCATCATATTGGAAGGCCCGGCCATTGAAGCCAACGATGAATTCGGAAGCGACGACGCAACATTCTGCATCATTGCATTTGACATTGAGTTAGTTTGCATGTTATTCAAGTGAGTCGATGATCCACTAGTGTAGGTCGGGGCCGCCGATGATAAGTGTTCTTTGAGTGAAGCCGGCGCCGAACTCTGATCATTGAGATCATCCAAAATGAACTCGGAGAGCAGAGAGTCGACTTCAGCTAGCCCAAAGAACTTGGTCAGAGTCATGTTCTCGATCAGGAGTTGCGTGAGCGCCTTCAGGGCTGGAGCCAACAATAGGATGTTGCCATATCGTGTGGGGGCTTCTTCTTGATTCTGGCTCATGATGAAGGAGTACAAGGCCTTCAGGACCTTGTTCCTCGCCTCTCTGATCAACGTCTGACTCGAGGCGCTCAATCCTTTAGCTTCTGGATGAAGAAAAGCCAATGCTTTCAGACACACAAACTCTTGTTCCTTCATCTGAAGCTGTCTCATTGGCCACACGATCTCGTCCAACACTCTCGGCGTGATGTTCGAGGTCTTGAAGGCAGCGAACCCGTTCAGCTCGGCCGGCCCATTGTTCTGTTCTCGAGTGTTGTTGAACAGACAAACCCGGGTCGTGTCCGGACTTCGGAATGCTGGCATCAGAATCAAGTGTTGAGGAGCGTAGTTCTTCAGCAATATTATCTTATCCTCCATGTTAAGTTCCGGGAATGGAGAAAGACTTTTGGCCCAATCTACCATCAATAACAAAGTGGTTCGGCTGATTTCGTTCAGATCGTCGACTGTACAAGCCTTGAGGTCGGCATTTGGGTCGTTATCGTTGGCATTCGCTTGTGACAACATTGAATTTCGATATCTAAACAATTAAAATATTTAAAAATAATCTTTAATCTTAATTTTTAATAAAGATAATTTTTGAAAAGCACCTGTTAAGATACTAAAACCATTAAAATACTAATTGGAACGCATTTTTAATCCCAATTTTTCAATATTTTTAAACTCTTACACCTCCAACTAAAACAACAGGCCAAAAGAGACCTAAAACAATATGTTACCAAGCTTAAATAAAGTCTTTCAAACCTTCTCCTAAACATAAAATATAAATATAAACACTCACCTCTGTGCCATTTCCTCGTTTACCCGCATCTCCATCTCCATGAGCACATCAATAACATCAGATGATCCATCATCTGGCTGTTGCATTCCTGATGGTCCAGCCTGCATTGATGGAGAACCAGGTCGTCCTCCTTTCTTCGGCGATCCTATCGTATCACGTTCAAATTGAATCGCTGAAACAGAAAAATTGATTTAGCAGCTGATATGCTGATATTAGCTAAAAAATTGATTTTCCTAGTGATTCATGAAACAATATAAAAGCAAAGTACAATTTGAATAGAGACACAAACCTTCTCGCTTCATCCCAGCAGTCAAACACTTCTGAAAACGACAGAATCGGCAAGCACATCGGAAGTTTTTGTCTATAACACATTGCTTGTTGAACCTGCACACGAATCGCTGATTCCTGAGGATAGTACGTCGAAAGAACCCCTAAACCAATAAAAAATCAAAGCTGATAACACTTACTTTACACCCATTACAACTGACCACTCCATAATGTGTACCCGTACTTTTGTCGCCACAAACGGCACAAGGCTCTGCCAAAGGATCAACTAAAACAATATCGTTTAATTCACATCAACAAAAAAAGTAAAATAAGATCAAATAAAGTTTATAAGCTTCATAAAACATCCCTTTAGCTAAATCAAAACGTATTTTACCAAAATAAAACCATTTCCATATTGAATCAAAGCTATCTTTACTACGCACCTCTAAAACAATATAATTCCTCTCAAATTCAATAAAAATCAAGCTCCTTATAAAAATGAGGAGTAAAATCTATTGTCTTTGATATTTAAATTCAAAAACATGAATAATTCAATGATCAACATAGTTTTTTTTACATCTAACGACTCGATCATACTTCGGATGAATAACATACGAGGAAATGACGATTCTTAAACGTTCCAGAAATTTTAAACAAAATTAATAGCGTCTATAGTTACTAGAGGTATTAATAAACTACCTAGTATCTTAAAACAAGAGCTAGTTGATCAAATATTTACCCAATATACCTAAAAATATAATTTTTCTCCGAAAAATTCCTGTTAATTCTGATTTTAGTTTTTCTTCAACTTTTTTATGGCAAAGCTATATTTTGGGTATAAAACTATTGTCTATTGATCTAATGAACTAATTTTTACCGAAATTAATTCAAAATTGTTAGCTAAAATACGGAGAAACACATGTTTTCCCTTCGAAAACTTCTCGACAAAATATTGTTTTTGCGGTTTTTTGGGGCAAAAATGTGATTTCTGTACATTTTTTATGTTGAAACTGTTGTGAAATAACTTTCTGGTTTAATAAAGAGCAAAATTAATTATATTCTCATTAATTTTTCATGTTATCATTGTTTCCAACCTCATTTCCAATATCTTATACTCCATTTTCAGCCTCAAAATTCTTTTTTCGAAAATTTAAATCCAAGTTCCTTGCTCTGTTTCGAAATTAAACCCCTAAAGAGTAGGCAAAACAAGAAATAACTTACCCAAATCCATTCGCGTTCGTTAAGAGTTCATAAATTAAGGGAAGCACGGCCAGCAAGTTCTCCCTTTTACACTTTTGGGGGCAGAAACGTTTGCAACAATCTTCTCCTTCTTCTTCCCCCCGACTCGCGAAAGAGAAAGGGCCCCTGAGGCTGCGTGAAGAGAGTGTGTAATGTTGGCGGAGGACAGGTGAAACTCTATAGCTAAACTATATTAGGGGCGTCTTAATAAGCGAACCACGTGAAATTGGCGAAAGGTGAAAACGTTGATCAAAAGGCTGAAAAAAAGGTTGTCAAGTTCGAAAAACGGCCAAAAAATTGGAACGCACTTTGAAAAGTTGGTGGGGAAAAGTGGGGGAATAAATAGGTAACAAAAACAATTTTAAAACATTCAGCGGTTTGTTCTCAATGTTCACTACTATAATATGTTGAGTTATACTATAATATGTCGAGTTATAGTGGTCAAAAAGTACGTAGAGGATAGGCTAAAAGTTATTGTTATAGTTCGGTCAAAAAGTACAAAAAAAAGTTAAGATTTTTAAAAATCGTTGGAGAAAATTTGACTCTATGATCTTTTAGGCCGAAATAGTGTATTTTTATAAATTCGGTCAATAATTACATAGAAAAATAAAGGTGTTTCCACAACTTTTCGGAACTCATATTCCATGAACTTTTTGACCGTAGAAATAGATTTTTATAAGACCGTTCAAAAAGTACATAGGAATCTCCTAAAAAGTCAAAATTTAGTACCTAATACATATTAAAAATGGCACAAGTTCAATACAAAATTCAGCTTTTTTAATAAAAATATATTAGTTTTAGGGGATTCTACGCACTTTTTGACCGATTTTTCAAACTAAAAGTTGTCAGACGAACAATCTTTACCTAAAGTTCAACATATACATTCCTCAAGGGACTTTATAGTATTTTGCAGCCAAACTTGTAAACATACAAGTTCTACTACAATATAAATCGAAAACAAGCTCTCTATTACAAGATAAATGGGAAAACACGTTCCATTACAAAAAAAATACTCGTTTAACGTCAAAGTGCAATGGTAATTCCTTTGAAATAGTTTTAAGTTCATTTTAAATCTTTTTTCAGCGAAAAAGTTTAAAAAAAGTTTTGAATAATCTTTTTGATTTAAAAATGGAGATAGATAAAAAAAGAAAAGCAATGTTTGTTTTAAGAGTTCGCTTTAACGTCCCTGCCAGTGACTTCACAATATGAGGCCATATCTTATGTGAAATGTCATAAGAGGGGCTGCACTGTGCAGTCATCAATGGTTAGGGTCTTGCACCGTGCAAAATTTAGGAGTTCTAAAAATTTATTGACCGAAAAATGATTTTTTTGATAAGGCGTCTATAGAAATATTCCAGTAGGATCTAAATGCAATATTAGGTTTGTTTTAGGCTTGTTAAGTTTGATGCACCGTGCAAAAAACAAAATTAAAAAAAAACTGTACGGTGCAAAAATTAAAGTTTCTAGAAATTTATTGACCGAAAAATGAATTTTTGATAAGGCATCGATGAAAATTTTCCAATATTCTTAACTTGCAAGATTAGGTTTGTTTTAGGCTTGTTAGGTTTGATGCACCGTGCAAAAATAAATTTTAAAAAACTGCACGGTGCGATTTTTTAAATCTGTTTTGAACTTTTACAAACCCAAAAAAACGTAAAAACTTTAATTACGACGTTACGAATTCAAATGAATTTATTTAGACTTGATAAAATTTTAAAAAGCATACAAATTTCGGGCCTTCGGCCCTCAGGGTTCAACGAGATGAATATTTAAAAAGTCTAATTTAATCGTTTAAAGAAAACGTATCTAATTTTAGGTAATAAATATACGTATTTCTGTTGTTATCAAGGTCTTTTCATTCAACAAGGTCGCTAAAGGGGTGTTTCGAATGTTTCTTTTTTAAAAATCGTTTTGACTGCACTGTGCAACCTTACTTCTTAAAAATATTTTTTTGTGATAAGGAATCGAAATATTTTAAAATTGTAATGCTATAAAAAATCGAATGTCTAAAAGGTTGAAAAAAATCATTTTAAAGTTCAAAACTTCTTGCAGAAACTGCACAGTGCAACTTCTAAATGTTTATATTGCACAGTGCAAAAAAGTAAAAAAAAATTTTTTTAACACAAGAATTGAAAACATATTGATATTGTAATACTGCAAGATAATCAGAGGACCATAAATTTATCTTAAAAATTATTTTAAAATTCAAAAGCTTTCGGACAAACTGCACAGTGCAAGTTTAATCTTATTTTCTTGCACTGGGCAAACAAATAAACCTTTTTAAAGTTTTTAAATGAGAAAAAAACTGAAAAACTGTCAAAATTTAGGCACTTAGGTGCTCCTTCCTTGTCACCATAAAAACAAAACTAGGCCTAAAAACTGTTATCTTGTTATACATATACTATAAACATTTGGTGTACTTTTCATAATTATAAGTTTATAAGCAAATTGTAGACTCAAGTTTCTAGTTTAATAAAAAAAACCGAAATTTTAGGCTTAAAAATTGTATCTTACGCTAGACTTTACTACAAATAATTGTTCAAGAATGGTATACCATGGTATGAAATAAGTTCAAAGTACTTTGGAGTATCATTATTTACTATAGTTTTAGTGTAAAAGTACATGACATTACCATGGTGCACTTACGCCTTAGCTCTTCCTTGTCTTTCTTCTTTACCCACCCCTCTCTCCCTTCTTCTTAAGCTTTATCCCCTCCCCCTCTTCTTAATCGCTATCCTTGTACTTAAACTTTATTTATCCCCGCCCTTCCCGCCCGATCTAAATTTGGGTCAAGACCGGCCCGGCCCATTCCTCATGTCTACCCCCTCTCTGCTTCTTCCCCCCTGTATACCCCTCCCCCCCCCTCATCCACCTGTCCCTTCTTAAGCCTTCTCCCCGTCCTCAACCTAAAATAATGACAATGTAGCTTAAGTACAAGGAAGTGAAGGTGAAACTAAGAAGCTGCACGCACTCTACTCTCGGGTTCAATTTCTATTGCGTGGGGTTACAGAGATTAGAAACTGGTGTGTTACTATGGAGTAGAAGGTGCTTTTTACTGCCAGACATTAGATTTATATTACTCTCGCATGTGGGTAATTAATTTGAGGCACGATTCTACGTCAAATCGACCACTTTTTGGTGTGAAGCAATTGCCAAAAATGGGCTTTAAGGGTCTAAAAGTTTTTAGAATGGTATGGGTAGAGATATGAATAAGGGCAGAGGTAAGAGCAGAGGTAAGGGAAGGTGTAAGAGCAGGGTAAGGGCAAGAGTAGGAGTAAGGGTAGGAATAAAGGGGAAGAGCCGGGTAAGGGTAAGAATAAGGCGAGGGATAAGTGCACGATAAGGGTAGAAGTAAGAGCAGAGTAATGCCAAGGGTAGCGGCAAAGGCAGGGTATTACCAGGGCAGGGTAATGACAAAAGTTTGAGTAAGGGCAGGGGTAAGAGCAGGAGTTAGGTGATGCCAAATATGTTAATTCTTATCGGCCCATTTCACTTACTTCTAGTTTATGCCGAGTTACAGAAAAAATAGTTTTTAATGTTCTTCACTCTTATGCTATGGAAGCTAATATTATTCCTCCTGAACAGCATGGTTTTCAAAAACGTAGAGGCGTTCTTACTAACTTACTTGAAACTACTAATGATTTGGCCAACTTTATTGATGATAAAATTCCAGTTGATCTAATACTCCTTGATGTAGCTAAGGCTTTTGACTCCATACCGCATAACTTACTTCTTACCAAACTATCTACATTGCATATTAATGGTCTAGTTCTCCAATGGATTAAATCTTTTCTTAATAATCGTACTTTTAAAGTAAAAATTAATTCTTCGTTTTCAACTTCTAATCCTGCTTTTTCTGGAGTGCCCCAAGGCTCAGTTCTGGGGCCTTTACTGTTTATACTGTACCTTCATGACCTTCCTTCTAAATGTAATGTTACTAATGTGCATATCAAAATGTTTGCTGATGATTGCAAATTATATGCCCCTTCTTCTAATTCTGTTAACCTTCAAACAGTTTTAAATAACGTTAACTGTTATATGTCCGCCAATGGCCTTAATTTAGCTCCTCATAAGTGTTCTGTTCTTCATGTCGGCAATAACAACAATTCAGTACTTTATTTCTTAGACTCCATTCGGCTTAATACTGTTAAATTAGCGCGTGATCTAGGTCTTTTAATTAACAATAAATTCACTTTCACTGACCACATTGACAATGCAGTGTCCAAGGCTCGTAAGCAATGGTTTTTACTATTACGATCTATCAAGTGTTATAATCATAAACTGTTAACTAAAATTTACATTACTTATGTTCGTCCAATAATTGAAACATTTTCACCTATATATAGGCCATATCTTAAGAAAGATATAGATAAAATTGAAGGTTTTCAAAAGTTAGTAACGCGTTCTATCTTCTTTCGATGTTCTTTATCGTATCAAACCTACGTTAACAGAATAAAATTTTTGAACCTTCCTACTATTGTTTCTAGATTCGATAAGCTTGATCTTAAACTCTACAGTAATATTGTCAGTAATAAAACTATTGTATCTGAAGCTCTATTACCTAAATTCTCTCCCTCTCGAACACGGGGACCTCAATCTAAGATCGTTGTTCCGTATTGTAGATTTGCAGTTAAAAGTAATTCTTACTTTGTTCGTATCTGTAAGCGTATTCGGAATCAGTCAGTCATCTGACTTCGTCAGTATTGTATTCTTACTATTTTTAATGTTTTATTTATTTTTTCTTTTTACTGACGCAATAAATAAATAAATAAGAGTAGGAGTAAGACCAAAGTAATGGAAAGGGTAAAGGTAAGGGCAGGGTAAGGTCAGGGTAAGAGCAAGGCTAGGGATAAGGGAACGGTAAGGGTAGAAGTAAGAGCAGAGTAATGGCAAGGGTAGGGGTAAGGGCAGGGGTAATGGCAGGGGTAAGTGCAGGGGTAATGGCAGGAGTAAAATAGGCTATAACCTCCAAAACCTACAGTAATAACTTTATTTACTACAAGATACAACCCGATTAAGTAAATCCAAGAGTTATTTGAATATTGTTTTCAATTTGATATGAAAATTATGCAAGAAATGGCAACCTGTATATGTTGGTAAGACACAATGTAATCATGTGGGGCTAGAAGATTTGAAAAAATGACTTGACAATAGGTATATAAAATAAAAAATGTCATAAAAATAGCTAAAAAATGACAAAAATTAGTTACAATATTAAGGATAACGTCATAAAGTAAGCTGTAAAAAAAATATGAGGACATACAGTAACTTTCATGCTTAGAAAATCACAGAAATACTGTAAAAAAGACAGTAAATCAACTATAATCTACGATAAATAGACAATAACCATTATATCTGACTCACAAAGAATACTTTGACCTTGTTCTAAGTACTATGCCACTATTAGATTGTTCACATAATTCTGCGCCCCCTTACCCCACAAACTAGCTTTGAGAGAGGGCGCAGGATTATTTGAACAACCTATTATATATCATCAAGAATCGTTTAAAAATAGCTAAAACCCTATCGTATTTTATATAAGTTAGCTGATATACAGTAATAACCGACTGTATATCGAGTCGATAGACAGATATTATCATAGTGAGCTTGAGCACAGTAGAAAATAAAAAAATAAAAAATTTGATAAGATTTCAAAATGAAAATTTGAAATTGTGAAAATGAAAAGTGTCAAGCACTAGAGACTTGATGAGGTGACTTGATCTGGCTGGCAGTTGACACAAACTTCGTCATCTGAATCCACGGCACCAAAACGTTCGTCTGTGTTCGAGAGCAAGGCATACCTACAATTATATTGAGTTTAGTATGTATATTAAAGGGCGTACGCCTATCATAGTGTGTAGAGGTAAGGATAGAAATACGAGTAAAGGTAGGTATAAGGTAAGGGTAGGGATAGGGGCTGAGGTAAAGGCCAGACCAGGGGCAGGGGTAGAAGTCAGAGTGGGAGTAGGGATAAAAGTAGAGGTCAGGGTAGAGTAAGAATAGAGCAGGGCAGGGTGAGGTAGAACAGGATAAGGTAGGATAAGATAGTGTAGGGTATGGTATGGTAGGGTAAGGTAGGGTATGGTAGGGCAGAGTAGGGTAGGGTAGGGTAGAATAGGTAAGGTAGGTTAAAGTAAGTTAATTTATGTATGGTAAAGAAGGATAAAGTAGCATAAGGTAGGGGTACGGATATCAATAGGGTTAGAAGTCAAATCTACTGCTAAGACTCTTATCATTCAATACCAACTTACTCCGCAGACTTATCTTCAGTGCCACAACAATTCTTTTTGACTACAGTATAAATACAGTATCCCAATCCACTCAGTATGACCACGATGAGTACGGTGCTGAAGAAGCCTCCAGATTCGTCTTGTGGTAGTTTCTTCCTACAGTCTTCGCATTGATGATGAGTGGATTCTGGAGTATCTTCACCTTGACAACACTCACGACAGTAGCCGATCGTGCCGTTACCGTAGCCTTTGGCACAGGTGGTGCATTCGAGGGGTCCTAGAAGTGATTATAAGCTCATATAGGTTTAGAAATGTCAAAAACTAAGATTTTTTAAAGAATTTTGGCTTATATACTGCTATTAGACTCATATAGCCATTAGAGGTCTACTATAATATAACACTTTTGCCTGCTCATACTCATGAATTGCGTATTTTACAAAACTAAAGATACTTTATAGAATGTTAGCTAACTTACCAGGCCCATGACAAGTATCACACGCCTTATCGCAGAGTTGACACTTGTTGTTCATGCCAAGGTAATATCCAGGTGCGCAGACGTCTTCTCTGATCATGCAGCGAGCTTGAACCGCGTGACTGACTAAAATGTTGTTCTTTATTATATTGGTAATTGATATATCTTGACTTTACTTCACTATTTTTTCCAAAACTTTAAAATTTTGAGGCAATTTTGAGATTAACATCGAGATATCGGTATGATAACCTAACATAATGTAAAGGTTATGTCTTATTTTCTTCTGTTTTCCTCCAACTAATGTAATATGTTACACCTTCTTGATTAAAACAAAAATTTGGTAAAATACGTCGTAAATACGTGTCCTTTATTTAATTGCACCTCCCATAGATAACGCTCAATTCACCCCGCCCTAGTTCCTTGAAATTTACTTCTACAAAGTTATCCCACTCAAGACATATTATAATTAGCAATATAAGAGTAGGAATAAGTGTAGAGAAGTAGAAGTAGGAGTAGGGGTAAAAATAAGGGTGGTTGCCGAATTCCCCTCCTCTAAAAACACCTCTTACTTACTATTATATTATGTTGAACCAAAAGTAGCGGGACATTTCTTTATTGAAAAATAAATGAAAAGTATCCCGCGACTTTTAGTTCAACCTATATTATCGATTTCCAATTTAACCTCCAAATTTAACCCCCCCCATTTGATCGTTCAAAAAAATTTTTTATTGAAACCACACTCAATTCCTAATTCATCCATTTTTTTAATTTTTCTTCACCACCCCCCTCCGTAACCCAAAAAATTTTTTTTTCCAAAATTACCCTTCCCCAAAAAAATTTCAAAATTACACCGCTCAAACTCAAAAATTTATTTTGAAACCCCTCCACCTACCCAGATACGTCGCTAGAAGGAGAAAGAGAGTGATAAATAGGAGTGGACTCCACTCTATAGTCTACCACTACTTCTGCCCCCACTCGTACCCTTATCTTCAACACTATCCATACCCCTGCCCTACCCAACCCTCTCCCCTTACAAAAAAACCTGTCCCTGCTTCTGCCCTTACCTCTTCCTTCACAAAAATGATTCTACCCTCACCCCTTCTCTCAAAAATCTTAAACCAACTTACAATCCGGTACCAGTCCGATAGGACAAACCTTGACACAATGCCTCTGATCCGTCCTGACGGTATGAGTCTCGATCAACAACAATGACCCTTGACAAGAGTCGCATAGTTCGGCCGTTGAGCAGGTCTTGCAATTGGCCGAACACTTTTTGCATTTGTCATTTTCAGCGAAGAACCCGTCGCCACATTTCGATACACACTTGAAGCCGGCTCTGTTCCTCAGGGTTTGAGTGAAGTGTTTGCAGGAAAAGCAGGAGACGGCAGAGTTGGGTTCTGAGCAGCCATCACATTCGGCATGACAATTTCCGACCGACTTGAGGTCACTGAACGAGGGTTGGTGAGGCTCGGATGTGACTGCTGGGTGAGTCTGAAAAAAAAAATTTTTAGTTTCAAAAAATTAGTTTAAATAAGATTTTTAAAAAAATTGAAACTTCAAAAAATCAGCTTAAACCGAGTTTTTTTTAGTTTTTAGAAATAAATTTAAGTAAAAAGAAAAGTAGTTAAAGTCTATATTAATATTGTGCATTACAACACGTTTCTTACAATTTTAATACTTTGAAACTCCATTATAACGAAATCTTCTATACAAAAACTCCTTTATGAAGAAAAGACTTAAAACCTCTGAGTAATTCGTTTTACCTGCATTTTACTGTACTGTAAACTTTAATTACAGTAACTTTATTTATGAGTTTTTCGTTAACAAAAAGTTGGTGACACATGAGTTTTACTGTACTGTAAAAACTACTAAACAAACTCCTCTATAACGAAAACCTTATATTAGGTTGAACCAATGGTAGCGGGACAACTTTTAATTGAAACATGAATGACAAGTGTCCCGCTACTTTTGGTTCAACCTAATATAACGAAAAAATTTTAAACATTCAGCCGAACACTACACAGCCAATTAGAAACTCCTATTTGACAAATTCTTCTATACCGAAATAAATAACAAAAAAATTTAAATTTTCCGGGCAAAATGTTATACAGGAGTTCTACTGTAGCAACTTTACGTTCTAAAAACCCTAAAATTTTAATTTTTGCATAGTCAAATAAGCTTTCATTAAAGAAAAGATGATTTTCAACAAATTTTGAAGCAAAAATGCACTTTTAAGATTACGTAATGTGTCACCAGTTTGGTATTAAATAATGTATAATTATGTGGCTATCAATTTATTTTCACAGAACTTTTTATTGCTGTATAACAAATTTTTAATAATTATATGGTAAAATACGTCGTATAAGCCCCCTTTGCATTTAATTGAAGCACTAAATACAGTAAAACTCCTATATAACAAACTCTTGTACAGTGGAATTCCTGTATAACGTCCAGAAATTTTAAATTTGTTCGTTATACAAGAGTTACAATGCATTAAGAAACTTTACAAACTTATATTCACCGTGTTTTTAAACCTCAAAAAAACTTTTCCCAAAAAAACCATGAAAACCCTACCTAAAAGCCTTTAAAATCAACTGAAACAATATACTCACGATCACCAACCACCGTTCCCAACTCATAAAAAACAAAGCCGACAGTCAGATTGTAAAAGTGTATTAAACTGAAGAGTTGTACAACATAAATATAATAGGAGATTCGAGTCAGAAAGGGCGGACCAGATCCAGGAATTTGTTCCAGAAGCCGCGTGACGTTGTGGTTGTGATATGATGCACGTTCTACAATGAAAAGCCAACGACTTAGCGCCAGTGGAAAGGGTAATATGGGGTTAGTTCTACTATGAATGCTAGATGTTAGGGCTAGTAAGACTAGGCATGGTGTTGGAATAGTGAGATTTGGCATGGGATACGACTAGTAAGACTAGGAATGGGGTAAGGTTAGTAAGAATAGGCATAGGTTATGACATAGGTTAGAGCTGGTATGACTAGGAATGAATTAGGGTAATTAAGGCTAGGTATGGCTTAGGACTAGTAAGACTAGTCGTGGATCAGGGCTAGCGAAGCCAGGCATCGGTTAGAGCTGGAAAATTTAGACATGGGTCAAGGCTAGTAAGGCTAAGCATGAATCGCTAGCAAGACTGGGTATGGTTTAGTCCTTGTAAACATGAGAAACCAACAGAACCCACTTTCCGAGCCCAGACAGCACCTTTATCCTTTTCAGAATATTCCCAATTAAAACATGTACAATTTGAAGGTCTAATCTAAAAAAAATTCTACTAATTTTCAAATAAAATTTTTGACCACCTCATCCTTAAATTTTTTTTGTGAAAAATTCCGTAGCTCAAACTAAAAAAATCAACAAAACTTCTTTAAAAATTGAGCAAAATATAAATTCTAAAATTCTTTTCATTATAAATGCTGTCTATATCTAATTACTGCCACTTTACCTATCAATTTCTCATTTCTACAAAGACAAAAAAAGCAAAAAAAATTATTAAAATAAGCAAAAACCTCATTGAAACAGCTCAATATCAAACAGTACCAAACGACGTACAAAGTGTTATCGTTTCACAAAAAAAATGTACAGAAACATGACATTTACAGTAACCTAACCATATTAACGTCGTACAAAAACAATTACAGAAAGATTTTAAAAACTTTTCCTTCAAAAACCTTGTATAAGACCATACAAACTTACTATACCATCGCGTATAATATAAACCTACTATAACATCACGATATGAACCCAAAACCAAAAAACAACTTTTAATGGCAATTTTAAAGATTTTCTATTCATGTTTATTACTATTATGTCTACCCAGATTAGAATTACAAATATATTATACTACAGCTATAAAATTATAAGGTCAAAATTAATCGAGAAATCACTATGAAATAACAAATTATACAGGCAGATATTATAATATACTATAGAAAATATTATACTACAGTAAGAAAAAGTTTTTAAAAATTAGAAAGGTAAAAAAAAGCTACTACCAGACGTTACAACGGAAAAAATGACAAGAATAGTAAGGTACAACAATATACAAGCATGGTAAGCGAAAGACAAAGCAGGTCCAAATAACTGTGTAGCCTTAGGTCTGAAAATATAAAACACGTTGAGCAAGATCACAATGTAGGCACAGCAACGATACAAACGTGCTCGTATCACGTTTCAGGCACTTGACAGCAGCACGCTCATCAAAACGGCAATGCTATTAGGTTGTTCAAGTAATTCTGTGCCCTTTAACTTCAAAAAATTGCTTTGAAAAAAGCACGGAATTATTTGAACGACCTAGTAATATAGGAAAAAGTTAAGAATTACCGGAGAAAGTGAAGAAAGTATAGGAAAATGTCACAAAATGATAGGAAAAAGTAGTTATAATGTATAGGAAAAAGCTTGAAATCTATAGGAAACCTCTATACAACACAGTAAAAACCCTGCAAAACATAGAAAAAAACCTATATTACCTTGAAAAACATTAAAAACCACCCTATATCTCCTTAAAAGTCATTAAGAACCTAAAAAAACCTTCATTAGGTTGTTCAATTAATTCTGAGCCACCCTCAAAACACATTTCTAAAATTAAATAGCTCAGAATTATTTGAACAACCAAAAATCTTTTAAAAAAGCCATCTTAGTATCTAAACCTACATTCTATGTCATCTTCATTACAAATTTTAAATTTTACGTTATTTTTAAACCCATTTTAAAAAAAATATTTCATTTTAGTACCCATTTCATTATAAATTTCAAAAAATGCCTACCTACAACTTATGCTTGTAATTGCTATTGGAATGTCATAAAGGAACCGGATATGAATCAACAAGAATATACCCAAAACAGTGGAAATGATATGAAAAAATATTAGAAAGTAATTGATATGTGACGAAGTGTCAGGAAATAACCAATAAAAGTGACGAAATGTCAAGAAATAATCAATAAAAAGTTAGAAAAGTTAGAGAAAATCACATCAAATTAGATGGTCATGTGTTATATGAAGATTAATTGGCATCGTATGTTAGAATATTAAAGTTGTTGTCGTATTAATGTAGATTATGAACTTGTAGAGCATTTTGGTATTGTTTTCCAGCATAAAAATCTGTAGAAATTTCAAAAAATTTGAAAAAGTTGCGAAGAAGCTGATATTGATGTAAGTCATGAATAACATGATAAATCCTCTCTTCCTCCAGATCTTGCCCTCAAATTCAACAAAATCATCACCCACGCCTCTCGCTACAATCTACATCAACCCTAAAATATTCCTCAACGTTCCGCTACAACGCCGAATGTGCCATGTCCTGCATCTCGGTGGCGGTCTGAGTCGGCTGAACCTCGGTTCGACTAGTTGTTGTCGCTTTTTTGGGTTTTCGTCGACAAATCTGATAGAGGGAAAAGAAGCCAATGATCACGACCAAACTCACAGTCACAATTTGGACAAAGAACAGAAGCCACGAGGTGGTGAAGATCTGAACGTTAACCATGTTATTCAGAGCATACTGGTGTCGTTGCCGAGGTGTGCGGGGTGTTTTCGTGTTTTTGGCGAGTTTTTTCGTTGTTTTAGTTATTTTAATATCTTTTACAGCTATTTAGTCCAAAATATTGTTATTTCTACGTGTTTTAGCTAAGTTATGGGGCTTCATATTAACCATGATCCACTTTTTTTTCAAGATTTTCTTTGGCTTTTCGGCCAAAACAATTTCCCATCGTCTTTCCTCAGTAAGCTAACACTATTTTATCCCGCCTATCTACTTTTACCCTCCCTACCCAATTTTTACCCTTTCCTGTCCAAGTTTTACCCCAGTCCACAATAACATCAATGTTCACGTTGACAGTCCACAGAATACAACAGACAACAAAAATAGGTCAAAGATGGTACAAATCGTACTGAAAGGGGTGCTCGGAGCTTCCGTTTCGTATTCCGTGTTCTGTACAAAGTGGAAAAAAATGGTTGGAAAGAAAGTTATTGCGGTGCCCCCAAAAAACTCGCCTTTTATTATATACAGAAGCCGGAGAAACACGAAGTTCCGCACACCCTGTACAACGACATTGTTATCGTTAAAATGATAAACATTAAAATCAAAAAATTAAAAATTAGGTATTAAAAGTGCGTGGAAATTGTTAAAAATAATGAAAAATTAAAGGAAATTTCGTTTTAGCTATATTATAGTAGGTCAAAACATTTAAAAGTTTTTCAAATTTATATTATGTTATCCATGTTTTAGTCATTTCGTTAAATTTAAATTCTGTACTGAAGCATATCTTCTTAAAATTTCAAAAAAAGAATGTTTGAACTTTCAAAAAATTTAATTTTTTTTTCAAAAAATTTCAAAAAAATCCTAATTTAAGCCAAAAACCTCCAAAGTTCAGCTCAAAAACTAGTGAAACAAGCCCCAATTAGTACCAAAAATACTTCAAACCACAACAAATGCAAAATCAAGACCAAAAATCCACAAAAACTAACCAAAGACCCGGAGAAGCAAGTGTTAATCTACCGTAAAGTCGACTTACTTGAGATGTGATTGACATTGACTGTCCTTGAGATGAGGGTTTAAAGCGGGACGCCACCGGATTCTCGCTGTGCCTGGGATCGTTGGGCTGAGCTGGGTACTCGGTACCGTACAACAGTAGCGTCCAGTCACTGATCATACCTAAAATGGCATTTTTAAAGATTTTCCTCAACTTTTTTGGGCTAGAAATTTGATTTTCGACGATTTTTTCAAATTTCATGCCTAAAATAAAATTATTGAAAAATTTTCAGAATAAAAAAAGACATTTTTCTTGCTTTCTGGCTATAAAATACTATCTCTTCATCTACTTTATCATTCACTTTTTAAAATTTTCTATTTTAAAGCAATTGGTCGATGTTAATTTACTTACCAGAAACAGCTGGATTGTTAGTTACACTTTCCACGATCAGTGTCCACGTTCCTCGTGGATCTTCTCCCCAAGTTTGGACACTTAGGAAAGGCCATTTGTGAAAGCCATTTTGGTTTACATCCTGTAAAACAAACAATATTAAACACTACCTTTTTTGCCCAATATTCACAATAAATTTTGTTGTTTTTAATGTTTTCAAGCTCATTTTCGGTATTTAAAGCCATAAAAATACTTTTATAATACGCTATATTCAATATCTCGTCAATTTTGCTACCAAAACACCTTTAAAAATCCTTCAAACACCAAGAACTTGATGTTATCCATGACCAAAATGCCTAAAAATCCAACAAAACGAACGAAACTTGCCTGAGGTCGTGGAGGTAACAGAACCGACTCAGTGCCACTTGGAGAATATAGAGTCAACTTCAAGTCTCCTCTTTTGCCATATCGGATAGTTGAGACGACTTGAACGTGCTCAAGATACAAAACCGGCGTTCCTTCGCGACATCCGTTCACATCCAATGTGAAGTTGAGCTTGAAACGGCCGACAATCGGTCTTGGGCTAAAATTTTGAAGTGATTAATAACGCAGTGAACGTATTTTACAATAATTTTAAGTTACCCAGACGCGTCTGCAGACGATTATAACAAACAGTTGTTCGATGACACATTTTCTAGACGTCCAGAAAATGCGTCATCCAAATGCCGTTTTAAACAATTTTTTAAAGCTCCTGTTTCAACTTACTTTGGTCTTTCCAGCCTATATTCATATGTGCACATGTGTTGTTCGGGTACCTGTTTCCAGACCTTGGCCAGCTTTACCAACTTGCCCGCATCCATAATTCCGTAGCCGAACTTGTTGCTGATATGTCTTCCAACCCCGTTCACGGTCCAACCCGCATTTCCGAGGAGTGGGGCGGGGTTTGCCGTCCTGAGTACGATATGTTGCATATCTCTCCATGTCAGAGCTGGATTGGCCTCGATGGCCAAAGCAATGATGCCGGCGGCCAGAGGGGCTGACGCGGATGTTCCTGTGTGCATTTTGGTACAACCACTAGGCACGTCAACTGTCACGATGGCTGGTTGATTGATGTTGGCTGATGAGTATGTTGTAGCTATCGTTGATGGACATTCCTCAAGATACCAAGGCCGTTTGTTGTCGAAAGTGGCCGAACTGATGCTTAATGTGTAGATGGATGTTGTGTAGCCATCAGCTGAGCAGGAATCTTGCCTTGAGCCTCCATTTCCGCTGGCCCAGACAAAGATATTACCCTTGCCGTTTCGGCCGCGCTTGATTCCTCTGTAAAAGGCTTCTTGGGCCAAAGCTCCTGGGCCATCAAAGGTTTTGCCGTCGTCTTCTGGTCCCCATGATGCGGAGTAGATATCAATGTGATCTTGTCTTAAATTTAGTGAAGCAGCTTCAACTGAATCCGATACTGGACCGTCCAACATCCTCACTCCTCCGATATTACTCTTGAAGGCAACTCCCACGCCGCAAACGTTATTGCCCGCAACCGCGGCAACTTCTCCAGCACATCGTGTACCGTGCTTGTTGTCGCCGTTATTCTGTGGAGTTGGGTCGTCATCATGGTCGTTGATATCCGTACTCGCTAAAGGGTCGTAGTTCTGGGCCAGATCAGCGTGATCACGTTGAATTCCATCGTCCAGAATGGAGATGGAAACGTTGCGACCGGCAAGACCCATCATCCAGGCTTCGCGTACGTTCATGTCGTAGCCTCCGACGGCTCGGCCGACCTGAAAAAATCGAATTGTCAAGGAAAATATTGAAAGTTTGTGAATTTTCTTCAATTTTTGGCCGAAAATCAGGTTTTACCCAAGTTTTTCAATGTTAACATCATTACTGATCTATTTTTATAAATTATAATCATGCTAAATGCCTAATTATAATATTATTATGTCGTCCACTCAAGTTTTCACAAGAAAAACATCGGTTTTCCATCAAATATTCTTTAAAATCCTTTGTAACAACCTAACATAATATAAAAGCTTGTACAAACAAACACTACAATTTAAAAGCAGCTTGTTTAAACAAATTTTACTCCTAATATATTGAACTTAATGTTAGCCTGTCCAAACACCTCAGCTGAACCTTGAGTTTGCCTGTACAAACATCAAAAGTCGAGTATGTTGTAGTAGATGTGCATATCATTGAAAAATCGCAAAAATATAATAAAAAGCAACCTTTGATTGATTTTTTAATTTCTTCTAGTAAACTTTGACATCTTTCACCACTTTTCCCCAATCTACTACAATATCCTGCCAAATTATACCTAAAAACCTCAAAGCACAGCCAAAACCTACCAAATACCATTGATCTTGATACAGGGGATCGGAGAAGGGTAGTCGTGGAATGGGTAGAGCTTGTCTCTCCTCTCGTGGCCCGTATACCATGTGATCGCCAACGTAATCACGTTTTACCCGTTTCTTTGGCACGTCGGCTGCCACCCACTCGACCTGGTCTTGTTGGCCGATCAGATCGATTGTTTCGCGCTTCACCCGTTGGCCTTGTTCATGATACATGAAATAGTGGGAGTCGAGGAAGGGTTCACCCTGAAAGTAATTTTTTTAATTTAAATTTTGAAGTTTTAGCCTTGGCTACTATAATATAAAGCTAGATTGCTATTGGGTGGATACCCCTCCAAAATTTTTTTATCAACGAAATACTCCCCATAGCCTTTCCTCTTCCAGAAAACATGCCTTACCCAAATTCCACCCCTAATTCTTCATCTAAAGCTATTTTTTCAAGCTTAACCTACTACAATATGTCATCTACTACAATATACCACCCAACCCAATATCTCCACCCACCTTGATGACCATGCCGTGTGATCGTGCGATCCGCCTGGCTAGCTGATCGTCCCGTTTTGAGAGTTTGAGGGTGGCACGGTTGGTCAACTCCTCATCTGTGGCCAACACAACATCAACAACAACAATGAACAACAACAACAGGAGAGGCCATGTCGATGGCCATGGTCGTATCCGAAAACTCATATCACCGTATTCTCGACACCGCTTCAGACTAACACCATCACTCCCTAGAAAGTTTTAAAAAAAGATTAAATTTGCGTAAAATTTGAAAATGTTACAGTAACCGCAATATTACTGTAATTTTAGGTATGAACGCGTATGTTTAGGTATCAAAGTTGTAAGCGTAAGTTTTGTTCTATATATAATACAACAGTAAACCCGTTGATATGTCAATATACCACAGAAAACACTTTGATATGTCAAGATACCACAGTAAAAACCCCTCAAAAAACCGAAAAAACAGTTTTTTTAACAGAGTAAATAACAGACGATGTAGAGTAATCTAAACTATTCCAGAGACAGCCACGTATAATAATATATAAGCCACTCGAACAGACAATATTATTATTGTTATTCATCGTGATACACCAAATAATATTATATTTGTGCATCTACCAGCTTACTCATAATGTTTTAGAGTTAATTCAGGACAAAAATTACTACAAAAATTCAACAGCCGTATTCTACAACAATATAGATTGATAACAGAAGCCTAGGTCAGGCTTAATAGAAGTAAGAGTAAGGGTAAAGAGATAAGGATAAAAGTACAAGTAAGGTAAAAGTATGAATAGAGGTAGGAAAGGTAAGACTATGGTAAATCAAAGAAAGTAGAGGTAGGAGTAAAGATAGGGGTAAGTGCAGAGGTAAAAGTAGAAATAAAAGTAGGAATAGAAGAACAAAGTAAACCAAAAAATCACTGAAAAATTAAAAAATATGACTTAAATTATAATCTGCCACTTTATATGCATATCTTAAGTAATTTTTTAAAAATTCATAATATTGCAAGCCTATTATAACAAATCTATATAAAAAGACCAATTATACAGTAGAAACTGTATAATTGAAAGATAAGGAAGCTTGATTTCATGACTATATTATCTTCACAATAAGCCAGGTTTTAAAAGATAACAGATTTTTTTCAAATTTTGAATCAAAAGGTAAAGTTAAGCCAAATCTAAAGAGAAAATAAGGGTATGATAGGATTAGCCTACACTATAGATCTTTGAGTAGACCTACGGACCAGTAGAGTGCATAGGTATAGGTCAGAAGAGTAGATAGGTACATAACTATTGTAAAATACGGTAATGATCTAGTCGTTCTTTCTTTCGAAAAACGTGCTAGACAATTTTAGTGTAAAAGGAAACGCAAAAAAATTAAAATTTCAAATTTTTTCAAAATATTGTTGCTAAGATATGTATCCGATAACAAAAAGCATGACTAAATGTTTTAAAAATCCATTACATATGTACTTATAAACATAACAATAAATTTTAAACTTAAATATCACTTTGTAAATAGAGGTAACATAGTAGTAACTCTTGATATTTCATTATAAACAGAAGTACCAATGTAGTAAATATAGTTACAACATTGTAAATCGAAGAGACCCAGCTCAAACAGACATCACCAGTTGTATAACATAAAGCTTTGTATTAGTCATCATATTACCATAAAAGTTATAACTCAATTTTACCGCTATGAATCATAAATGACGTAGTAAACGCATTGTAATGTTATTGAGAGTAAAAAACTTCACTATTACCGTACAAAAATTACTACAATAATTATTAGGTTGTTCATGTAATTCTGCGTACAAATTTTTGAAATACAGGCACAGAAGTATTTGAACAACATAACCTTAATTTTTTATCTTTATACGCTTACAAGAAGGGAGATCAAGCATGTTTAGACCTACTTTATCACTAAAAATGTTAATATAAAGCCATCTTATTAACAACCGTTCCTACCTACTACAATTTTATTCAATTTTTCGATTGAAGAATGAATCAAAATGAATTGAAAATTGAAATATAGCCTTATTACAGTTTTATTTGAACAACTGGAAGCAAACAGACCGAGAAAGATCAAAATGTGGGGTTTACACACATGATACATATATCGAAGAATACAAAACAATAAACGTTCGGATTTTAATTGAAATTTAAAATTTTTGAAGTATTCACAATGAAAATTTCATCAAATATATTTGTAAAAGTAGAAAGTGCGCCTCGTATTTTACAAATAGTGAATAATAGTAAATAAAAAACACTATCCTACCCCAACATACCTTATTATATTCTTGCTTATACTATTCTAATGTACTTCTACCCTTCAAAGCTATTTTATACCACTAAAACTTACTTTACCCACGCCCTATTCTATTTTACCCAACGCTACCCTACAACACCTTACCTTACGTTAACTTACTTTACTTTACCTTACCCTACGTCACTCTACTCTACTCCACTTTACCTTACCCTAAGCCCATCATCCTTACTTCTACCAAAATCGCCCCTTGTTCAACCCTAATCACCACACCCTCGCCAAAATTGCAAAAAGTTCCAAAATGGTGATTAAGAAGTTATGACACCGTATGCCCTACTACCGCCCCCTTCCCAACTATCCCACCAAATTTTCACCCACAATTACAACGTGAACACGTAGACACAGCGTGAAGAGACCGAGATCAAACAAAACCACAAAAAATCATATCAAAGTCCCGAAAAAGGCGAGAGTTCGCATCATCCCCCCAGCTGAAAAACCATACTCTCCCACACAAACAAAGTAGACCAAAGTGTTGTGGGTTTCGGGGTTTGATGTATTTTGTCAAGGAAAGGGTAAGATAAGCAAAGATAACAGAAAAAAACACAGCTTATAATACTAAGGTGTTCAAATAATTCTGTGCCCCATATCAAAGCAAACTTTTCAGTGAGAAGCACAAAATTATATGAACAACCTAACAAGTAAATTTAAAAAAAGTTTTTAATCCATAGTAAATCAAAAATCAAATCAAAAGTTATTAATCTATTTGCGCGTGATTTCGAACTGCCTACTCATACATGCAAATACCATCATACTACAAAAAAACTAACAAAGTGTAAACACTTGTCGTTTTTTTATGTCTAGTCCTAATTAAGTAATATACTTTACCATACCTCAGCAGTTTTGTTACTTTATTTTACAGTACCGTGATTTACCCTATATTATCTTACAGTAACCTTCTACAATATCCTACAAAACTATCTCACCAAACTTTAGGCAAAGCTACTCCACCAACCTAGTGTTGGGTAGAGTAGAGTAGTGTGCAGTAGAATAGAGTAGGCTAGGCCAAGCTAGGGTGAGTGTCATAGGCAGGGCGTCGCTACGGATTTTTTCTGGGAGGGGGGGGAGGGGAAAGGTGAAAACCCAAAATTTTTTTTTGGTAAACAGGTAGCTAAAATCCCCTAACAAAAACCCTAAATCTCATCCTATAAATAGTCATTTTAAAATCCGCGTCTACAAATTGACATTACAAGCCTTTGTCCACAAACTTCGAAACAAAATATCCGTTGTCAGAGAAAGAAGATGAAAGAAAACCCTCGCAACGACACCGATGAGAAAATATTTTACCCTTCCAAATCACAACCACTTCCCCCCGCTTTTCCACTCTCACTTTTTTTTCAGCCGCCTTCACCAAAAAGAGGAAGATTCGACAAGAAAAAAAACGCACAACATACGACAACAATAGATGAAGTAATCAAAACGAAAAATTTCATACGTACGAAGCTTCGTAACAATATGTAAAGGGTTTTAGACAAACGACTTCCAGGCGATCGAAAACAATATCTTCGAGGAATAAAGAGTAGCTACTAGTAGTGTAATAGATTGTTTTAAGGAAGAACGAGTAGTGTAAGGAAATGTTTTTAGGAAAGAGTAACAGTGTAATAAATTGTTGATGACAAACTTTAAAAGGATAGGCGTTTTCTATTGTAATACACGGTTAAAGCTAGAAGAACGATTATGATAAAGCTAGAGGAAAACCTGATAAATGTAAAAGAAAGCCTATTATGACAAAGAAAGGCCTGATGATTGTATAGGAAAGATTAATAATTACAAAGTAAGGCCTGACGATTACAAAAACCGTTGTAAATTTTTTTAAAAAAAAATTTACAGTAGAGAAAAGAGCTACACATCGTACAATTTTAAAACCAACATATTTTGTGATTCCAAAAAAGCAAACCAGAATCAATTGCCCAATACCATGCCTTAACATATTAGATTGTTCAAATGATTCTGCGCCCCCGCTCAAACAAATTTTCAAAATAAAAAGTACAGGAAAATTGATTTAGGTTTAATAGGCCTTATGAATACCTATTCCTTTTTTACAGAACTACACGCTACGAAAACCTATGACCCCATATTTATGAAAACCTATAAAACCCACACCTATGAAAACCTATATCAATTTCACAGCAATAAACCCATCCTTTAATCTTTGTTTGATCCCAAAGATCATCGAGAATGAGCGCGGATCGACACTTCGAATAAAACTTTACACCGTCATCGTTTTCGCAAAAATTGCGTTCGAATTCTCGGAAAACAAAACGTCATAAAAAACAACGAATTTCTTCCGAATCTTCACTGTAATCGACAACTATAACATTCTTCTTTGGTTCGTAATAACACTTTTTCAGTTTGAGGTAAAACAGTACTTCATTAGAGAGTTTTTGCAACATGAAACCAATGGCGTATTTTACAAAGCAAGAAACTGTTTTCAAATTGTTTTTCGAATACGACCAATCATTGAATCCATGTTCAGCACCAGCAACGGCCATAAAACCTACTACAGCCAAACCTCTAGTATGACACTCAAAGAACTGGATCAAAATAAATTTTTTTTAAAATAAAAAATTGAAAAAAGTAATAAAATTTAAACAAAAAACATCAAAATATCTACACCCAACCATAAATCATTACTTCCTCCATTTTCAAATGATTTTGTCCTTTCTCAAAGCAAATTTTTAAAGTTAGAAGGCCCAGGATTATTTAAAAAACCTAACAGTAATTAATAAAGTTGATCTGATCAAAGAAAATACGGTCTTTTCGGTATACAATTTAAGTATCTTGATAAATCATCTTCAGCAAAACAAGATAAACGTTATTCTTTTACAACATCAACAATTACTTTTTATTTTTTTCTGGATTTTCTTGATATAGTAGTCTTCTGAAAACCTTTTGGGAGGCTTTTCAAAATTTTAAATAAATTTCAAGCCAAACTTTCAAATTGTGAAAAACTTTTTTTAACTTCAACTATCTTTTTCAAACTAACAGTCAAAACACCCTCAAACCTAGTTAAAATCGACAACTTTTTTCAAAAAAAAAAATCATGTCGGAAACCGACAGATTTGCCCCCCGATTGACCCCGACGACAAAGATTGATAGGCTATTGTACGGACTAGAACAATAAGCGACGTTCCCCATGCGGATTGGAGATGTCTGCCAGAGCCAGTTCTTCTTCGTCGTCGATCGCGCAGACACGGAACGACTTCTTTTTCTTTTTGATCGCGCTTCTCTGCGCCTCTGGCGTCTCTTATGTCTATCATAAGCCTGGTTTGATATCTCGAGAAGAAACTCCAGGTTGCGCATGGTATCTGGGATGAGGCTTCCGCCCGAAAAGTCGGTCAAAACCAGAAACTGCATTCTTTTTTTTTATTTGCAGTTATTAACAAGAGCAGATCTTTTACACTTATCTTGCGACGTTTCGAACCGTTTCACAGGTTTTGTTGACGAGTTTGTCACTGACTTACTAGGTTTTCAGATTTTCATGATTTTGGAGAGTTAAAAGTGCAAATTTCTTTTATAATTCTAAGTTATTCGAAGTTTAGAAGCCTGTTTAGTCCGTTAAAGCTATTTAAAGACAATTTTTTGCAAATGTAGGGGATTTAAAAACCATTTTGTGCCATTTTGCAAGATTGGTAGACCATTTTTTGCAAATTCAAGAGATTTAAAGGCATTTTCTAATCATCTAAACAAACTTATAGTCTGTTTTAGCCTTCAAAGTAACTTCTTAGCCATTTAAAAACTAAAAAGCATTTCAAAGCTTGAAAAAGTTTGAAACGAAAAGACGCCTCAGGGCATTCTAAATTTTAAAAAATTCAAAAAAACCTCCCAAAAAGTCTTCAAAACACTACTATATCAAGGAAATCCAGAAAAAGTAATTATGATTATCGTAAGAGAATAATGTATATCTTGTTTTGCTAAAGATAATTTATCAAGATACTCAACTTGTCTACCGGAAAGACATTACTTTCTTCAATCAGATCAATTTATTAATTACTATTAGGTTGTTCAAACAATTCTGTGCCCTTAACCGCTAACAGTTGCTTTGGGAAAGACACAGAATTATTTGAAGAACAAAATAGAATAATGATGGGTTATTTAAGCCAAACAACATTTAACATTGATAACAAGAAAAAAACAACGATCAACCAGACTAAACAGTAGCCAAATCACCCCTAGTTAAGCCTAGCATACCTTACTATATCTAGCGAATGCAAAACATGATTTAACAGATTAAAACTCAACTCAATAGACAAGTAAACCTCTGTAAACTTGTAACAAATAAACGCAGACAACATTACCCACAAAACCTGTTGAGTCATTGTAACGAGGACTATTACAATACAGACTGAACAGTAAAAATGCATTCACAGAGTAAAAACCTACTTTGAAACGAAGTATTTTATAAATGTATATCTACAGAGTAAAAATATAAATCTACAGAGTAAAAAAAATCAAGATTCACATCATAAAAAACCAAAAAATACCAAGTAAGTTTACAGTTCAATTCATTTTTAGACATAGAGCCACATTTCCCATCAAAACGCAACTCCCCCACCATCTCCCCCTTCCAAAAAAGCTAATTCCTGTATTCGAAAAACTTTACAAATCCATATTTTACATTACATTGTTCAAATAATTATGTGCCCTATATCCCCAAAAATTTGCTTTGACAGGAAGCACAGAATTATTTGAACCTAACAATTATCTAAATTTATAGTTTTTCATATTGTTATACAAATTTACAAAGTTTTTCATATCGTTACAGTTCCGAGATCAAAAACACAAAAATGTATATTATAGTAGACGGTGCTTGAAGATAGTAAAGTAGCGCCCTTTGTAATACTTACGCTAATACGACGAGCAAACAATGGTCAATGTTTGTAAATAAGCATTAAAACAGGTGAATATTTAGGAAATAAGGGGTGTTTTAACCTTTGGTAGTTATTTTAGTAGGTATAGTAAGGTAATATGGTTAGTTTTAGTAGATAAGATAAGATGATGTTGTCATTTCTTGCGATATATTACTTTTATAGCCAAGATTGTTTAAATGATATCTGTCTTTAGAGCCAACATTTTAATATAATACCACAAAACAGTGATTTAAAAGTTAAAAAAACGGTTAAAACTAGCTGTAGGCAACACAAACATGCATTTCCTGACATATCTTTGTTGCCTATACCAAAAGATGAACGTATACCAAGTTATAAGCTGTATTGTAAAACATAATATACTCCGGTAACTTCAGAAAGCATCAAAAAGGCTAACAAAACTACAAAAGCAACTCTTCCCCCTCCCCCTCCGGTCGTAAAACCGGCGCTCTGGAATAGCAAACCCATTACTAATTATCGTCAACTATGTCTGAGTCCTTTACAGAATCATGATGCTTTGTCAATTGTTTTAGCATACAAAAAGAAGAGGAGTTTCTTTGGTTTTATGAGCTCAAAACATAAAACTTTAAGAAAAACCATGAATAACATCATTTTAACAAGTTCTCAAGCCAAGAACTTGCCATTTTTAATTAAAACTCAAAAGAAAAAACGTACAAAATTATAATCATGTTAAAGGCAAGTAATAGTTGTAACTAGAAATGTCATTAAAATCAGAAAAAAGCAGTCAAAACCAAACAAAACTGGTCCAATTACCTAGAACCAGTCGGACAAACAGGCGTAAACAAATAAATAATCAAAACGTGATGGACTGAATCATACTATCATATGGCAAAAAACATTAGTCCGGGCTTTATTAGACCCCTCGGGATCAACCAAAGTTCAAGTGTAATCTGTCTATCAAAAAAGTTCGAAAAACTTTCAAAATTCGGCAAAAATAGCTTTAAATAAAAAAAATAAAATTTTTAAATTAAATTAATTAAAATAAATAAAATTTTGCAAATTTTGCCACAATAAATCAAACCCGAACAAATACACCACCCTCGCCGCCATTCCCACATTAATATTCCGGATGTACGCAGCAAAGTAAACAATATGATGCCACGTTGAACCCAATCCGCCCCTCCAAAACTTTTGTTAATATTATATTACCCTATCTACGGGTTAATCCAAAAAAAACTTCTTTGAATATAATACCCACTGGCTTTGTCCTTCGTCAGCGCGATATCGAATATCGCAAAAAAACTTTTAAAAATTTATTATTTTGCAAAAAGCCACGGATTTTTGGCGCACGCTTGTTTTCGTTTCGGAATACAAAGCCGTACGGTAAAATAAATATTATTTTTTTGGAGAACGCGAAAAGATGGATTTGTTAATATTATACATGATACACGTTGTTATTTACAAAAAAATATTTTTTGTTTGCTTTATAATTTACGTTGCGTTTATTTTTTTACCTAGTATAACATTTTTGGTTATTTTTGAGGTATATACGGTTGTTTTTGTTTCAGAATGTCAAAGTTCTTCAAACTCGACGTTTCGTCGTCGGAGTCTTCCGATTCTGATGAGAGTGATCGTGAGATCACCGTACCGACTACTCATAAAAATATGTAAGTTTTTTGGATATTGCTTCTTGATTTTTAGGTAATATTTGAAAAGAAGTGTTAGATTCGGTTGTTTTACTGAAAATGATGTGGAACTTGGCCTTCTTTTAGAACCCTCATAAACTGTTATCTTTAATAGTAACTAACGTTTATGTTTTGGATTTTTTACGGCTTCAGAATATTAATAACGAGCTTTTCTTTCAGAATCCGTGACTTCAGCTATCCTAGTGATAGTGACGATGAAGGACCAAAGCGCGTGGTTCGAGCTCAGAAAGACAAGTTCTACAGTGCCCTAAAGGATCAAATTCGTCTTGGCAGAAATGCTAGAAATATTAAAGATTTCTCCAAGCTGCTTAATGGTAAGTTATAAGTTTTTTTTGCATATTTAGGCAAAATTAGTTATCTAAAGTTAAATTATGTCTACTTTTAAATTTTTTGTTTGGAGAAAGAAGTCAAGCATTTGAATCAAAATTAATAATTTAAGTAATATTAGGGGAAAAGGCTTGTTGGAGTTGTTTCTGTATTATAAATTTCTGTTTTAGGCTTCGAAAACCTTGCTCGATCGTACGACAAGGCCAAGCTTATTATGGCCAGAGAGAACTTGACTATTCCGCGGTTCTACATTAGATATTTGGTTGAATTGGAGGATTTTTTGAACGAACAATGGGAAGATAAAGAAGCTAGAAAAGTAAGTAACAGTTTCTTAAAATTATACTGTTTTAGGTATTTAAAAAGTAATAAAAGATGTTTTAGAACATGTCAAAACTTAATGCCAAAAGTTTTTCGGCTCTAAGACAGAAGATCCGTAAGTACAACAAAGATTTTGAGACCGACATCAGTGCTTATCGTGAAGGACCAGATCCAATCGGATACTCGTCTGGGGCGGCTTCGGAAGAAGATGAGCTGATTGACGATGAGAAGCCAGTGGCCGTGGCTGAGAAGGCGGCTAAGAAGCCAAAGGATTTGGCCGATTCTGATGAAGACTGGGCATCCGACAGTGATTCGGATTCTTCAGATTCTGATATTGATTTGGAAGGAAAGCAGATGGAGGAGTTGAGGAAATACTTTTTGAAGTAAGTGGTTTCGATGTTTTTGGTTTGATTTTTAGGTAATTAATATGATTTTTTAAAGGATTATGGTCAAAACTGGAAAAAAGAACATTATTATCTTATAATAATAGCCTCAAAACCTTGAAAACAGTTGAATATCACCTATTTTTACTCTTTTCAAGCTGTCAATGTAATTTTTTTAATCCAGGAAGGAAAAGACAACTACAAAGAAGGAGAAGTCAGACAGAGCTCAGAGGGAAAAGAGAGAAAAGGTAAAGAAGGAATTGACTGACGATGAAGATGATGAAGGATGGAGCAAAGTCACTCATAAGGACAATGCTTCGAAGCCACTGTTCGATACCAAGGCTGAGATCACCACTGAAGTAAGTTTTTGATTAAACTTGCTAATAAATGTTTTAATGAGACTTTTTTGTCTTAAAAATTAAAATATTGTTGACTTTGTTACCTAAACAAATTAACGTATTTTAGTTGGTCATTAGTAAACTGGCTGAAATCATCGCTCAACGTGGTCGCAAGAACACTAACAGAAAGGTATTCGTCCGTCATCTACAGGAATTGTACACCATTGCCGATGAACACAATTTGGGAGCTGGAGTTTTGGCCAAGATCCTGGTATCAGTGGTGTCATCGTTGTTCGAAATGAACTCGAAGATCACCGAAGCCATGGATTTCAGTGCTTGGACCAAGACTTTGGAGACCATTGATGGGCTTCTGAACTTGTTGATTGAGAATGAGAATGTGAACATTTCGATCAAGACTACTGAAGAGGAAGAAAACTTGTCGGTAAGGGTTGTTTTTATATTATACTTGAGTGTATGGGTATTAGTAGCTTGTTTTGTTTGTTTAGAAGAAGGTAGTACTTTGAGTTTGGAATGGCTTAAATTAGATTTTTTTGAAACTTTTTGATGTTTTACATAATAACTTGTGATTTTAGGACTCTAGCAAGCCTTACCGCTTCCACGGGTCAGTGATCATGCAAGTAAAGCGTTTGGACGACGAATTGACTAGAATTTTCCAACAGTCTGACTGTCATTCGACCGAATATATTGAGAAGTAAGTTATGATTTTGAACTTTTAAAGTTTTTTTGTGCTTAATAACTGAATTTTGAATGAAACGTTAATTTTTTAAAATTTTTATGTTAAAAATTAATTTCATGAGGACCTCCTACTTTTATGATTGGAAGTCATAGTTCAATATAATGTAGTAATATTGACATTTTTAGGCTGAAAGGAGAGAAACTTCTGTGTGATCTGGTCGAAAAAGCTCAGAACTACGTTGAATTGAGGAAGAATGCCGTTGGTTTTGACGTAAATGAGCTGGCTACCATCTACATGATTAGAATAGAGCACCTGTACTACAAGTACACTGAAGATCCAGAGGCCGAAAAGACGTTGTCAGACTTGTGCAAGAAGATTTACGGCTTGAAGGAAGAGAAACTTCAGAGACAACGTGCTTTATTGTGCCAGACATACCATCATGCCCTTCATGATCGATGGAACAGTGCCAAAGAGTTGTTGTTGATGTCTCATTTGCAAGCTATTGTTGATCACACTGAGGCTAGCACTCAGGTAAGGGAGCTTGCTTGGTTTTCATGATAGGTTTATAAATTTTTGGGGCGGTTTTTATATTAGAAAGGAAGTTTTTGTGTTTTAAAAGGTGAAACGTAGTCTTTTTTTTCAAATTAGAAGGTATTGGACTTTTTTAAAATGACGTTTTAAATTTCAGATCTTGTACAACAGAACGATGTGCCAAATAGGCCTCTGCGCCTTCCGCCACGGCTACATCCGTGAAGCTCATCAAGCTCTGTCGGAGATCCACAACACTCAAAGACCAAAGGAATTGCTAGCTCAAGGTGTAGCACCAAGACTCTTGGAAAGAACGGCCGAACAAGAATCGAGAGAAAGAAGTCTTCAAGTCCCATATCATATGCACATCAACCTGGAAGTCATGGAGTGTGTCTACCTGATCTGCTCGATGCTGTTGGAGATCCCGAGCATTGCTTCTCATGAGTACGACCTGAGACGAAGACTCTTATCCCGCCTTTTCCATTATCAATTGAAGTTCTCCGAGCGATCCGCCTTGATTGGTCCACCAGAAAACACCCGTGAACATGTTGTAGCTGCTTCCAGAGCCATGTTGAAAGGAGATTGGGTCAAATGTAGAGATTTCATTATCAATGAGAAGATGAACACTAAGGTAAGGTGTTTTTGAAGTGATTGTCTTTGAAAAATTGGGTTTTTAAGTTGGGAAAGCTTGATTTTAAAAAAATTTAATTTATGTTGCTTTTGATATTATTTTTTATTACTTCTATATTGTTTCAGGTATGGAACTTGTTCCGCGACTCAGAAAAGGTCAAGACCCTAGTCATCGAGAGAATCCAAGAAGAATCCTTGAGAACCTACCTTCTGATGTTCTCTACCGTCTACTCCACATTGTACTTTGAGAACTTGTGTTTGTTGTTTGAGCTATCAAAGGAACGTGTCTACTCGATAGTGAGCAAGATGATTATCCAAGAAGAGTTGAGTGCCACTTTGGATGAACCAACGGATTCGATCATCATGCACAGAGTCGAGCCATCAAGACTTCAGCTCTTGGCCTTGAGTTTGACTGATAAGTTGTCTCAATTGGCTGATAACAATGAACAGATCATCGAACCGAGAGGTGGAAGATCAGGATTTGCTGGAACTGGCGGATGGACTCAACGTGGAGGCACAGACAGGACTGGAGATGACAAGAGAAGGGCTGGTGGCATGTTCCAAGTAAGTTTTTGGAGATTTGTGGGGAATTTGTCTACTTTTGAGGGTTTGCTAGATATTATAGTAGAGCATATTATTTAAGTCGGATTTTTTGGTTAGTTAATGGATTTCAAATTGATTTATTTAAACTTTTTTTTTACTAATAATATTGTTTTAGGGCCAAAGGAACGCGGAAGGTGGCCAACGCCGTGCCTGGAACCAAAACCAGAATCCGAACCGTCGCCGCGACGTCCGAGTCAGATTCTGAATGTGAAAATATTGTTGTTTCTTTTATTTTTTGTTTCGCTAAACTATTTCTGAATAAAGTACTCAGTTGTGAAGCGGCTATAGTATTGTGAGAGTTAGTTGTTTGTTACCGGATAATAACTTGCTTTGTTACCTTCTTCTACTTTACTGTATCGTTCTAGATTTTGTTTGACTTTTTAAATTAGGCTATGTCATTATCAGAGCTAATTGTGACATGTTCATTATAATTTTTAAAAAGTTTTTATATTTGAAGAAATCAAAATAGAAAAAATTGCTGTTTGATGCTATTTTGGGCCGAAAACTTGATTACAGTATTGAAAATGAAATCAAGTGACATTATTAAGTTTACTTGCCAGAACGTTTTAAAGCTGTCTATGGTTTTTTCGTAGACATGCTGGCTATTTTCTTTACGTTTTTAACATTATAATCAACATGTTAACATAGCTTTTTTAGTGTTATTCTGAATTCGAATCAAATTTTATGGCAATTTTTGTTTAGATATTATACTGGATAGAAAGTTCTTGCCGTTTATATTCAATGTGAACAAAGTTTTTGCTATTTATACTTTCTGTAATTAAAGTTTTGATAGGGTAGGGTAAAGTAGGGTTGGTTAGGAAGGTAAAAGTAGTGTTTATTGTACGTTTCTACCTTAACTGTCACTTCTATGCACAGGTTGTTCAAATAAGACTGGGCTCTTTTCTTAATACAACTTTTTGGGGTTAGGGGCACAGAATTATTGGAACAATTTAATAGTTATAAGCTACATTTTATGGCCAAAAAATAAAAAAAATTTCATTTGAAGATGAAGCAATTTGAAGAAAGTATGGCATACTAATTTGTGGAGAACTTTATAAAGTGTTCACTTTTGAAGCCGGCTGGCACTTATCTTGTTGTTGAGTTTTTTTGGGCACTGAACAAACAACAAGCCCTTTTTTGAAGTTGTACCTTTCTTCGCCGACCTTCTGCTTTACTCGTGCTTATTTTGAGTACGTACTGAAGGGTGTTACTTTATAGTGTTCTAGCTTTAGGCTAGCTTACCTTATCTACCCTTCTTTACTCTGGCATTGCCATAGCCTGCCTTGTTCTTGTTCATGCGTTATTCTGTCTTACCTATGCCTTACCCTACATTTTTATTACTAATGCCATACCCTATCTTACTTATGTCTTTCTCTATCCTTGCACTACCCTAGCCCAACTCTACCCCGCTCTAATTATGCATTTTTAAAAATTTTCGCGAAATTTGCATAAATGTCCTTATGTTGCGGGCCGAATCCCTCCGGCAATCGTGTTTCGTGCTGAAACTAACGATGTACAAATTGAGAGCTTCTTTCTCTTTTTTGTTCGCTTCCGGATTTGGACTTTTGAGCGGCCTGAAGGAGCCTTTTCGGCCGCCTTTGCCGCCTCTCGCCCCCTCCCCCCAATAAGTAAGAACCAGCCGGAGGGAGGGGGTCACTCTTCCACTTAGCACTTCAACAATTGCCAGCCGGCTTCTTTCTTTTGCTCTTTGATTCCGTTTTTGACTGTATTTTATGATTATTACTTTTTATGGGGTTGGAAAGAAAGTTGTTGCGGTTTTTGGGTTTTGACACGGTTTATGGATTTTTTAAGTTTAAACTTTTGAAAAATGTTTTGAAGTTTTTAAAATTCAAAAATTTTTGTTTTTTTTGGAATTTATAATTGGAAAGAAAGTTTTTGCCACTTTAAGACTTGTAAAGAAAGGTGTGTACATTTTATGCTTTGTAAAGAAAGTTTTTGCTATTTTGAGTTTTGTAAAGAAAGTTCTTGCCATTTTTTATATTGTAAAGAAAGTTCGTTTTTTTTTGAATTTTGTAAAGGAAGTTCTTGCTATTGTATGCTTTGTAAGGAAAGTTCTTGCCATTCATGCTTTGTAAAGAAAGTTTTTTCCATTTTTGTCTATTTTCATCTCTCGTTTTTCTCGAATTTTGCTGTTACTTAATTTGTCACGGTCTATGTTAAGGCCAGACCTCCGAACATGTCTACTACAATATGCTAATTAGCTCCAAGACTCTGATGTTTGTTTAGTTGTCATTGTTACCAATTGTCTTTGGTAATGAAAAGATGTCATTACGGATTTAAATGCCGAATACATCTTTGTTTACTCTGCGAGAATTGCTCGAATTGTATTCAAGACTAGAGGAACTATTGAGAAAAATTAGTTTTTATTTTTTATGAAGAATCTAAAGGTATTTTTTACGTATTTGAAGAGAAAACGACATTAGAATGATCAGGAAGTATTAAAAAAGTAATTTAGATTCATGAAAAATAGAAGAGGGGTAAAAGTAAAAGTTATGGTTGAGAACGTAAGGAATGATCTTACTTTTATCTATGATGGGTAGGGCGTCCTTTTCTGTACAGCGATAGGAGCGTAACGTTTTAAAATAATTGTAGAAGCTATGAAAAATTGCTCTAGCCTATGATCTAGCTTTTGACTTAGCTCCAGCCTAAGCACCAGCTAGCCTAAGTTCTAGACTCAGCTTTTGACGTAGCTCTAACCATGCCCTAATCTTTGCTCTAGCTTAAGCTCTAGCCTGACCTCCAGCCTTAGCTATTGACTTAACTCTAACCTTAACCTTAGTCTAATTGTAAGCCCTAAATTTCCCTTAGCCTTTCCCTAGCCGTGCCTTACCCTTGCCAAGCTTTGTTATAGCTTAATCATAGCCTTAGTCTTAGTCTAAAACATATTCCTCTAACTCTGACTTTAGTCTTAGCCGCAGAAACTTTAGTCTAAGTCTTGGCCTACATACTAACCTAAGCCTCAACCTAACCCTAAAGTCTAGCCTTAGCCTTAATCTTAGCCCTAGTCTTACCCGTAATCCTAGCCTTAACGCTAGCCCTAGTTCTAGCCATCTTCTCTTATCAGACTCTTGTTTTCTTTTTGTCTTGCTTTACTCTTACCTTGCCTTTGCTAATGCTACTCTACCTTACATTTGTCTAAACCTTGCTTTATTCTAGCCAAGTAATATCTTACTATAGTTTGTCTTACTCCACCTTACCTTTCAAAAGGTACTATTTCGCCTAAAAACAAAAGTTCTACACATTTTTGGTAACATTAATTTAGTGTAGGGCAGACGTATCTAATTAGTCCTCGCTTTTCATTCATCATAACATATGTTATGTTCATCCTACTCGCTTTAATCGATTACTTTTCATGTAAATTTTAAATGCAAAAAGTAGGTTTTGAGAATGGCAAACGTGTTTTTGATGGCTTCGACATAACTTTCGGAGCATTTTGTCTGTGGTCAACAAGTTGTATTGGCTTTAATTTTGAAGGTTTTAGAGGAAATTTAACTTTTTTTCATTTTACTACAATTACTATGTTAATATAAGTTAATATAAGGTTAGAAAAGGTATTTCCTAAGTTAATATAAAGCTAGAAAAAGAGTTTTCTATCAAATTTTGCAATTATTTCTTCAAAAAGGATACAAATTGCTTGAAAACAACAAATTCTTTTGTCACATGAAGGCTACTTTGACATGATATTAATGTAATTGTGTGTTACGAAGTCTTTTTGTCTCGTAAACAAAGTTTTTGAAGACGTTTTGTAAAATACGAATAATAAGTTAGGGTCTAGATAAAATGTAACGAAAAGTGACGTCACTTAGCGCAGGGTTGATTTTTTGAAGGTGAAGGTAAATTTTAAAGGGTGAGGGTAAGTTTTATAGAGTAGGGGAAGATTTTAAGGGGTAGAAGAGATTTTGAAAGATAAGGATCGGTTTTGAAGGTGGAGTTAAAAATTTGAAAAGCGTGGATATTGAAAGACAGTGCTAGATTTTTAAAGGCAGGGCAGATGACGAAGGATAGTGGAAGGATTTCTGAAGCAGTGGTAGGGTTCGGTAGCCAAGGGTAGGTTTTGAAGTGTACGGCAAGGTAGCGTAAGGCAGTGTAGGGTAGGGTGAGAAAATTTTTAAAATATAGGGGTAGATCTTACAAAATAGGGGTTGATATTAAAAGGCAAGAATAAATTTTGAAGGTAGGAGTATATTTATTTTTCAAAGCAGAGGTAGATATTGAAAGGTATTAGGCCGGGTAGGTGATGAAGGATAGAGAAAGATTTTAAAAATCAGGGATGGGTTAGAAGTGTAAGGCAAGGTAAGATAAGGTGCGGTGGAACAGGGGACGATAGGACAGGGTAAGATATAAGATAGGGCAGGGAAAAGCAGGATAGGTAAGGGTTGGATTGGGTAGGGCAGGGTATGAACAAGTAGAAATCCCTTCTTTCTTTTTCTTTATTTTGCTCTTATAATATGATATAATCAATGATCTTTGCATGTTCAATATCACTGTTATCGCTGATTGTTTTACAACGTACGATAAGCACGCATCGCTTTACATCATCACGTTTGTTTCAGATCAGAGGTCTTTTCGTCGACGGAAGTTTGTGATACAACGACGAAATGCGGTCATTCCAACCATTGAGCCATCATCATATTGGTGTAGGGTTATTGTTGAGTAAACAACTTGATAATGGCTGACGAGTTTGCAAAGGTAAATACATTGATTTTGCTTATAATATTAGTTAAAAAATGGCATTTTTTGATGATGATTTGTTAGGGGGGGGGGAGGTGATTTGTGATTTTATTTTATTTTTTTAAGAAGGGGTGACTTTTTTATGAAAAAATTTTATAAAACCTTTTTAGTTGACATACCTAACTGGATTTGGCAACGAGTTTCAAACGTTTGATCCTCGAAAGCCTGGGGCCCTGCCAATTGGTCAAAACAGTCCTCAACAATGTCCTCATGGTTTATATGCGGAGCAACTGTCAGGAACGGCTTTTACTGTGCCCAGAAGTGGAAATAGAAGGAGGTATGGATAATTTATTTATTTATTTTCCATATTCACTCGTAACCAATAAAATCAAAATAATATGAAACGGATAAGTTATTCTGTTTATGATTCTAGCCTAATTTCTAGTCTTAGCCGTGACTCTAGCTTTAGCTCTTTTTCAACTTCTAAGCCTATCTCAGGCCCTAGGTTCAGCTTTATTTCTATTTCTAGTCTAAGCCCTAGCCTAAGCCGTAGCTTAAAATATAGCCTAAGCCTTAGCTTACGTCTTAGCCTAAGTTTTAGCTTAAGTCTCACCTCTAGCTTAAACTTAGCCTAAGCTTTAGCCTAAGCCTTTAACTTTGTCTAATCATGCTGACAAATAAAATACCTAAAATAAAATTATATAGCTCATTAAATAGAAGCTGATCTAAATTTTGATTTTAGCTGGCTCTACCGAATTCGACCATCAGTAATTCATAAGCCTTTCAAGCCGTATGCAAAGGAAGTTGGCATGATTAGCGACTTCAACAAGTTCACCCCTGACCCAAATCAATACAGATGGGCACCAAGGCCATTTGCTACGAAAAAAGTTAATTTTATTGAAGTGGGTTTTTTAAATTTTTATTTTTTAAAATTTTTAATTTTTTGAAATTTTTAAGACTTTGGATGTGAAGCCAACAATAGTTCTGCACCTCTAGAAGCTTTGCAGATGGCTGTGGTCCAATAATTTATATATTATAATGTCTAATTTTAGTCGCTTTACACCTTTTGTGGAGCTGGAGAGCCTACTACGCGAAATGGCATAGCTATTCATATGTATTCTTGCAACACTTCAATGGACAACCAGTGTTTTTATAATTCGGATGGAGACTTCTTGATTGGTAAGTTGGTATTACGTGTTGAAAAAAAATATATTTTGTTTGCACGGTGCAAAAAAATTAACAAGGAAAGTACCCTGTCCTGCTATGCTTCACATAAAACTTTGTATATAGAAAGATCATGTAAATATAACCTCTTCAAAACAGTATCAAATCCCGCTTTCCAGTCAATCTCGAGAAAATCGAGATTAAAAAATAACGTTTTTAATTTCCGCCAAATTGGCATTGTGTTTCAAGCTTATAATCTTGCTATTGTTTGACGTTTATTCATTTTTCTTTAATATACTAGTAGAAAACCCTTAAATGAACCTACATTTTTAAATTTGTAAGCGTAGTTTGTCTGAAAAGTTCAAAAAAGAGTGCTTTAAACACAATGTCAAGTTTTGCCCAATTGGCGGGAAATTCAAATATTTAAATTTTAAAACTTATTTACAGCGCTGTTTTAATTAAAAAAAAATTTTACTGGCCAATTTTTTTACTCATAATCACAAATATTGTTTTAGTTCCTCAAGAAGGAGATCTGAGGATCACCACGGAGTTCGGCCGTCTTTTGGTGAAGCCTTTGGAGATTTGTGTCATTCCACAAGGCATTCGCTTCAGAGTTGATGTCAATGGAGACACTAGAGGCTATATCCTGGAGGCCTACGGTACCCACTTCCAATTGCCTGATCTTGGCCCAATTGGAGCCAATGGTCTGGCTAATCCAAGGGATTTTGAGGTTCCTACGGCATGGTATGAGGATGTGGACAATACTCAATATGAGGTAGGTATATATGAGGTAGATCAATATTAGGTAGATCGATATGAGGTAGGTTAATATGAGGTAGATCAATATGAGGTAGGTTTAAATGAAGTAGATCAATATGGGGTAGGTCTAAATGAAGTAGCTCAATATAAGGTAGGGGTTTTGGGTTCTAAACAGTCAGATTTTGTTTGAAATACTGTAAAATTTAGATAGTTTTCAGGTAAAATTGAGGAAAGAAGGTATATTATGTTGTTCAACTAATTCTGAGCTACTTCTTTAAGAAAATCTCGGGGTTGGGGTTAGATGGCTCAAGCTTATTTGAACAAATATCTAAAAGCAAATCTCGGGGTTAGGGGCTCAGAATTATTTGATCATAACTTTAAAAGAAAATTTTTGAGGTTGCAGGACTCAGAATTATTTGAAAAAAGCTCTGAAAGCAAAATCTCGGGATTAGAAGGCTCAGAATTAGTTGAACAACCTGATATTATAGTAGGTATAGGCCATGTTTCAAAGAAAAAGTGCCATTTTGAGTTAGATCCTAATCTTTTTTGATGTTTAGATAATCAACAAGTATCAAGGAGCCTTCTTCTCCGCTTCCCAAGAACATTCACCTTTCGACGTGGTTGGATGGCACGGCAATTACACACCGTACAAGTACGATCTGACAAAGTTCATGGTTATCAATACTGTGTCGTTTGATCATTGTGTAAGTGAAGTATATATAAGTATATGATTTTTAGCTAATTTTAATTTTTTTTTCAAAATTTTAAAAATTTTTTGAATTTTTTTGAAGTTTTTTTTAAAAATAAAACCCAAAACTTTTAGGACCCATCAATCTTCACGGTCCTAACAGCCCCATCAGTCCGACCAGGAGTGGCGGTGGCTGACTTTGTCATATTCCCACCGAGATGGGGTGTGGCTGACCACAGTTTCCGACCACCATACTATCATCGCAACTGTATGTCAGAGTATATGGGTCTGATCAAGGGTAACTACGAGGCCAAGAAGGGCGCGTTCTCACCTGGCGGAGGCTCTTTGCATAGTATGATGACCCCACACGGTCCGGACCACAAATGCTTCGAAGCCGCGTCTACCGAACAACTGAAGCCGGCTCGGATTGCGGAAGGCACTATGGTAAGGTTAGGGTACATTATGGAAGGGTACAGTGGAAGGGAGTGATACATTATGATAGGGTATAGGTAGAGGTGGGGTAGGGTAAAGTAGGGTAGGGTAAATTAGAATAGGGTAGGGTAGGGTAGGGTAGGGTAGGGTAGGGTAGGGTAGGGTAGGGTAGGGTAGGGTAGGGTAGGTTAGGGTAGGGTAGGGTAGGGTAGGGTATAGGGTAAATTAGAATAGGGCAGGGCAGGGTAGGCTAGGGTAGGGTGAATAATTACTTTGTAAAGTATAACATCGTACCTTTCAGGCCTTCATGTTCGAATCCTCGTTCAGTATGAAAGTGACAGACAGCGCCAAGACTGAAAACGTTGACCAAGACTACTTTAAGGATTGGCAGCCTTTGGAAAAACATTTTAATTAATCAAGTATTGCCTGTATACCTATATAACCTATTATTTTAGTCAAAATTTAATAAAGATTGAACGCAAAGAACGTTTATACTTGATGTTATACATGTTTTAAGACATGACAATACTTTTTTGCACCATTTAACAGCTACTACGTGATTAGATTTACATATTATACTATAATAGTACAATATTTTACCCTACCCAACAATATTGTAGTACATTAACGTTTTTGAAAAAAATCGTATTTTAGGTATGACACATGGTGTTGTTGCTGTGATGACGTGAATATGTCGATAAGCGAATATCGACGGAATCCCAAGTCAAACACGGGACAGCCGTCTTCTTTGCTCGAGGGTAGGTCCTTAAAGTCATTTCATTATAATTTTTTTGGAAAACTACATTTTTTGTGAAACAGTCCGGGTTATATAAAATAAGCCCTAGCCTAGCTCTATCCCTTATATATTACTAAACAAGTCCAAAAGTCTATAGAAAAACCGAAGATCACCGAATTTTTAGAATGCCAAGCCTTTTCTCTAGACGACGAGGCCGAGACGGTGCATGTTCACATTCCTTCGACTCACAACGGGACCAACTCCAAGACCAAACTCCTAAAACAAGATGACAAAAAGCCGAACGGACACTCGGTGATGGACAACCGGTGGTCGAATCAGGCGACGGAACGCCGGAATCACGAGATCTCGCCATTAACAGACGAAATCGACCTCGGGCGCGACTCGGATTCGGATGATTTGGACTTGTTACCGGTCGTAACACAATCGACCGCCAAGAATAAGGAGTCGAAAAAGAAGTGGCCAAAACTTTTGCAATGTTGTTCACCTTACTGGGTCCGACCGCGATGTACCATCATGTAATGGCAATGTCGTACTGAGTTTATGTAATGACAGCAGATGAGTATATTGTAGTAGATACTCTGATCGTCTACTATAACATGTATGAAAGTCTACAGTGAAAAATCTATCTAGAAAATCTCAAAATGATGTCAAAATACTAAGTTTTATCATAATACTGATCTCATAATAATATAGTCGTGTATTATACTTTTGATCTCGTATGTTAACCAAAAATTTCGTTTTATACCTAACCTTGTCAAATTGATTTAAAAAGTTGGTTGTATATATCTTTAACACTATATTTTGTACCATTATTTGTAGAACATATTATTACCAGTAAAATTTAAGTGAAATTGGTCATTCTTACCATGAATAATATAAAAGATACCATGATTAATACTATAGATGGTAGTACCATAATAAAACACGAAAACATAATAAAGATTTTATCAAAAACAAGGTTAAACCAAAAATTAAAAGTAAATTAACATCAAAACATTCAAAATTAGTTCGAACCTACAACAATATGACCCGTTATTTGTCGGCAAGATCCTTTTGCCTAAAGTACATGGTGATGATCGTGATGAACAAGGTATACTCTCGAATACGATCTAGTTGATCTTCAGTTAGTTCTGCTCGTTTTGATTTCAAATATCGTGTGAAATCACGTAGTTGACTAACCACATCCGAAGGTAAAGTGGCTGGAACAGCTATTAGCAAGGCGAATATCCACTCTGACAGCGGTTTACTGTACCCGTTTTCAATGTAGTGCTAAAAATAGATCTTTTACTATATTTTGCTATGCAGATACTGGCAAGTTAAGGTAATATTCATAAAATAAACAAGTCAAAAGCATTAAAAATGGCATTTTTTCAACAACAAATTGCTAAAAAAGCCAACCTTCAACGTTTTTGATGCGCTAAAACAATATTTTAACCACTCAACATGCAATAACAGATACTACAAGACAAATATAGCGTATTCCTTCTAACACAAAGCTTATCTCACCTTGACAAGATGAATTATCAATGGTTTAACGTATCTATCTGGCATCGTCAACATCAATTGTAACGTTGGAGGTGTTCCTTTGTGATGTGCAAACTTTTCAGCGTTCTCTGGGGAAATATGTACCTAAAAAACAACTCATCATATCAATATTAAAATTAACATGCAAAAATAAGCCTTCAAATCCATATTAAAATCTATTGAAAACCTTCAATATTAATAGACTTACATTTGCATTTCTCGTTGTCAAACAAAAATCAATCCACCCACTTTCGTTATTCTAAAATTCAAATATAGTTAGCGAAAATAGTCTTACTTGTCCTGGAAACTTCACATCAAGCTTACTGGCACATCTTTGCCGCTTAATTTCGAATACTTCTCGAATCCGCTTAAAATTGGCCAACTAAAACAATATAATAATTAGTTAGAAAATTCAAAATTAATACCTCAGTATGCTCAAATCTTTGCCAAGTAGTTAAAAGCTCATTTGAAAGCAATTAGAACAAGATAGGAAGCTTGGAAGACTGTATAGTCAATTAAAAGAACATCTACAACTTCAGCTAGAGTTTTGTTGTCTAAAATTTCATACAAAGCTTGGTTAACTGAAGAAAATAAACTATCTAAACATCAAAAATAACAACAGATACATACCTTCACTTCCCTCCATTCAGCACTAGGAACGAATGAACAAACTGGCTCTTCTTCGTCTTGTGGGATAAAAACTGTTCTCTTCTTGATCTCACGAACACTTTCTTTGGCCACAGTTACATCCTGCATTTGTTCTCGAGACACAATAACTTGTCTCATATACTCCTCAACATTCCTCGCAGGTTTGGATAGATCGACCTTGGACTTGTCGAACTTCTCCACAGCGTAGATGGGTTCTTGTTCCATCTGAAAGAAAATTTAATTAAAAAAATTGAAACTAATAAAAATTGAAAGAATTTTTATAAATCTTAACAATATTAAAGTATCTTTACAATAAGATACAATAGCTTGCAGTAAAGAGGCTCGAAAATTTTGCGAAATTTCCGAAGTATTTTATATTGTAGACGAAATGACCCAATTTTAAGTAAACAAAACGCCACAAAATTTATTTTTCGCTAAAAAATTTCCTTTTTCAACAAAAAGACTGTTAAACGCAATATAAGGCAATATAATATAATAGTAAATTAATGTCGAGGCCTCCAATACGACCACATGGTCATTATGGCACACCAAGACCTCTCATGGACCGCCAGATGGAACGATATCCGCCACAAACAGTGTGTCGTCTCCTTCAGCTGGACAATCACAAATTGGACCGATTAGATGATGCCGTAAGTGTAGATTATATAATGAGTTATGTTTTCAGAACAAATTGCTGCAATTTGAAGATAGTTATCTTCAACTACAAGCTATTGTCACCAAGGTTCCGGATATTAACATGGGCGAATACTTGAGTAAGAACCCGAAAGGCATTGATATGGTTGGAAAAGGTAGCATTGTTGGGTTTCTTTGCGAACCTGCTGAAGCTAACAAGGTAATTTTAGATTTTTCATTTTGTAATTTAAATTTTAGGCAGTAAAACAGTGTAAAATATTTAAAATTGACTAAAGTCTGGCTTTAAAATACTAAAAATATTGTATTTTTAGTACTTTAACTACTTGTCAGTGGCTGCAAAAGGTGACAATTGGCAAGAAATATTGACATCGATTAACAAAGTGATTCTGGATGGATTTTGCTTGCTGAAACCATTAGTTCGACTCAGATTCATTGATCTGATGGAGTACCTGGTGCTTGAGAATGTACCATGCTGTGATTGTGCTCTGTTTAACTTGTTTAGAGAGACAAATAGCGGTAAGTATGAGGCTTTTTTAATCTATTAAGACAATGAATACGAGTTTTTAAGCTTTTAACTTGTGGTTTAACGAAGATAATGATGTTTTATTGACATCTACTACAATGTCTTAATTTCAATAAAAGTCTAAATTAATGTTTTAGGTGGAAAATGTGGTGACGCAAATCACATGCTTGAGATTGCGGAGCTACAAGCTGAGTTGATGATTCGCCAGAGAGATTGGTTTGCTCGGAATACCTTCAGTTCACCATTGAGTGCTATAATATTCATAACATTCAGTCGGATCTTGGCTGAATTACCGCCAAGTCGAGAGAAACTACAACAACTATTATGTGCAGCTCTCGACATTCTCTTACACGATCGTTTTCGGGATCTGTCGTGGAATGGGCGTGAGCAGGTGTTGTTGATGTTGAGGGTATCTAAGGTGCCGTACTTTCGGAACTACTGGAAGATACTGTTACATAACCCAAAATTGTTGGGGCTGGAGACATTGCCAAAGTTTATGAGTGTAAAACCGACGTCAAATGCTGTACAGTACCGAGTGTCGTATCGAATACAGAATGTCATCGAGAATTTACTGCAATATAAGCCGGAACTGATTGATAAATACTACTTTGAATGGTTTAATAGAGAGGTAAGGGACATAGAATGAAGTGACAGATTTTAAGGATTGTCTGGAAGTTAAAAGAGTTTTGAAAACGGGACATAAAATTTTTTTAAACATCTAAAACAAGGTAAAATAAGCCATAATCAACTTTTTTTCAGTTTTTGTCGAGCTTTGACGCCGGTGCTCTTCGAATGGATGTAATACGATATGTTGTGACTAACAGATTATACAATATAGAACACCTGAGGGCATCTAGAGTGATGTTCTTAATTAAACTTATGAATCATTGTAAAGTAAGTTCTTGCGGAAACATGGCTTTCATTATTAGTTTTTTTACTTTTCGGCTGTGGTTTTACCTTAGCTTTTCTCATATTTGCCCTATATTACTGATACTGTACGTTAGTCTTATGCTAGCCTGTCGCTTTTTACTTTCTTTACAAAACATAAAATGGCAAGAACTTTCTTTACAGAGCATAAAATGACAGGAACTTTATTTACAAACTATAAAATGGCAAGAACTTTCTTTACAAGGCATAAAATGGCAAGAAGTTTCTTTACAAATCTAAAAATGGCAAGAACTTTCTTTACAAAATATAAAATCGCATAAACTTACTTTGCAATGCATAAAATGGCAAGAACTTTCTTTACAGAGCATAAAATGACGAGACTTTCTTTACAGACTGTAAAATAGCAATAACTTTTTTTAGTTTACAAATATTTTGAAATTCTAGACAGCGTTAGAGTTTCAACTGGCCAAACAAGCCTTGATCTTCGACTGGATTTGCACTGACATTAGTGAAGTTAACTCTGGGAGTGCAGGTAAGGTTGGAAGTCATTGTTTTAGGCCATTTTTAAATGCTTTGTGACATTATTATGAAGGTTTATGACGTTTTTTTGGGAAATTTATTCTTTCAGCACAAACACTTGATCTACTCATCACAATACTCAAACATTGCTTTAACAACACAGCGTTATGTCCTTTAGGCAATTCATTGGTCGATCTTTTGTTACGAGTAAGTTTTCATGGTAAAATACGTTGTTGACAGATCCCATTAAGAATATCTTCATTAAAATATTTTAGTATTTATTGTAAAATACGTCTTGAGATCATGTCTAACTTTTTAAATTTTTCAAAATTAAGGTATAAAAATTTTTGTTACCTAAATTTATATTTTTCAAATTTTAAAGTTGTTATTGGATATTTTCAGACAGTTTTGGAGTTTCAACCAATGTTATCAAACGTATTTCTATCAAATTTGTCGAATTCTATCAGATGTGTACAGACGATTCAGCCAGGGTAGGTTAATATTGTGGTAAAACGTGATGACTTCCTTTACATAACAAAAATTGCAAAAAAGTTGCTTCAAAAAGCGCGAAATGGCAAGAACTTTTTTTACAAAACATAAAATGGTAAGAACTTTCTTTACAAAGCATAAAATGACAAGAACTTTATTCACAATGCTTAAACTGGCACACACTTTCTTTCCATAACATAAACTGGCAGAAGCTTTCTTTACAGCATATATTTCTAGATGTCTAAAAATCTTCGACCATCCCCGAATCGACCGGACCACACGAACAGCCTTATCAACCCTTTTGCCCGAGTTTTTCGGCAAAATACCTGAACCCCAAACTCCAAAAGCAGAGGAAACACGAAAACGAAAGTCTCCAGAGGAAGAAGAATCAACCCCTGCCAAGGTCAAGAAGCCAGAACCCTTGGCCACTTCACCAACTACGGTCGCAAAAGGATTGGCAGACGAAGCCAAGAAGCGAACTCAAAGCAAACTCAAGGAGGCGGGTGAACAACTGAATGGGGAACTGAAGAAACGCTTCGATCTTATGATGAACATCACTTTGAGGAATGGAATCGACAGCGAAGAAGCTTTTAAATCTGCGAAAACCTTCTTTACACGGCTGAGGTCATTGAAAGTGACCGACGAACAGATCGACGCCTTGGCCGATTGTTTGATCGAGTATTGGGAACCGTTTTTGGTCGATAAAAGGTTTTTGAAGAGGTGTAGGTGAGTATATTTAGCCTGAAAATTTGAAAAAAAAATGAAAATGAAAAAAAAATTTTTTTTTGAATGATTAGTTAAGTATATTGAACTAAAAAATAGTTTTTAAGTTAAAAAATTTGCAAAAATATAATTTTTAAATTTAAAAAGAAAAAAAAACTGAATTTTTTGAGTGACAACAACTTTTTGAGCTAATACAAGGGTTCTAAAAAAGTTTTGTCGTCATTTTTTATTCATTTTCAGTGACAAAAACGACAAGACTTTTTTGACGCTTTAGTATTGCCATTTTAAGCCGCTTTTTGATCAAAAATGTTGTAGTATCTTCCTCCTTCAGTAAGCTTTTTTACCTATATCAACAATTTTAGGTATAAACGTGATTGATTTGAGTCATAATTTTATTTCAAGCCCTAACCTATACCTATTAGTTTGCTCAAATAATTCTGTGCCTCTTCTCAAAGCAACCTGTTGATTTCAGGGGGCCCAGAATTATTTGAACAAACTAATATGTCACAACATTGAGCCTTTTCATAATAAAATGTTGTTTCAGGGCCAACATGAACAATGTGATCTACACGTTCATGGAGAACTGGACTGCCACAAGAGGCAAGAAGCCGGGCCGACAAACATTTATGGTTTTAGTGAACCGACTGTCCATAAAATCACCAGTTTTCGATATTCTAGTACTTATTTATGGGCTGGAGACAGAAGAACACATGGAATTGTACCAGGAGCTGGCCGAAGCCAACAAATGCACCGTGCCGGATCAGTTTGTTAAGGATATGCCGGTAAGTGGGATAGGGGGTGGGGGATAGGGTGTTAATATCAATTTTTTTGAAGTGGGGAAGGGTAAAATCACAAGTTGATCAAAAAGAGTGGTGGGGGGGGTAAAATTACAAGTTGATCAAAGAGATGAGGGAGGGGTGAAAATCGAAATAAAAATTTTTTTTGGGTTTCTAATTTTACAGGAAGTTCATAATTCTTTTTTGAAAAAAAAATTTGGGTGGGTAAAAAATCGGATTTAATTTCTTTAAATTTTTTAATTTAAAACGTAGAATCAAATTTAAAAAATGCATATTTCTAACTCAATATCCCTTCAGATATGCTCAGTAGAAGACCCAGACACTGCCCAACTCGTCCTAACCAAAATCGAGTCCTTCCCCGAACTCCACGGATCCGTTCAACTGGTCGAAGTCATGTGCAACTACATTACTGAAGCCGAACTGTACATTCTCAACAAAACCTTATCACTGAATCCGGATGGCTTGAAACTTTTTGACCAGAAAACCTTTCACAAGCTGATTAAACGATCTCTGGCCTGGTCTCCCAACGCACAATGGCTACTGTGGAATCTGATTCGAATCGAAGGCATCGAAGACGACTGGATCACCTCTATATTGTATTTGATCAACGACAAAACAGACCCTGTAGCCAGCATGAACATTCTTACCTACATTGAGTTTGCAGATTTGGAAATCGATGTGGAGTTGGTCAAGGATGTGTTCTTTCGACCGGTCAATGATGGACTGACCGTGACTTTTTTGAGGGTAAGGCAATTTGGACTTATTTTTGGGGAAGGCGTGGTTTTTAAAGTGGGGTTTACGCTTAATCATGGTTAAATATTCAATCTACTAATAATGAGAAAGGTAAGGAAAGTTTTGTCGTTTTTGATTATGCAAATGCATATCAATTGACGACAAGACTTTTCGAGCACTTCATACTTGGGCTGATTTTGTGCTGGACAGCTCTTTCCTTCATTACCTAATCCAATAATAAATTTTAGTCGATCTTTCAAACTGACAAACAAACCTCAACTATGGCGGAACAAACCACAAAGATCATGACCAGGCTGATGAACTCGGACCGAATCTCAAAACCAGACGAATCGATATCACACAAAGCCGAAGCTAGATTCGGAACTGTAGCGAATGTCCTAAAACATCTGGAGAAGATCAAAAAGGCGGGGAACGAGGACTCGGTCTACTCCAATTTTGTAAAGGCAGACAGTTTCGGTCGATTTTACGAGAAAATGAGCATGAAACCAGGGTTTACGGACCTGGCTGAAGAATATAGTGGGCTGTTCAGTATATGGAAGAAGCTGAATCCAGGCAAACAGGTGCAGAAGAAGAACAAAGAGCAGAAGGTAGCTAATAGTAATTATATTAACCATACTTTTATATATATCACATTATTCATGCCTCCGACCAACCTAATAACCTTCTGATTCTAGGAGCTCCGCCGGAAACGCACCGTGGACTATGTTGAATTGAGCGACGACGACGAAGATTGAATACCAATTTCCTACTAATTAGTTTAAGTTATTCCGTACGTTTAGGTACAAATTACAGTCAATATATCGGTAAACTTCTTACTGTAACATTTATTTACATGATCATCTTCGAAGCATACACAAATAAACGGGGCAATTGTTAAGTATTGTATATTTTGGAGGTGTACCTGCTTACAGGGTTGGGCGCGCAGGTTCCTCCCCTCCCCCCAGAAAAAAATTTTTGAAAAAAGTTGAACGTGATCCCCCCCCCCCTGTGGATTCCGTCGCCCCCAGACCAAAAGTCTCCGCCCGGCACTGCTTGCTTACCTTGTTGTTTTTACTGGGCTTATAAGCATTTGACTCTCCAGGAAAAAAATTGAAAAAAATTGAATGTGTTTTCCCCCCACCTGTGGATTTTTGAAAAAAAAAATTGGGGGAGGGGTGCTACGCAATCTACGGTTCGGCGAACCTCATCCTACATGTACCGTCCTGGTCCTTTTCGCATTTTCTTCTGCCTGGGCCTCTGTCAGGTCTACTGGGAAGTTTTTGTCCAGAAGAGAAGAAACCCAAAGCTTTACGCGGGTTTTTGTTTCTTTGAATTAAGAAGCGTTTTTCTGTTGTAAATATCAACACAATCAAAAAATAAGCTAAACTCTTATAAATAGACGCTTTATAACAGCTCTTTTTTATTGGCATCTCTTCGGTATTTTACTTTTTAAACACTTTATCACAATGGCAAAGTTAACGAAGGAATGTGTGTTTTCGTTTATGGTACAGTACTGTCGGTTGCCTAGGACAAACATACCTCCATTGGTAAGTTTAAAAAACCGAAGTTCCACTCTATATATGGTTTTATAATGATGGGCTAGCGTATAGCAAAATCGACTAGTTTTCTTATTTTTTACCAGTTTTTGGTCATATTGTTTCAATAACGTTTCAGCTTGTCTCCAAACGCTACATAAGCATAGCCCAGCAACAGAGTCGTAAAATCGGCTTTTGTTCACCATACGTTCGTTATGCAGTGGAATTAAGTTTGGATTTTACTGAAAACGGGCATCTCCTTCAACTGGTTATCAGTCTACTTTGCCCAACTCGCCTGTATGTTATTGAATTTGATGAAACCGACACTGAAACGTTTAAGAGAACTGTATCAGTTTTGAAAAGTGGGTATATTTAACATTGAAATTTACTCTACCCCCAGACTTTGACCTCCTTGGTAATCACTTTCACTTCGAATCTCTTATCTTATTATCACGTTGTTCAAATATGGATGAGCCTTCCAAAGCGCCCAACTTTGAAATTTTTGGCTCATATTCGGGCAACCTAATATTTTTTTATGAAAAGGGAGGGCCCTAGGGGGAGTAAAAAAGTGCCCAAGACACAGAATAATTTAAACAATCCAGTAGTCCGTTTTTTCAAGGTCTTAATTGTTCATTTTGAAAAATATTGTTTTTTAAATACTGTGGTCGATAGATACTGTAATTTTCTTTCAATACTGTGATTGATAGATACTGTAATTTTCTATTTTTATCTATGTTTAATTTGAACTCAAGCTTGAGTTATCATCGTTTTTTTAAAATATTTACATTTTAGCCGTCCGTTTTGAGAAGTTCGAAATTTCTTGTTATTGGGAGGACAACTATTGGAAGTTTTTAACCGAAAAATTGAAATACGACTCAATTGACGTGACTGTCTTCGAATTTCGACAAATATTATTTTTTATCGACAAAAGAATCGACAAGTTGGTGTGTAATATTTTTTCCTACACCTTTCGCGACACTCATGAAATCAAGTAAGTAAGTTAATTTAGATACTATGTAAGGATAGAAATACCGTAACGTTTTGCCCATGGTAAAGAAAGTACCCGAACTGCACCGCTCTAATTGACTTTATAGGAAGATCAGGTAAATATAAGATCTTCAGCAGTGTACCAAATCCCGCTTTCCAGTCAACCACAAAGAAATCAACATCAAAAAATTACGTTTTGAATTTCCCGCTAAGTTGGCATTGTGTTTCAAGCTTATAAATTTGTTATTTTTTGATTTTTAAGCATTTTTCTTTTATATACTAGTAGAAAATTTAAATGAACCTAAATTTTCAAGTTTGTAAGCGTAGCTTATCTGGAAAGTCGAAAAAAGTGCTTGATACGCAATGCCAAATCTGCCAAATTGGCGGTAAATTCAAACTTTCTTTAACTTACTAGTAGAAAAGCTTTAGATAGACCTACATTTTTTTAATTTGTAAGCGTAGCTTATACGGAAAGTAAAAAAAACGCTTGAAACACAATGCCAAAGTTGCTAAATCGGCGGGAAACTGAACCATTTAAAATTTATAACTCAAAAGCGCGAGCTAAAATTTCTTATGATTACTATTGGCGGATAACCATAGCTTTTTCTAGAAATTATACAACTATTTTTAGCGTTTGGTACAAGCCTAGTCGCACATGCGCCAGCGTTCATGTCTGAAGTTGAAATACTATCCGCGTTGGCCGAAGAGCAGCATGAACTTCGAATTGAAATCGTTGTAAAATTTACCACCGAAGATTACACTAGATGGTGCCCTCAGCCAACTTTAAAACAATTGGTAGAAATTACGGAAAATGTAACCAAGCTTAGATTCAAACAACAACGAGCAAATGAATATGTATGCCAAAGGGAGTTTGGGAGACTTGGCTTCGAGTTTTCCATCCTTTCTTGAATTTACTGTTGTATTAGTACTTCTTAAATAACATTATAATACCCTTTAAATAAAATTACAATGCCCCTTTAAGTAACATTATAATACCCCTTTAAATAACATATCAATAACTGAAAACAACTGCAAAGAATAATTAAGTTGTTTATTTGTAATTGTCATCAACACTATTATAATTGAGATCTAAAAAATGACTATTCCTTATTAAGTTGAGCTATAACTGCCAAAATACTTGAAAAATGGTGTTTTTAAAGTCAGAAAAGACCGAATACCTACTAAAATGTGTGAAGACAAACACTTTCTATGAGAAAAATTCGAAATTCCACAAAAACTCCTTGTGAACAATATCAATTGATCTTCGTAAAACAATTTGAAACTAAAAATTACCAAAAAAGACCCAAAAATACGAAATTCCCCTTAAAACACCCCTTAATCCGCCTTCTCATGGCCGTCGCTGTCGTCCTCGAGTTCGCTGAAGTCGGTTTCCTGATTCCTGTGGTATTTGCGTTCTTCTTCATCATCAATATCTTCATCATCCGGGTATATTTCTTCTCTGTCGACCGAAAAGTCCGACGAACATAACGAGTATGTGATGATACTGAAGAAGGCGATTGGTACACCGAACAGACAGGTGGTTAGGATGGGTTGGTGGTAGAACATGTCGGATACGTTGGTGACGAGCTCGAACAGCATTCGTCTTATACGTTGGGACCAGGAACGACCGCCCAGGGCTTGGGAATGGCCAGAATTGATAGTTTTTAAGAAAGTCATCACAGAATCCACCGTGCTTTCGTTGATTTTGTCATCAGAGAGGTAAAACTCGTAGCTACTGAGGTTGAGAACGAACATATCTAAAAAGAAATGGCATAAACCAAAGTTTAAATGAAATTAAAAACGAGTTACTAACAAAATCATTTTTAAATTTCAAAAAATACACCTACTAGGCATGTCCAACCGGGCCATAACCACCGAATTAGCAATCTCCGTGCCCTCGAGGTATCCCAATTGGAACGCTGATGATAATTCTGAATCCTTTCGAACCTTCGTAGCCGTTTCTTCGAACATCTTCTGAAGTCTGGCAGACTCTGTCCTTGAATCAATTCGTTCGACTTGATCAAATACAGCTAGTACCAGCTTTTTGTTGGTGTCTTCGCTGATATCATGGATGTTGGAAGCTGATATGTGAGGGAAATCCGCCCATCTTTCTCGACGAATGAACTTTTCAAGGCTCTCAGATTCTGAAACAGTACGATGAAGTCAAAAACTGCTGTTAAAGGTATGAATATTATCAAAAACTGAAATTTTTTGGTGGAAAACGCTATAACAACTCAAAATCAGTACCAAAACCCAATCATCATCTAAATCCTTTAAAAATAACACAAACATTACCATCTTCAACGTATTGAACATAATATCCGCGCTTAATCACCAACACGGCTGGCCGTTGTTCCAGTTTAATATCAGCTGGAAGATGCTTCAGTTGAGCCGTCTTGAAGAACCTCGTCTGTGTGAACAACTGACCAGCAATTCTTTCGTATTCAGTCCACAATTCAGAAGCTTCACCGTCTCCGACAAACAGCAAGAAAGGTTCATTTGTTCGTTTTGCCTAAATTTTATATTAAAATCCACAAATTTCGACTTACATCATCATATTGTACTCGACTATCAATGTTTTGAACAACTGGTCCAGCACTTTTCAATGCAAAATCAACCAACGCTTCCTTGGAACGCTCTCCTTCGTATGGAATTTGAATTCCGTTGCGGAAACTGTAAAAAATAAAAAATTATACTGATCACGCATCAAGTGTAATATAAGTGATATGATTCGAATCAAAAAATATCGTGAAACTTTTACAAACTAATTTTTATATTACTGTTCACGTTCTTGACTAATTTCTCAGCTTAACTCGTAATTTTTAACGTCCATTGCCTATAACAACATAAATATAAGTCACTAAACTTACAATACAATTGTAGGGTACCCGCTGACCTTCAGCTTATGTGCTACTGTTTGAAACCTGGTACAATCCACCTTTCCCACAGTGATTTGACTGTTTTTATCGGCCAAAGCGTGTCCAACATGCTCCCAAACTGGCGCTAATTTCTTGCAATGAGCACACCACGGTGCATATAACTAAAAGAATGACATAAACAAAACGAAAACTTACCTTGACAAGCCAAAATCCTTGATCTTTAACTTCCAAGAACTTATCATTCAAATCCAGCACGGTCGACGGCACTTTCGTTCCGTATACATTGTATGTTAACAATATAGGTAGTAGTGTTAATATTAACTTCATTAAGACCCTCAAAATAATTTTTTTGTAAGATACGGCAAAGATGACAAAGAAAGCTTTGTATATAACGTTTTACTTCAATAAAATACGAAAAAAGTTTGGTAAAAACAATTTTCAGAATAAAACTGCGAAACAAGGCCAAATGTCACAAAGATAAGTTATTGATTGGCCGCGACGGAGAAAATTCGCAAGATTAAACGCTATGCGAATGCGACAGAAGGACGTATCCAGATATAAGAGGTCAACTAAAATTTAACTTTCTTTTGCTTTATTACGTTTTATTTAGCTTATCTGTTTGTAGAGGTGGCTAACATAATATCTTTCAAAAATATAATTATTAGAAACCATAAACCGTCCTGCATTTGATATAAAATTACACACTAGAGCCTTAACTTACTTTTTAATTCACAGCTTTATATTTTTACTCAAAACTCATAAAAATAAAAAATTATACATTACAACATCATAACAACATCAATTTACACAGATTAATTAAGTTTACTCAACAAAAACTATTATAACATGTAGTTTATTAATAAATTAGAATGGTATCAAGTTATTCCCGATGAATTAGAACAAGCAAGGCCAGAACTCCGATCACAACGAACTTTAATTGAGGGTAGTCGTTCAACAAGATCGTCACCATGCCAATGTATGGTACCATTCCCTTGGCACGGCCCAGAATCTCGCCTCGAGTCACGTAATGCTGGCCTTCGGCGTACAAACCTCTGTCGTCAACCTAAAATTTTAGTTTTATTGGTTTATTGTATTTAAAAATCGTTTTAAATTTAAAACAATGCTTTTAAGTAATAGCTAGGTCATTGTACCTACTACATGATGGTTTTCAAAGCAAACAAAAATATGAAACTAAATTTTTTTGCTTGATACAATGACCAAGATCATATGCTCATTATCAAACCGTTCAAAGCAGTACATCGCCGTAAATATTCAAAAATATGAAGGACCAGACCCAAACACCTAAAGAACAACAAAATCAAGGACTTACCCTGTTGTTGTCTCCTTTGGTCAAAAAGTAGCTTTCAGTAGCGTTCTTCACATATGCTCGGATCACACGATGTACAACAGGAATGTCTCGGCCTCGGATTCTGAAAACTACAATCTCTCCAGCTTCAATTGGCACTTCACGGTTGTCACCAAGCACAAGAAGGTCACCTCTGTAGAAAGATGGCTCCATCGAGCCGGACAAAACAACAACAACTGGACTCTCTGACCCCGTGAACACCATCAAACCCTTCCATATCATCAAGGCTGTTGATATGATCATTGCAAAGTTTAATACCTAAAAATTGCAATCGGTTTGAAGATGTGTTTTTATGTTATTCTAGACTTTTACTCTTTCAAATTTACTAATTCGGCCACAATAACAAAAAACATATACTTGTGAATAAGCTCTATCAATCTTTTTTATGTACACGTCTTATTAATCTTCGAAACATTCGCCTTACCTGATAGATCAATTGTCGGACGCCCATAAGTCGAAGTTCGGCAAACATTGGCCAATCCCATATTTTCAGCTCCATTTTAGCTAACTAGATCTGACTAATAACAACAATATACAACAGACTTTCGTTCAGGTGTACAAAAATATGTTTTCTTGTCCAACTCGCACAAAAATAATGATATATCGGGCGCAGTTCGAAGAAATAAAGCTGCAGTTTGCTGAACGACATGTTATACGACGAAAGCTGTAAGCGTGAAAGTAAAAAATATTTGAAAAACACAATTACTCTTCTATCAAAATAAAATTATGTACATATATACAATAAAAAAAACCTTTTTACTTTTTTTTGTAAAATACGTCAAGCTTAATATAATGATATTGATCAAGTTTCATATTTATTGTTTATTTTTGAAGCACAACAAGTAATATACAAATAGGCCAAAAATTAAGCCGGTGTATTCTGAGAATCTTCGTTTTCCGATCCGACCGCTCCTTTTTGTAGTTGACGACACAACTTTTGGAGTTGTTCAAGTTGTCGATCCTTCAAGCTCGATTTCTTGTTAATGTCTTCGTTTATCTCGTTCAGCTTGCTTATCGTTCTAAATATTGAAGTTTTACAATTTTCTTGTGATAAATCTTGATTTTAATCACTTTATTAGTGATGAGAATTCGTTTTACAAGTATAAACCATAGAATTACTACAATTTTTGCAAATACATTTGTAAATACTTACTCATTTGACTGCTCCAACTGTTGACGATAACGTTGTGATTCGCCTTGAAGTTTGATGAGCTGACTGTTCATCTAAAACACATCATTTTACGCTGCAAAACACTCAGTAAAAACATTTTTTATTCAGAGTTTAAATTCTTATACTGTTTTGATTGTTCGAATAATTCTGCGCCCCCTAATCCTGACAACTTGCTGTAAGCGAGGCACAGAATTATTTGAACAAGTAATATAAAAACATTTTGGTCCACCCCCAAACAAAACAATAAAATTCGTTATTCTATGATTATCTACAAAATGAAGAACATAAAAATTACCTTGCCCATGTCTGTCCGTGCTCTCTCAAACGCTTTATTAGACTTTTCGAGTGTGTTAACAAGATCACTGTACTTATCTCCATAGGATTCGATAACCTTTTTCGTTTGGATCTCTGATGCTACAGCTTCTTGGAACGCTCGTTCTTTGCCCAAGAGCTGAAAATGGTTAATTTATACCTCTTAATACTAAATATAGGACAATAAGCACAATCTCCTTATAATAAATTTATAAAAAGTAAAAATTTTTAATTGATGGTCATAACATCTCGTATTATACCTCAAAAAATAATAGATTAAAGGCTGTAAACATATATTATAATAATATTAACTTACTTCTTGTTTCAAATTGACGTTTTCCTTAAAAACACCTTCAACTTTGCCTCTCATGTTGTCAATCTCTTTCCTCAGGTGATTCAGTTCTTCGTCTTTCGTTTTCATCATGTCTTTCACTTTGTCTTCACGGTCTTCGTACTAAAATAACAAAATTAACCTTTAAATCTGTTGTACTACAATTATTATAATCTAACTATGCCTACATTGTAACTATTAACCCGAAAAATAAAAAAAAGATTAAACAAATAAAAACATAGCTCTTCATACTCATTTTAAGCAGCCAACTCTTACCAAAGTCTTGAGTTCCTTTAATCGTGTCTCATATTCTTCAGACAATGTTGTCAAACTCTTGGAGATCTCCTCAACATCCTGCATTCTCTTGGCCTGCTCTTTTCTAGCATCAACAGATAGCTGGATATCTCCTAATGATTTCTTAAAGTTCTCCACCGTCTCCTGATGATTCCTTTCTATTTCTTTGAGCTTCTGCACATTTCGATCGGCTTCTTCTTTCTTTGAGCGATTCAACTCTCGACACAGCTCTTCCAACTTTGACTTTGAAAGTTCAGCACGACTAAGCATCTTCTCTGTCGACTGGAGCTTCTTTTCAACCTAAAATAAGTCAGCTTTAATTGCTGTGCCTATCCCTATGTCAAAAAGTAAGTATAGGTAATTTCACACATTGTGAGTAACATAACTGCTAGGTATCCAAACACCTTCAGTTTAACCAACCCTAAAATTCAAAAGAAAGCAAAATCTTACCCCAGACAACTTCTCGACTTCAACTTTCAACTGTTTAGCCGTCTCAATCGACTTCTCCGACTCAAACTCAACGTTTACCAGCTTGTTAATGAGGTAGTTGACTCGTTCATCTTCCTTCACCGCCTCCAACTGCCCTAAAACGGCCTTCTTAACGTCGGCCTTGGTCTTGGTCATGTCTTGAAGGGATCAAACCAAAAGAATAACCAAAAAACGAAAGGATTTCCACTCTTCCCGACTAACAGCTGTTCCCTTGGCCACTCAGAATTGTTTCATCGGACCTCGAAATGACCGTCGGAATTGATAAAAAAAAACAGTTACTAGTCTGAAACACATGGATTTTATATTCATGCATTGATTTGGCATATAAAGGACATCGTAGATTATAAAAAGTTATATTACAGATGGCAAAAACAAGATAAACACGTTCAAGAGTTAAAAAAACTCAGATGAACATAGAAAAAAGAACATTATGAGTGTAAAACAGTGCTAAAGTCTCTCGAGATCACTTGAATCTCAAGTTATCCCGAAATCAAACGCCTTTTTGTACAAACAGAAAGAATTCCAAAAAATAACTCATTGATTTTTTAAAAATAAGTCGTTATTATAGCAAAGTCATAAGAATAAACTAACCATACAATTAAAATAAACAAGAAATATTTTTTACAAACAACCTTCTAGCCAATATTAGCTAGAATTCCAAACAAAAATCTGTTTTTACGATTTGTTTTATAGATTATGCGTAAGAGTTGTATAAAACCAGTCATTTCCTGTTCGAACGTCCAGAAAACTCGTCACTTTTAATTTTTTTGTACGGAAAGAAGAAGATTGCTCTGACCTTTTTGTCTTATGGAATAATTATCGGCTTGTCTGGGGAATAAAGAAGCTCAACGTGCTGGTTGAACTTCAATGCGACGGTGAACAGCATCATGGTGTTCGGGCTCAAGTCCAAGGATCGAAAGTCCGCCAATGATCTGGAGAAATGTAAGCGATGAGAGGTTGCTTTTCTTTTGTTTATATTGTTTTTAGAGATAAGAGTTTGATGTTATTTATGTTTAGATAATAAACGAATATTTGGAGTGAATTTGAACGAAGCTGTAGCTAACGGAGCTGTTTCTGGCTCGGTTAGGGTTCCAAGAATCGTCTGGGAGTGCGTGAGTCATGTGAATCAACACGGTAAGTGGTTTTGTATCTTTTTGTTGGCGTTTAGATCGCTTTCTGCTTTATCATAGGGTTAAAACTGCTCAATGACATCTATGTTAACATGCTTTGGCTGTTTTTAACTTTCAATTGCTCATCCTAACGTTTTTCTACAGATAATAATGCCTTTTATCTTAAATTTGAGCTTTAGGGTTAAATGTGGAAGGTATATATCGAATATCAGCGTCTAAATCAAAGCTGGATGAGCTGGAAAGGTTGGCTGATGCTGGAAATCAGATGAGCTTTGATGATGTTCATAATGCAGCTGGGTTATTGAAGAGGTTCCTGAGGCAATTACCCACTCATGTGCTTGTGAATGTCAGGAAGAGTTGTGAAGAGGTTGCCAGTTGTAAGTTTGAGACTAATTACTTTTGTGTATAGTGTTTTAGGTATTTAATCAGTTTTAGATAATTACTTCGTATTTTTGGTTTTGAACATAATTTCTTGGCATTTTATCATAGTTTTTTAATAATATGAGCAAAAAGAATATGTTTTGACACAAAATCTAAATTGAATTTAAAATTCAAGCTATTTTTTAATATTTTTAGCTTGCCAATGTAACTTTGACTCTCCTTGTCGATGTGATACTGTCAACCAAGTATCAGCCTTACTAAAGCAATTGCCAGTAGAAAATTATCATTTGTTATCCATAGTGTTTGTTCATGCTCAGCATGTTGTCCAAAATGTACGTTTTTGGCTCTTTTTTCTATTTTTGTTACCTAAAATTTAAAAAATGTGGTTTTTAAACCTAAAAGGTTGAACTATATTGTAATCTTTAAATTTGTTTGAGATTCTTAAATGTATTACAGAGTAATGTAAACAAGATGAACTTTGGAGCATTGGGAGTGTTGTTACAAGCGATGTTGAACTTGCCAAAACAATTGATTCGGTTATTTTTGTTAAATGCAACTACAAGATTATGTCCTGATGCAGAGCCCGTAAGAACTTTAAAGTTTATAGTTTTATTGAGGTGACTCTAGTTAAATTTTAATATAAACATATAATTTATACATGGATTGGAATAAATATGGCTGTTTCAGATGACCGAACTATTCAATGAGCCAGCGATACTAGGGTAAGTGTTTTATATACTTGTACTTTACAGCGATGAAGATATTCCTTGGCTTATTGAGTGTTCGCTTACTAGGTTGGTCTTCTGAAATTTGATGGTTATAGTGATCATCTTGTCTGTTTTATCAATTTTTTTCTTTTGATGCTATTAAGTTGTTCAAGTAATTCTGTGCTCATGAAGCAGCTTATGACAAACTTCTTAGAGGCACAGAATTATTTGAACAACCCAATAGTTAGGAATTTAACCTTAATACTAAAGAAAACGACAATAATTTAACTACAATATAAAATCTATATAATACTAGAAAACTATAACGATATACAAATACAAAAGAGAAAAGCATAGAAAAATATAATATAAAAGATCTAAAAAACACATACCTTCCGTCTAACAACGTATATCACGCCAATAATAGTCACCAAAACCAAGAAAGCCACACTTGATATAGTGACCCAGGTCGTCTGTGTCTGAGTTTTGGTCTGTCGTTGACCGTACTTGATTGAATTGATGTCATAGGTTGGTTTGTCAGCATCCGACTCTTCCTTGAATAAGGTGTCATTACCTTCTCCTATGTGCGCGGACCACTAAAACAATATCTTATTTGAAGTTTGGGAGGTTTTATAAGAAAAAACAAGATTTCTTAACAAAAAGTGGAGGTTTATGCTTTGATTAGGTAGGATAAATGTTAGTTTCACAGTAAATTGATAATAACATTTATTGTTTGGACCAATGTACACTCAGTATGAGGTGCTTAAAAACTCTTGTCGCGTTCTGTACATGCAAACCAATACCAATTAACGACAAAACTTAACTGCCACTTTAATATTGGGTTGTTCAGAAAATTTTGCCCTACCTCACAAAACAAATTTGTAGGGTTTCGAGCACCGAATTCTTTGAACAACCTAATATTAAGGTGGCAATTAAGTTTTGTCGGTAATTTGTATTGGTTTGCACATACGGGAGACGGCAAGGCTTTTTGAGCACCTCATACTGAGCGCATTGTGCCAAAAAATGGATGTTATTATTATTTTACTACGAAAATAACACTTATTTTACCTAATCAATCCACAAAAATCTACTTTTTCTTTTCAAAGACTAAGAAAAACAAGATTTTGGCTATAAAATACACTTATAAATAGACAAAGTAACCCTACTTTGCTCAAATCGAAGCCCATCGTGGTGAGTTCGTCGGATTCGGTAGTTGAAGGTGGGGTGAATGTGGTCTCAGGGACATTGTTGATCATATCAATCGTTATTTCCATTAGCTCTCGGCCCTTGAGGTGAGCAGGCTCTTCACAAGCGACCTGTTCAGGCTTGGCTAAGTAAAATGGTCGTGAATCTTTGGTTGCTCGAATATATTCTTCGTTGATCCATTTTTGAACTGAAATTTTGAAATGAAATAGATGGTAATGGTTGTCAATGATCAGACTGATCATCAAGACATAATAGTTGTGTTAAGATAGTTGTGGTTTTTAAAAATGTCACTATGTTGTTGGAGTGGAATTATTAGTAAGAGTTATAAAGAAAGAGGTTTGATAATAAGGATCCTTTTTGAATTAAACTCACGTTCAAGAACTTTGTAGTTGCAAACGAACGGATTTTGTGAAATGTCCAGGATTGTCAGGTTGTGGAGGTCAGAAAAGGTGGAGGCGTTGATAAATGTTAGTCGATTTGATGACAAATTCAAGTTGTTCAGTCCAGAACCAATGACTTTAAACGGCGTTTCAAGCTGATACAACTTGTTAAATGATAGGTCAAGGGTCTGAAAAGTTTATTTTAACTTGGTGAGCTGAAGGTCAAGTTTATTTTACTGTCTTTGAGAGTAAAACTAGAGCTTTGGGTTATAATTTAGGTTGTTCAAATAATCTTGTGTTTTTAAATCACAAAAATTTGCTTTGAGAGGGGCACAGAATTATTTGAACATGTTGGAATTTTTACTTGTTTTATCACTTTTCTTATAAAATTATGGTCTTTCACAGTCATTGGTTACCTTGATATTTTCCATTCCATCAAAAGCCTTATCATCGATATGCTTAATTGAACAAGCAGTCAAATTCAAGTCTTCCAAGCTTTTCAACCCATCGAACGCATTCGATTCCAGTCGAAATAGTCTTGAATTTGATCTTAAATTCAATGTTTTCAAGTTTCCCAAGTGTTTGAAAGAGTTCTCAAAGCCTGTGAATTCGTTGTAGCCAAGGTCAAGGTTTATCAAACTGTCTAGTCCAGTCCATGAGTCAGTATTCAAGTTTGTTTCGTTCAGGAAATTACCTGCCAATGATAGGTATTGAAGGTTTTTGGTCGGACTGAAGGAGTTGGAGTCGATTTTTTCAATCAGATTCACGCTTAGGTCTAGCTGAAAGTTAATTTTTTTGAAATGAAAAGGCATTGGCTACAAGAATATTATGTTTTTGTTTGATAAGAAGTTCTAAAACATTACATATTCAAGGCTTTCCAAGTGCTTCAAGTCATCTTTTTTGAGTTCTGTTAGTCCACAACCAGATAAATCAGCTCGTTCTAACTTGCTGCCTTCTGAGAATTTGAAGTCGTCTAAATTGTAGACTTCGTCAGCTTTGGCTAAACTGATTTGCTGAAAACAAAACTTGAAATAACATATTTTCATTGAATAATCTTATATTAGGATGTTCAAATAATTCTGTGTCCCTCTAAAAGCAAATTTTAGCAGTTTGGAGGCACAGAATTATTTGAGCTACCTAATATGGTAGGCATTGTTTTATCAATAAAATGTTGATACTGTTAGATACGAAGCTTGACTCACTTTTAACGAAGGCAATCTGGAAATTTCGTGTTTGAACGACTCGGTGATATTGTTATGATTTCCAACATACAACGTTTCTAGTTGAGGTAGAGTAGATAGGGAGTTATCTTTAACATTGTTGATTATGTTTTCACTGATATCCAGGGTTGTCAACTGAAATATTGCCGTTATAAACTAAAGTTTGACTCCAAAAAAGCGCAGTAAAAGTTTTACAGTACAGTAAAAGAAGAAATTATTATACAGCAAAAGATATTACCTTGTCAAGCCCTTTGAAGTCATCCTTCAAAAGCTTTTCGATATTGTTATCCTTCAAAGACAAGTAGCTTAATCCCGACAAACCTTGTAGAAACAGCGAAGGTATCCTTCCAAGTCTACAGTTCTCAATTTTTAACTGTAAAACACTTTTCAAACTGTGAACAGGCGTGTCATTCAAAATAGCCAGCCTAATATCTTCACTACAATGTCGTATAGTCAATTCCTCCAGTTCTTCAGTGGCTGCCGTTGTAATGGCTTCCCAAAACGTAACATTCGTATCGTTGGACTTTTTCAAGTTGGTCACCACTATCTAAGAGTAAAATATAATACTGTGAGGGGGTCTTACCGACGAAACGGTATGATTAATATCGTTGATCTCGTTCAGCACCTGGTTGAGGAATGTGATCTCGGTTTCGAATGGACAGTGAACAAGATACGAGGTCTTGTCTACGTCTTTGAGGCAAATGCATTGAATGTGGGAGATGTCTGTGCTGTTGTCGGTGTTCTGAAAAGGTTAGAGGTTTGTGTTTGCTATCAAAAGATAAAAATAAAGGGTAAGACGGATTATTTTGGATAAAACCTCAGTCGCCAAGCTTACTATTTTCAATATATAATTTGCAAAAGAAATTGCCAAGGTTTTATATATACAACTTACAAAGGGGTTGAAGTAAATATCTCTCGGGTTTTAGAACGAGACCTATATAGGATGAAAGAACATAAAAAGTTACCGGGAAAACTGTTTTTAAAAACTGCTATATTATCTTGGCTAGTGAGTTACAGTGCACTCAATATTCTTATATGGTTAAAAGGTAGTTTTAAAATTTGGAAAATGACAATTTAATCTCTGCTTGCGAGATATTAGGATAAAAAATATTTTAAAAAAGGCATTTTTTGAATTTTAAAGCTATATTTTTTAAACAGATAAGAATATTGCACTTTAGTAAAAGAATACAGTAATGTCACACTGTAAAATTGTTGTATTTTTTTAGTCGTATGACACTCAACTTCAATAGTCAACCTTAATATTTTCAACATACGATTAGAAAGAACATTATCAAGACTTTGCGTCATAAAGTTAAAATACTACAGTAATGTTACACTGTAAAATTCAATTAACAGTTTGATGATCGCTTTCGTTAGCTTCAAGTATGACTTTTAAGAAGTAAAACATAAATTTGGGTACGCTTTAAATTTACGTTTTTTACTTTCTAAAAGTCATACTTGAAGACATCAAAAGTGATTATCAAAGTGTTACTTAAATTTTACAGTGTAACATTACTGTAGTCTTTTAGTTGTATGACGACAAGCCTAAGTAATGTCTTTCCTAATTGTATGTTGAAAATAGTAAGGTTGACTATTGAGGTTTTGCGTCATACGACTAAAAGACTACAATAATATTACAGTGTAAAAGCAGAGCAAGGTAATTGATTTTTACTTTTTAAACGATTTTAAAAGATCTTTTTATCAATTCTTGGCACGATAAGATTTAAAAATGGCACTAAAGTACGGTAGTTGGATAAAGATACTTGGGTTTTCAAAAAAGCTTTAGTCAGTTTGCTGTTTTAACAACTAAAACAAGGTATTTTACATGACGTTTAAGCTAGTTTTCTATCTAAACTAAGAATTTGACTTCTAACTAATAACTTATAAGAGCTACACAGGTGCAGGCTTACAAAAATCATAGCAAACATACCAAAGAAGTAGTAATTGAGTCGGGGTCGGGACACGATGGTATACCTTCCCCATACAGCTGGTGAGACAGCAATGCCAACACGAGAAACGTGAGCATAATTGTTTTTGTGTGTGAGCTGAAACGGCAGAATCTCACAACTTTCCTACCAGATCTCGTTTTCTTAACGGTGTTTGAGAAGGAAAGTCAGTCCATTCGCTTCGTCTTCTTTTTTCATTCTTCATCGTTGATGGTTTGATCGCGCCAAGTTGTTCGTTTTTGCAGATTATTCGATGGCGAAAGCTCTTCACAACGCGCCAATTCGGATGACGACGATCGGCATCAGGTAAGCGCAGTTTTACAATCTTGAGGTTGGCTTAACGAGGGGTGGAGGATTTTAAAATCTTGAGGTTGGCTTAAGGAGAGGGGTGGGGAGATTTACAATCTTGAGTTTGGCTTAAGGGGAGGGGTGGATGGGAGTGGATTTAAATAAAAATTTTTTTTTGACAAATGTTGGGCGAGGAAGGGAAGGTTAATCTAATTTTTTGAGTATTTGGGTTAGGGGTGCATCTGAAAGGATTTCTACTAGGCCCGGTACGGCCCAACTGTCGCTTTCACTGTTCTAGTCAGGGTAGATAACGGTAGTAAATGTTATGCGTTTCTTTTTTTTTAAGATTTAAAACGTTTTACGACTTTTTTCGAAGCATTCAAAGGTCGAAATGACTCATAAAACCGTGAAGTAGATTGGGGATGGTTACAACTAATCTCACAGACGAATAATTGAGAGATTAGTCACCGGTTTTACTCGGATTACTGTTACAGTAAAAAGAGGGGCATAACAATTTACATCATAACTATAAAAACTTTTTAATGGCATACTTTTATAGAATAACAACTTTATAATGTCACACTTTTATAGAGTAACCACTTTTTAATGTCATGGTTTTAGGAAGTGGAGCCATCCCCAACTTTTGTCGAAAAACAACTCCTCGCCTTGCACATATCACTTAAACTTGAGGTAGATGAAGAGAAACGCAAAGTCACTCAACTGTTGGGCATTCTACGCCAAGTCCGAGCTCAATTGCCGGAGGCGGCGGTCAAAACCTTGGATGCTAGCCAGAACAGTCAGCTAGAAGAAACAGGTAACGATGACAATGTGAGTAGGGACGATCTCACCGAACTGGAACGAGAACGTGACGCTCTACAGGCAGATGTGGTCAAATACCGCCACTTGTGCGGGTTGTTGAGGGCGCGGCTCGAACAATACAACTTGATGCTGAGTTCGGCCCAAAAAGAGGATTCAGTGCCGCCGAATGAAGCCGGTGAATCGGTGGTTACAAGGTTTTAGTGGAAGGAGTTGGGGCTTTGTTTTCTTTATTTTATGTCTTTTATAGGTACTTTTACTTCATTTTATTCTGTTTTATTGTTATCTTCTCTTCATTTTGTTGTCTTGATACTTTTCTCTTTGCTTTATCTCTGTTCATATGCTATATTAATAAGTACAGTAGACTTTTAGTCATTTTTTCTTTGATTACGGTTATTTTTACTTTGTTTTCACAATTATTTTAAAATTTTTTCAATTTTTCATTATTAAAATAATATCGAAATGTGGATATTTTACTTTAAACTTGCATATTGTGTTATATCACACTTTTTATCATGAATAATATGTTACTTTACAATTTGTTTTGACGTGAATTTGGTTTGAATTGACGTACATACTATAATATCTTCCATTTATTTGCAATAAAGAGCTTTGTTTAGCAATAAATTGTGACCAAAGAGGTGATTGTTAATTAGAAATGACAGTTTTTACTGAAGTAATAACAGTATTTGGTATCGAAATTAGGATTGGCAGCCCCTTGCACCTACCTCTACCCCTACCTTTACCCCTACCCCTCTATCCATGGGTGTATCTTTACTATAATATTATTCTTATCCTTACTCCCATCCCAACCTTTACTTCTACTTTTACCCCGGTATTTTCGTCAATTTGTATGCATTTGCACGGTCAAAAACGACAAGACTTTTCTTTCCATTTTACTGTACTGTGACGTGGTATGATTTACATATTTTTTATAACTTACAGTAATTCTAAGGCTATAATTTTACTTTTAGGGCTAATTCTAAAATTTTAATTCTAATCGCGGGCGCAGATTGCGGGTTTTTATCAAAATTCAATTTTTTGAAATTTTTTAAAATTTAAAAAATTGTTTTAAAATTTGAAAAAAGGCAAAAAATTAAGTTTTTATGTTAATTCGTTTCAGCATTGGCAAAAAAATTGAAATGAGATCATTCGACTGTTACCTTTTCGATAGCGACCAGTCGCTTCGTATTTTACTCTCGACTGACTCTGTTCTTGCTTCAAGAGTTCACAGATTTGAGGCATGGGCAAGAACAATCAAATTGTCCACGAACCTTATTTTTTGGGGGTTTTGCCTAGAGTCAATGCTGAAGTGGGTTTTTTAAATTTTTAAAAATTTAAAAATTTTTTTAAAATTTTGAAATTTTTAAATTTCAATTTTTTAATTTCAGAACTGCCTACTAAAAAAGGGTGATTTCGCCGTGCGTTTTGATGTGCGGAAGAAGTCGTTTGTGTCGATGATTAAAGGCTTGAGCTCAGTCCATCACGAACGACTGTCAGAAGAAGGCGGTCGATGGCATTCAGTTCGGAAGCCAAAACGAAAGTTCAATACCATAAATGAGTTCGTTGAGCATCACAAGAAGAACGCCTTTCTGTTTGATGGAGAGGAAGTGACCATCATGAATGTCAACACTCGACCCTTCTGGATGTTAACCAAGAGCGAAATGCACTTGGAGAAGACTAAATTGGGTATGGTTTTTGAAATTATTGATGATGGGGCGGGGTATCCTAAAATTGTGTTATTCGTGTAGGGTATTGTGAGTTTTATTAACTGGGCGGATTATTTTAAATATTGTTTCTATTGGGCAGGGTATTTTAAAATTTTGATTATTGGGCAGGGTATTTTTAAATTTACACTGCTGGTCGGGATGTTGTGCGGTAAAAAGGTAGGGTAAGAATAGGGCGTGGAAGGGGTGAGGGTAAGTATAGAATTAGAGGCAGGGGTACGGGTTTACATAGGGTTAGGAGTTGAGCAGGATATTTTGAGTTCTGTTGGGTGGGCAGGATATTTTAAGCTTTGTTTTCACTGCGCAGGGTAAAATAATTTGATGATTAGACGGGTATCTTAAAATTGATGGTAGCTGGGCATGGTATTTTAAATTTTGTTAACTGAGCAGGGTATTGTAGTTGTTATTGAGAATTGGGGATAAATAAAAAATTTTTTTAGGCAGTGGAGAGTTCAGCACAGTACAAGCCGGAACATACAAAAAGCAACTCAAAATGGCAGTCAAAATATGCAAGGATAAAGGCGAAGGCAAGGAATTTATTATTATCATTTTTAACTTTTTTCAGCATCATTTTGGTTTTTTTTTATTTCTATAAAAATTAAAGCAAGATTTCAGAAGACGAAGCGGAGGAACAGAACGCTGAAATGGTCACAGAGGCTACCGTGATGAAGGACTTTAAACATTCGCATGTCATTAGTGTATGGTTCTTATTTCAAATTGTAGAGTACGGTAGGGCAATATAGGGTAGGGTACGGTAGGATAGTGTAGATTAGAGTAGGGTAGGGTATGATAAGGTGGAGTGGGGGTAATAAAAAAGAATCGTTACTCAGTGCACTATCGTTCCCTACAGTGCATAACCATTACCCTAATTTTTATTCATTTTTAGATTTCAACACAAAAAAAGAATAAAATGCCATCGAAATGAAACTTTTCACAGGGGGGGGGGAATGAGTATGCCTTTACGAGTGGGGAACGATCCTTTGGTTTTTAGAGAACGATTTTGCATGAGCGCCTTGATTTTTTGTTATTATGAAAAAGTTTTTAAAATTTATCTTTAGTTTTATGGTATTTGCTGTGACGAGTCCCCAATCATGATAGCTATGGAGTTCTGTCCGGGAGGATCTTTGTCATCTCACTTGAAGAAACAACTAGATGCTATTACAGTAGGAGAACGAGTACGGTATTGCTTTGAGACGGCTCTTGGGATGGAGTTTTTGCACACAAAGTAAGTACCTAACCCTTGCCATAGCTTTGCGTAGCCCTAGCGTTGTCTAGCTTTTGTCCTAGCTCTAGTCCTAACCCTAGCTTTGGTCCTATCTCTAACTCTAGCTTTAACCTTAGTGCCAGTCTTAGTTCTAGCCTAAATCTATTTCAGAGAACTGATTCACCGTGACTTGGCGGCGCGAAACGTTCTGATCAGCAGTGAGGGTATGTTGAAGATTAGTGACTTTGGCATGAGTAAGATTGTGAACGTGCTAGCCGGCGAACGGGTGCGAAATCTGAAGAAACCGCTACGATGGACTGCTCCAGAAGCCGTGAGCGACGAGGCACCGTGCTACACGTGGGCTAGTGATGTTTGGTAAGGCTTTTGGCACTTTTTTAGGGTACATATTAACTTTTGGGGGAAGATTTTTATTTTGGGGGTAGATTTTTATTTTGCGGGTAGATTTTCATTTTGGGGGTAGATTTTAGTTTTGGGGGTAGATCTGTATTTTGGGGGTAGATTTTAGTTTTGGGGGTAGATCTGTATTTTGGGGGTAGAGTTTTTGTTTGGGGGCAGATTTTTACTTTAAGAATATGTACTTAATTTTTTAAATTTAAAAACTAAAATTTCAGGGCATGGGGAGTGATGTTATACGAGATTTTTGGCAACGGCGCCCAACCCTTTGCCGAAATCGACAATGACAAAGTGAGGGCAATGATTCTCAGCTGTAAAATGTTACCCATGCCCGACAAAACTCCCGAAGAGATTCGACTTCTGACGAAAAATGGCATCTTCCTCAAGGATACTCAAGTTCGGATGTCATTCACTAAGATTGTCCTGATGTTGCGAGTATGGGAGCTCAAGTACAAACCGCCAGAGTTTGGGCTGGTAAGGAGGAGTGTTGGGTGGGGTAGTTTAGAAATAGAGAGGTTTGGGCTGGTAAAGAGAGAGGTTGGGCGGGGTAGTTTAGCAGTGTGATTTTTGGGCGGGATCGGATTTTTGGGCGTTAAATTTTGAAAAAGTGGATTAGGTCTAGTACTTGGGCTATTATTTGTACTAGGGCTAGTGTTAGTAGTAGTCCTAGTGTTAGTACTAGAAGTACTACTAGGGCTAGGGTTTTAGGTTCTAGTATTAGGTCTAGGGTTAGTACCAGGGCCAGTACCAGGTCTAGAGCTCGTACTGGGGCTAGGATTTGTACCGGGACTAGTACCAAGTCTAGAGTTTGTACTAGGTCTAGGATTAGTACCAGGGCTAGTACTAGGAATAGGGCGCGTTTTAGGGGTAGGACTAGGACCAGGGCTAGTACCAGGTCTAGGGCTTCTACTAGGGCTAGGGTTAGTACTAGGACTGGGGCTCTGGGATGTATACTTAAATAAACCTCTTTTTAGGCTACAGTATTCCAAATCCCGGGTGTACAGGCCGTCGCTCCCAAAGACCTGGAAGACAAGATGGATCAGATAGGTTGCCTGATTGGAGACAAGGGCGTGTCTTTATCTACAGCTCGTGGCGGTTCCAAATCCCCAGTCTTTCATTCAGCAAAGTCCAATCCTCTAGAAGCCCAAAAAGCCCACGGCAGCGGTCGAAAAGTTCCTTCCAAAAAGCACAGTGCAGAATCGCCTAAAAGTTCGAAGAAAAAACATAAAAAGAAGTCCAAGTCACCCACCAAAAAACCCAAGCCTAAGGCAAGCAAAGCCAAAAAGAAGTCACATTCATCGACCGAATCCGACGACGAAGCCAAATCGAAGCTGAGGTGAAAGGAACTTGAAATGAATGACAAGAAGGACCGTTTGGCAAAAAGTGAATGGATCGAGGGATGTTGATGTAGATAATTAGCTTTTTGCTTTGAATAAACCAATTTTTGTTTGATTTGGACGGTGGATATGATGTGGTATAGCATGGGTTCAGTATTTTCTTTGATTTCATCGATGGGTCAAGTTTTACCTTCTTTATTTTATTTCGGGTCAACTTTTTCTTTTATTATTATTTTGGGTAAAGTTTTTTCCCTCTTTATTTAATCTTGAGTCAAATTTTTTTTCTCGGAGGTTTTTGGTAAGTGTGGTATAGCATAAGTTAAGCATTTTTCCTTAATTTTTAGTATTGGGTCAAGTTTTTCCTTCGTTATTTCATTTTGAGTCAAGTATGTTTTTTTGTACATTTGGTTGAAGAATAAATTATGTACATTTATTAATCGTTTCTTAGCAAATTTATAATCTTGGAAGTAAAAAAGTGCACAGTTACAAAAATAATTATTTCCACATATTTTAAATGACGTTATACATATTTTGCAGTATGAAGAGTATATTAGTTGGCCTTATGGAAGTTTTAGAATCGCCATAATTTATCATAGCTTTAGCCCTAGTTCTAGCGCTACCTTAACTATAGTGCTACCTCTAGCCTGCTTATGCAGTACATTATTTTGTGAAAAGCTTTTACTTTATAAAAAATGGTACGTACTTGTACATATAGCATGGTGTTAAAGGATTAACACAAAATAAGGGAAAAGAAACATGATATTCTGTACAATTAACGTCTTTTCATAGCCAAGACAATGACAGTTATTGTATTGGTGTTTGAAGGTGTGTTATCATTTAAAGTATAAAAAAGTGACTTTTCGACTTTTGAAAACCAAAAAGTCATGTTGAACGTCTAGTATTGGTCAAACAGTGAATAGAAACAAAGAAAAATATAATATTTTAAAAACTTTAAAATTTAAAAATTTTTATTTCATTCTCGAAAAATAAAAACGTGGCTTTTCTAAGAACTTATTGACCAAAATTTAATGTTTAAAATTTATTTTTCTCCTGAAATTTACCGACCAATTTTAAAAATTTGATTTTTCTAGGAATTTATGATCAATTTCAAAAAATTTAAATTTTCTAAAAGCATTTTGACAGATTTTTTAAAATTTACTTTTTTTCAAAATTTATCGACCAACTTTGAGAAAAAAATGTTTTTTTTCTAGAAACTTTTTGACCGAAAAGAAAAAATTGTGAAAAATTTCCAAAAACTTAGATTTTTCTATAAATTTATTGACCAACAGAAAATCCTTAGAGAATTTTGAAAAAATCTATTTTTTCTACACATTTATTGACCACGCATAGCTATGGACAACTTTTAAATCCTAAAACTACTCAAAAAGTATCACAAAAACTCGGTTGATTAACACAAGATAACAAGGTACACGTATCCACGTCCAATGTGCGTACTCTGTGCTTATGCCCGCTTTAATGCCGGCTCGCTCACGTCATTGCCCACGCCCCTCGAGGCAATCGATAAGGCCGGGTTTGGGCCGCTTCCCGTGGCGAGTTCTCTGTGCCGCAAAAGGGAGAACGTTCGGGGAGAACGGTCGAAAAAAGAACATTGAGGCATGACAGGCCCTTATTTACTGATTTATCAACATGTTTTAGAGGGGCATGTTTGGGCTTTTTTAGAGGAGCATTTCAAGGCGTTTTTAAGTGGATGGGGGTGGTTTTTTAAGTAGATTTGGGGGTGGATTTTATTTTTTGGTCTTTTACTAAGGATATTGTTTTAGATATAGAGGACCTGCTTTACAATAATTCGCCTGTTATATATTATAGCTATTGACTTGAAAAAAGTAGGCTTAACAATGTTTTTTTGGCGATTTGTACTAACATGCGAACGCATATTTGGCTTTCGTATATTGTGTTTACCTTCTATAATATACTTGAGTAAATAGTTTGAAACCAGTGTTTTTGAAAAAATAAAAAAAAATTGTCAAAAATATTGTTTGAGCTTGAAGTTTACTAACTGAAAACTGGTTCTGTTCGGTTTTTGAGTATAAAATTGAAGTTTAGTAATATAATCGTAAGGCTAGCCCTTGCATTCGCTCAAGTTCTTAAATTGATTGTAAATAACTATTCTAACCCCTTTCTTTGTTGTTAGACTGATATAAATGTAAAAATACAACATAATTTAATTTGACATGTAATTTTATAAAGAACGTCATAAAATTGTATATGCGGAAGTAAAAGAAATGCACTTTTACTTTTGAATTAATTTTATTGTCAGTTAGCATCTATTTTTGACTGGAACATGGCTTTGACATCTAATTTGTAGCTAGGTTAGGCTATATTTAAATTTATTTTACTCTGTAAAGTTTAAGGTAGGGTAAGGTAGAGTAGAGCAGGGTAGGGCAGGATTGGGCAAAGTAAGGTAAAGCACAGTAAGGCAGGGTAGAAGAGAGTAGGGCACCGTAGGGTAGGATACGGCAGGATAGGACAGGGTAGGGCATTTTAGGGCAGGGTAAGACAGGTAGGGCAGGTTAGGACAGAGAAAGAAAGAGTAGGACAGGGTAAAGCAAGTTAGGACAAACAGACATGGGGAACCGGCCGGGCCCAGTTTTTCAAGCCATACTCGATTTAAATTTTGCACAACCCGATTTTTTTACGTGCAGCCAAGCCCGGCCGTGATTTTCAAGTCCGGCCCGACTTAAATTTTTCTCCGGCCCGGTCCGTTCCCCATTGTCTAGATAGGGCAGGTGGGGTAGGACAGATGTTGTGCTTCTTTGAAATTTTGTTTCTCTTAATATCAAAACGTTAAAAAAAAAGCTTGTCGTAAATTTACAAAGACTTTAACGTAAAAAACGACAAGACTTTTTTTAAATGCTTTTTAATATTAAAATAACTTTCGCGCCATTTTTAAATTTTTAATTCGATTTTTAATTTTCACAACTTCCAGGGCCATGATGTTATCGTGGCTGTGTCTCCTGACTGTGGGCCATGTTTTGGGCTATTTCGTGCCGTTGAGCCCGGAGGAAATGGAAATGGGATACCAATATCAACTACCCGAAGAGCTCGAGTTTTTGGACGAAAACATTCGACCGGTCGAACAACTCGAAGCCGAACAAGTGGAAGATCGCGTTTTCGAAGAGGAATTGCGAATTCCTGGCGAAAAACCAACTTTTGTAAGTTTTTTTTTCGATTTTTTAAAAGGATTTTGAGGTTTCAAGTTTTCGTGGTGGGACCAATAAACCTAATTTAAAATATTTTTTACGGAAAGATGGTTTTTTACATCATCTTGATCTTAAAAACCCATTTTTAGATAATAAACTGTTGATTTTATAAGATATTTTGAAGTTTCAGATTTTCATGGTGGGACCAATAAAAAGATATTTTTTAAACCTTTTTATAAAAAATGGTTTTTTACAACATCTCGTGTCTTAAAAGAACAGTGTTGCTCCATAATCTGTTATTTTTAAAAGTGTTTTGAGTTTTCATGTTTTCGTGGTGGGACCTTTTGAATTTTTGTATTTTTAAATTTAAGGCTATTTTTCCAAAACAATTAAATTTTTAAGACTGGGAAATGAAAAAAAATTTTCTTTTTACAAAATGTCACTTTATACCTTAAAAAACTCTATTTTCTTTCAGAACGATACCTATTTATGCTCAGCCTTCCGCCAAGAAACCCCAGGCTACGTTATCAACTTCGAAGCGTTGGCCGACCATCACATGATCCATCACATCATCCTCTTCGGTTGTGATGCTCCAGGAGTACAAGTACCAGTACCAGCATGGAATTGTGGGGAAATGTCACCAGTCGCCGACCCCAGCTATCTTCAAGCACCACCTTGTGCCAACAGTCCCAATATCATCTATGCTTGGGCCAAAGGTGCTCCAGAGCTGAAACTGCCCGAGGGTGTGGCATTCCCAATTGGACCTGAGACCAAGAATCAGTACTTGGTACTACAGGTGCACTACATGCACGCCATGGAGAAGGAGGACAACTCTGGGTTGAAGATCAAGCTCACTGACGTGCCACAACCGAAGACGGCTGCTACTTTGTTGACCGTGACTGGTGGTCAATTGCCTCCAAAGGCTGAAGGTAAGGACAAATAGGGAGGATGGGTAAAGATATGAAGGTAGGGTAAAGAAAAGTAAGGCAAGGTACGGCAGGGTAGAGCAAGTTAGGGCAGAGTAGGGAAAAGTAGGTTAGGGTAGAGCATGGTAGGGCACGACAGAGCACGGTAGGGTAAAGAAAGCAAGGAGGTCAGGGTTGATTAAGGTAAGATATGATAAGGTAGAGTAAGGTAGGGTAAGGTAAGGTAGGGTAGAGTAGGGTAGGGTAGGGTAGGATAGGGTAGGGTAGGGTAGGGTAGGATAGGGTAGGGTAGGGTAGAGTAGAGTAGGGTAGGGTAGGGTAGGGTAGGGTAGAGTAGGGTAGGGTAGGGTAGGGTAGGGTAGGGTAGGGTAGGGTAGGGTAGGGTAGGGTAGGGTAGGGTAGGGTAGGGTAGGGTAGGGTAGGGTAGGGTAGGTTAGGGTAGGGTAGGGTAGGGTAGGGTAGGGTAGGGTAGGGTAGGGTAGGGTAGGGTAGAGCAATGTAATGCCATTACATTACCATTGTACATAACTTCACTACATCTAAATCCTAACGTATCTCTACTTTAAGAAACCTTCGAAGCCGCCTGTGTAATGAACGAGCCAATGGAGATCCACCCATTCGCTTTCCGAGTTCATACCCACAAGCGTGGTACCAAAGTGGCCGGCTGGATGGTGTCTGAGAACGAGAAAGGTCAAGACGAATGGTTCTTGATTGGTGAACGAGACCCTCAGAAGGAACAGTTGTTCGAGACTGTCAAGAACACCAGCATGGTCATCAGACCAGGAGACATTGTCGCCAGCCGATGCTACATGAGCAACGATGAGGACAGGTGAGGGTTTTTGAAGATATGAGGGTGGGGATTGTTTAGGGCCGGTCTAGGGTAGGGTCAGGTAAGGGTAGGTAAGATTACGGTAGGGTGGGAGTAAGGTGATGGTTACCGCAGGCTAAGGTAGTTGCGGTAAGATAAAAGTAAGGCAAGGTATGGTAAAGTAGGGTAGGGGTAAGATAAGGGTAGGTATTGTTACGGTAGGGCAGGGGTAGGGCGGTGGTTACCTAAAGCTGAGGTAGAGTTAAGGTAAGGTTGCGGTAAGATAAGGGTAGGGTAAAATAAGGAAAGGTAAGGTACAGTAGGGTATGGATAAGATAAGGCTAAGTAGGGTTACTTTAAGTCCGAGGTAAGGCTGAGTATGACTAAATAGGGTAAGGTTACGGTAAGATAAAGCTATGGTAGGATAGGCTTTATTATTACCAATTAACATAATGTTAGATAGGATTATAGTAGTGCAGGGGCAGGGTCAGAGTTACTGTAGGACTGTAGCTGGTTACGGTAAGTTAAGTTAAGTCTACTACCTTTCCAGTAGACGTAAAGGCATTAGTCTTGACTTAACGTAGGTATGGCTAGTTTTAATGTAGGGTAGGGAAGACCTTGGCTAGGGTGTTGGTAGCGTTACGGTAATATTAAGAAATTCTCAGATAAGTCTTAAATTTTATCATTTTACATTGAGTTACCCTTTATCAACCATACTCTTCCAGACTAATAAGCATGGGTCCAACCGGCGCCGACGAGATGTGCAACTTCTACATGATGTATTGGGTGGAGGGTGATCAGACCTTGGCCGAGAACACCTGCTACAGTCCGGGCGCCCCCGACTACCGTTTCTCGCAGCAGACCGGCCTCACCAACATCCCCAACTAACCCTCTAAAAGTATTTAAATTTTGTTGAAAAACGGCGAGGGAATGACTGGCGCGGACATGGCACAATAAACATATATTGCAACTTGTATATCTACTGTATTTAAATGACTATTTATAAACCGTATTTTAGACGTGGTGTTTCTTTAATTTCTTACTGTAACTGAACTTACGGTATCATATGTAAGAGCAGTTACAGTATCTTACAGTAAAGTTACGGTACTTTACTGTTAGTTTTAAAAAGATTGGAAATGACTTGTGGTATCTTACGGTAATTAAATTTATGATACTGTACTGTAAAAGCCTTTACAGAACATTACAGTAAGATCTTACAGTTAACTTTAAGAAGGTTGGAAATTTATTACGACGTCTTACTGAAACTTAAGTGATGATATTATACTGTAAGAGCAGTTACGGGTGTGACTCCCCCCCCGCCCCCAGAACCGATCCGAAAAAAATTCCACAGGTAGGTGGTACCTGTACGTGAAAAAACGAAAAAAAAATTTTCGAAAAATCGGTCCACAGGTAGCTTTACGACATCTTGCAGTCAGTAAGCTCACTGTATATTACTGTAGCTAAGATGACAGTATCATACTGCAAGAACAGTTACGCTACCTTACTGGGCAGTTACAGTACGTTACAGCAAGCAAACCTAACTTATTTTACTGTAACTAACAGTATTTCTTCAAAGCAAACTTTAGCGTTTATGGTAGAATTATTTAAACAACTTAATACTTTGATCAGAAATAAGTTATCTTACTGTATATAAACCACCATAAAGTTCAAAAAGACCAATTAGACGCTGTATTGCCACATCAAACCTTTACCATAAGATAAAGCATACCATCAACACTTATTTTGGCCTTTTAACAATGTAAATGAGCTTTAAAACCTTAAATTTTATTGACAAAATATGTTAATGCAAGACCAGTCACAAATATATAATAATGTACCATTTACAGATATAGGTATAACACCAGTTCATTTACCCATACAGGTATAACATACCTTTACCACACCCCATGATTTACTGTTCTTCTCTTGATCTGATCAGCAGCTCCAATGCCATTTCGAAGTTTCCTTGAGTCACAATCAGATACTGTACATTCTCTCCGTCATCAGTGAATCCGAATTCTCTGAATTGATCCAACTGACTTCGGTAGGTCTCCATCGGATTCTCTCGTGGTACAGGTGGTACTGGTGGTGCTTCCGTGCCTTGAGAAGGTAGGTTTGGAGCCGAGGCGCTTTGAGTTGGCAGATTTTGGGAATTCTGTGCTAATGCATCAAGATTGCCGCCCATAACTGAAGCAAAAGCATTCTGAAGAGCATCAGCCGTGATTCGGTTATCAGCGTTCGCTGGTGGTACACTTCGGATTGATGGCCCGGCTGGGTTGAAAATACGACCAAATGCGTCTTTTGGTATGACTTCATCAATAACGTGACGTACAAATTGGCAGAACTCGGGATACATCTTGATTCCATCTTGCCATTGCGAAAAGTCGGCCAGGAGGTTGAGGAAGGTCGAGTTTTCCAGGATTTTCGAGTATTTTGCAGCATAATGGCGCTTGAAATCAGGCTTGGTGATGACGTCGGCAATCTGCAACAGTAAATTTTTTAGTTTTTGTAAAATTAAAAGCCGGTTTTTAGATTTTAAAACATCAAAAATGAAGAAAAAAGGCAATTTTTCAACAAAAAACGTAGCTTGAAGCTATATTTTAAACTTTTTTACAGCCAAAACAACTTTAAAACATTCAATAAATTACTAAAAAAGCTGATGGAAAAGCTACTCGACCCTAACATAATCATTTAACCAAGAGATTACCTTCTGAACTTGAGGTTCTTGCAAATTTTCCAAGGTCGACACAAGTTGTTGATCCACAGAAGTCTCCATTTTTTCAGTTTCCGCAGCTGTGACATCGTAGAGAACACGAAGAGCATTCTGAGGCTTTATTCCAGCGATTTGGTCAATAATTTGGTCATCGGAGAGCTTTTGACCACGGAAAAACACAACTAAAACAAGTTAGTTTAGTGTAATATCGTTAACATCACTGTTGGTTGTTTTTAGGTGTCCATCAACCTCTATTTTAAATAAAGGTGATGTAGAAGATAAATATTACCTAAAAACAGAAAGAAACAATGAATATACTTACCGCATTTCTTGCTATCGCCCGCCGGCTTCACAGTGTTAATAAGGTCCTGGATCGTCTTTGATCCCTCAATTTCCACACGAGGATTAGAAGAAAATACAGCAAACACCATCTAAAGATCACATTAATACTACTTAAACAAAAGCATAGCAAAATCTATAGAAAAATTAAAATAATTCGATATCAAAGTGATTAAACACTTGACCTACAATATCAACCTTGATCATTCAATAACTTTATTTTATACAATATACACAAACAATTCTAGCCAAGAATAATTAACTAATAATACCCATTATCTTCTCGTTCAGTGGATTCTCCGGGGACTTTTGCCATTCCTTCTTCAAAAGTTGTTTTAGTTGAGACAGTCGTAACGTTGGCTTTTCCTCTTTCAGTTGAGGTAATCTACGTGCTTCAAAATCAGAATAAGCCGTCTTCAAACTCTTCTGAGGCTCCGCCGGTCCTTTATCACCCAAAATCTTCAAAGCATCATTGACATTTCGGGCTACTTCACCAATATTCATTCGATTCATGTTTTCTTGTAGATGATCAGGTACAACAATTTTCTTACTCTCTTCTAAAAGCCGTAGACGCTCCCTTTCTTGCTCTGCCTTCTCCTGTTTAACAATAGCATCAATTTGAGCTTTTGTAACTTTAGAAGCAGAAGGTTTTTCTTTTCCGATGTTCTGCATTTCACTTTCATAAGCTTGCTTGTTCTCCTGTTTCTTCTGTTGAGCTTCCAGACGTTTCAATTCTTGTTCTTCCTGAAAAAAAACTTTTGTAAATCTAGAAACATAGTTTTAACAAGCAGAATACAAAAGTTAAGCCAATTTGATATGAAGTTACACTTTTTATAAGTAAAACCATCTCCACCATCCAGTATACATCTTTCTAAACTCAAAAACAATAAGTTTAAAAAACTTACTTTTCTCTGAAGCTTCTTCAACACCTTAGTATCATCCTCAGCCCATTTGGCATCTTCTTTTGCCTTCTCTGTTTTGGCTTTCTCAACTTCTCTAGCTTCATTCTTCTTGGCTTTGGCCACAGCCGACTTCTGATTCATACCCGTGAATTTTTTCGGCATTCTTAAACAATATGCTTTCTTTAGACCAGAATAAAAGCGTTAAACACGTATACAATTTGTATACAAGATTTTAAAATATTGCAATTATTTATTTTCACCGTGGCTTTCCGTCTATAATCACAAAATCGCTGTTTGACCTACAAAAATACCTCAAGAAAATTATTTTCCAGATTTTTTTTTGTTTTTACCGTAAAAGATATCTTTATCAGTAAGGTAGAGATTCGGAAAGTTACCTTATTGCTAAAATACATATCTACAGACGGTCATGACAGACTTGAGAACCCAACTTTGTGACACTCCCGAGAACTACATCAACGATCCCATCGTCGAGATCCAATGGGCAGAGAAGGCCTTCAAGAAGGCTGAAGTCCATACAAACCTGCTTCTTTCTTCGGATACCAAGCATTTGAAATTGTGCAAAGAACAGGATATTATACATGAAGCTTTTAGGAAGGATTTCCCGGAATTGAAAGTGACAAATGTAAGTTTATGAGTTGATTTTGATGTTTTATGTTTAGTTGACCATCGAAGACCTGAAAGGTGACAATGTGACGAAATGGAGAGAATTTTGCATGCAATTCCAAGAAGTTAAGGATTACAACTTTGGATCTTTGTTAAGATTGAATGCTGATCAAAGTTACACCAACGAAAACACTGTTTTAGTTCCACAGGTAGGTTTATATTACCTATCATGTTATTTTAAGGTTAGATGAAGGAAGAGCTATTTTCTTATGCTCTATTAGAAATGATTAAGTTAGTTTACAATCTATATTTTACTATTAAGTTATTTTACAGCCAAAAATGTGATTCGTATACATTAACATTTGATATTATTTTTCAGGTCATATTCTATGCCATTGAAATTGCCCGAAACCTGGAAGGAATCAACGAAACCTACAGAGAAAAAGTGAGGTTACACCGTGAAGAATCTCTTAAAACTTCTCAAGAAGCTGTTTAATAAAGTTGTTGTTGTTTTGAAGATAGGCGTTGATGGAAACAATTAAGTTTAAGAATCCTTTATGATTTGTTATGAAAGAAACCATTATAGGCTTGTGTTTAGTCAGCTAAAGCTTAATATAATCAAAGAGTCGTTTGTAAAGTAACATCCACAATAGAGATGCATTTCAAAGTTAATACAGGCAAAACCCTTATCATAAGGTTGACAAATTCGATAAAATCATAGTTAAGACTTTAATATACCCAAAAATCAAATTTACAATACATATATTTAAAAAACTAACAAAGTCCATCAAGGATAACATAAATTACTGATAATAGAGTTCAAAGTTGAAGCCGTCGTTGATTTCATAATCTTGTAGCGTAATGTGGTCCTTGTATGTGTTGTACCACTTCTTCAGCTGGATCTTGTCTGCTCTAAAAAAGAGGTTTTAAAAGGAAGAACTAAAGGTAACACCTTTTCAATAAAGGAAAAGCAAATGTAAAGTCACTACAAGTAGAACATTTTCAGGATATTATTTATGAAGTTTAAAGTTTAAGTTAAGGAGAAGCATTAAAACCTAAAAACAAAACAATATAAGGCATAAAAACTTACTTTGTACCCGTTTGAGCAGCTATTAACTTCTTCAGATCTCCAATCGTGTCTGTCGGATTGCATTTTACTCGTACCTTCTTGCCAAGACGATCATTTACTGTGACCTCAATCATTTTAACTTCTGAATATCTTGTGCCACTTCAATAACTCCTTCAGAAGGCCGTTCAAATTCACAGCCTTTCCAAACTTACGAAATCCAGCAATATATTCTCCAAAATTGTATTTTTGTGACACTTCGTTACAAAAATAACAAAAAATTACGTCAATAATCGAAACCCGCTCACACGATGAGAGAGCACGCGAAGCGAGAGGCGCCAGGAAAATATTAGTCTTTGGTTCGAGAGATTGCTTCTTGGTCTCGTTGAAGCGAGGAATCTGGTTGTTGGTTTCTGATTATGAACACATTTGCTTCTAAAAGCGGGTTCTGTCCGAGTGTCGCCGTTTTGTCAAGCCAAGGAGCCGAGAATGTTGCTTATCGAAACAAATTGTCGTTTGCTCAGATGCTGGGCCCGTTCAGCACGATTAAAGCGGAAATCAAGGTGAATATTCGAGCTGGATTTTGATAAAAATTGGGGTTTTGTGCGAAATTTTATGGAGATTTTGACGCAGTTTATGCTTCAAAGTTATTTTTTGTATATTTTACGTATCTTAGCATTTAATATTGTGTTTGACGTTATCTATGATTGATGATTGTTTTTCAGGATCCTAATGGTCGTAGTGGACAGATAACTTTAACAGTTGACTTCAGGGACATACGAAAAGATGGGTATTTATTAAGTTTGTCAGTATTACCTTCGGTTCTTCAAGAGGTAGGTATTTCTTTTATTTTTCTTGTTTTAGGTGATCAATAAAATGTTTTTCTCCTTGTACTGTTTTTGTGATGACAATACGTGGAAACCTATCTTTGTTAGCTCTTATACATATCATCTTGTATGCTTTTTACATTACAATATCAATTTACTGATTAAAGTGTGTTGTAGATAGTAAAATTGAACAGTAACAACAGCTCATCGGATGTCTGGGACAATTGTTTCGTTCAAGCGTTTCACTCATGGTTTGAGCCAGCTGAACATGATTTTTTGAAGGCACATTTAGCTTGTATATTCGTAATATCAGCTGAAGATCAGAATCCACTGGGAGAGTTGGAAAACTTAGTGAACCAGCAAAACTTACAACAGGTATATGGTTAATATAATTTTTTGTTGGTTTTGCTGATTTTTTAGATAAGGTGACTAAAGTAAAGGATGATATAGATGTTAGGGATTATGACAGTTAGTTTTAGAGCAGTTATAATGATAAGGTATTGATAAAACTTATATTATTTTAGGTGTTATGGTTAATATCTTATTTTTAGTTTTTACTGCTTTTTGTGGTGTTTAAGGTTAAGATAAGTCTGTTATATTTAAAAATAAGTTAATTAAAATAATATGCTAAATTTCAGCATGGTTCAGATGCTGGATCGCTTCAAATTCCAGCATTTTGTTCGTCTCCGAAATGGTTTCTACCTCAAACTCTCAAGTATTACGTAGTTTTACACGATGTTCTTAAAGGAAACAAAGAAAAGTATGTTTTTGTGATCTAAAATTTTATATTAGATGTGTTTTGACCTATTTTAATAATATTTTGTTCTATATTAATAACATATGAGTTTTAACTATTGCACCGTGCAAAATTTAAAATTTACTTTCAAATTAAAAATATAGTTTTAACATACTAGTTTTAGTGCTGAACGAATCTACAAGTCAGTAAAAGACAAATACGGGGACAACTTCTCAGCTTTATTGGAAATAAACTCAGAACAAGAGGTGAATCTGCCTGATCTGTGGAGCAATGTTAATGTAAGGAGAATCGGTCTCAGAAATGGGCTGGATGTGGCTAGACGAGAAATTTTAGCTAGCCGAAGCCCAAATCCTAATTCTAATGGAATTGCTATTGATCAGGTTAGTGGATTTTAACAAAGTTTTAAGAGGTATAGGGGTTTAAAATGGAAATTTGATTCTTTCTTTTAAAAATTTTATTTTTTTACAATTTTTAAAGTTTTATCATTTTAAAAGTAGAAAAATATCATTTTTTGGTTATGAGTCTACAGTAAGCTAAAATACAAATCTTACTTTCAGGAAAAACCTCAAGTAGAAGTGTGTTCCTTCGGCAAATGCTTATCACAAGAAGACAGAGATCGGATAAAGTCGTTTGTCGAACACTTTATCAACATGACCTTAATTGGATATGTGACAAAGCAAATGCAACTCCTGAATGATGCTATCGTCTCCAGGAGAGGCATAGGAAAGTCATTCACGAGTATGAGGAAGTGGCTCAATGTCGCTACGGCTTCACCTACTACCAACTCAACTAGTGTTAAGTAAGGAATTTTTAAGAGGGAAGGGGTGGTTTTTGGACTTAAAATTATTTTTTAGGTATAGGTGCAATCATGTTTTTTAGATTTTTTAATTTTTTTTTAAATTTTTAAAATTTCAACTTCATTTCAGCTACACCACAGAAAGCACGGAAATGCAATCCAGACGTCTGGCAGATCTAGCTTTCCTATTTGGAGCCTATCCATTTGCATTTCAGCTGTATCAGAGTTTGAAAAAAGACTTTTTAAATGATCAGGCTTGGCTACAGCACGCTGGAACGTTGGAAATGGCGGCCATCACTTCCTACCTATCTGGAGCTTCGAATGCCAAAAACTTTCCAATGCATTACATTGAGAATTCCTTGAATTACTATTTGAAAACTAGCTTGTGAGTTGAAATTTAGTGATTTTGGGGGTAAAAAGTGAGGGTTTTAAGGAAAAAGTGGGTTGATATTGGGAGAATAAGGCTGTTTTTTGAATTTTAGGTAACAAAGTTGGTTTTGGAACTGGGAAAATCTAAAAAATAGGTTACAGTTTGGATTTTTTCGCTGGAAAAAGTTTTTTCGCAAATTTCTCTTGTTTTAAGCTTAAAAAACGACAAAACTTTCTTGACTTAAAATTTTTTAAAATTTGACAAAATGACTTTGAAAATTGAGAATCAGCTCCAAAATTTTGCAAATCAGCTCACCTTCTTTGTATATATGCTAATTGCCTTCAGGAATCCCCTCCTGTTTTTCCGTTCACTGCTCTTCTCCACCCGCCTCCTGGAAGCCTTGGACAGGCCACAAGACGCAGCCGGCTTCCTGGCCCGGTTCATCCCCCAAACCAACCTCACCGACCTCTTCAAAGCCGTCGCCATCGAACACTCGGGCACCTTGTTTGGCCGTGCCAGAATGTTCCGAAAGCAGTCGTTCCATCGGTTCTTGGCCTCGAAATGCTTTTACCAAATCAAGCTGGACACTATCGCTACAAGGCTATTAGAGTCGGTGTTAACAGAGATTAGTGATAAGAGATGGTCAGCGGCCGAAGACCACCTACTGGAAGAGATGTGCCGAGAACTGGGTAACGACAAGGAAATGGTCAAGGAATGTTTGGAGAAGCTGCTCAAGTCAGATGGCAGCGAAAGAACCGAAGGTCAGTCCATTATCAACTTTGTCAACTACCTCAAGGTCTGTGAAGGCATGGACTCGGTAGCCCTAACCATACCTGAATTGGAGCCAAAGAGCACGCTCATGTACTACGTGAATCAGGACGTGATCTCGAGGAACGGCAAAGAATCATGGATGGAGTTGTACAATCAGAGCATTGCCAAGATGAGGCACTACAATCCAGCTGTTAAGCAGCCTTTTGGAGCTCCAAAGGTACTAAAGGTACCAACCAATGAACCGGTCTATGTTAAGATTGGATTGGTGAACAAATATGCCTTCCCGGTGCTCATGGAGAAGGTCAAGTTGGAGGTTAAGGTGAGGGAAGGGGTTTTATTAGATTTTTCAAATAATTATGTGCCTTTAATCTCGAAAATTTGTTTTGAGAGGGGGCACATGATTATTTGAGCAACCTAATAGGTGTTTTAAAAAGGGTCGATTTTTAGGTATCAATCCCAATAATAATACCTTTATGTTTAGTCCAACGCTGAAGTCGAATGTCATATAGTAGAAAGAATCGAAATCCCCGCTTATGACAATGAAAAAGAGGGCAATATCACCGAAGTTCTGCTGGCTTTCACTCCAAAAAGCGTGGATAACATGTATGAAGTCACATCAATGTCGTGCAGGTTGTCAGATCTTAATAAAACTGCAGTAATCAATGGAGTCATAGCTGTAGAAGGGAGTGAGGTAAGATTTTGGTTGAAAAATTGTTGGATATGTAGGAAGTTTGGGATTTTTTAGGCGTTTAAATATGGTTTTTGACCTGTTTTTCGATTTGAAATAGAAGTTTTGACGTTTTTTTCGATTTTTAAGGTCAAGAAATGATGTTTTAGCTAAAGCACGATTTTCAATGATTTAAAGTAAAAATTGGAAGTAAAGTGCTTTTAAATTTTACAGCATTTTCAATTCAATTTTAATGTGTATAACACGTTTTTCTTTTCAGAAATCATCAAAAATCTGCGTAAAAACGGACAAATTGGTATGGCCACGGCTGGACATCTCTCTACCACCACATTCGTACGATGAACATCACAAAATACCATTACAATTATATTGTGGACAAGTTTACTCCTCCGAATTGGCCATTCAAAACAAGTCCGAGTCGGCAGCTAACGTTCTAATCACGTCCGACTGTGCCAATGAGTTTGGAATTGCTGTGGATGGGCGAGGTGGCTATTCATCAGGCTTGGGTCATGGCGCTGATCAAGGAGCCGGTCATGGTTTACATTACGGTTTGGGTGTATCAAGCCAAGGAGTAAGGTTTGGTGGTCAAGGAGCGGAGCATAGTTTACATATTGGCTCAGTTCAAGGTTCAGGTCATGGTGTATATCAAGCAACAGACTATAGTTCACATCAAGCCTCAGCTCAACTTCGAAGCCAAGATCCAGAAGGCTATCAAGAGCATTTCCAAATCCTACCAGGCCAGAACACCACCCTCAACCTACTGATATTCGTATCAACGACCAAAGTTGTGGAGAAATTGATCAAAGTCATGATAACTTATAGCTCGGCCCATGGAGCGGTCCGAAACCACCTGATTGAGTTTATCATAACATCAGAGATGCTCTTGCACTCGAGTATTAGAGTAGTGGACAAGAAGTCCGGGCTATGTGGCTTAGTGGTGAGGAATGAAGCTCCAGTCACAAAGACATTTAGCAATATTGAAGTACTCAAACTGAGCATAAAGAGTAATGAGAAGAGGATTGAAGAAGTTATTGGACTGGAGAAGCTGTCAAACAGAAGTGTGATGCTAGAGACGGATCAACAGGATACGTTCTGCTTCAAAGTCAAGGTTAATATGGGGAGAGAGGGCGAAACTGATGTTGTAGTAGGCAAAAAGTTGGGAGTTGAAGGTGGTAATGGCAAGAGATTGGGAACAGATGGTGTTACTGGAATAAAAATGGCTTCAGAAGGAGCTACGATAGGCTACGGATCACGAGAATCGACTCCAGAAGCCAGAGGATCGGTAGAATCGTTAAAATCATCATCAGCAGCTTCAGAGTCCGCTAGATCGCCTTCAGAAGCTGCAAGAGGATCCAAATCAAATTCAGGAGCTACAGGAGCATCTAAATCAACTTCAGATGCTACAGTTTCCAAATCATCGTCGCTATCTTTAGAACCTTCAATAGTATTCAAGGAGATACCATCCTTTATCTCTAGATGGCCAAACCACAAAGATCAAACTAACTCTACCGTAATATACTTTGAATTACTGTGGAAAGCGCGTGTCACTTGCGAACAAGGAACTACCACAACATTGTACGGCAGAAGCAGAATCCCAAACCCATTCATAACGATAGACAACGAAGAGAGAAACGACATCACTACCTTCATATGCCCAAAGACATTACTCAAGAAGAGTTTGGAAGAGAAGAAGGGAGCGATTGATGGGTTGGAGAAGGTACTCAAGCTGTCAGAAGAAGATATAGACACCTTGGCATCGGAATTCGCTTGTAATATCACGGTGAAGGACCCACGCATCCCGTGGGAGAGCAAGTATGCTGTGGCATAAGGTTATAGTACAATAGTGTGCTGTCGCATAAGTTGATAGTACTATAAAATATGTTTATAGTGGCATATTAGGTTGTTCAAATAATTCTACGCCCCCTTAAGGAACAGTTCCGGGGTTAGAAGGCACAGTATTATTTGAACAGCCTAATATTATGATCAATATGTTTCCAAAGCGCGTGCATAGTCTATAGCTTGAATAATATTGATTGGAATATTGTTGTAGGTACACATTTGGACCTTCTTTCCTATTATAATATAAAATTGTATTTGAATTATGATGTTATTCGATACCTATATTTAAAATTGTATTTCCTGTATGATTCTGAGGTTATTTTACTTTAGAAGTATACCTATTAGGTTGTTCAAATAATTCTGAGCTCCCTCGCAAAGCACATTTTCGGGGTGGGGGGCGCATAATTAGTTGAACAACCTAATATATTTAAGATTGTATTTCTATTCGTTATGCTATACCTTTATTTAAGATTGAATTTATAGTATATGTACAGTAAGTTAATATGTGATATTATGGTATATATATATGTCATTTATATATTTCTTTGTCATATTAAGGTTAATTTGTATTTTTTTTGTCATATCAATGTTACGGGTCTATATTGTTACTGGTTGATGATTAATAACAATGGGTGTTTGCTTTAAAAATATAATTTTATGAGGATTAGAAAAACTTTGATTCGTGTTGAATGGTCTGAGACCATGGATAATATCTGATGTTTTTTTTATTTTTCAGGCTTTGGTACTATTTCACTTGGCACTATTTAGTATTGATCTTTCGTACTATTTAGCATCAACATTCAGTACTATTTCCCTTCTTTCCTAGCAGTATTTTGTGGTGCTATTTAGTATTTTTAGTATTATTTTGCACCTTATTTAGTACTACTTTTAGTATTGACATTTTTAGGTATACGTCAAATTTTTACGAAATTGGTATGATTTTAGGTACTGAACCGACCCGGAAATGGCTTCCCAAACCACTGGAATCATGCAATTGTTGGCCGCCGAGAAGCGCGCGGCCGAGAAGATCAACGAGGCTCGCAAACGCAAGGCCCAACGCCTGAAGCAGGCCAAGCAAGAGGCTCAGGCCGAGGTCGAAAAGTATCGTCAGGTAGGGCTTTACCTAGTTTTTGGTTGCCACCTTATATTAGGCTGTTCAACTAATTCTGTGCCCTTAAACTTCGGAAATTTGCTTTGAGGGGAGCACAGAATTATTTGAACATTCTAACATGGCACTATAAGCATATCTTGGAGAGCACAGAATTATTTGAACAATCTAACATGGCACTGTAAATATATTATAGTACTATGAAAACATATTAGGGAGCACAGAATTATATGAACAACCTAATATTTTGATTTTTTTTTAAAATTTGTTACCCATTTACCAAATTTTGCCCTTCAGGAACGCGAACGCCAATTCAAAGAGTACGAACAACAATACCTGGGCACAAAGGAGGACATTGAAGCCGGCATTCGTCGCGAGACCGAGACCACTCTGGAGCAAATGAACCAGACCGTCGGCGGAAACAAACAACAAGTCATCGTTCGTCTCCTTCAATTGGTCTGCGACATCCGCCCCGAACTCCACCACAATCTTCAACTGCAGAAGAAGCTGGAGAGCAACTAACTAAATGGTGCACTTTTAGCTAAATGTGTAAGTGTTAAAGCTAAGTGGTACTATTTTTAGAATTGCACTAGTTTTGGCTAGGTAGTACCATCTTTCAGTTTATTGGTACCATTTTTAATTTAGTCGTACCTTTTTTGGACGGTCAGTAGCATTTTTTTAGTTAAATAGGGCCAGAATTAGAAAAATGATACAGCTAAATAGTACGCTTTTTCGATGAATTGCTCTGTTTTTGGTTAAGCAGTACCATTTTTTTGGTTTATTGGTACCATTATTGGTCAAATCGTACCCTTTTCGATTATACAGTACCATTCTTGGATGATCAGTATTATTTTTAGCTAAATAGTACTATTTTTTTCTTAAATGGTACTTATTTGGTCGAATAGCACTATTTTTTAGTCAGAAAGTACCATTTCTATGTAGTACCATGTTTATAAATTAGTACTGTATTTTTGATACTAGATAGAAATGTTTTGCTTAATAGTACCTTTTAGTTAAGAGTGGTACTGTTTTATCTAAAACTGGTGCTGTTTTTCTTAAATTTGGTACTTTTTTAGCCAAATATAGTGCTCATTATCTAAAAAATGGTACTGTTTATTTTAAAAATAATACTATTTAACTATAATTATTACTTTTCAGTCGCTAGCTGGAGAATTATATCCTCCAACATCGTGTCAATTCACTCCATCGCTTATTTCTCCCCCAACCTGCATCACTTAAACCTTCCAGTTATCTTGTAATTTTAACAAATTTTGTCATTTTTTATCAACTACACTCCTAAGTCGAAATAAATATAGAGTATTGTAAGGTTTTGGACTATATATGAGTTGGTATAGAGGATCTGAATCCAAATTGAGCTTTGGTTTGTGGATTCTTATAAAAAGTTAGGACGCAGCTTGGAAAGGAGGGCTCGCAGGCTGCGGAATTTGAAGATTTTGAAAATATTAAATCTGCGGTCAAGGATTATTAAGAAAATAACAATTTATCTCAACAATATAAACAATTAACAACCTAATTGTGGTATCTTGGCTACAGTACTTAGCATACTGTAGGCTACAGTACCCTGCAGTATTATATCTTAGACTACAGTACCCACTACCGTGCCTTACACCGCTATACCCTTCCTACTGTGCTTTCTGTTTCTTCTTCTCGGCCTTCAGAATCTGGAACTTCCGGTCGTTCCATATCTTCGTGATGGCTGATACGTCGTCCTTCTTTATCGTGCTCGGCACGTCCAGATCCAAACACACGTACAGGCCGGTACGTCGTCGTACTCGGCTGTCGTTGATGGTCAGGTTTTGTTCGCTTAAGAGGTCGAAAAAGCCTTTGTGATAGTTTTGTTTGGCCAGTTCGAGGAGCTCCTCCTTCGAGGTGTGCTGTATTAATTGGCGTGGGACTGAGGCCTTGACACATGTTATACCGAGCATCTAAAATACGTAAAAATTGAGAGATGAAAGCAAATTTGGCGTATTTTAATTTCAAATCATTTTACTATCTAGTACAAACCTTTGCAAAATACACATATTTTTCTTAAAGTTTGGGTCCTACCACGAAAACATGAAATTCATTAAAAGTCAAATATTATAAAAATGCAAAAAAATTAATTAAGGTCCCAATTTTTATAAAAAATAATAAAACCTCATATTTAAAACTGTCCTTTTCAAAAAAATAAAATTGTAGATCCCACAACGAAAACTTGAAACTATATATAATCATCAAACTGTCAATCAAAAACGAAATAAAATAGCATTAAAATCCCTGTAGACATTGAAAAATTAATCAGTATCATAAGTTAAACACCTAAATTTTAAAAAATGCAATTGTTGGTCCCACCACGAAAACATGAATTTATATAGAATCGTCAAACTTGCAACGGAAGACAACTAAAACATCACTAAAAATCCCACTGCCATCATAAAATCTCATCATATTTACAAATCGAATTTTTTGGTCCCACCACGAAAACCTCGTTTTTTCAAAAATCACAATTTTCCACCAATAACCCACAAAATCAATCTTCTTACCCTGATAATGAACTCAATATCAGCTTCTGGGTCGATTTGTGGCCATTTCTGTTGCTCCAACTCTTTGTCTTTTTCTCTGATGCTCTCATCGTACGCGTTGACTGTAACCAGTTGAGCCCACAACTCTTTGGAGATATTTGGTGCTACTGTCTGAAGCATGATGACTAGAGCGTGAATACATCGTTCGGCTTCTTTGCTCGTTCCGATTTCTTCTGGGTCCATTTTCTGAAAGGTTCGTGTTGTAAAAGGGCGAGCGATATTGTAGTACAAACCTATATCAAACAAAATCAATTTTTTCAATTTTAGATAAGATTTAGCTCTTTCTCTGTGCCATAAACTCAAAAATATATATATACCTACCCTGAGAGAGCTTGTTAGCCCTTGTAGATTCATGATACTAGTATTGTGCAAGTGTAGTAGCTCCAAACATAAAGATACCTGTAAGATATGTATCTTATCAACATTAACTTGTAAATCACAATACTTATCTCATATACAGTTGAAAGCGTCAATAAAGCAAATCTTGCGAGGTCTTTGGCATTGTGTTGCAAGCTATTACACTTATTTTGAAGCCCTTTGGATTTATATTTATAAAAAAAAGCTAAATTAATGTAGTTTAACTAAAATACTATAAGAGATAATATGTTTTTACTAAATGTGTGTCCCACCACGAAAACATGATTTTTACAAAGTGATATTTTATACATTTTAAAGTAAAAAAATCCTTTTTCTAACATACATTTGCCAATTTTAGTTATATGGAAACTTTTTTACTTGCAACACAATGCCAAAAACGGCAATAAAATGAAAATTCAAATATTACTAAAAGGTTTCTGAATTCAATGTAAAAATACACATCCAACCAAAAAAGGGACCCACTCAAATTTTTTTTAAATAAAAAAGCACCTTATTCCACAAAATTTTTTTTTCAAACCCCCCCCTAAATTTACCCCGCCCGAAACTTTTTCCTTAACTTCCAAACCATTAGGTAGTTCAAATATTTCTGTGCCCCTTTTCAATGCAAATTTTTGAAATTAGGGAGCCCAGAATTATTTAAACAACCTTATAAAAGGTTTCTAACTTCAAAATAAGACCTATATTAACCATTTCCATGCTATTAGGTGCCGACATAAAGAACCCGCCATACTTTGCCTGTAATTTCCTGTAAAAAATGGCGGGTTCTTTATGTAGGCATATAAAACAACATCATCCTCCCGAGCCCTATATCCTTCTATTCCCAACCTTTATCTCTAAACTTACATTCAATATGTGATAATTGTAGACTTCTTTACAATACATATCAGTTTCTTCGTTATTCTTGGGTTCAGCTGTTGGTTGTGACCTCCTGTAGCTGGTGTAGGTGTCCACAAGCCATCGTATCCTCTCCACCCACTTTGTTAGTCCCTTGAGGTAGTTCGTGGACCAATTCACATCAGATCTTGGTGCCGCAGCTCTTAGGAGTTGAACTCTGGTCATATCGACTCCGAATTCATCGATGATTTGCATTGGATCGAGGCCATTTCCCTTCGATTTCGACATTTTTTCGTATGTTGCTTTGACTGATTGCTTCGTATCTTTTCGAATGTATTCTCCTTGGACTTCTGAAAGTGAGAGAAGTGCCGTGGACATGGATAATGTTTAGAAATCATTGATAAAACTTTAAAAGATAAGGCTTTTTCTAAAATTTTCCAAAACTCCTCCCCTACCTTCAACCTCATCTCCTTTCAGATACTGTCCTTCACTGCCAACAAACGTGAGACCTTTCACCATGCCCTGAGGTAGCATTTGAGCAAAAGGCTCTGGTGTTGCTGCCAACCCAATATCATGAAGAAAGTGGGAGATGAATCTGGCGAAGAAGACATGACAATCAGCATGTTCGATACCTCCAACATACAAGTGGACTGGCATGAACTCTTTCTGTTTTTCCAAATCTGCTAGACAATTCTCGTTGTGTGGGTCCAGATATCGTAGATAGTACCAAGAAGAGTCAAAGAACGTGTCCAAAGTATCGGTTTCCAATTGTCCGTTCTCTGGGAGTACTTGGCCACGTTGGGGGCCTAGAATGGGTAACATCGACTCTGGGACCGGTCGATACTCTCCTTGAGGAGACTTGATCATGGGGATTGGTGTGCCCCATCCTCGTTGACGTGACACTACCCAGTCGGATTGTTTTCGACTGGTCAGGTAGCCTCCGGCGCCTTCTTTCTGAATATGATATTTTTAAGTTAGAATCTTGGCCAACAAAAAGTTTTTTAAAAAAAAACCGCCATGCCTTGAAAGAAAAAATGGTTTCCAAAAAACTACCCCCTACCAAAAAAAAATAAAAAAACACCCCGCCCAAAAAAATTTTTTTCTGGCATATAAAGCATTTTGTTTATATGCCAGAAAAAAATTTTTGCGGTTTTTTTAAAAAAACCCCCCCCCCCTCCACAAAACTTACCCGCCCAAAAATTTTTTTTTCTTAAAAACCCTCTCCTTTACAAAAAAGATCATTTTTCAAAACCATCCCTGTCCACCCCCTCCCAAATCTGTGCCAAAACCACTAAACCTACCTCAGCCAACCTTAATATGCCATCAGCCGAAGTGACGATTTGAGTTTGGCCATTCTCAAAAGTGAACTTCTTGGCCATACCTTTGTCGAGCTCTGATTTGGCTGCAAAACCAATACGGGCGTCCATGAAGAAGCGGTTACTGTCATTTAAGTTGGCACCTTCTTCTAGTACGATGACTGGTAGGTCGTTGCCAGTTACTATGTTACGCACCGTCTTTTTACTGATGTCTGAAAGTAAAGTAGGTAATAAAGAGAGTATGGAAGGTTATATTGCTGTTGTTAGTAGCATATCAGAGTTAATTTAAGTAAAGAGGACGTCTTATCGTCAACGTTTCCTAATATAGTCTATGTTATAGTAGTTATATTACAATATGTTGTAGTAGCCACTGATAACAGCTCTACCCTTAAAATCTAAAAATAACTGTTCAAAGCACCTTACATCGCCCAGTTTTGCCATGTTCAGCCAATGGATGGTTCGGTAAAACCATTAGAAACTCGGCTCGGCAAAGTTCAGTTGGGTCTTGAAGCCTTAAATCGAATCTTTCTCCTTTGTCTCCACCCTTAAATCAAAAAGTAATAAAGTTATACCTAAAAAATTTACTTTAAAATATAAATATTAATGTTTTACAATGATCTTTCGTCTATATTTATTGTTATGAACATTAAACAGCGACAAAGCTTGTTTGAACCCTAGTAGGTATAGTTCACAAGATTAAAATCAAGTTTTCTTCCACCTTTAAGCCGGAAAATCGAAATCTAAATTTAGATATAGATCTTCCAACCTCTCTATTTAAATACCAAACTCTTTCAGCCCTTTCTTCATTCATTTCCCCACCAATATCAACCAAAAACTCACGTTAACCGGCAGTAAAAACCTGTAAACATCACACTTCCCAATCCAATTAGCCTGAAAAGCTGCCACTTCCTCCCAACTTCTAGAATCATTCGTCAACTTCTCCAATCCATCCAACAATCGTTTAGCATATCGCGGAGTCTCCACTGCCCATTGCTCCAAGTTCTTTCTCTCGGCCAAAGCTCCTGATCTCCAAGCTCGACCAGAAGAATCGATTTGTTCGTCGGCCAAAACCGTTTTATCAACCGGATCCCAATATACTGGAGAATAACGTCGATTGATCAAGCCGTGCTCGTAAAGTTTAAGGAATATACTTTGCGTCCATTTGTAGTATTCTGGTTCGCATGTGGATAGCTCCTGAAGTCATGGTTAATATCGGTGATATTGGAAAAGCTAGTTTATGTGTATTTATGTTAATTACTAAACTTAAACCTCCTATCAATAAATTTCTGTGCACAAAGTGTTAAACAATATAAGAAATGTTGGGCAAAGATATCATTACTTTAAATTTAGGATATTTAAAGCTGAGGTGACTAAAGTAATTTAGCTGTGCCTCAATAACTGAAATCCCAAAACTCATAAAAATTTACAAACAACAGCTCAATAACATTATCTTTACACTCCATAATCGGATTTTGTCAACTTTCATCAAAAATCCGGAGGTCAGATATTATCCATGCCATCAGCACCTAAAATCCAACAAAATAAATTAAAAACTCACTCGATCCCAATCAAATTCCACTCCAATTTTAGATAACTGTTCTTTCATAATCTGAATATTGTTTCTAGTCCATTCAGCCGGATCCAAGCCACGTTCTATAGCCGCATTTTCCGCCGGAAGGCCGAATGAGTCCCAACCCATCGGATGAATAACATTATATCCATTCAATCTGAAATACTTGGCCATTACATCTGATATTGTGTAGACTCGCATGTGCCCCATGTGTAAATTGCCCGATGGGTAGGGAAACATTGGCAAAATGTAGCATGATTTGGACTGAAATAGAGGAAATTATGTTGTTGTTGAGGTTTTGGTCAAGTTTAGTCAAGTTAATCTGCTTAAAACTTGTCAGTAAACGTTTATAATAATGCCAATTTTATTTTACAACAAAATAAAAGTATAAAGAACATGGTACCAACGTAAAGACCAGAATTTTAAGCCTTTTCCTGGCAAAAACACTGGCAAAAATATATTATCCTTCCTAAATCGCAAAAGCATAACTTTAAAGCACTTACTTTCCACCCTTTAATTTGTAAACTCCTTGATGTGACTGTTAAGCATCTTTTTAACATTACTTTACCTTTATTTTATTGTTTTACTGTCCAGGAAAAACCAAAAAATAAATTTATATTATTTTCTAATTGAACACAATGCCAAACATTTCCCATTTTAGCGAAATGCGCGCGAAAACGTATGTTCAAATTTATTTAAAAAAAACAAAATTCAACAAAATATGGCACATTACAAAATTTAAAAGCTTGTGAAAAAATCAATCTAGTTTCAAAAGTTTCAGGGTTTATCAAAACAATTAAGCTTGCACCGTGCAGTGATTTGTAATAAATTGCCATCGGCCCAAAAGACTTTTTATAAAACAAATTATCATAACAACATGATTAAAAATAACAGTTTTTAAAATCCATGAACAATCAAAAACGTTTTGACCATTTGGCCAGTGCAAAACACCAAATTTTGAGAACTGCGCCGTGCAGTCAATCCAAAAGCTTTAGAAACAATTTTTTAACATTAAAAGACCTAAACTACTATTTTCCAACACAAAAAGAGGAAAACAACTTGTCCAAAACAGATTCTTTGCTAATAACACCAGTAATTTCACCTATGACATCAACACATTCTCGAAGGTTCTCGGCGGCCAGAGCTGTATCTACGTCAATATTATCCACAAAACTCTGTAAACCCTCGTATCCTTCAAATAGTAGATTCAAATGCCTTTCTCTGCTCAATACCATTTCATTTTCCTCAATGCTGGTCAACTCTTTTACATTTTCCTCCAAAATCGATATTAATGTAGAGATACCTTGACCATTGTGACATGAAATTGGTAGAATCTTCTCTGATGGATAAGCTGAAATTTTACTAAGTTATCTAAAGGTCTTTCAGCTTTGACATAAGCTATAAATTGATACTATTTTAGCTCAAGTTTGGAAGAAAAAACGGACCTTTTCTGATATTATCCATCATATCTTGGTGCATCAGATCAAACTTGTTGATAAGGACGAATTTGTTAGAATTATTTGAGAAACCTGACAGTAATGAATCAACCTCATTTATAAGATACTGTGTACAAACATTTGTAGGTAATGGAGCGACTACTAGTACCAGTAAATGGGCTTCTTCTGCTCTGAAATTTGGTGGTCTCATGGTTAAGATAAAATCAGCTGTATCTTGAAGGAAAAATTCTTGCTTTAGCTCAAACTTTAGGAAAATGTAAAATACGACTTCGTAAAAGTACATGTTAAATTTATAAATTGGAAATAAGAAAAAAAGATACAGTAGTTTAAAATCACCTTCTCCTTTCAACAAAAGCCCAGGTTTCTGCCATTCCAATGCATATAATCACTTTAATAAGCTGCTACCACCCCCAAAAACAAAGGTAAAGAAAGAAAATACCCCTAGCTACGTCTACTCATTTCCCCTCCCCCCCCCCTTCAAAAATGTCCCCTATTCAGAGCACATCTATCCTCCCACCTATACCTACTACAATATAAATCCTTTCAGTGCTTACCTTGATCTACTCCGTTTAATCCCCTCCAGTTCCAGTATGTCATTCGTTTCTCTAATACCAGCCGTATCAAACAAGGTAACATTCAGATCTGCCATTCGTATCTTCAGCTCTAGACTGTCTCTCGTCGTGCCAGGTATATCTGATACTATAGCAACATCTCTTTCAGCCAGTCTATTCATCAAACTGCTCTTCCCAACATTCGTCCTCCCAATCAGCGCTATTTTAACCCCATCTCTTATCAAAATTCCCTTTTTGGCGGTTTTTATCAGCTCCTCGAATACCGTAATCAGCCGGGTTACTGTATTTTTCATTCGTTCTTTCCAGGATTCGCCTTGTTGATTCTGAACGTCTTCGCCGAAATCAATGTTGGCTTCAAGTTCGGCGGTTAAGTTGATGAGGTTTTGGCGGATTGGGTTCAATTGTTTGGAGATATTGTTCATGCGATTGGCTAGATGTAGTTGGGCGGGGGTTTCGGCCAGGATAAGATCGTTTAAGGACTCTGCTTGAGTTAAGTCCATTTTTTCATTGAAAAATGCTCTGAAATACAGTTTTTTACAATTTTAAAGCCATAGTTTATTGGAAAGTAAATTTTGAAAGTTTTCGTGGTGGGACCCAAATTTAAAATTTTAAATGAAAAAAAATTGTTTTTATTGAAAAATTATTGCTAAATTTCTTAAAAAGTATTGTTTTGTCTGTCATAGAAGTAGTATACAACAAAAATTAGCACTTGAAAGTTTTCGCGGTGGGACCCAAACTTTTAACCTTTAAACAAAAATTTTGAAACATCTTGAAAATTATCCTTTAAAAATAAATTTTAACATTTTTCACACAATTTAAAAAACCAAAACCTACCGTTTAGTGAACTCTCCAGGAGCAGCCGGCTTTAAATGTGGAAGTTTGCCCAGCTCTGCCAGCATCAAGTCAACTACAGCTCGACTACCGTGAACATAAAACTCTACAGAATCTTCTCCAGTAAACGAATGTGGTCCTTTGAAGAAGACGACCAGTCCTTTATCAACCAATCGACCATCCTTACTGTAGAATTTACTGTATCTCATCAGACGATGTTCATAATTGTCCTTTTGAGTAATTTGCTTCAGGGCATCTAGGCTTTCTGGTCCTGAAATTAGTTGTTTTTATGTTATTGGTACCTAAAATTAATAAAAATTTAAATTTTGAAGATATTTTAAATTTTTAGGCTCTTTTAGGTAGGTCTCATCTTAAAAGCCAAGGAATAAGTTGTGCAATGCCCTAGTAAGTTGAATAGTCCGTTACATTAACGGAGGTCTCAGCAAAATCTTTTTAAAATTTTAAATTGAAATTTGTAAAACGCGAAGGAAAAGTAAGAAACAAAGCCGGGGCAAAGCCTAAAAAGCGGTACAAGAGATATAAACACTCTGTGACGTGTTGTGTTTTAATCTTTCGATCAGTGGCAACGGCCACGAAAAGCGGAGGTTTGTCGGCACATTGTTTCGTGGCGAAGAAGACAACAATCTTCTGTGGCTAAGAAGACAACAGTCTTTTGCGGCCAAGAAGGCAGCAGGAAAGGCGCCGTACAGAAGCGGCCCACCTTTTCCGTTGGTCATTTTTAAAAAGCCACAAAAGCGATCATTCGTAGTCGATCTGGCCGAACAGAAGATACTGTTCTGCCTTAAGTCTATGCTGTTTTTTGGGCCTAAAATTACCAAGGTGTTAAGAGATGCAAAGGGTTGCACATCCCCCCCCCCCCAGCGCCCGGCCCTGATTGAAATTAAATAAATACAGTACTCTCTCTATATAAGTGACCCAAGGGGACCGAAATTTTGTGTTTACTATAAGGGGTGTGGCTTTTACAGAGTGATTTTTAGTGCAATTTCACTTGGCGGGGCTAAATCTCTTGTTTACTATAAAGAGAATGCTTATACAGATGGTTTACTATATAGAGAGACCACTGTATGATTATATTACCTAGAACGTTTTGCGTGAAAATATCACTTTTTGAAAGTCAATAGAAAATGGTACAAATCTGACATCCGAGCTCGTACGACTCGGATGAGGTACACCAAAATAGTATTCAAAACAAGTAAAATAATTTCGAAATGTAATAGAAATTATTTTACTTGCTCTGTTATTCAACTTTAGAGAAGTTATATTTATGACTATACTGGCTATATTATTTATTTTCACGTAGTATAATATCCAATACTTCCTAAATTGCGAATTATTCGTAACAGTAGTTCATGAATAATATATTATAATACACTATGATGAATATAATACCATATACTAAGATATAATTATACAATAATATAATATTATGTTTTTCAAATCTGTGCCCCTAAATCCTGTAAAGTTTCGTTGAGAGGGGGCTCACAATAATTTGAAGAAACTAATAGTATCTTAGGCTGAATAGCGTAAATGTCACGCCCAATGTCACGCCCCCATTTACCTGGGTTGGCCAGAAAGACCAAACATTGGTCAGATGAATAGTTAGTCAGAAGATAGTCGTAATAGTTTTGTTAGTGCTATTTTATTTAGTTAGTATAAATTTTAGTTATTTAGTCCAAGTTTATTACTGTTAAAATAAATAAACTTATAGTAATATACTGATTGGTAATTATGAGAAAAGAAGGTAGTTAGACCTTATAACTTATACTTATATATAATATAAAGTATTTGATGATTTTAAACTTAAAATATATTTTAATACACTGTGAAGGATATAATACAATATACTACAATATGATTATCATATAATAGTATACAAGGCAGCCAGGGTCTATTTTAAAATTTATTTTTCTGGGGGGGGGGAGGTGTACCGCCGACAACCCCCGTCCCCCAGCCCTAATAATATATATATATATAGTTGGATACTGTGGTTACAGTATTCTATTACCCCAAATTAAAACAGCCTTGGCCTACTGGCTGGTCAGAGCCCTTAAGAAAGTTTGTCTTTAGTAGAGATTAAGGATACAAAGAACGCAACAATTTGTAATGCGTTGTGCTCTTATCTCGCGATCATTGGCGACGGCCACGGAAAGCGGGGGTCGGCCTTGCTGGCCACATTCCTTAGCGGCCAAGAAGGGCCGAAGAGCCGCCGTACCGAAGAGAGACGGCCATGGACGGGTGCACGGCCCGAAACCCCCGGGTAGCCAAGCCACCATCGCTTCGGCTTACAAGCATAGTAGAGTTTGGCTTCACGTTACGAACGGAGCCGAAAGTCGACGCATTTCAGCGGAAGAGTTCCAACGACTAATGAGGGATCGTGCGACGAATTGGGAGACTTGGGGCGACGGCCGGGGGTCCGCCTTTTCGTCTGGTTTGGCCTTATTAAAAGCCAGAAGAACGATCATTGGGGGTCGACCCGGCATAACGAAACGTTAGGCCGTATTTTTGCTGAATTTCAAGAGGATTCTGCGTTTGAATGGAAGTTTTTGGAGTTTTATTGAGGAATCGTTAAAGTTATCATGATTGTATTTTATATTTTATTATTATTATATTGATTAATGTCTCTGAAGCGTTACGTGTCCTCTGCGGAGGAAAAGACACCAATCTTGGGGAACAAGGAGAACAGGAATGGGCTGAAGGTAAGGGTAGATTAAGTGAAAATAGCACCTCCGAGGAGGGCGAGTACTTGTTCTGGGGAAGTGGTCTGGCCACAGTCCGTCACAATAACGTACTATTTAAACCGCCAGTGCCGGTCACTCGGGGTCGACCCAGCGCCTGACGTGAGGCTGTTTTTGTGAAGGGGAATCCGTGGCCACGACACCACGAAGGTCTTCGTAGAGAAGATAAGTTCTATTAGGTCCAGGCTAGCCTAGTGCCTGAACCTAGGATTCAGGCCCCGGAAGCCCTAGTCAATGTCTTGACAGTAAGGCAGAGGGAGAAAAAGGAGGCGGCATCAGGCTCCGCTCCGAGTGAAGCGGAGGCCGGGTCCGACCTACGACTGTACATAAACCAATGTTCAATTGCTTTAGTACTCAACGTATTTCTTTGTCACACTATTAGTTTGTGCCGTCTTAATGAAAAATTTTTTTGATGTTATGATTTATTTAATGTCCAAATTATACGATACCAACTACATATCTTACTAAAACATAGTTACTAAAACACCTCAACGTACTTAAGTTTCATTCCTTAAGCTGTTAAGAATCGTTCGAACTTCACAGCGAAAGACAACTACCCGTACCGGCCATTCCAGACTCAACGTGTTAATAATCAGCATCGACGCAGCGCAAAGGCTAGAATTCGACGTACCCAGCATCGACAGCACACAGGGTAGGGAATACGACGTGGTTGTCATACTGCCAGACCAGACCTGTCGGGTTTTCTGAGAAATGGATGCCGCATAAACGTAGCCATCACACGAGCTCGCGTACTCAATTTTTTAGTTGAAGACCAGTACGTACGCCCCTGACTCTAGCTCCACCGCTGGTCGGATTGTAAAGTCTCCCAGTGTAGTAGCCAGCCAATTTATCTTTCAACTGTTGGTGTCAAAAAAATGCTAATTGTCAAAGTTTTGACCGTTGAATTGTTCCAAGATCCTAAATGGAGACTGCAGATGAAAGTAAAAGGAAATGGAACGGCAATGCTATACAGCACCGTAGCGTTTAAAAGGTTTAGAAAATCTGCTGGTACAAAGAAAGCATGTGTTGCAAAAAGTTTGTTTTTTGGACACTGCACACTGTTTCGTTTTAGCTGAGATGTCTTCCTAAAATTATAAAGTTTGCCTTTTCTTAACATCTTCGTGCAACATTATAATGAAAGCCGACGACGGCATTTTTCCAATTGCGTTTCATTTTCGAACGAAAAGCATTAGGGGGGATAAAAATGAGGTGGATACTGTATAGTAAAATACAGTATCAGCTCCCACGCAATCCCACACTATTTTAAAGCAAAGGAATTTCCGGCCAAACAAGCTGATCGAACCCCGATAAAGGCGTCGACCGATCAGCCTACGCGGTCTGGCTTGTACGCCTTCTTCAGCAAGAGATCGCGGCCTCTTGAAGAGAGTAACAAAGGCTAGCCAGACAATTGGTAGCAGCGACAGAGAAACCAACCTCTAGGATGAACAAACTTTTTATTAAAAATTTGTTAACGTAGCTAGAAGAAAAGCCCAGTACTGAACAAATCAGTAACATCTTGTACGTGGTAGTTAGAGATTGTAGAATTCTGGCTACAATTCTTGACCGTCAAGAACGTTTTGAAGGTCGCAATCCATGTAAGTACGAAGATGACAAGTCTCATCAATGACCGTGATGATAGTTGATGATTCTTTTCTGTGGCTTACTAACTATTTTGTTCGTCCCCCATCGTAGTAAAAAGACCGATTTTTAAAAACATAAGGAAGGAGAAGTTGGATACCGTATAGTAAAGTACAGTATCAGCTTCCAAACAATTTTAAAGTAAAGGAATTTCTAGCCAAATAGGCTGATCGAACCCCGATAAAGGCGTCGACAGATCAGCCTACACGGTCTGGCTTCTACGCTTTCTTCAGCAAGAATTAAAATTAAATTTCAGCTTCAGCCCTTTCTGATTCATTTTTATATTTTCCTTTCGAAGACGACGAAGCTAGCTATTTATCTACCGCCCTTGCTCGCTTCATCTATCGATTTTGCCGCCCTTGCTAGCTTATTATTTGACTTCTGCGACTCTTGCAAGCTTTATTTTTGCCGCCCTCACTAGCCAGTCCCCGATATTATTGCGCGAATCCCGATCGGCCGTGGACTCCTTTTATGATTTTTTTGTCTTTCGTTGTGTGTCCCCTTCGGCTGTGGGAAAAAAACAGTTAGGGCGACAAAAAATGGCTAGCCGCTAGGTTCGTAGTAAAAAATCTACTAAAGTGCACGTAATTAGACATGATGTAAAAGAACCTTTAAAAGTAAGATGTATTTTTAATCTTGCGCCTTAACTAATTTACTTGCACTTCACAAATAGTTAAAACTGACGAAACCGAAGAACTTTCACCAAACCCTGACATCGTGTATCATTCATGTTGCAACAGAGCCAGAATTTTTTCTGAACTTGTTATCGGCAGATACTATCCGTACTTTCCCGTAAACAACCTAATCATATAAACGACAGACATCGCAAAAAGACTTCCACGGCGTATTTTATGCTGTAATGAGGCAATCATGAGTGAGTTTTTGAGTATTCTGAAAAGACAGTTTCTGTAGTCATCTAGGCTCTTTTCGATAAGAAAGACGCAGAGAGTGCCGATAAGGCAGAAAACGGTCAGATCATGGGCTGGCCACAGTCAGTTACAATAGCGGACTACTTGACCCGCCAATTTCGATCATAGGGCTCCGGTCGCTTAAACCATCTAACACAAGTAACAAAAATTTGTTACTTGTGTTAGATGGTTTAATGGGGCTTCGCTCCAGACGGAATACCCGGCCCGACTCTCAACTGGTAGCAGCGTAGGAACCGAATCCACTGGCCGCGACCAGAATTCCAGCTGCTTTAAATAAATCAATGGAAGCTACCCTTACCGTTAACCAACTACAGCAAATAATGTACACGTTAGTTTCAAATTTTAAGCTCAACGTCTCTATCAGATAAAACTGGTTGACAGGTTGTTAGCCGTACCTCTCGTCCGGCAACCAACCCGTACTGTCAGATCCGAGCAGACAACATCATTCAGGATTGTCGCCGGGCTTCCAGCTGATCCACCCACATCTCACGTATGAGATCCCACTCCATCCGTGGAGGAATTCAAAACTTTGATTAGTAATATATGACGCCAGTCATATATTATTGTTCTCGAAACAAACCGTATCAAAACTATTTAGAAATACGGTTAGTCAAAACGGACTAAATAAGTGCCGAAAAACGGCCTTCTTCGATTACAAAAACATTGCGTTGGCGGTTAAAAAGGATCGTGCGTTGTGAAGAACACGTAACACAGAAAAAGGAATTCCTGGCCGGCAATATTTAAGGCCGACCAATCGTTTATTCGGTCAACATACGGGGCATTTAATTGTAGTTACAGCAAGGTCCATTGCACCCCTAAGGGTGGCATGACGTTCATTTGGAAAGTCACGGAATCTATAGACTGCCCTTTCATTAAAGTAGGCACGGTCCACGGCTACAAATACAACGGGATATTCTTAGCTCAAAACCAGCATCTAGCACTAGAATTTAGTAACCAGACAATTCTCAACTGTGAGTCTAAACTTAATCTAACTACTCAAGGTTTTGCAATCCGTTCACGCCGCTCGCGACCTGTAGACACTGCCACTTTTACTGATGCACTGTCAGCACTAAGTCTCGTACTTTATGAACAGATTAAGTCCACATTCGCTCGCCTGGACAACTGCCACACAAACAGTAAGCCGGTGCAACTAGAACGCCTTCTTGCTCATACTGACCCAACATTACTCGCTCAGATGGCACTGAACACGTCGTTCGTTCATGCCTATTATAGCTTAACACCAATTTGGCTTCTAGAATAAAATGAAATTAAAACTGAGGCGTGCTCTTATAACAAGAGTGACTGATGGCTTCGGCCAGTGGCCGATTGAAGCGGAATGAAGCTGTCAACGCGAGCTTGGTCGATTGTGGATGAGATACGGCCAATACCAAGGCACACATTAAGCCAATGTTGTACATAGGCAACAGGATGGGGGGCAGGGGACTTGTGAGCTGCGCAGGGTCTCCCGCAAGAACCAGTCGTTGAACAGTAGAGTTCAAACTGCAGAAGGCGGCCAATAGCTCGGAAGCTTTCAATTGATCAGCTTCGTCAACAAGAAGTCCTTGAACAGGTTGATGAATTGTTGGCCCCAGCCTAGTGAACATGGCGGCTGTAGCTACAACGATGAGGGAGGAGTTGTTAATGACCGTAGTGGCCATGCTGAGCTCGTTGGACACAGTCGGTGGGTAAACCCGTTGCATGCGAAGAATTCTTCGAGTACGGGCATTGAATTGCATTCCATGATGAGAGAGGGAAGAATAAGTTTTCGCGACTTGGCCACTTTTTGTGACTCTTCGAAAAGAAACCTGAACAGCTAACTCGGAAGTGGTCATGCCAGTTCAGTCTCGACCGAACAAGGTTCGCGGAGGGACAGGAAGGAAAGTGGAGTGGGCAGCGCAAGTGGACCGCCAGGATTCAGGTGATGGCCGTGGTCAGGGTTTATGTAAGGCACATTCGGCGCACGGGCCAGGACAAGTGGGGATGATGGGTAAGTTGTGCAGGCGCTTAATTAATCTGATAAGGGGCTAGCGTGGCCAAGAAAGGTGCCAGGCAGGTTCATTCGAGAAAAACCTGCGTTTTGGGGCAGGTGGCGGGGTTACGGTAGGGATACCGAGACAGAGAATAGTTGTACTTAAGGAGAAGGGCAGAATTGTGGCTGTGTTTTTGTATTGTACTATTATCTAACTGATTGAGGGGGGTCAAAAAGTCCAGAGAATTACGCGGTCGCTTTTTTTTAGATACATTTCGTGTGCGAAATTACCATGAGTCAGGGAGAGCAGAAGGAGGTGGAGAAGTTGAACGAATCGTTGGAGCCTCGACTACCTGCCGGTGAAGATATCAGCGACCAAGACTGGCTGACAGAATTTCTTAACAGGCTGGGAGCACAAGGTGAGGCAGGGAGAGGGTGTAGCACACTTACTATGACCAAAAAAAAAGGGGGGGAGCGCGAAACAATTGAAAAGAAAACGTTATAACAAGTTAAGAGTAGGGTGACCGATGTGGGTCTATAATGCGGGTAAAAGATAAAAAGGATTTTCTGTTAAAAGAAAACGGCGAGGAAAGGGGGAAAGACGGGTTTAAGTTTTGGCGCGGGAACGTTTGTTTACGGCCTGAAGGGTAAGGGCAAATAAAAAACATGTCCCAGAGCGCGGGCCGTATGCTTTTGAGGGTTGATTTTCAAAGACGTGACAGTTGCAGAAGAAGGTCAGGTTGATCCACCCGCTGGCTTCCGGCCAGCGGTCAAAGGGTTTTCGGAGTGAAAAGTCTCCTTAATTTTGTTTAATTATATCGTAACCGTAATTTCCGCCCTGATTTTAGTGCTTACATTGTTTTACATTCCACCCGGAATGATACTGGCTAGCCAACCGCAAACCGGGCCTCCGCCACCCTTTCACTATAGTAAGTATAGGGACAAAACAAAAGTAATGGTCAAGAAATTGAATAACAATTTATAATTTGTGTATGCGAGAGTAACTTGTAAAAATTGGCAATTTTTGGGTCTTTAAAACACGCCCATACTCATAATATTTTTCATGAAAACATCCCCTACGAAATACAAAATAATAATAACAACCAGGGCCGGGCGCGAGGGGGTAACCCCCCTCCAGAAAAAAAAATTTCAAAAAATTTGAACTTGGTCCCCCTGTGGATTTTTTCGACCCCCGCCCCCAGACCAAACGCCTCCGCCCGGCCCTGATAACAACTCAAAAGCGACCCTACCTGATACCCGAATGATGGAAACGGCTGCCGGGCTAGGTCCAGAAGACAAGGCAAAGATGGAATGAAACCGTTTGCTTTGAGCGATTGAACTTGTTCTCAACAATCGGTGGATATTCATTGTGTTCTCCAATCCTTAAAAGTAAAAAAAGTTTTTCAAATGTAAAGAATTTTTACAAAATTAGCTTTAAATGCCAAAACTTCCTTTACATTGCACAAAATTACAAAAATATTGCAAAAACTTTCTTTACAAATTCCAAAATTGCATAAACTTTCTTTACAAACCGCAAATTTTTAGCTTAAACATAAGCTATTAAATAGATTTTGCAAATAATTCTGTGCCCTTTATCCTTAAAAATGCGTTTTAAAAGAGGCACAGAATTAGTTGAACGACCTTTTGAACATGAGGATTTTATCCCAAAATGTTAAAAATAAAATCAAAATTACGGTCATATTAACCTTATCACCTTCTACAACACCAACTCATCCATTTCCAATTTTAAAACTTTATTAAATATAACCGGAGGGCATTTGAAAGTTTGAAAATCCGGGAGAGAAACACAAAGTTGACCCGTTTTAGGTAGAAATCTCGATAAAATACAAGAAAAAACGAAAAGTTTTCGGTGATTGGCACTTTTCAGACGTACAATTTGATAAATAAGTTAGGTTAGGTTGTTCAAATCATTCTGTGCTCCTTCTCAAAGCATGTTTTTGAGGTTAGGGAGCCCAGGATTATTTGAATAAACTAATATGCATAGGAAAATACATTGCAGTAAAACCAAGATTAGGTATAAAGACATCATTTGACTTGAACTATGATAACATATTTGAAGTTTAAAAGTTTTAAACTGTAAATTTTTAGTAAAAAACACGATTTATGTTAGAAAACAGCAATTTTTAGACAACAAATCGCATCTTTTAAAAAATATCATTAAAAGTATTATAAAAAATTGTAAAAATATGTAGACATACAATAATTATCTTAATTTAGCTTATTCCTTCTAAAAACCTTAAAGTAAAGCCATGCAACTTAGATATTTCACTTTTTTACGGTATGATATTAAAAATATTGTTAAGTAAAGACTTGTTACAATGGTTAAAAGAGCGGTACAATTTTGAAGACCTAGACAACATCATTCGTCACTTCTTCTTATATTATACATCCTATAACTAAAGCCTTAACTAAGCTTGCAGTTGACAAAAAGAGGCTGACATCTCCCGTTAACTATTAGGTTGTACATAATTCTGTGCCCCTCTCGACGAAAATTTTCGAGGTTAAGGAGCAGAAATTATTTGAACAACCTAATATTAGGTATCAAACTCACAAATTAGGTAAACCTCTACAAAGCTTAGGCTTTCCCTATATGTCTATGATGTTTTACCTGTACCACTGCCATTTACCTACAAAATCAATTTATAATGTTAACCTATACTACACATTACATAGACAATTACAACCATCGTACAATTCTAGCAAAACCATAGTAAAAGCGATGTTATACTAGACCCTTTAGTACAACAGCATCAATTTCTCATTTACAGATGACTAGTTGAATACTCGGTCTTTTTACGCTGCATCTTCAACTCGTAGTACTTTTTAGATTCGTTAAAGATGAAGACGGTGGATGTGATCACGGTGAGGAACACCAAATCCCCAAAAGTTAGGGCTTCGGTTTGGAATACTCGTTGTAGTGGAGCAAAGTAAATGACTAGTAACTGACAGAAGAGTGAGCCAGACACGGCTAGGCAAAACATTCGATTCCTGAGGAGTCCAATCTCCCAGATCAACTTTCTCGACGATCTACAGCTCAACGCGTTCCACATGTCAAAAAGGACGAAGCAGGTAAAGGTCATGGTGGTGTCTCGAGGGGTTATTTTGTTATCAGCTGACATCTGAAAATTATGAAATTGATAAAAATTATTGAAATTCAAAAATATTCTCTAATCAAATTCATATGTATTTTACAATTTTTCAAAGCATTGCTTTAATAATTTGAATTTTCCTTTTCCCGCCAAATCATAATTTTAAATTAGAATTTTCTCGCTTTATTTGTTGGCATTACGTTTCAATATAAAAATAAATTTTAAAGATCTTAGCAACCCCCTGAATCTTATCTATTATTTATTAGTTTGTAAATTTTTCAAAAAAATTATTTAATTTTTTGAATTTGGTTTTCCCGCCAACTTTGGCATTATGTTGCAAGTCCCCCTTTTGCCCATGCCTTTAAAACAAAACCTTTCTAATTATAATATAGTACTTTCATCTCATTAAAAACTAATTTTCACCCTTTTCAGACCAACTTTTCCATCATCACCATCAACTACAACATTCACTTACCTCCATGTAGAACACCAACAACGTGCCAACGATGATAATAGCTGCCGATGAAATGATATTAATGATCAAGGGTTTGTTTATCATTGGGTCTTTCACGTTTCTTTGTTTCTGCTTGATAATGTCCGAGTCGACCGGCTCCACGCCCAGGCTTTGAGCTGGTGGACCGTCCATGATGATGTTGATCCACAAGATCTGCATAGCGTTTAGGGGGTTTTCAAAGTGGAACAATGTTGACAAGGCTATTAGCGACAAAGCAGCTACACTTCTGCAACCAAACACTCGTTACTTTAAGCAATATCAAAACTTTTTCTGTCTTAATATCCGCTGATGCCTACTACAATATAAATTCTTGTGTTTTTAAGCAAATTTAACTAAAAGTACCTTTAAATTTAAACTTTTTAGGCTACACAGTACTACTCGCCTTATTTTAAAACCAAAAATACCCATTTTAACATTAATATTCACCTCCAAAACACTTAAAACCTTACGTGCTGAGTTGAAATTTGACGAAATTGTTAATGTTATGGTAGATTCCTTTGCCTTCTTCTATTGCCGCTTCGATTGTCTGAAACCTGTCATCAATTAGGACCATATCAGCTGCTTCTTTGCACACATCTGTGCCTGTTTCACCCATTGCTATGCCAATGTCGGCCTTCTTTAGAGCTACAGCGTCGTTTACTCCGTCGCCAGTCATTGCTACCACTTCTCCAACGTTTTGGAGGGCCTGAAATGGTTAGTTTAAAGTTATTTTTGGTTTTCAAATTTAATTTAATATTATCATATTTATAGCTATAGCGTGGCTTAATACTCCCTTTTCTAGCCATTATACTTGAATATTGCCTAGTTATAGTCCCTACCTACCTTAACATACATAATTATAGCTGTAACCTAGCCCAAAACTACCTTTCCTACTCATTCTACTTCAAATAAAACCTATTTCTAGTCCCTACCTACCTCAATATAACCCATTTTCAGACACCTACCTTAACAATCCTCAATTTGTGCCTCGGAGTGGCTCTGTAGATGACACTGACGCTTTTGATCACCTGTTCCAGTTCACTATCATTCATGGCATCGATTTGAGCTCCCGACAGGATATTGTCTACATTACTGTGCATTCCCAATCTCGTTGCAATACTACACGCGGTTTCCATCGAGTCTCCGGTGATCATCTTCACGGTGACACCAGCTCCAGTTACTGTTTCGATTGCTTCTACACAGCCTTCTCGAGGCGGGTCCATGATTCCAACCATGCCTACGTAGTAGAGGGAGTGCATGTCGCGGCCACAGGCTAGGCCAATTACTGGAAAATAAATTTTTACTCTGTTAAAGATTGAAATGGCCTTAGTACAACAATATCACCAAAAGTAAAAAAAATCTGTTTACCTCTCAATCCACTTGATCCCATGCCTCGACCTTGTTGTAGAGCATTCTCCTTGTAAGCCCTGTCCATGACTCTTTGTTCAGTACCATTCACCAGATATCCTACTGACATGTCCAGTATCCTATCTAGTGCTCCTTTTACCATTACTTCCATGTTTCCTGGCTGAAAATTGTTGATTTAAACTTCAATTTTTTAAAGATTTTAAATTTCAAAATTTCAATTGTTTTTAATTTTCCAAATTTTTAACGAAAACTTTCTTTACAGCCTTTAAAATTAAAATTTCTAGCCAAAAATCGATTACATTCAACATTGATGCCTCGTATTTTACCATTTTTCTTTATTTATCATATGATTTTTACCCTAAACTTTAAAAAAATAAAAATATAAACCTACCCTACTGACTGGTTCCACTTGTACAGCCATCCATTTGGTTTCGTGACTGAATGGAATCTCTTTTATCCTTCTGAAGTAGGTTCGGGCAATGTCCAATTGTGTCTATAATTGTGTTCTATTATACTGTTTATATTATCATACTCATGAACGTCGATACAGATTTTTCCTAGAGCAAAGAATTTCCCAAATTATTATCTATTATGCCCAAAAACTATATTATAATACCCCAAAACCATAAAAACCCGATTATAATACCTAAAAACCCTTAAAAACCCACCTTCATAGCCAGCACCACCAACGCTCCTTCAGTCGGCTGTCCCAACACAGTGCCATTTATGATCTGTGCATTGTTACAAACACATCCCACTTCGATCAACCTGCTCAATGATGTGTGTGAGTGTCCTGATACCTTTTGATTGCTCTCGGTAACGCATTCACCTGTTGTGGCATCGTATCCTACTCCTCCGACTTGAGCTTTGGTACCATCTGCACCCAGTACCACTACTGCTGTCATTTCATTTTTAGTTAGAGTTCCTGTTTTGTCCGAGCATATTACTGTAACACATCCTAGGGTTTCTACTGCGCTTAGCTTCTTTACCACGGCGTTTCTGTTACCCATTCTCATGACTCCGATAGCCAGTGTTACAGCTACTACAATTGGGAGTCCTTCTGGAATAGCAGCTACAGCCAAACTGACTCCGATCGTGAACATGTCTAGAGCTTCTCGACCTTGTAGTAGACCAATCAGAAAGATTACTCCGATCACTCCGAACGAGTAGAACGACAGTTGAGTACCCAGATGATCCATGCTGTTTTGGAGTGGTGTTTTTGGTGCTTCTTCAGCCTGCATCATCTTGAAAACCTCGCCGAATCTTGAGTTGTGACCAGTAGCCACGACGATGCCTTTGCCTCTACCTGAACATACCAAAGTGCCCATAAATGCCATGTTGTGTAGGTGTTCCACACTCTTGTTCTCTGCGTCTTCTATGGCTTGACAATGTTTGTGACAAGGTTCGGTTTCACCTGTGAATGAGGCTTCATCTATTTGAAGATCGAGTGATTCGACCAGTCGAAGGTCGGCTGGGACTCTGTCCCCCATGTTTAGAGTAATTAGATCACCTGGTACTAGTTCACGAGCTAGGAATTGGATCGATCGACCATCTCTGATACTGAAAAGTAATTTTTTTGAAAAATTTTAAAATTTATTTAAAAAATTTCTAAAATCCTCGTTTCTTTTACAAATTTACCCCAAAAACATATTTAAATGTCATTTTAAATGTATTACCAAGACTTGTAAGTATATTATAAGTAAAATATAACTTTTAGTCTCTACCCAACACTTACTGCTCATACCAACCTCAGAATTTATAATCTTGCAGTTTAAATTAGCATTTTAACACACCTATACCTACAACAACATCCTCAATACTAGTTCCTTCAAAAATAATCTCAAAAACCTACCAATGAGCCATCGGCGGTACCAGTTTGTTCAGTTTTTCCAGTGTCTTCTCTGACCTATATTCTTGAACAAATCCTACTGTAACCACAATTACCACAGCTACCGTAATCGACAACGCATCGTCGTATTGTTTCATAAGTAATGAGACGATGGCACTAGCGAGTAAAAGTGCTATCAGGGGGTTTTTAAACTAAAAATGGTATTTTTAATAAAAATTTTTCCATTTTTTACAATTTTCTTACAAAAACGTAAATCATATCTTCCCTTCCCCCCAAAAGCCCCACCCTACCTGTTCCAAATACTTCATAGTCAGCGACTCCTTCTCCACCACATCAAACTCGTTGTAGCCGGTGAATCCGATGCGACGTTGGGCTTCGGCGCTGTTGAGCCCATTTTGCGGATCGGTCCTCAACGCGTTGATCACGTCCTGGGTTTGAAGCGCCGACGCTTTGGCACAATTTATGGAACCGAACATCTCTTTCACGTCCTTCTGTTTAGTGACATTTGTGTTGTTGACTAGGGCTGTGGCTTCTGTTGGCTGAGAGTTCTGAAATCAGTGGTGTTATTATTATATTAATATTATATTATGATATATTTTTACTGAGTTTTAAGTTTTTTTTAGCTAAAAATAGCAATCAAATTCTATTTTTTATAATTTCATGTACTACTACTTTACTTTTATAGAGTTTAAACTCATTTTTAAAAATTTTTTAAACAGTATTTTTCATTTTCTAGCCCTAAATAGATCAGTTTACCGTATTTTTTTTTAATTTTCAACCTAATCTTACTTAATTTAGCCTACAGTATATCGATAAAATCAAATTTGAAGCCTTAAATTTGATAATAAATTCATTTAAAACCCAAAGTATTGCCAAAAAACTTATAAAACAGTGTAGTAACAACACAACATCTAAGAATAAACATACTTCCCTTTTGTTTCCAGACTTTTTTCTTGATCAAAATTGTATTACAAAAAGTGTAATACTTTATAAAAGTATAAAATTACATTAAACAGAACATTCTTTTAGCCTAAATTGATAAAAAAAATGAAGTTTTACAACTTTTACTAAACTTTAACTAACTAAAACAATGAGAAAGTAAATGCACCTGTACGCTTTGTATTATAATATTACTACGAATTTTTTTTACTTGTATTGTTTTATCTTTGTGTTTTCAACGAATTTGTCACAATATAATAACATTTAGAGTTTAAGTGGGCTTTCGTTATTACAATTGATTTTATTTGCTTTTCATATGTCAAAATCCTATATAATCCATCATCTTTTGGTAACACATCTCACACTCTAACTTCAAATCTGAATACATCGCCAGAGGTAAGATTAAACAAAGGCTTGGTTAATGTAGAGTTAAAGTAAGGGTAGGCTGAAACTAGGCTATCGCTAAGCTGGGGCCGGGCTAGAAGTAGGCTCGGGCTCGTTTAGGGTTATATTTGAATTAGAACTAACACTAACACTATAACAGGATTAGGCTATGCTAAGGCTGGGGTTAGGGTTAAAGTTAGAGCCAGGGCTAAGCTATAGCTAAGTTAAAGCAAAGCTAGTTTAAGATAAGGGTTAAATGTAAGACTTTTGCAAATTTAAAAGCAAGACTAAACCATGACTAGGTGTAGAGTAGAAGTCTTAGCACTTACGTATTTCATAACAACTCATCGCCTTTTTGTCAAATTAAAAATAACAGTGCAGTTGTACTTAAACAAACAAATACTAGCCTTTATTCATGACCTCGGTCCTCTTTAGCAACATAATTGACTAACACTTACTTTTTTGCTTTTACTCTTGCGTTGTCTCACCATTTTTTTAAAAAATATTGAATTATAAAATAACTCCAACTCAAATCAAAAAAATAAAATACGTCAGAAGCAAAGCTAGCCAAAATTTAGAAAACACAAGTCAAAAGAGAAGCTAGGCAACACTCGATTGTATGTTCTACGTCTTACACACCTTGAAACGCACAAGATACATTAGCTTTCGACTAAAATTACACGAATTCGCTCAATTTCAAGTTCCAAAATTGCCATTTTCTCTCAAATTACAAAAAAAATTTTCGAACATGCAAAAAATACAATTTATTGAGCAAGTTCGGAAGTTTATAATGGCAAAACAACTTTAAAAATATTATTTCTCATCAAACAAAAAAGTATAAATTTTCAAAAAAAAAATGGTTTTTACCCGTAAGAGATCTAAAAACGTATTTTACTACAAACAAACCAAGCCAAATCCCACTCCCAACACCTCCATTTTTTCCTAATAATTTTGAAACCAAACAACCCCCTCTTATCACCATTATCAAAAATAAAAACGAAAGCAAACTTCAGAATCCGACGAAGAATCATCGCTGACCAATAACACATACTCACATGCCATTAGTAAAATCAAAAATATTTGACTGGTAAATATTTTAAAACTTTTAAAAATTATTTTTTTATTGAAAAAATGTTTACTAAACTATTTTGCATATGATTTACTGCTTTCTAAATTTCGTTTTTCAAACGAATTTTCGATGTTATTGACATTGACCCTTGATCAAGGCCTTGAATGTTACCTTTTTGCTATCAAAATCTTGATTTTATAAATTTTAAATCAATAATTTTGGAAAAGTTTCGATTGTGATTGGACTTTTACTTCAATTATAGTCAAACCTCTTTAGTATGACACTCAGGAGACCGGTCCAAGCCTGCCCTTATAACCAGTGTCACACTAACCAGGTACTTTTTGATCAGAGTTCTTTTATTCAAAGGACAGACAAGAAGCTGTCATTAGAAAACACTATCAAGAACCACGCAAAAGAGGTTTCATTATAGTACCAATTGTACCATGTAGTACCAATTGTACGTTTTAGTGTGCAATCAAACGCTAGTTTTACCATTTTTAACTTCAAATCCTTAATTTCAGTTATTTTTTTCTCAAAATCTACCCTGAAAACTAATATTTTCCACATTTCCTTTCACCAAATCTCAAAATTTGACCAAGATAAATCCGTTACCGTTTCCATTGCGCCGACGATTAATACCGGGGCCGAAGGACGCCTGCAGCAAAGTCAAATTAGTGCGAATAAACAAGAGGACACAAAAAACGAACGCCCCTGGCTTCGAATCCCCATTAAACGCAAAAAAGTGTAATTTTTCAAAAGCCGCGCCCGCTTTTTTAATTTTATCACCGCGGTGGGAGGCCGAAGAGATCGGCTGTCATCCCAATTACAGTCGGCGGGCCACGGTGCGCGCCCGGCCATATTAAGGATGCGGCCGAAAGTAAACGAAAGTTCCTGAAAACGTTAAGCTGCAAGTTGGAATAAAGGGATAAAGCTACATTGTTTATAAAATGAAACAATGGTTGAGATCAAAGAGGTTGTATTTTCAAATGACGTACCTCAATAGTAAGGCAGTCTAGTACCCATATCATAATATTTATGTCATCTTATTATATTTATGACAATAAAGTATCTAATGATAATACAAAGAGTACTATTGACTATTGTACGAAAGTTAATACTCTAGCATTTAAATTATTGTAAACTATATATCATTTATTCACAACATACTTTATATTACAATATAAAAGATCGCACTCAAGGCTGAACTAGCGTATGGTGTGAACATTTAAAAGTTTTTTAGATTTTTCATATTAAATATTTGAGTTCGAGTCGTGGTGCGCGACTGGTATATTAAGGATGCAGCCAAAAATAAGCAAAAGTTGCTAGAAAAGTTAAATGTAACGTTGAATACGGGAAGAACTATAGATTGCTTATGAAAAAAAAAACAAATCTTGATATCAAAAAAAGTATGCTGTGACAAAAATAATACTACATATTTAGATTACAATACTTTAAATTCTAGTGTATTACGTTCTATATAACAATAAACAGTATTTGTTATAATATCTTTAGATATCTTATTGCTATATATATAACAAGATGACATAAATATTATGATTTGGGTATTAGTACCTAACTACAATATCATTATTAAAAACCTTTTATAATATCTTTAAATGACCTCAATTGCCATTCAGATCATTTAAAGATGTATAATACAAAATATTGCTCCCAATAACCCCTATTGTCCATTTAAAACAACGTTCAGATGACTTTTATTATATATAAATACAAAAATTTCGGCCCACAATCCCAGTTTGGCCCCACGAAGCCGTGGATATTAAGAAGAACGCGCACTATACTTCCGGCCCACCTTTTAATGCCGACAAAAAAGGCAAAAAAACATTAAAAGCCAAATTTTTGGGCCCCAATAAATGGCAAAACATGTCCATTTAAATGGAAAAAGGTGTACAACTAGTCGATGTGCCGTTTCAGACGTCAAAAGAACGTCTCGGTAGGTGGTTTCGACTCGCTTTTTCTGATTTACATAAAGAACTGCAAGCACAATATTCGAATTTGACAAATAGAATGACCGCATTGGACTATGACCTTAGTATAACGGTCGAATGGCACTATGACCTTAGGAATTGAGAGTGAGATCCTATTACAATGACATTGGGAGCTTATTAACATATATCATTCCTGTCTTTATACGCATATGATTAAATTTTGATTAATTTGAAGTTATTTAAGTTTTTCATAACTTTAAAAACTTCAATCAAATTTACCTTAACCATGAATAACATAAGCATTACTCCAAACATATAAAATTAAGATCAAAATCCAAAACTAAAAACCCACATCATTCCCATTTGAACCCATATCAATCTTATTCTAAACCAGTATCATCCCTCCGAGTATCAAATTACATCTTAAATTCCATATCATACCCATTCAGCATCAATTCTTACGTATTTCTCTTTGTATTTCCTCCTTCAAACAATACTACATTTCGCAAAATACAAAAAATAGAAAACAAAAAGTCTCAACACTCCTTCGATAACAAAGTTTTCAACGTCAAACATGCGTTTTTCACAGGTAAAGGCGGCAAAATTATACAAACCTTGTTTTGCTAATGATATTACATTGTTATTGTTGAAATTTTTAGTCGTATTTAAGTTACGTGAGTTTCTATTGCTGCGTAAGGTAATAAACATTATTCTTGTAATTTATAAATGTAGTTTTTGTGTTTTGTGACCTATTTTTTCGTGTTTTAAATCTACTTTCAGCTTCTAGACCTTGTTTTAGATAAGACAATATACTATTCACTCAATCTTAACAATTTTAATTTCCTTGCACAACCTCTTGTTAAAAATGTATTTTAAGAATTGCAAAGAAAGTTGTCTTTGTCCGCCTACATAACCACCATTTCCGTTCAATTGTAAAGAAGTTTAAATGAAAATCCAGTCTACTACAACTTAAATCCAAACTTTTTCAACTTTTAAAAATCCAAAAAACCATTAATATCGCTCCTAATATCCAGCTTTTAAGCTAGAGTTAATCCGACGTCATTTGGTACAATTATACTTGGAATGCAAGTCTAGGAAAACAAACACAAAGCCAAAAATAACTTACATTGCCAACAGATGTGAAGGTGAAGTTGATAAATAGAAATTTGAATAATTAATATGCAAATAAATTAAATAAATAGTCGTTGATGATGTTGGACTTGAGTCTTATCCGATATCCAACTCATAAACTATTTTATTTTTATTTAGTGCACAATGCCACGATTCCACGCGTTACTTGTTTTCGTGGTGGAACCAAATTGTGGTAGTAGTGTTTTTGTTACCGTAAGACAATTAGAGTTGTTTTTGAAAAAATTTTATCATAATTGGCTACAATTTCTAATTTTTTTTAAATTTAGTTTAAAATGGGCTAAAACTTGTTGCAATTTAAAATTTTAGATTATATTATTCTTATTCATGACATTAATCTGGAATAATCCACTTGTCGGGATTCGCACCAATAACCACAGAATGACCTATTATATGCCGTATGTCATTTCCATCGTCTATGTCATTCATGTTGTTGTTGTTGGTATTGCTATTTTCCGTAATTGAAGCCCTGAACGTTGGTCTAATCGCCTCGAGCGGATGTTATTCTCACGACAAAACTCTTCAGTCTCTAATTAGTGGCCAAAATTGGAGTGTTTATTGGATTCAAGTCAAGATTTTTCGTTTTCAAAACAGTGTTGAGTTGCCGGTTACTTGGAAGAAGTTTGTATACGAAGGCAATGATAAGATGTCAAGCATTGATGTTGTAGGTATAGCTAATTCAAATATATCAAAAAGTACTGCCCAAAATTTAAAAAACTATACCAAACATGATCTGCTAAACACACGGAAAGATACAAGAGCTATCAAAAAGAATGGCATTGATACAAACGATGACAATGATGTTATGCATTCTTATGGAGGACCATTGGTATGGTACGGCAATATACCTTATGAACCAAGAAGACCGTTGAATTTTAATGGCTTAAATTTGTTTTATAACATCATCATGGCTCATAGAAAACACTGCTTAAAATTGTTTAACAGCAAAATGTATCAGGATTTGAAAAATTCCACTTTTGATGTTGTTGTAGTTGACCATTTTGTTCAGGTTAGAAAAATTTTTTAATTTTTTAAAAATTTAACATAATTTTAGGTATAAAGTTATTATAATTCTTTTTATTTTATAAATTCGGAAAAAACAATTTCAGGAATGCATGACAATGGCCACAGCAAGTTTTTTCACATCATTGATACAATATTCGAACTGGCCGGTTTCTGATGGTTATTTGACTTCGATGAACGTGCCAACCGTTCCATCGTATGTTCCAACTACTGGTACAACTTTTTCTCACCTCAAAATGAAGTTTTTCGAAAGGATACTCAATTCTATTGCTTTTGTTTTTATAAAGTTTGTGAGGATGTTCCAATGGACTGTTGTTTATCATGATTTTTGGAGGAATGATAAGGTGAGTTATGCCTTAAAATTTTACAACTTTTTGAAATTTAATCTTTGAGTCTTTTTTTGTAGGGTAGGGTAGGGTACAAACTTATGGAAGATACTCGATTATTTATAATACTGCTGTAGTAATTTCGATTAATTTTAGAATGACTTGTTCAATGTAGAAGGCTCTCATCTGTTGTATACTGTAAGGTCAGAGTTTCTACTGGAGCCAGTTAGACCAGTCAATAACAGAATCAAATATTTTGGTTGTTCTGGATGCTCAAAGTAAGCCTTTTTTATAAATATAAGTTGTATTTTTTATAAAAATTTTTAGCTGAAAAGTTTTTTTTGTTATAGTAAAGACTAATGAAGACTTACCTTAAGTTTTTTTATGTAAAAGTCAGCTTGAAAATTTACAATTTATAATTTAACTTTTTTTTAAAACTTTCTTTATTTCCAGAACTCCTACTAAAAACACCACTTTGTTGAACAGCACGTTGCAACGTCTAACATCAAAGGAATTTATTGTAGTGACATTTGGAAGTTTGTCAAATGTAAGTTTTTAGTTCTATCTTGTAAATATTTAAAATTAATAGTACAGTGAATGTACTATGTAATCCTACCCTACCTTATTTGCTCTACGCTAAATTGCCTTGCCTTGCCTTTCTCAGCCGTGTCAGTGAGCTATGCTTAAAAATTGGTCAAACTTAACTTTTAAATATTTATTTTTGTCACATATAACAAAAGTCTATGCAAATTTGTATTTTTTATTGTAAAACAAGTAACAACATAAAACAAATTCTATATATATTTGGACTATAAAAACTAAAAATTCTGTTATCACAATCATTTTTAAACCTTTTTTTGTTTAAACTGAAACTCTGGTACTCTGTAGCCAAGATTGACAAAGTCATAGTAAAACATTCTCACAACATATTCCATAAGATACGGTGAGGTCAGCAATCTCTTCTCCAAGTACTCTCTAGCTTCACTGTCTTTAGTAGTATGAACTGTAGGTAATGTGAGTTCGTTTTTCAAAAACTGCAAGCTACGTTCAGGTATGTTGTTCAGGACAATCTTGAATCTGTTGAACAATTCTGATGTATTCGTTGTGTAGTGTACCTTTTCGTATGTACTGATAGGGTATTTGTCAAAGTCACATCGCCATGTTTGTGGGAAGAAATGCCGGTCTTCGAAAGTACGGGATAGCTTTGTCAATTGACCTTGTCTTAACATACGATCGTATTCTCGCAGGATGAAACAGGTCATGTTGGCTTTACAGCCGTTACAGTAGTTCTTTGTGTAGGGTTTTCTGAAAAATGCAGTTTTCAACTAAATTACTTTACCCTGCCTTAGCCTACTCTATCCTACGTGACCCTACCTTACCCTGCCCTACTCTACCCTACTCCACTTTACCCTACCCTACCGTACCCTACCCTACCTTACTCTACCCTACCCTACTCTACCCTACAGAACTCTGCTCTATTCCACCCTATGGTACCTTACCCTACAGTATCTCAACCTATCCTACCTTATCTTACCCTACACTCTACTTTATTATACCCTATAGTACCTTTCTCTACAGTGCCCTACTCTGCAGTACCTTATCGATCTAGCAGTATATTACTCTACCGTACCCTACAATACAGTATCTTATCTTGTTTTACCCTACCCTGTTCTATCCTGCTTTTCTTTACCCTTCTTATCCTAGCCTTGCTTTCTCGTCGCCAAGCCCTTGCCCCATCATTGTTCTATTATTATTCCGCCTTTCCCTTATCATTATGTTACATACGACGTGTTTTTTCTGTCCTTGTTTCACCCTACAATACAGTATCAACAGTGTCTTTTTCTATTGTATTATTTAAAAATTTACACTTACCTAATGCATTTATCGACAAATCCAGAAAGGAATCTTTCGACCGGCTCCCTGACTACTACAATCTTCTTCGTCTGTCTCATCACTCGCTCAGCCTTACGTTTATTGACTCCTGATTGAGATACGATACGTTCCATAGCATGTGTCATACTGTTGTCTTCGTTTTTGTGAAGGCAGAACCTGCAAAAACGTTTGATAGCTTTTATGTCAAAGGTAATTGAGTGGTACATAGTGTAACATTAAAAGTAAATTTAAAAAAAATCAATTTTAAAAACTGAGGTGATAGTAGAGAGGATCAACTCTAGATACTTATTGAACTCACCTGTCTCTGCTCAGCTCATTTATATGGCGCTTTTGTCGTTCGAATGCCTTCTCATTTCGTAGATAACATATCATTCCTTGTAGCACTGTTGACATGCTCTTTTGTATGATACATGCCGCTATGTTGTACTTGCTTGTAAACTGAAAAGATGGCTATGGTTTTCAAATAGCATTTGTTACTACAGTGGAACTTCTGCGGGATCCTATATAACGAATCTCTTAGGGCTACTTTTCAATCCCACCTTTGAGCTCGCATATGCCGGCTTAACCCCTTTCAAATTTGGTCCGGCCCGTTTCTAGTGGGCTTTCCTTCAGATCTATGGATAGACAGTTCCAAGAAATACCAACTAGAAAGTTGACAACTATACGCCCGACTTTTTAATCAAGCATTCCAAAATTTACATTGTTCAGCCACACAAGAGTGAGCTGAAACAGTTACCAACCTTAATTAGGAACTGAAAGTTCGAGGAAGAAGGGTTTGACCTTTTACGTATAGAAACAATCTCTTGCTTTTTGATTGGGTTCGCGATAATCAGAGAGAGTGCGCGTTTCTTTCTTTCTCTAGCTAAACTAAAAAACGCAGAAATCGTGATAGTGGACTGGTCTGGACCCAATTTTTCGGCAGGTTAAATTTGCTTTGGCCTGGCCTAGTCTGGCACGGGGCCGAGCCTTAGCGCCCCCCCCCCCTCTTTGAAGTCTAGTTAGAGAAGAGTTAGTTCTGCAGGAGTTTCACGTGTAAATTATAATTTTGTTTTTAAAACACCTAAGTTATTGTTGTAAACTGAAAGAAAGCTTACTCGTATCCTAGTCTCTAACCGTTTATATTCTTCTGTACACTTCCCTTTATCATTTGATTTACAAATTTCTGTCGAGTTTACTATGCCAAAGTCGCTATATTGAGGTAAGGGCTGAAATCAGTAAAGGCAACATGAAAAACCAGTAAAATCAAAATTTAATTGACAAAAATTAAAAAATTGTATTCAAAATAATAAAAAAATAAAATTTCAACTTACATCCTGATTAAAATACAAAATAAACTTCATATTACTCATTCTCTTTTGACTGACATAAGCTTCTGCAAAGTAGGATGAATTGATAAAAGCGTTCAGCGTTCTGTAGTCAATAAAACTCTTTTTCGACCGGTTGATATATAAACATATGATAAGGCCAGATATTAGTAATGTCAAGTTGATAACAGCGTGTTTGACACGCATATTGGGTAATACTTTCGTTGTCAGGTAATACTTTAGGTAATATTTTAGGTATTAAATGGCTGAGGCTTATAATTGATAACTAATTAGTATTATAGGTAATAAGTTGTTTAATATTTTAGGTAACAACAATTATTTTTAGGTTACAACTCTTCTAATATTTTAGGTAACAAATTTCAATACCTTTAGGCAATACCGCTTCTAATATGTCAGACCCAAACCAATATAATATTTTAGTTAATAACCCGTTTAATCTGAATGTATTCTAGGTGAAATACCAACCAGCCGCTTTATTGAAACAATTTTTGAAAGCCTTCAGTCATAGCAGGTAATCCAATCGTTGTCACAACCTCAGTAATCTCTTTCGTATTTTGTAGTTGAGCAGGAACTTTTTAACTGTAGTTACTTACAGATTTGAAGTGATTTGGCAAGTGAATGGAGAGTTTGGCTACGAAGCAGACCTTCCGGCTAATGTTCATCTTGTTAAATGGGTACCTTTGGATGATTTGTTTGGTATGTTATTCAAATTACTCTGCTTTTTCTATCCCTGGCCCAGAGCCCTAGCCCAGAGCCCTAGCCCAGAGCTCTAAACCAGAGCCCTAGCCCAGAGCCCTAGCCCAGAGCCCAAGCCCAGAGCCCTAGCCCAGAGCCCTAGCCCAGAGCTCTAGTCCAGAGCCCTAGTCCAGAGCCCTAGCCTGGGACACCAACCCAAAGCTAGTTTTAAATAATTCTTCCCTAGCAGTAGCCCTTGAACTGTCCAAGATCTATACCTACAACTTAGAAACGTCGCTTACTTTCTACACTACCGTTTAAAATCACCAAAGCTCTATCTTTTCAGTCAGAGAAACAGACAAAAATCCGTTTCTTTCTCAATAACATAGAAACCCAATCAAAAACCAAGCGCTCGCTTTCCTAAATAAATATACTGAAGGCAGAAATTCTTCACCCCCCCCCTCTAACTTGGCTGTGAGTGAACCGATTGAGACCAAACTTGGTATAAATACTCATAAAGTATTGGGGACTGTTTTGATATAGCGAAGTTTCAATTGGCTTGTGGCATTTCGTTTTATGTTAGAGGGGGGGGTGAAGAATTTCTGCCTTCAGTATAGTACATAGTACTAATTTGTACACCTGCTTATCCTGCAAATTTCAGTACATTCCAACATTCAATACGCTATAATTCATGGCGGCATAAACACAGTAAATGAAGCTGTACATTCCGCTTTACCATTAATTGGAATTCCGCTACAAGGAGATCAGAATAGTAATCTTAAAGTACTTGAAACGTACAAAACGGCCAAAATTGTACGCATGGTTGATGTTTGGGAAGGAAGACTTCTTCATACTATTATGGATATTGAAAGTAATTTAGAAAGCTTTAAAGAAAACGCTGTTAAATTGCGAGAAATGGTTCAAAATTACCGCGAAAACATTGGAAACAAGCCTGATTTCTGGATAAAATGGAGTGAAAAACATGGAAAAACGTTAAACTTTAGGAGAAATTACATTGGAAACAAATATATAACATATTTACAATATTACGCTTTGTCGGATTTACTGGTTTATATATCTTGTCTTTCATTTTTGGCATATTGTTCATGATAAACTTAATAAATTTTTAATACTTATGGTTTCACACTTTAATATATTTAAAATAAAAATTGAAAGTTCAGCAGTTTTTAGTCTAAATAGGTGTATTTTATTTTTATGACAAAATACTTACACTACGTAATTAATTTTTAAAGGATTTCGTATAAAATTGTATAGCGAAAATTACGCAGCCTGCACTCCGTCGGCCGCAGCTCTTCGTGGATTTTGTAATATTTTACGCGAAACGAGAACGAAAGAGCTTTTATGAATTTATGTCTGGAGATAAACACACTTTTTGATCAAAAAAGGATGAAAACTTTTCGTTTTTTTTCGAAAAGTAAAGTTACGTGGCCAACCTTTAGTTTTTGTATAATGTTGGGATTGATTTCAGCTATGACTCGGTAAAGAAGACAGGATGGCAGCGTTTTTGTAAAGATAACCGAGACTTGAGTTGTTTTTTTGGTAACAAAGCACTCGTGGAAGGGAAAGTGAGTTATGCGCTGTCACTTAAAAGGGACTTGCTACTGCGTTTTGTTTAATTTTGTGGAAATTATTGTACTTGATATTATGGTTGTGAGCTTTTTGTTATTAATGAACGAATTTCAGGTATCGGCGGATCTTTTCGGTTGGAACTCATGCTGTAACGACTTATAACCCGGAAAAATTGGAAATTACCAATCAGGTAAGTCTTTTCTTTCGTTTGTTTGAATTTAGGCATACTCTGTAATATCATTGGCTTCTTGAACCAAGTTTGTTAAAATCAAGGTTTTGAACTCGAGAATAAGTTTGCTTTGATTTCAGTGGAAGTACGATGAGTTTGTGTCGATTCGGCCGGCTCAGCGTAGTCCGAGCAGTGATGCGCGAGGCGATGAATTCATTATCTTGGTCAGGAAGAAGGGTAAAACTGATAACATGAGGTTTTCGTCCGAATTCACGGAAGAAATCCTTGCCCAAAGTCTTCAATTTCAAGACAAGTTTTGCGAAAAGCCGGTTGGAAGAAGGGTAAGTGATTCATAACGCATGGAATTAATTAATCATGTTTTTATAAGACGTTTATGTTATCTTAGACAGAAGTAATGTTAGCATTTGATTTTGATGGAAAACTGGGACAATTTGGGCATTAAATTAAATTTCTTGATTAAAATAAGTAACAACAAGGTTTTTAGCATAAAATTTAACCAAAGTGTCATTGAAAAGTGGCAGTAAACTAAAGTTATATTGTTCTATAGATTAAGATACCAGAAATGTAAAATTCAGGTATAAATAAGGTATTTGAAGCTCAAAAGGAGACTTTTAGAAATTTAAGTTGTACTTTCTAACGACATCATTATTACCTTACCTCTTCTAGAGATTCAATGGCCACAAATATGGTTGGTCCGGTGACAAACAACCAGTTGTCATTGATCTAGGACCAAATGGTATTAATCAAATCAACGACCGCGGAGTATTAGTCAAATTTTATCCATATAATCATATCAGACATATCTATCGAGTAGCCGACTATCCTGGAGGGTTTGTGATTGAGATTGGCGACCAACTTAGAAGGCATTTATTCGCTTCACAAGATTCAGAAGAGGTGATAAAGGAGTTGAGGCAATTGGCATTGGAATGCATGGGGCTGTTGATTAATGTGGCCAAAGATCACTTATCTTTCGATGACTTTATGACTACTAGGCTGGGATTGTGCAGGTAATAGTTTGTTGATGGTGTGGTAAAACAAATTTTGGGAATGGGGTTTGGTTTTTTTAAATTTTAATGACAGTAATGCCTCTAAAATAATTTTTTTATGTGGGACAGGGTAAGAAAAAAGATTTTGGGGTAGCGAGGGGGATAGATTTTAATTTTTCAAGGGGGTGGATATTTTTAAATCAAATTTTTGTTATATTTCAGTAAGGATGAACAAATAACCTCATATGTCGAGTTCCGGGTACAAAAATTCACTCCAAGAAACTTGGACACAACGAAACGGCTACTGTGCTTATCCGAAACGTGCCTAATTGAACGTGACATTCAAACATACGGTGCTGTTTGTGCAAGGTTCTTAAAAACGGTAGGTTTGTGCTATTTTTGATTGAATTTTGATTGAATAAAGCATTTTAAGGATTTTAAGGAGCTTTTAGGCGTTTTTAAAACTGTTTTTGGCTTTTTAAAGGGCTTTAAATGCTACTTTAAGTTATTTTAGGTAACAAATGGAATGAAATTTACATTTTAAAAGTCTGAAATTATAAGAAAACGTTTAATTTTGATTTATTTATAGATAATATGTTTGGTACGAGACCCAAGTGATCCTCAACGGTTTCAAATTGAGTATGAAAATGGTGATCAACGGACATATTCTTCTAACGAGCGGTATGTTAATAGTACCTACTCTTTACTTTATTCTAGCTTTTTCCTTGCTACAAGTGATTTTTTAAAATTTTTAAGTTGAAATTTTGCATTAGGAATGAGGATTTAAAAAGAATCTCTGTTTTAAACATGAAATACAAAAAAAAAGATTTTTAAGGTGACTTATCAATTAAAAATTTCTGTTTCAGCGACCAAATCTTAGCCTCATTGATAGATGGCTCCAGAGCTTCGGGAAACTATCAGATATTCATATCATCGAGAAGATACGAAAGAAACCTACGGTTACTACCCTTCAAACAGTTATTAGACGAAGAAGGAGAAGCTCAGTTATTGAAACAAATTGTTGATGTGCCACGTAGGTTTTTCGAAACTAACACTGACCAAATTCTGTTAAAAAAATTTAAAAATTCAATTTTAGCCGGCCTGCGACGCTCGGATATGGTCCGCCGATTCAATGCCAATGTCCCATACAACGGTCTGACATATTCACAACCAAAAGAAAGCTTTTTCTCTGATAACACCAAAAGCAGGAACATTGTGAATTGTCTGGAAGCGGTACTGGCCGAGTCTTATCAACCAGACGAGCCTGGTGCATTGATGAAGTGCGAAGCTCAAATGGCTTGTCTTCATCGACTCTTTGCTTCCAAAGTCGGATTCCAGGCTTTTACTGCTATTACTGGGTAGGGAATTGAAGTTGTCATGCTCCGGGACGTCGTTTGGGGGAGGGGGGGGGGGGGGTCCCCCCTCCCCCAGAGCCTAGAGAAAAAACAAAAAAAAATTTTTTTTGAAAAATCGGTCGACAGGGAGCTACCTGTGGACGAAAAAAAAATTTTCGGCCTCTCCCTCCCCTAGAGAAAATCTGTAGCGACGTCCCTGGTCATGCTTAATATGGTATATTTGATATAGAGAAAGGTTTAGTTTGTTAAACCTGATATATTGATATCATTTGATAAAAAGTCAAAAGTTTTAAACTTTAGGTAATAAAAAATTTGAATTTAAAACCGATTTTCTCTTCAGGGTTCGTGAAAAACTTGGCAACTTGGTAGTGAACGTCTTGGCCAGAAAAAGCGAAGCTATCGACTATGCTACTGTGGAAATGCTGTGCGCTTTAATGCAGCCAATGCACCCTAATTTTGAGTTGAAATTGGAACAACTCAACAAGCAATCACTCTTATCGACCAAAGTTTTTGTAGAACATTTACTGGATTTGGTCGTTAATCATGTGGTAAGTATTTTTTTGAGAAAAAGTTGGAAGAATGGACCTTACTTTACAAAAGCATGCAGTTTTGTTACCTAAGAATCAAGTTTCGTTGAAAAAAAAATTAGATTCTCTAAAGGATAAAAATTTAAATGTAAGTAGTTTAAATAATTATGTGCTCTCTAATCTTAAAAATTTGATTTGAAGGGGCACAGAATTATTTGAAAAACCTAATATTACACTCAAAAACTTATTCTTTACAGAATCGAGGAACTGGAGCACTGGTCATCGCAGCTATGTTAGACTTTCTCACGTACACCGTATGTTCACCATACTCAGAAACCACTACCGGCGAAGTTTTCGACATGATCATCGAACTCGTAGCCGCAAGAGGAAGATCTTTCTACAGACTATTCCACAATCCATGCCTGACAATTGTAAAAGGCGCTGGACTAGTCATGAGAGCCATAATCGAGGAAAGTAGTCGAGAAATATCAAGAAATATGCAGACATTGTCATTGACCGAAGGTGCTTTCTTGAAACATTTGGAGCTGGCTTTATTATCGACTGGTAAAGATTTGAGGGTTTTGACCAATAAACAGCTTTCTGGACATTTGATTTCTTTGTGGATTGCTGAGAACTCGTCGGCTATGGATCTGTTGAAGCGATGCTTGGTGAGTTGGATGGTATTAAGCCTGAATTATCGCTAATTTAACGCCTGGCTTGAATTTTAAATGTTTAAAACGATTTTAAAGGTTATGTTATTTTATATATTTCAGCCCCGTGGCCTCCTCGACTTTTTTGAAAGCCCAGACAAGCCCCCAGTATCAGACAAAGACCTCCTTTTGGTTCGCAACAACCTCGAAGTGGCACAACAAGAAACTCAGCAATCAGCCCTCCAGGCCCAACTCAAAAGCATGCAGTATACAGTAGAAGCCAGAATCGAAACCCTTTTCCGACACTGGAACATTGAACAAAAAGTGGGCTTCACAAGAAAAGAACCCGACCGGTCGGCACGTCCCGTCGTTCTGCGCCAAAGAAAACGGCACATCAGAGCCACGGCTAATTGGAAACTGTTCGCATATCAATTCAACAAAGATCACAGCCAAGCTGACCTGATCTGGAACGAAAAGACGAGAGAAGAGTTCAGGCGTGCCATCACGGACGAAATGCGACAGCTGCAGCTGGAGCTCGAGCTGGTCGAGAAGGAGAACACCCTGGTCTCTTGGAATCACACCGAGTTCTTTGTTGAATACCCATCGTTGGTCGATGAGATCAGGATTGGTGATTACTATCTGAGAGTACTACTGAATGAAGAAACCGACACGGCTACACCGATTCACGATCCTCAAGACTTCTTCAATCAGGTCTATCATAGGTTTTTGTTGGCCAGCAAAACGGATCTGAAGTGTTTGTGCTTAAGGGCAATGGGCATTGCTTACGAAAGGCATGTGATGACAATTGGACCGTTTAACGACTCGAAACATATTGTACAGATGTTGGCACGGTGCATGAATGTGATTGAGAGGGATCATTTTGTAGGTTTTGGGGGGTTTCAAAGAAGTTTTTTTGGAGGAAAATGGAGTTTCAAGAGGGTTTAGGGGGTAAAAATTTAATTTTAGGTAGTTTTTTAAAAACAGATGGCATTTCAAACTAATCTTTTACTAAAATTTTGATAAAAAACCAATTTTAATAGCTTTTTAATCGTTTTAAACATCAATTTTCAGTTGTTCCTAATAAGCAAACTAGTCCTGGACAAAAAGAACGTTCGAGACTTGATCAGCGAAGGCTTGATCCCAATGCTTGTTGATATGGCCATGCTAGCTCATCTACACATCAATCGTGCCAAAATTCACAGTCAAACGAACGTGATCGAAGGAGGAGAGAATACGACAGAAAGCGAATCTGAAGAATGGAACTACGTGGATAAAGAAGGAAAGAAACATGGACCGGTCAGCTTTAAAAAGGTCGGTTTTGGTTGTTTTTACTTGTTTTAAGGTTTGAAATTGGGTTAGTATTTGACAAAGCTATATCAATATCACTTCAGATGAAAGAACTGTACAAAACTGGAGTAATTTTCGAAAAAACCCAAATTTGGGCCGAAGGCGTGGACGGCTGGATGAATCTCTCATCAGTAGCACAATTCAGATGGACGATATGTGCCAAAGACGCCACCCAATCTGTAGGCCAAAACTCGACTTGTGCTCCACTATACAACCTTACAGACCTGGCCGTTCTGTGCTTGGACGTTCTCAACCAAATGTGCGTCTTCTTCCCATCACGTGACGCTTCTGGAGCCATCATCCGACCCATGCCCAAGGTGAAGAAGATCATTTCGGAGCCAGTAACTCTATATCAACTTGTCCAGCTTCTCTTGACATATGATCCAGCTATAGTACAGCGAGTATCGACTTTGGTGCTGGATGTTATGATGGACAATCCCAACATATCACGTCTCTACCTCAGCGGACTTTACTTCTTTATATTAATGTACAATGGATCAAACGTCCTTCCCGTGGCCAAACTCTTGCATTACACTCATCTGAAGCAAGCATTCCGCTCAACCTTGGCCAAGTCCGAAATCATCTCCCATAGCGTCTTGTCCCCAATACTTCCAGAAGCTACCATCTACTACCTGGAAGCATACGGACCAGAACGATATGCAGAAGTGTTCCTGGGCGAGTTCGAGAACCCAGAAATCATCTGGAACACGGACATGCGACGTCATTTGATCGAGAAGATTGCCATCCACATCGCCGACTTCTCGTGCAGGTTAACATCCAACGTCAAGGCTCTATACAAGTACTGCCCCATACCTCCAATCGAGTACCCACAGCTGGACGAAGAGCTCTTCTGTCACTACTACTATTTGAGGCACTTATGTGATGAACAACGGTTCCCCAACTGGGAGATCCGCGAGCCCATAGCCTTCCTACGATGTGTTCTAGCCGCGTGGCAAGAGGAAATCGAGAGGAAGCCATCATCAATGTCAATCGAAGACGCGTGCAAGACTCTGGGACTGGATGTGAATGGAAATGGGTAAGAATCAATGATAAGAACTTAGAAATTTCAAAACTTGTTATTGATGTTGTGGAAAATATGAAGAAAAATAAGAGAAAGTTCGGGCGCAGATTAGGAATTTGATTCTGCAGCCTGCAGGTATTAAAGATGGGATTTTGAAGGATGTTTTACAGCTGTAGGGCAATTATATTACCTAATATGTGTAAAATATTTACAAAATTTATATTTTTTAGAACAGTGAAAAAAGGCTGGGCGCAGCTAGAAAAACATTAAAAAATGTTTTTGAAGGATGTTATATGTGTATAGCTGTTAGTTATTATAAAATGTGTAAAATACGAATAACGGAATAATTATTTCCGCAAAAAAAGTTCGCGCGCAGCTCAGAAAATTGATTTGGCAGGCTGCAGATCATAAAAAGCGATGAAAAGCCTTCAGAAAGGTATGAAAACAAAAGCAAAGTTAATAAATGAAAAAAATATGAATTTGAAATAAAAACAATATATAAATATATTTTTCAGATGGCAAGACACATCGACCGTTCGTCGCGCCTACTACAAACTGGCCCCAAAGTACCATCCTGACAAGAACCCGGAAGGTCGAGAAGTGTTCGTTCAAATCAACTTTGCCTATGAATTCTTGACCTCAGCATTGATTCGAAACAAAAACCAGTCGGATCCGGATGTTAACAGGATTGCCATTTGTCTAAAAACACAAAGCATAATTTACTCGAGGAATCTAGAGGCTTTGTCACCGTACAAATACGCTGGCTACACTCATTTGATCAGAACCATCGATCTGGAGGTAAGAGTTTGGTAAAGTTTGCAGCTGAATGGGGAATTTGATTAGGAGGTTATGGAGATATGCCTAGATCATTCTTAACATCAGATTTGTGTTACAATTTTTGCAAGACAAATCTTTTGTTGAGGTACCTAAATCGAGCTTCTGTGGCTTTGGCCTTGCCTTCGGGCTCACATAATACCAAACCTTTTCGAACTTTCTTTGTCCTCTCACGGTCCGGAGCCAGTCCCAGTAAGCCCGTTTTCAACTTTTGTTAGACCTGTTTTTCTAAAAAAAATTTGAAATTGAAAAATTTCGAATTTTGAAAATAAGAATATTTTTTAAAACTGTTTAAAATTTTTGGTATTTAGGCATCAGTTTAACTAATTTTTTAAATATTTTAGGCATCCGATTCCGCCCTCTTCTCCTCAGACAAGCTACATTCCGGAAAACTCCTCAGCGCGGCCGTCGAACTCTGCTATTGGACTCTGAAGAGCTCGGCCTTAAATGCAGAACAACTTCGTCGCGAAACAGGTCTTGAAGCCCTGTACAAGACCTTCGAACGATGCGTACCAATGGTCTCAAGTGGGTCGAAGGAAAGCGACATGCCAGTCCAAGTCTGTCGTCATGTAGCCAAATGTTTTGGCGTAGCGGCCGAATTCGAACAGTGTAGGGATAAGATCAGCGAAATGAAGCAGATTTATGGATTGCTTTGTCATTTACTCAAGTTTGAGGTAATTAAGGGTTAGATGAAGATTTTGGGGGAAAATTTAAAATTTTTTTTTCATATGTATTTAAGTCATACTTAACACAAGTTTCAAGTTATAAGTACTAAAAAATCAATTTTCAGCACCTACCCAATCTTGCAGTAGCGGCGGCCGAATGCATCTGTTCCTTCTCGGTCTCCACCCTCCTCCAAACATTCCTCTACCAAGCCGGCATCATCTGGCACCTCCTCCCCCATCTTTTCCGTTTCGACTACACCTTGGACGAAGGTGGTGTACAACATAACGAGCAAACCAACAAGCAATCTGTCCACAACCGTCTGGCACGATCCTCTGCCGAAGCCCTCGCTTGTCTAGCGGGCTACAGAGACGAAACGCCCGAGAATGATGGTGTCCAGAACAGTCTAAATGCTTTAATTACGAAGTATGTGTGCAAGTTAATGAAGGATGGAGACATGGATGAGGTACTCAAGGTCCTGAACTCGAATACCGAAGATCCATACATCATTTGGGATAATGGCACAAGGGCCGAGCTGCTAGATTTTGTGGAAAAACAAAGAAATTCGCCGGAAAATGACTTTGGAGCCGAGTTTACGTTGAGTGTGTACGCTAAAGAACTGATCGTCGGAGATATATTTGTCAGGATCTACAATGAACAGCCCGAATTCAAACTCTATGTAAGTTGGTGAGGAGGTTTGAGGTGGTTTTGGTAACGTTTTTGAAGTGATTTTGGTCATTTTTGTTGTATAAAGATCTTTTTCACAATTTTTTGTAGATTTTCTTGGCTTATCATTTGAATTTTTGACCAATACCCAATTTTAGGACGCAAAGTCCGTATGCGTAGACCTAGTGGAATATATGAAAAAACAAATCGACACTTTAATGGGCGTAAAGAAGCCAGTAATTAATGGAAATCAACAAAAGAAACCTCCAAATCCAGACAATTTGATCGATTTTGACGCCGAACCAGAGCCAAAACCCAATCCAAAAGAGTCGGCTAGCCAAATCCCCTTGAGCAGCAAAGTGGAAATGGTGTGGAAAGCCTTGGACAATGTCCTATTGAACTATCCGGGCATTGAAATACTCCTCATAGGTCACTTCCCTCTGATTTTCGATTATCTTCGCCTGAATCACCTTCAGAACGTGCAAATCCTGGCGCTGAGTGTAATATCAAAGGCCGCGAACAACAAGGAATGTGTGAATGACATCTCATGTAGCGTGCAATTACCGCTGTTGCTACTTTTGTTGGTCAAGAATCCAACAGCGGCTGATAGAATCCTAAGAACTTTGGTTGCATTGTCTTCAAATGGAACGATGGTCAAGAACTTGTTGGAGTTTGGAGGATTACTGTACTTATTGCACATTCTGATGGGAGCAAAGGGTGATGGACAAGATGAGAACAGGTTGCTTGTTGCGGAGTTGCTGGCAAAGTTGCAATCGGACAAGCTAAGCGGACCAAGGTGGAGCAGATTCATAGTCAAATACCTACCTCCGATCTTCGCTGATTCATTAAGAGATAGTCCTGCTCAAGCGTGAGTTTTAATCGAATTTAAATTATATTAATGTAGGTGAGTTTTTCATAACAATATTTACTATATAAATCCATTTTTTAGCATCAGAATGCTGGATTCAAACACAGAAAACCCGGAGCTCATCTGGAACGACACGATCCGAGCCACCGTCCGCCAACAAGTCGGCCAATCCCTCCAAGAGCTCTTGACCACACAGTCAAGAGACCTCTCAGCCAAGTGGTCACAAACCCTCCAAGCCACAAACGACCAGTCCACCGCATACTCATCAACAATAGCCGGTGAACTGATCGTCGGAGGCGTCTTTATCAGATTGTTCAATCAGAATCCATCCTGGAATGTCAGACATCCAAAACAGTTTGCTACCGAACTCATGGAGTTTGTTCTGGAGCTAATGCAGAAGCCCAACGAGAATCTACAACCGGTAACGTCGGCTTTGGTTAGCCTAATCACGAATCATCCGACTACTGTGGATCAGGTGAGTCGTGCTGAAGATTGGGTGGTTATTAAGAGGAATGAGAACGTTTTGGCGGGGTTTATTGTGGAAAAGTAAGGCAGTGGAGTAGTAAATGGAGTAAGTATATAGAGGATGAATTAGGTTTGACAGGTTTTTTAAAAAATTAAAAAATATTGAGAAAATTTAGCAAAAATGGCATAAAAATGAGATAAAATGAGAAAAAACCTAAAATTTTTGGAAAAATTTATATATTTTTTTAAAAAATACAATGTTTTAGATACCAGCACAAGGCTACCTACCTCAATTCTGCCGCGTAATGCACAATCCAAACGCAGAATCGGCCAAATCAGCCCTCCTCATCCTCCAACAGATGGCCGAAAACCAATACTGCGCTGACTCCCTAGCCTCCCAACCCATAATCAAAGGAATCGAGACCTGCATGCACAAACAACCAGACCTAATGTCAGAAGCGGCCCATTCCCTCAAGTGTCTAACCAAGAATCCGAAGCCAGAACTGGCTGAACAGTTCCTCAAGACCGATATCATCAAAAGCTTGCTGAAAGTATTGTCGGGAGAGCTGACCGGTACCGGAAACATTTCAGCGGCCAAAGCTGAGATTGTAGACGCTTTGAAGAGTATCTGCCGGGACCTACAGTACGGTGACAGAATTCAGGAGATTTTACAGAAATCGACCGTATGGACACAGTACAAAGATCAACGACATGATCTGTTCTTACCGGCTTCAAGGACTCAAGCTATTGCTGGTAAGCGGGATTTTTATAATTAATAGACGTATTAAGTTATTCAAAAAATTTTGTGCCCCCTCTCAAATCTTATTTCTGGTTTAGAGGCACAGAATTATGTGAACAAAGTTATGTATAGAAGAGACTAAAAAACATTATTTTAGGCCCAGGAGGAGGTTCCGTCGCCGGCTACCTAACCGACCGCATGTTCGAAGCCCCACCCGTCCCACCTCCAAAACATCCGTAATTCCAACACAAAATCGATGAAACCCAACAATCCCAAGTGCCTTAACTCCTCGAATATTATAATTTATTACTCTAATCCGTATTCACTATTTTATAACGAGTATTTTCACAACTTTGTATGGATCTTGTAAATTATATTTATTTCAATAAATTTTGATTTAAAGAGCTATTACATAGCAAGGGGGAGGTCAAAAATAGCCGTAAATAAATTTTTATCAAGGTTAAAAAATTGATTTAAAACAATTTATTTCAAGAAACAACAATTTTATAACAATAAAAAGGGTTGTCGTTAACATTTAGTAAACGTAAATTGCCCGAAGAACGTTACTAACCTTTCAATTGACCAATCATTTCGTCGTGAAGCAACACATTTACGTTATGTTCCATTACAAATTGTAACAACTGGTTCATTTCCACGTTTTCGTCTCTATCTGAAGACGAACGATCTGGAGATAAATTTTTGTTGGAAGCAACAGTATCACGAACAGATTTTGTACCTTCAACATAGTTCTTCTCCTTCATTTCTGCCTAAATTTCAAAAATTAAACCTAAAACAACATACCTACCTCATGTGTAGCTTTTCGTTTTGCTTCTCTTACTGCCACTGCCATACTTGCTCTAGCTGATCTTTCAGCCTTTGTCAACTTGGGCTTTTTAGGCTTCGGTTCCTTCTTCTTCTGTGGTGTCTGTGGAGCATTCTCATCCTTAACCAGTTGTTTTCCTGATCTCGAACTACCATTTTTTTGGGATTCTTCTTCCTGTACTTGGCAAGAAGCTCACGCTTTTTCGAAGCGATTTTGATATGCCGGCCATGTCTGAATTTGTTGAGACATTTAAATTTTTCATAAAACGATGGTTTAAAAGCCTAAATTTAGCTCGTAAACTTAATGAAAACACAATATATGTTACGAGAATAACATAACGTGGTATTTACAATCTTTTTTCAATGTATAAAACCTTTTTTTAACTTTTTATTGAATTTTATCAAAATTTTCCGCAAAAAATTATTATTTTGCTTGATACAGAATGCCAGAATCAAGAGGTTTTTGTCCCGACGCGACTTCAATACTGTATCGAAATTCTTTTTCTTCGTGAGGAAACGATAAATTTTTAAAGTTTTTTTGATAAAATTGACAAAATTCTTACTGTTTAGCCAGAGGGTGGGTTCTTTTTTATTTTATTATTTTTAGGCAGATCTTCTTCATATTTTAGATTAGATGAATTTTTGTTTTTAACAGTTGTTGAAGAGTTTTTGGATAAAATAAGGTGTGGAAGATATTTTTAATGTTTACTTTTGTTTGAAGGATATTTTTAATAGCTTAAATTATCTTGTCGTGTAATAGCTGTTTGTTGTAGCTTATAAATCACTTGTTTTACAGCTTTTTTATCTTATAACTTAAATTTTAAATTTTTTGTTGCTTTAGGGTCCTAAATCGTCGAAATGACCACAAAGAGAAGAAATCACGGACGTAACAAGAAGGGACGTGGACACGTCTGCTTCATCCGCTGCACCAACTGTGGACGATGCTGCCCCAAGGACAAGGCCATCAAGAAGTTTGTCGTGAGAAACATTGTCGAAGCCGCTGCTGTCCGTGATATCACCGAAGCTTCAGTCTACGAGCGTAAGTTGTTTTGTTTTTGTGTTTTATTGGTTTAGGTTAAAGTATAAGTGGATTGGAGAAGGAATAGTGGTTTATCTAGATGTTTTTGGGGTTACAGTGGTTTTGAGGATAATTTTATATATACCTATTTTTGTACTATTTTATGTAATGAGGGCTTTGGGGAGTTTTTTTTTCTGTGTTTTAAGTAAGAGGCCCTTGCTATACAATTCTTTTACTTACTACAATGAATCTTAGGTTTAAATTGTTAGAAAGCTTTTTGTTTCGCTGTTTTATGAGTTTAAAATATGTTAGGCTTACTAAGGCATATAACTCTAGAGTCTAGACTGTTCTTTTTACTACAATATTTTAACTTTTGAACAATAAACTGTCTTATTATCTCTAAATATATCAATTTTAGAATACCCACTCCCAAAGCTGTACCACAAGCTCCACTATTGCGTGTCGTGCGCCATCCACAGCAAAGTCGTCAGAAACCGTTCCCGTGAAGCTCGTCGTGACCGTGACCCTCCACCACGTTTCGGCCGCCGCCCAGCTGACCGATTCCCAGCTCGTCCAGGAGCCCCAGGAGCTGCTGCCCGTTAAATTGGTTTTTTGGTAATTGTTTGTTGTTTCCTGTTTTATGATATAAAAAACCTTTAAAATTGTATTTGTTGTTTTAAAGGTTAAAATTGTTAAAATACGTATTTTGGGGCGTTAGTAGGTATTTATTTACTTTGTTAGGTAATAGTATAACTCAAATAATTTTTTATTGCTTTAAAGAAGTTCTTAGTCTTAACCTTTTTCAACATCTTATTTAGAATCAAGCCAATTTGGTTTAATTGAGCGAACTCTCTTTATTGTACTTTTAAAATATTGAAAGCCTTTCGTAAAAACAATAACAAAACGTGTGTGGTGCGAATGGTGCTGAGAGGTCGACTGAGTTTTCGAAAAAAATAAGTGAAATTAGGCGTGCTTATATAGAAATTGAGGACATCAGACCCGCACTGAATGGTCATTCGGCTCGAACTGGAGCTTATTAGTGGACAAGTAGACATTGTGAGGCGCCGACTCCACGGTCAGATCGCTCTTCTCGTCCTCCTCGTCGACGCGTTTGATCTTGGGCGAACTCGCCGGTGGAATGCTGATGCGACGGTTCTTGGTGTTCTTGTCGCTAACTTTCTTTCCACCCTTGCGCTTCGAGATGTGAGGATTGTCTTGGTACAGGTTTTTGAGTTTATACATCCTCAGCTGAGTGTAGACGCGCTTAAGTTCGGCCTAAAAATGGGTTTTGTCATATAATGGTTAAAAGTAAATATAAAGGCTAAAAAAAGTTACTATAACATAATTTAATATAGCTAGCAAATTGATGTAATGCCTAAAACACTAATTATATCAGTATATGTCGCGCCAAATGTATACGTTCAATGATAACAATATCCTATCATTACCTACTCGAATATCTTCCGGATTCATGTCGATGATGGGGATCTCGGCAAAGTCTATCGTTCCATTAATTAGATTATCCCTGAGTTTCGCCAGCGAGGGATGAGCGCGACTACTGTTTCCAGTGCCGGACATGCTCAGCGAACGGCGATTTGTATCTGAGTTTACCTGAAGTCACGATGTATAAGTTGGTACAGGTGGTAATATCAAAGTAACTAATGAGTATAAGTAGTCACAGGGACTGTGCTACAGACATTTTTTGGGTAGGTAAGGGGGGGGTTACCAATATAAATGATCACGCTAAAATGGCACAGCAACAACTCACAATGAACTTGGGTGTTATGATGGCAGCAATGTTGACCGAGACGGTCAGATGCAGTCGAATAATGGCAGTGATGAAGAGGAAGTCGTGGGAACCGGTGTCCTTCATGAAGTATCTGGCCATCTGGACGGCCATATTCACCAAGATCTCGAGACAAACGGCGGCCGTGAATTGGTACCGTTCCACCCAGTTACTACTCCTCGCCTTGTAACAAAGCCTAACACCGTATAGTAGGAAGAGCAACTCGAACATTGTCCACATCCAGGACCACGACTCGAACGGACATTGGGGCCATTGGCTGTTCCACAGCTCGGGGGAGTGCTGGACTCCTAACGTCCACGCGACTAGGCCTAAATAAAATAATTGAGACTTTCTTGGACTAATTTTTGATTTTATGTTTCACTTTTAAAAAATTGTTAAAAATAGCATTTTAATGATAAAAATCCTCCTTACCAGTAAAAGTGATTGCCATGAAGCCGAGCAGGTACTTGAGAAGATCTTTCTCACGTACTATCACATGATGAGCCTTTCTAACCCTATATTCTTGAAGATTCCTGAAAAAACACTATTTTATGATTGTAAAATCTTATTCATACTCAAATTCTTTGCAAAATTGACGACAACGTTAAGAATGACAGAAAAAATTTGCACTTTTAAAAACTGCACCGTGCAGAGCAAAAAACATAAAGTAAGATATTGCGCAATAAAATTGTTTAATTTTGAAAATAACTATTCAAATAGCTCTTGAATAAGTCAAAATTTTAAATTTAGTAACAAATTTTTGAAACATCATTTTAAAAATGGCACAGTGCAATTTTCAAAAATGAACATTGCACCGTGCAGAACTTTAATTTTTTTACAAAAAATTTTAAATTTCGGACAAATTTTAAAAAGAAATGAATCGTATCTGACTTGCCTGTATATTTTTAGCACCACGGAGCCATAAAACAATGTGAAGCCGATTTCGCGCATCCAAATGGCAATGACACAGCCGTGAATATTGGCAATGGTAAAATCAATTAGTGGCTGAAAAAATGATTTTTAAATAAAATAATGATAATAAGTAGTTTTAAAGTTTTAAAAAACTAATTCGTCACAAAAACCCGTTTTAAAAAAAATTTTAAGTGATTTGCACGGTGCAACGAACTTCAGTCATTGCACCGTGCGGCCAATCTTTAAAATTTAAAGTTTGCCTACGATAAAAACGACTTTTAAAAATGTAAAATATTGTATAAAGTAGGTAAAAGTAAGGTAATTCAATACGAAAAAAAGAATTTTATTCAAGAGTGGTTAGACGGCCTGCACGGTGCAATGAATTTTGACCACGCACTGTGCAGTCATTACATTTAAGTTCTCTCACAAGGAAAATACCTAACTTGCCCCGCTCAGAATCAAGTCAAATTTTTTATATGTGTTAGTTGTAGTACCATTAGTGCATATAACAAATTTTAACTCGCACTTTTGAATTTTAACATCCAAATATTTGAATTTCCCGCCAATTTGGAAAATTTAACATTACTACACAGTACTATATTTTTCATATGTCACTAGCATAAAAACCTGCAATTCTTCCCAAAATAAGCCATGAAAACCTACAATCATATACAAGATGGCAGCTCCAACGAAGAAGCACTCCATCAAGGCCCAGCCTCGCGACTCCTGTTGCTGGCGATATCGCTCGAACACCACAGTCACGATCATTACAACCGAGCCTAAGGCGAAACCAATCGACAGAAAGTAGAACAAATTGAGCATGGCAGTCCAGTCAGCTCGACAGAACCGACTTTCGGCATCACAACAAGGCTTGGCATAGACCTTCAGGTCACCGTGAGAGGTCCAGGAGCACTGAAAATTAGTAGTTTAGGCTATATTTTTTTTTACATGGCTCCGAGCTGAGTTTTAACGACTTTTTAAGTTGGTTTGACCTACTTTTTGGGGTTAAAGCATGATAATATCATTATTAAAAGATAATATTGGTAAAATAAGGTCAAAAAGTCAATCAAAATCCCTGGTTTTACAAGTTTTTCAAAATTTTTTTTATTTAAAATTATCAAGAATAGATTTTTGTTGCCATTTTTAAGTATAAAGCGCAATATAAAGCCCAATATCAATTAAAAATGGCAGAAAAACTGTCACAACCTCAGAAAAACCCGTCTTTTTTTCAAAATTTCCGCGGTTTTGGCATTGTGTGGCAGCTTAAAAGTTCCAAATTAGGTTCTATTGACTATTATTTTACATTATAACATTATAGCCTACCTTTGACTGATAACACTGACTGAAAGGACAAGCATTCAGCTCCAATTCAGGTAGCCTCATTTCAACAAACGTCTCCAATGTGGCGGTACCATACACCGAAACTGGTACCCATCTCGGCTCGGGCGAACAGTCCAGATGAAGAACATGAACTGGGGCATGAGATCCAGGTAGGGGACGGATTAATGGTGTCTTTGTTACAGTCGTGTTCAAGGGGGTGTCTAAAACAAGTGTTTCAATGGTTTTTTTGGTTGAAATTAGTCTTTTTAGGTAAAAAGTTAATTATTTTTTATTTTTTATTAAGCCAAATTGACAATTTTGTCATTTTTCGCTTTAGTCCAGAAGTTTTTAACCGTTTTTTACTTTGGCACAAAAGTCCTCGGACTTTTTTCAAAAAATTGAAATTTTTTAAAAAATTTAATTTCACAATTTCAAAAATTATTTAAAATTATTTTATTTCCATTTTTTTACCTTTAAGATCTATATAAAGTAGCAAATGCACCAAAATAACTTCTTTTGCACGGTGCTATTTTTTTTAAATTTTAGTACGTTTTACCAATCGAAGAAAACATGTTTTAGGTAGTATAAAAACAACTGTAAAATACCCTTTCAAAGCATATATTTTGGATTTCAAAATTTTTCGTTTCTAGCCATAAAATTGAATTTTTAAGAAAAATTGATGCGCCGTGCAAAAAATTAAAAGTTGGCACAGTGCATTTTAAAATTATTTTGAGTTTTTATCAAATATTAAAGGTTATTTTTAAAAACTGTTATTGATTTAGTATCTAAAAATAACTTTTTGAAAATTAAAAAAATTTTTTTCAAATTTAATTTTTTTTGAAATTTTTTGAAATTCAAATACTTTTAAATTTCAAACTTACTTTTCATTTCAAGCAGGTAAGGATAACGCGGCGCCACATTGGCCAGCCATAGGAGCACCGGCTTCTGGAGTTGCATGTTCTGAATGGTGGAGTTGAGCAATTGTCTGAGTAGGGGTGTGTCCAAGGTGCGATTGCAACCGGTCGTATCGTCGAGTTGTCTGTAGAGATTGTCCAGGTCGTCCTTGGGAGTGTCTTCGGGCGTATTTCGTGCCGTTCTTGCCAAAACTTTGTCTTGATTCAGAGCTATTACAGCAAGTGTAAGTAGGATTACAGAAGCCAGAAGCATGGCTACGGCACAGACACAGACGATCGTGCTCTTGCGACGTGACGCTAGCGCTGATTTGGTGCGTACTGGGCGAGAACGACGGCGTTCGGGTGTTAATGGTTGATGATCTGATGGCAGGGTTCGGACGAAACAGACGGATTCCGAATCCGCTTCAGAAGGCTGAAGAGCTGAAGAACAATACGGATTGTCGGTGGTGGTCATGGTTAATATTGTGGATGAGTTAGATGGGTACGAGGATAGGGTAGAGCTGGTTGATGGGGCTTCCGAGGCTTCTATCACCTTTTCGTATACTGTAGAGTTCTGTAGGCTTAATGGTTTAGGATTCTGAAGATTAGAAGATGTAGGATTTTGATTCTGAAGACCTAACGATGTAGGATTCTGAAGCCCTGACGATGCTGAAACCAAAAGCTTTGATGAGCTAGGATTCTGAAGCGCTGACGGTACTGGATTAAACGTTGAACTTATATTATTTATGGCTTCGTCATAGCCGTCAGATGGCCGTACAGAAGACCTGTCAAACCTATTATAAGCTCCAGAAGTTTTGGAAGACCTACTAGAATCAACAGAAGCCTTAGACGATCTACTAAGGTCTCCAGAAGCCGTAGACGCCATCGGCTGCACACTGTGGTCAATGTTTGTGCTGTAGCACCTCGGGTTTGAGCTGGTTTCGGTTGAGAATTCGTTACTGGAGCTTGGAGAATCCATTTGAAAACGGTTCTGTTTTGTAGCTTTTTCTACAGTAGCTAGGTTTTTAGTTACGGTGCCTTCTTGTAGCTGAGAATCCAAAAATATAGTCGATCTTTGAAGCCTAGAACCTATAGGTATCGTGCCTTCTTGAAGCTTAGAATCCGTAGTACCAGTACCTTCCTGTGACCGAGAATCCAAACTCACAACAGAACCGTGCAGCCCAGAATCCCTCAAGTCCTTCTCCACAACCTGAACCCGCGGATGCGCTTCGCCTTCTGCGTGACACTCCAACTCGACGTCCCACTGGCTACTGCAGCTGGCCTCCTCCTCCGACGCCTGAGGCGTCCCGCCGGCGCCCCACGCCCGCTACGCTTCGTCTTCCTTCTTCCTCGGGGAATCGCAACTTGACTACGATGGTGGAACGGGAGCGGCGCGGCGGACGTCTGAAACCAGCAATATTTATGGCGAAACGGAGAGTGTGGTACAAGTATTGCGGCCAATTGGGAGACAATTTCGCACGAGCAAAACTTTTTTTTCCTCGTCCCCCCCCCCTTTTGATGCTGTTTTGCAAAGACATGGCGCTATGTTCGTGTCATAATTGTTAAACTACTACGGCCCAGAGATACGTGTTATGTTCGGCTAATGTTTTGGACTAGAATTCGAAAGGAAATGGCTTTGGAGCTTAAATTTAGACATACAAGTTTTGTAACAGAACTTTTGGCGCACTGCCAAGTGACTTCTTGTTTTAATTTTAAATACCAAATAATTTTAAATTTTAAAGTTTTATCAAAAATGGCATTTTTTAGTTGCCGACATAAAGAACCCGCCATACTTCTCCTTTAATTTCCTGTAAAAAATGGCGGGTTCTTTATGTCGGCACCTAACAGACTCCAGATGCTTATCAAACCAACGTTCTAACTTGAAACTTCGATCAAAAATGGCCTTATACCTCACTGTTTCGCTCTCAATCAACTTGATCCACGCCCCCCCCCCAAAGCCAATTCGAAAAAAATTTCACTGATACGCGATAAAACGAAAAAAAAACAAGCTGTGAAAATTGTTATTCTTAATATTCTAAAACTACCATGCCTTGCCTTGCCTTGCCTTGCCTTGCCTTGCCTTGCATTGTCTTGCCTTTACCTTTGCCATACCTTCACCCTACCTTTGCTCCCCCCCCCCATTAAAAAATTAAAAAAGAAATTTCTAGCCTCAATTTTGACAAAATTTCAACATTCTAGCTTACAGTAACCTCACTCAACACATTACAATAGTAATGAAACTTTTGACCCGAAATAGCCTCGAAAAATAACTATGAAACATGACATACGACACGAAATGTCATCTTTCTCATAGCATTACGCGTCTTATCTACTGGTCGAATCTGTGAAACAGAAAAGAATTGGCTCTTTTTAATTTATGGCCTTCATGAATTTCGCGAAATTTGACGGAAATTAACTCCAAAACGATTATTGGAAGTGGCAGCCGGCTGGCAAAAGGTCAAATTTTGAACATTTGCATAAAGTGAATAGAGAAAGTGCAATTTTAGGTGAAAGTGGGCATTGGTAATCATGTTATGAACATAGTTAACGTTTTTTACAAAGGAAAATAAAAAAAATCGTCTTTTTATCATAAAAATTTTAAAAAAAAAGTTTTTGTACGTTGCAAGAAAAGAGTTTTGCACGGTGCAAAAAACTAAAAGTGGCATAACTTTTTGTACAGATACAAAAATGCAAAATTCGGCATATCAGTAAAATTTTATAAGCTTTCTTTGATTTTACGTTACTTTAAAAATTATTAAAAATTTCTGATTTTCAAAAATTTTAAAATTCAAATACTTTGCACGGTGCAAAATACTGAAAGCGCCATAACTTTTTGTACAGGTAAAAAAATGCAAAGCTAGACATATTATTAAACTTTTATGACCTTTATTTCATCTTACGTAAATTTAAAAATTTTCTAATTTTTGAAAATTTTTAAAAGTTAGGAAAAGATGTTTGCACAGTGCAAAAAAAAACTAAAAGTGCCAACTTCAAAAACTTAAAAATACTAAAGATTGGTCCAAGATGATTAACAAAAAGCGTTCATTAAAACGTGCGAACGGTGACGTTCTCTCACTATTTATAACCCTTTATATATAACTCTAGAGAAAGATTATAAGCGGTTTTGCAGGATTCTTTGTGGTCAAAGAATAAGAATGATGCGGTGAATAAGACATCATAATATTAGAAGTGGGTTTATGATGAACAAAGTACTATAATATAGAGAAAAAGTACTATAAGCTAGAAAGAAGGTACTATAACATGAAATTTCATAAAGTTCAAAACTTCTTTTTAAATTTTGTTATTGAAATATGATATTTCAGTCTTACTTTTAGCCATAGGTAATGAATTCTAAACAATATAAGGCAAAATCGCAACTCTTCAGGTTTTCGTGGTGATACCAAAATGAATCATGTGTGATTTACAACAAAACCCCATTTTTCGTTAAAAAACATTGAAACTATCAGTTTTAGCCTTATCTAATAAATTCTGAAAAGTATAAAGCAAAATCGCCACTTTTCAAGGTTTCGTGGTGAGACTCAGAATATTTGTAAAATTTACAGGAATTCGTTCATAATGCCGTGATTTTTGTAAAAAACTTTATAAATATGAATCATATTAATAACCGTAAGTTTAAAACCCACAATTAGTAGAATATCCCCAAGTTTTCGTTGTGAGACCAAAAGGAACCTTATTTGCCATTTTTAGATAGAGAAACTCTCAAAATGCATAATAAAGCAACTCTAACCTATAAGAAAATGCAACTTTCCACTTCCTTCGCCAATGTTTTCCTCAAGTTCATAAATAATTTCGTCAAAAATCCATAAAAACCAGCCAAAATAGCCGCATACCCTCGCTATGACCGAATATCCGCCCCAACCCGAGAAATCCGTCCAAATCCCGAAACGTCTTGGTTAATGTTTTTGGCCGCAAAACCATAAAAACGTAATAAAAATGTGTGTATTACTCACACTGACCATCCACATGCGTTCCCAGCGTTCCTCACCGTCCTACCACTGCTCCATCACACAACGTTCTTGGCGGCGTGGGTCTCTGAAACTGGATGATAATCATGAGTTTTGGTGGGAAAATGGTTATGAAATGTTATGAAATTGTTGTAAAATACGCGTTGATAAAAAACACAAATAAAACTGCGGAAAAATAATCAAAAAAAGATGAAATACGATCGAATTTAAGTCAAAAATCTCTAAAACTCAAGCAAAAAACACCAAAATTTGAATTTCGCGGGTCTTTGGCATTGTGTAGCAGCAAATTTTGAATTAAATTTTTCATTTTAAAGTATTATATGCCAATAGCAATTAAAAAATTACTCTTTTAGACAACAGTTACTACAAAAAATCAACAAAACTATTAATTATATTGTGGTAGATACACTATAACGATGTTTTTATCTGTAGAACCACAAATTTAAATAAAACAATTCTAATATTAAAAAAAAAAAAAATTTTAAATGCTTTGATATATCTCATAAAAAATGGCACTTCAAACCAACAAACTAAAGGAAAGTTACTCAAGGTCAAAGTAGAAGTATCTACATCAAGATCCTAGTCTCATTAAAACTCAAAAAAGTAAATAAGATATCAAAAATTGGCTTTTTAATAAATAAAAAACTGAACATCACCCGCTCTTAATCTCAAAACATTTAATCTTCTCAAGAAAAAGCCAAAAAATGCTTAGAAACATATGATCTTCCATTAGCTGCCTAGTGTAATATCACTATTTTTGAATTATAAAATTTTATAATGAAAGTAGTGAATGATAGAGTATACGAAAGGTGAAAGAATGCCCTTATAACATAATTCATCAAAAAAATACCAATTTTTGATTGCCAAAAATATTTTTTTTTGGTTTTTTTGCTGAGATTAGTCACTGGGTATATCATTTTCAAAAATTCATAACAAAATTGAAGCTCACTCAAAAAGTCTGAAATTAAACCCAAAAGATGTTCATTATCTAAACTTTTATTGTGTGAAAAACTGTCAACTTTGGAACCTTAGTTTTTGAGTACCAACAATTTTAAAAAAGCTTTCCAAACTTCCACATAATTTCAAAAAATTATTAGACGTAGCCCCCTTTATTGATCTTCCCATTTAAAAAGCACAATGCACAAACCTCCCATACCCTATAAAAATTACTCTATACTAACAGCTACCCTGTCGTCGCCTGGTTTATCTTACCCCACTCTGTACTATCAAGTACCGACGTAAAGAACCCGCCATACTTCGCCTGTAATTTCCTGTAAAAAATGGCGGGTTCTTTATGTCGGCACCTAATAAACACTACCCTCGCTTAATTTATCTTACCTACCTTGCTTTAACTTCGCAAATTTTAGTAAAATTTAACGTAGTATATCCTACCTTAATCTATACTAAAAGTTACCTTAAAAAACCCAAAAAATCGACCAAAATTTGAAAAAAAAAATTTAAAAATATCAGTGAATTGCTCTTCATTTCCGTGTTTTTCGCCATTCCTGGCGACAACAAAGAACATGTATTTGAGACACGCGAATGTAAATAGTATCAGAACGTGCCTGAGGGCACAGAAGGGCTCAAATTAACTCTTGCCCTGCAGCCATCAAGTCAATTAAACGCGGTTACGTCGCGGCCGCGTGAAAGCCTTTCGCCACACATACGAAACTATATAGTATAACAGAATTTCGTTTTAAAAAATTAAATTTTTTCGAAAATTTAAAGCTGCACGGACAATTTAAAGCAGTTTTTAAAAATTTTAAACTGGAAAAACGACTTTAGGCAAATATAGCAGTAATAATGGAAATTGATGCCATTTTGCAGTAAAGTAATGCCACAAAAAAAATTTTTTTTGTTAATTTATTTTTAAAAACGTTTAAGACCCTGTTTTTGACCAATATTTTAAGTAAAAACTAAAAATTTAAGATTTTCAAGTTTTCGTGGTGGGACCCAATTAGTACTCGAACGGCAACATAATAGATCTTTATAAAGCTTAAAAACTACATAAATTTTTTAAAACAATATTCAAAGCCTTCAGAACGACAAAGAAGTGCTTGCAACACAATGCCAAATTGGCGGAAATTCAAAAAAAAATTTTTTTTAAAGATTTAAAAATCTTGTTGTCAAATGAAATTTATTTAAATCAAAATTAAAAAAATAAAGAAAAAACTTTTGATTCTGCCTTACCCTTCCCTACCAGACTAAAAACTTACTACCCTACAAAATAAAAAAAGGTACCTATCCTACAATTTAAAAAAATAAAAAAAAACAAAAGAATTAGCCATTACTCGCCCATCCCTCGAATAAATATTCAAATTTAAGTGACTAACTTGATATTGAGCAAACAAATGTGATATCCATAAAACAAAGTTCTTTCACGTGTGGCTACAGCAAACATTCCAGCATTTCGTGGTGGAAACGACAAGAAAACTTGATGTTCTAACATCATTTTTTAAAAAATTTTAATTTAAAAAAGTTTTTATAGTAAAAAATTTGATAATATAAAACAGTAGAAACTTTATATAAAGAGTATCAAAACAGCTAAAAAGTCTTTGTTATACTCCTTATTATGGTAAACAGTTAGACCTCTTACTAACACAAATACTACAACCAATTCTTTATATAGAGGGTTTCGCTATAGAGTATGGATTTATATGGAGGTTCCACTGTACTAATATACATTAGAAGTTTCCAAAATAAACCGCTAAAAGCTTCAAAGAAATCGGCTAAAAATAACAAAAAACCAACGTTGTACAAAAAAAAGTGAAGACTGTTATTTAAAACTATAACAAAAAATTTTTTTTTGTTGTAATGAAAGGTTTCTGTCTTTAAACATGACATTATTAATATCCATTACCATCCTAACATTACCTGCAGTATAACAATCAACTTTCGATAACAAGGCTACACCTAAGGTTCGTTATACAGAAGTTCCACTGTACCTATCAAGTCTCTAGCCCTAAAAAGCCCTAGCTCGGAGCCCTAGCCCAGAACCCTAGTCCAAAGCCCAAAGACCAAAGCTCTAACCCAAAGCCCTAGCCCAGAACCCTAGCCCAGAGCCCTAGCCCAAAGCCCTAGTCCAAAGTCGTGGCCTAGATTCCTAGACCTAGCTTTACTCCTAGTTCAAGCTCTATTCCTAGCCTAGCCTATCCAACCTTACCCTACAATCATCTACCCCGGCTCTTTTCGGTCTTCGCCCACGCGTCCAGCCAAAAAAAAATTAAAAGTTGCCTTTAGCTACCACATTATCAATCTCTCCCCCTCTAAATATCACTCCTTTCAATGTTGTCTTTATATACCAATCATAGTAACCAACTCAGTACCGTCCCTGCAAGACAGTGTACCCAATGCAGTACCGTCCCCGTACTAAATATGTGCTAAAACCCGTTTGCGACGTAATGCTTTGACCGCTAAATAGCATTAAATGAACTGGACTAATCCCACATTGAAACGAAAATGCCGCAGGGGATTAAGAGAGCTTAAGGAAAATTTACGGAAATGTCGTTCGACATATTTCCCAAATAAAAAGTACATTGAGCATGAAAACGGGTGCTGAAATTGAGTTTTGGTACTATTTTGTATCAAAGGAAGGTGGGGTTTTAGTTGGGGAGACATTGTGTAATAGCAGTATTAGGGTCTGACTAGTTTTGTACTATCAGTACTAAGGTCTGATTAGCATTGTATTGGCAGTACTAGAATCTGGTTAGCTTTTCACTGCCAGTACTACGGTCTAACCTGCTATTATTTGTATTTTAAAGTAAGAATTTAAAACTTGGTACTATATAGTACGTTTGAGTTGTGTGTGTTGTACTCAAGGAGACTCTATGTTTCAGCATAATTCACTAAATGGCTACCTAAAGAGATATATCTTCCTTATAGCATCGTAGTAAGTCATATCTCCCCAACCCCAGAATGAAACAGCAAATCATACCCCCCCCCCCCTAAAATGCCCTAGCAACTCTCATCCCTCCCCACCTAAAATGTCTTAGAAAAACATATCATCCCTCCCCCCTCAAAATGCCCTAGCAATGCCTTCCCCCAAATCATCTAGCAAATCATACCACTTCCTAGAACGTCATACCAAGTCATATCTTCCCCCGCTGAAGCCCCCAAACCGCCCCGCCGAACCCGCAAGCCCCCAACAAGCCCCTCTGAAAAGTCTCACCAGGCCCCGGCCTCCCAACTTTGGCAGACGATGAAACCCGATTACCGCGCAGTAAATGAATTCACAATAGTAAACAGACTTTTGTTCCGTCACGCTGACCCATTTCCCGGATGAAATGGCCTTTCGTCTCTCATAAATAAACGACTACATGGACTTAAATGTGCAAAAAAGTGGAGAGTTTTTTTTTTTGCGTCTTCTGGGCGCTTCATCTTCATCTTGCCCCCTTCATGTAGTCTATCATCTGCTTTCGTCTTCGTGCGGCCGCGGGCGGCGACAGAGAACGGCCCCAGGGTTTCCTCTTTTTTTCGTCCCTCCTCCTTTTTCCCTTGCTTCTTCAGATAGAGTTCCGGCATCCGGCCATCGCGAAAGACCCGCAAATACACGTCTCTTCATGGAGAAGAAGACAGTAAATGCGCACGGTAAAGAAGCCAAGACGAGAATGCGGGAGTAGGTGCTACGGTAAAGACGAAGAAACATTGTTGAGGAGACAAAGAAGATGTTGGTGGAAAGGAAGAGAAGACTAAAGAATGTTGAAGGGGAGGAGGTAAAGACTGAAAGATGCCGTAGGAAAAGAAGGCAAAAGGTGAAAGATGTTGAAGAAAGGGAAGAAAAGATCGTAAGATGCTAAAGTAAAGTAAGAAAAGATCGAAAAGAATGTAGAAATAGAGCTACGGTAAAGTAAAAATGAAAAATGTTGAAAATAATGCAGAAGTAAGTGCTATAGTGAAGATAGACAATATTATGTTAGAAGAAAAGTCGAAGACAAAGAAAATGCTGCGGTAAAGAAGTAATAGATAGAAGAGAGTAGGTAGAACATTCTACGACAAATATA